ACAGTGTAACTTTTGTATAAAAGCTCCTTTATGTATACCAAAATTTCTGTATAACAAACAAATTTACAACCCCGAGCGATTCGTTATACGGTAGTTCTACCACATTTGCAAAACATGCCCTATACTATGAACTGCACGGTACATATGACAAGTGCATAGGTCACGTATTCTGATATTTTAACTGTGTCAAACCTAACGTTAATAGCAACGATGTCAACCCCAACCTTGCAGCCTAAAAATAAAATGTAATTGCTCGTCTTTAATTTATACAGTACTCGGGGCGAAACTAATTAAAATGCCGAAATTTGTCGATAAAATTAATTTCGGTTGATGGAGTTTTATTCAAATGAATTTATATGTATTTGAAAGTCATCATAGCTGTCTTTTGAGTGGACGTTTTAAGTTTATTAAATTAGAAATTGGAATGGAATTGGGAGGCAGTGGGGGCTCTATGGGGAATTATATCATCTACATACATGTACATGTTGCTCGGTACAGTGTTTCTAAATTTACAGTACTTCTTATGTATACAAAGCGTGCAAAGTTAATTGGTAGCCTGTAAGATAAGTTTTCGCTTTTTATAGTATACATAGTTATATCGTACCATAAATTTTATTTAGCACAATCTAAATCCAGCATACATTCCAGTCCAAACCTACTTTGATCAAATATTGTTGTAGCCAATCTCTCTAGCCTTAACCCCTCGGAAGTCGCAACATGGCTCGTGTAAAGAATGTTTTCGCAACTCATTTCAGCCCAATTTCTGCTCAAGCAAATATTTTCCGAGAATTTATGAGTCGATTGAAAGGCGAATCACGGCCTTTCAAACCCGACCACACCCTCCATAATAAACCGCGCCTCAAATTATTTTAATCGTCTTTATGACATCTTCATCATACCTGCTTTGTACTGTAATTTAGGGGGTGAATCGCAACAATTTTTATAATATTTTTTTATATTTTTATAGTTATATTGTTTTAGGGGGCTTTAGGATCATTTTTAAGTAAATCTTTATTACTTTGTGTAGTTTAGGTTTAAAATTAAATTTTTTAAAAAATTTAAAATGTTTTTAATTATTTTATTTTTGAAGTTTTCTAAAAATTATTTGACAATTCTTTGTACTATAAAACTATGAAAACGTCACAAAGTTCATACCTTTTGGATCCGCTTGCTTGGCCAACAAAGAATGCCTCTGCTTTGTAAACAATATGTTGTCAACGAAGTTTAGTGTAAATGTTTTGAATTGGAATTATTCTAATTGGAAATCCCCATTAAACTGTTTGCTCAGTCTATGTTGCTTATTTCTGTCATGGAAGCCACTTTCGATGACAAACAACATAATTACTCGTCAAGTTTTACAAAGTAAACAAACGCTCTTTTTGTGAATAAATTAAAATTAGAAACTTAAAAGTGCAAAAATAGTGTCATCGTGAAACATACATATTTAAAAAAATGTCATCATGACACTTTTTTGTTAAAAAAAACCTGTCATTAAAACACCTTTCACTGTCTGGAAATCCTTTCATCATGAATTAACTTATTCTTTAAAAAACTTGTCATCATGACACATTTTATAGTCATAAAACTTGTTAGCATTACGCATTTTAAGTCCACAAAATTTGTCATCGTGACGAATTTTTTGTCTAAAAAACATGTCAGCAATACACTTTAATAGTCCAAAAAACCTGTCATCATGACATCCTTTTTTACCTAAAAAGCCATCAAAATTTGGCGAAAAGAAATCAAAACGGGTGGAAATGCAGCCAAATCTTAACAAGATTTGTTTCGTGGGGTCAATTTATGGGTTTTTAACACATGTCGCTCCAGAATTAATCGTACCTATTATTTTCCCAATTTCGCGCATTTTTCTTTTTCCGTTTTTTGGCCCTTAAAGGTTCATAAATTTACAAATTCATTTGGTCGGCGGTGCGAAGTGTTTGATCTGTAGGGACAAAGACAAGTCTATTACCTAATTTTGGGGAGCTTTGGGCTGACAGTATTTAAATGTGGGCTGAGTATTTGAATTAGAATATTTTTTTAGGGTTGAGTTGGGTCGGGTTGGCAAGATATACCTAAAATTATAAACTTTCAAAGATTTAAAGCGGTTTTCTGGCCTGAAATCATGTGTTTCTGATGTTAACATACCTTAAAACCCCAAAATTTTAATTTTTCGAGTCCAAAACTCAACTTTTTAAAACTTTTTTACTGTATTGTAAGTCTCAAGCAAAGATGCTATCAACCGTCATCGTTCCACCTCCAAATAGTACGAAACATTATGCAACAGCTGTAATTATAACGTGTGGACATTCGTTTAAACGCTCGTTAAGCACCCATTCTATTAATTCATTTTAACCGCATTTTAAAGAGCAAGCCAATTTATAGTTTTTTTTCGAAATTTGGACGTTATTAAATGCGTCGGAAACGTCACGTTATGCTACACTTGCACTTCTGAAGATGCCGGGGGGTAATAATGGGTTGGGAGGAGGGGTTTTACTGTCATATCGAGAGATATTGATATAGAATGAGGGTAGGATTTGTGTTAAAGTTTAAAGGGTTATTTATGAGTTTTATTGTAATTAATTACTAAAGAATTGCATCAAATATCTTCAGGTTTTTAGAAAAAGATATATTTGGAAAGATCGTAAAAGGTTACCGAGATAACTGTTTTTAAAAATTGGTTGAGAATTTACTCTGGCGTACAGAAGGCAGTAAGTTCGGATCTCACTGCTTTCATTTTGGCGTTATGACAAGATGTTTTAGGCTAGCCAAAAAATATTTTCATAAAAAAATATTTTTTATTCACATTTTTTTGTTATTTTGAAAAAAATATCATTTTCCGAATTTTAAAGTCATATCTTTTAACCATATACATTGTAAAAATACTGCGCATACTATCACTCGCTAGCCAAAACGAGTTGGCAGTTTTTAAAAACAGTTTTTTGGTTAATTTTTTTTTTTCATTCTATATAGGGTTTATTCTAAAAGTCAAGAGATATTTTTTGCAATTTGCTAGCTAGTGCTAGACATGAGGAACGGGCCGGGCCGGGTTTGACCAAAATTTAGATCGGTTCGGACCTCAAAAATGTACTCGGCCCGGCCCGTTCCTCGTGTCTAGACAGTGCTAAATATGTAGATTATTTTGAGAATCAACAGGGCAAAAAATCAGTTTTTTGAACTTTTTTAAACTTTTTACACTGTAAAAGCCTTAAAAATGAGTAAAATAGCAAACTGTAAAATTTTTTAAAATTTTTTTTGCACTTTTATTACACTCGCATGGTGGGTAGTTTACAGAGAACTTACAGCGAATTTACAGAGAATTGGCGGTAATTTTGTTCATGAAAATTTGTTTTCGGCTTTAGAGGTTTACACTTTGTGTTTACTATAATTAAGTGTAAGATACGACAATGGCGAGGCGAATTATTATTTTCGTCGATGTAATTATAATAATGATAATCATTTTTATTAGTATTTACAGTGCCACTCCATTCTGCTACACGGCGGTTATAGTTTTTTTTTTTTTTTTTTATGGCCATGTTTACTTACATGGCATCTTGTAGGTATCGCCTCTTCCTTAGGTAACGAGGAAGGGGATGGTCGAGTGGAGTGGGGTAAGAAGTGATGGTTGGGTGGGGTAGAGAATTGTAGTATAGGGGGTTGTTTAAATGCGTATAAGATATATTAGTCTGTTCAATTAGTTCTGAGCCCCTGACTCTACAAATTTGATTTGAAAGGTGGCACAGAATTAGTTGAACAACCTTATAATTTTCAAACATGCTAATAGTACTGTAAGCTACTGTAAAATACTTTTTGAACCCAGAGGGTATAATTCCCTTAAACCCGACCTCAACGATCATCACCATGCCCTACCTCAATATTATTAGTATCGAAAACAAATAAAAGAGGGAATAAAACTTAAATGTAATTATAAAACATTTATGTGTGAAGGAAACGTTAAGGCCTTTATGGCCATTTAATTTTTTCCACCAGAGTAATTGAAAGACCACAGGTAATTTTAATGGGCTTCGAAATTACTCTACCTCAGCTACCGGATTCGTTTTTTACTGATATTGTTATAGAGTTTTATGGGATTTTGCTAGAATTTTGGGGTTGAGCAGGGTAGTATCTAAATTTGTTGTATACGTGCGGTATATAAATGTTGGGTAGGTGTATAAAGGTCAGGCCGGCCCGGCCCGTTTTCTTTTTTTTTCAGGCAGGCCCGGCTCGGTCAAAAAAAAAATTGTACGCTTCCAAATCTGAAAAAAAAATTTAGGGCCCGGGCCTACATTTCAAACCCGGCAATTTTAGCTCAAGGCCGCTCCGACTCGATCGTAGAGCCGGGCTGGGCCAGATCGGACTTAGGATTGGACTTTTACTAGTAAATATCTAACCCTAGCCGGGCCTACACGGCTTGTTTCTCACCTTTACTTTTTTCTATTATACCACAACATGCAACTCTAACAACATGTTGTTTGTTGCCAAAACACTTTTTGAACTTTCAGTTGAACTTTTAGTTGTTGATATTGCTGAAAGGCTGATTACATTAGAGTTATTTACATTCGAAAGCAATTAGTTTAAAGGGCTTAAGCCAATTAATTACTTGTTAGATTATAATACATATTTGTCATTCTGGGATAGAAATTAAATGATTAGCAGTAGTAATAATGTAAACATTAACGTTCACCGGCTTCCAACCCTCTAGTTTTTGACTTTGGGTATTAATGAGGGTGTATTGTAGTGGGTAAATGTGGCGGGTATCTTGAGATAAGTTTCTCATGTTTTATAATTTTAACTTTACATTTTCGTAGGTTTATGGCTAGTATTACTTGTAAAAATAGTTATTTATAGCTTTAAAAGTACGCGTTTATTATACATTTGTTGTTTTGTCAGTTTTATGTTTTACGTTACATTTACTGTAGTAAAAGATAATTCATTTTTATTTTTAGGTTTTGGGTTCACCATAGTAAGACCAATATACTGGGCTATAACTTAACATACTCTCAATGATTCAGCGATCAGAAGTTGTGGATAATCTGCAGGAAGTCAAGTCGCCTATCTCCACCGCTTCTTCTAGCAATATGGTATGTTCTTCAAAGTATTTTTACATTATTGGTATTGGTTAAAGATTAGATTTGAGGTTTATTATTTGGTAATTTGATAGCTTTCTTTACAGTGTTCTCCAGCACATTCACCATCTACATTAAGTTCACCTGATGATTCGGTAGACGAAAAGACTAGCATAGAACACAGCTTTTCGACCGGTCGATATGATATTACATCTATTTTGGCAGGGAACAAAAAACATGATAGGTAAGTTTACCTTTCTTTGTTTATATCTTCTTTTTGACATAACATCTTATTAGCATACTTTTGTATAGTACATAGCTTTTGCCTTCACTATACATCCATCATTTTTAACCATATATTTTTTGAATAGTACATTGCCTCTACCTTTATTATATTTACTGTATAGTACATTATCTTTACCGCGTTATGCTATACTGTAATAATCTTAAATTTTACTATCTTCTTTAATCTACAATTGAAGCAACTGTATTCACTAACCCATAGAACAACATCCCTATACTTACACATGTGAAACTCATTAAAAACTCAGTAAAAAGGCATGTTTCGTAATGTAATACGACTGTGCACCTCGTACTTGTGATGTTTATGTTTCTTTGTTGAACTCGAATTGCCAAAGTAATGTTGATTATTAGGAACAGCTGAAACTGCATTTACAACAAATTGACTTTTACATTAATGTGGAAAGTATTTAAATACTGCATAAATTGATTAGGTGTATATATACGTGGAAACACGTTAATGTATGTATGTATTTGTAAAAGTAGAGAAAGTTTTGTTAATTAAGTTATAGTACTTTGTATTTTATAACTAAATTAAAAGTTAAAAAAATATAAAATTATGTTACAGTAGTTAAAAAATGCTATACAGTAAGCCAAAACACTTTACAGTAATACAAATTTTATGGTCAGTAGTACTATATTTTTTAGCTTTAGTAGTACTGAAATGACTAAATCTTGACTTTACAGTACCAACTTTTAATTTTTGCAGTACTACCGAATACGTACAGTAAACACAATTGTAATATACGATTGTCTTCAGCTGTTTCTCTTACTGCTCAATTTAGTAATACGATTTGCAAACAAAGCATATGTTACTATTATGCGAATTCACACCATTAAATTGTTATTAATATAGCCGGAAATATGTGGCCAAGAAACGTTTAATTAGGGCTGGGAACGTTGCTACATCGAGGGTGGTTATGGGTAGAACTACTCCTTTACTTGCAATCACTATATCTTTTAAAGATCTTACGTAGGTTATGGGGGGGGGGAGTAGGGTTGGACATTTACCGGTAAATTGATTTTTCGGTAAAAATTTTACCGGTTTTTACCGGTAAATTTACCGGATTATTATTTGATATTTAAAAACTTTAAAATGTCATTAAAACGTGTAATAAACGTTTTAAAACAACAAAAACAATAAAATAGTAAGTATTTCACTCTTTTACTCTAAAAAACAACTTATAAGTCCAATAGCTCTGTCCACTTCTTTTTCCCTACCGGTATATGTTATGTTGACGTAGCTAGTCATAGATGATTGGATGACCATTGTCCAGTAGACTCTGCTTGGTTCGATGGAATCTTTTGTTTTCCGCATTTTTGCTCATACAATTGCACGACCTGTTCTTGATCATTTGAAGATATCTTAGTGCAATTGTTTCGCTAAATAATCACACACCTATACGTAAAGTATCAAAAATCAACAAGAAATCCTAAAAATCGAATTTTCCGTCCTTGTGAGTTGTTGGCAGAAGATGTTGCTACAGTCTTGTAAGGTTACTGACGTATTTTGCACCACAATAATTGCAAAAGTAGTCATTATTTGTTCTTTTGTAATGGTCTGTGATATTTTTCAACATATTTCGTCAAAATATTGCTAATTTTCCAAAACAAAAACAAATTTTGAAACAAAAATAATTTTCGTGCTAGGACACAAAACACTTTTTTACCGGTAAAAAACCGAAATTTTCGGTAAATTACCGGTAAAATTACCGGTAAATTTACATTTACCGGTAAATGTCTAACCCTAGGGGGGAGTCATAAAATAGTGCCAATACTGACCCCTCTTGCTTACCGAACATTTAAGTATTTTGTCGCTTTTAACGGAAATAATTAGCGGCGATTTCGGCGACATCTAGATATTATATTAGAGTAGTTATGTTTATTGCCGCGTTTTGTTTTCACCGCTGAAATACGCGCGATAAAAGGACACGATTTAATGACATTGTGTCATCAGTTTATGACTTTGCAAGGTGGGACATAATGTCGATTATGTATTTTTAAATGAACATAGACGCTACATAAGAAGCAGCATTCTCTTTAGGGCGGGGGAAGGGAGGGGGGATTCTTTGTGTTTACATGCTAGACTAAGTTGCCATTATTCAATAAAACTGTAATATTTACAGTATTTTCCTAGGTATTACCATGAAATTTATAAAAACGATAGACACATACTTTCTATCACAACATGTTATATACTATAACATATAACACCATACTCAATGCACTTCTACAGTACGAGATTAGCTACATAGTATTAACCTGCAGTTATTATTACTTTGTAATTAGTAATATATTATACATATTGTACTTGCTTTTGGGTCATTGGGTTTAAGTAGTACAGTAATTGTTAATATTGTCGGCACTTTTTGTTTATCACATACCTAAAAGTGCCTTATTTAAGCGAATATTATCACGATTATTCGACTGTGAGAGTAATTTTTGCATTGTAAAACACTTTGTGTATGGTGAGGTTTTGGTGATCTGCAGTAGGTATTGTTGGGTATTGTAGTTAAAGGTATTTAGTCAAAAGGACGTAGGAGAGACGGAAAAATATGAATTTTTAGGTAAAAAATCAACAAAAAAAGCTTTGATATAACGTACAATAGAAATTTTTTTAAATTTACTAGTGTAAATACTTTGAAGTTGACTTTTGCTAAATAGTAATGTAGTTCTAGACCATAACAGTTGCTTTTTGTACGTTTTCCTTAATCTTTGTTGTTATCTTTTTAACTTACGACAATGTATATGTTTACATCCATCATAGCACTGTCTATTTTTACATCTTTTGCTTTTGACATTCTAAACATTGAAACCGCTTCTTAACCTCCCACACAAGCTTCTGCTGCCAACGTCAGTCTCTACAGTACCACTTACTTGCACAACATTTAACAAAGCTGTTGTAAACCTTATTATCTCATGACACATTATCTTCCACTCTGTTCGCTCAGAGTAGATAATATTTCTTGCCATGTTACTTTTTACCATAACATGGCTTACTATGTTTGTCACAGTAGGCCTTGATACATTATTTTTTGTTATATTTAGGTATATACATTATTTTTCATTATCTTTCACTCTATACTTATCTTTTGTCACATTACCCATTGGTGCATTAGCTTTTACCAAAATATCCCCCTCAATATCCTGAAATAACAATTTAATGCCATCTTCAGCCAATCAACGCCCGACTCCGCCCACTTTTCCCAAACCAACGGCCGCCAAATTGGGGGCGGGGCATCGGAGCAAGAAAAAGTAAGTTTATGACAACATCACTTTATGAATAAATTGTTTTTGCATTATTTTCGGCATGTTTATGGTGCATACTGTAATTGAGTGTAGCTGGGGGTTAGAAGTTTTCGAAATTCGGGTTGATTCGAAGAAAAATAGGTAACAAGTTGAAGTTTTAAGCTGCTGTTCGAGATTTAAGTTAATTTTAACATTTTATAGGGGTTTTTAAAGGCTGTAAGGTAGAAGATTTTTAATGATATTATTGGTTTTTATGACCTTTTTTGATATTTTTTGAAATTTTAAATTTTAAACTCTATAACAATACCTAACCCTTCAAACTTCAGAAATTGCGCAAACGCAGCGGCCTCGACCATTTACTGGACGATAAACTGGCCAAACGGCCCAAAATTGATCGACCGGTCGATTTGTCGTCGAAAGAATCGGAAGACTCGCCCGATCGTGTGACGTTGGCCGAGAAACTTCAGCCTAAGTTATCGACCAGTGCCGGCGGTCAATCCCTGACGGACCTCATGACCGTCATGGCCACCATGTTTCAAGGCGCTGCCGCCAGCTCGGAGAACGCTCAGGAGCCGGCTAGTCCACAGGCGTTTATGTTCCCGCCCAGTCTGCCTAACATTACCAGTCCGGCTGAGTTGCAGCAGTTTCAGGTGAGTTGAAATTTTAAAATTTGATAAAATTTAGAAAATTTTTAAAAATGAATTTTACATTATAGTACTCCTTCAAGGCTTTAATTTTCAACTTAAAAATGAAATCTTTTAGGCCTTATACCTAAACTACTTGAATACCATGATGTCTCCGATGCGATTCCCTGGTGCTTCACCGTTTGCCGCTACACCAACTTCAAGTTCAGATGATAGTGGTAGGTTTTACTTTAACTTTTACAATGTTAACATGACAAAGTGATGGTATACTATGTTTAGTATTACTATCCTTAGTTTACGTATCATCTTATATTAAAAAGGGTACGGTATATTGAATTATAATGGTATGTTTTCTATATATCTTGAAGTAGACGGTACACTTTGTTTTCTGTTAATCTTACTTTACTTCATTTTTAATAGATTTACTGTAGCTCAGATAGAATGTTAATTCTATGTATTTTACATCACAATTTCTCAGTAGTAATCTTTAAACATCATAGTAAATGAATCGTATATTAACCTTGTAGTTTCATGTAGCAGTACTTACATTAAATTGACCTAGTTAGTATCGTTTGCAAATTTTTTACTATTCACCTTGAATCATATTACAATTTTTTATAGTAATTACTGTGGCTATATGGAAAATTACTCTTGCTATAACATTTTCTATATGATATTACTACTTTTGAGCCTTTTGTTAGAGTTTGTAGCTTTGACGTTATACTACTTTTTGTGTCTTATATATCGCTCTATTCATTATCAGTAATCATGCTTGGTAGTGTAGTAATAGTACACCAAATTGAGTCAATTTGTCTTCACAATACCATCTAATAATTTATGACAAGCTAACACAACATCCATAAGATAGCTAACACATTATTTAGATAGATGTCCTAGATAATGTAAACTAATGTTCTACATAATGTAACTTAATAGATGTTTATACCACAACAAACTTAGGCAACAAGTCTTACTGTAACTATTTTCGTTTGACTCGAATTTCCGCCAAATCCAGATATAATGGCAGTTAATTAGGCTACGATTCAGATATTGCGTCGTATATCCGATACGAATAAAACACATCTAATAACGTTTATTTAAACCGTTTCCGACCCGAAATTTCGAAAAAGAGAAAAAATGGAGAAAACTGTGGTGTCATGTTTTCGTGGTGGGACCCAAACATAGCAAAAAAGTTGTTTTTATTGTCAAAACTGAGTTAAACTATATTCAAATCCTTAAAAAAATTTTAAAAATTAAAATTAAAATTTTTTTTTATTAAGTTTTAAAATTTATGGCCTATAATTATGCGATAAAACACCCCCAAATAGCTTCTGTTGTTAATTTCCCTGAGGCTATTTACATAATTTGTGAGTTCGAATTTCGTTGGACATTTTAATAACCTAATTAATTCCAAAAACTTTAAGCCGATCGTATTTCGTTCGTATTAGGGCCCGCAGGCACGAATAATTATGAAATTGAATCCAGGAAATTCGCTCGCATTTCTGGAAGGAACTTTCTTTACAGCTGTTGCAATAAACGTAAAGCTTTGAAAACTTTCTTTACAATAATGTTTTGTCAATTTAAAAAATTTTTTTCAATTAAAATTTTGCAAAACTTTGTTTACAAGTCAATTTTCAAGACAAAGACCATATATTGAGTTAATTTATGCAGAAACTTTCTTTACACTTGGACTTTTAAGCATTCTTAGTAAACGTACAAGCGTACAGTTATGGTAACGAATTACTTTACTGTCTCATTACATGAAATTTAAATATTAATTAGTCAAAACAGCTGAAACTGACACTCAAACTTGTTTTAGGGCCATTATTCGAGGGAATTTAATTGTTTTCTCCAGATTTTTAGACTTTACAATCTTACTATACTATATTATTTATAGCGCGGGTACGGTACTTCAGGGATTTTGCAAATAATTCTTTCGTGGTGAGACCCAAAAGTTAAAATGGATTTTGAAATAAAAGTAAAATACAATTTTGTTCTGGAGTTGGGTACTGAAACATAGGCTTTTAAGGCTGATAAAAGGTTAGGAATGGCATTGCTTCTTTACAATAAGCGACAGTGATAAAATATGGCTATATTTATTGTTTTATAAAACTGACAAAGCTTTTCTACCTTCAGCCATTGTCTAGTATAGGTAGGACTAAATTCGTAGTGACAAGACTAAACATAAAGCAAAAAGACCTAAAACAAGATAAGATTACTGGTCCCGGTCGAAAAGTAGCGGCCAAGAACAAGTGTGCCCTTTGAGAACATCAGACAACAAACCATCGGAAATCACATAAACGTCGTATTATGCAAATTTGCGCGAAATTCGATTCTTAATTAGGCCGATATAAACAAGTGGTCGCGGAAAGAGTGTCCCACTAGGAGAGACACAATGGAGCCTTTGATTCTGACACAAACAATAGAAAAATTAAAAATGCAAAGCGTATTTTAACGACTGCGCGAAAAGCGAGCAAAATTTTGAATTTTAAGTTAATTTATGGCCTTAAGGAGTTGAAGGGTTACTGTAAAGATTTGAAAAACTCTACGGAAGTTGATGGGGTACTGTATTTCTTGTACAATAATATGTTTATCTATAGATGACATTTAGAATTCTACTTTGGCAGCTTATATTAGGTTGTTCAAATAATTCTGTGCTCCCTTACTTCACCTAATATTAAAAAGTTGCTTTGAGAAAGGCACAGAATTAGTTGATGAATCTAAATAATTGCTATGGTAAACTTTATATGTACTTTTTTACTTGTCACTTCATGTTAAATACCATTTCATACCTAAACATACATGCACATTAGTTGACTACTTTGTAGGACTAGGTCAGTTAATTTACTGTGTTTGTTATTATGAATTTGAGTTAGTTTATTTTATTTTGACTCAAATACGTTCATTACCATGCAATGGCCATGTCATTACAGATTGAGTAGTTGCAAAGTAAAGTAATGACTTGTGTTACTATTATACTAGGAATTGGTATGTTCAGGTTATGTCATGGTTAACTTAGACTAGGATTAGATTTTTGGATTAAAAATTGTCTAAAATTTTAAAATTTAATTTTTGAACTTTTAAAAATATTTGAAATGACAATATGTATATAGATAGCTTAATAGTTGACTTTTACATTGAAAAACTTTCTAAAACCTATTACAACATGAGAAGCGCTCACTTTAATTATTACAAGCAATTACTGTTTGAGTAACCTTCAAATGCTGTATCCCATCTGATCTTCTTTAGTATAATATAATGTCAGCGCAGTCGGAAGTCGAAAAATTTGCATAGACAAGGGGGGGGGGGGGGAATTATAATCAAAATGGAATGTTTAGATATTCGATAAACAAACACGACTACTCCCACTGCATATGGAACATTAATTTCCAATGTTATGAGTCGGTTTTGAAACTTATTCATGCCGATTACTGTAGTTTTTTTTGGTTATGGGGAAGGTATGGGGATATGGGTGGGTAGGAAGGTGAGAATGGGTGGGAAGGGTAAGTGTTTTATAAGCTTAGGGGAGGTTTATTTAGAGGTAAGGGTTGTTTAATATTGATTTTATAACTGTTTGCTTTTTTTAAATTTTTAACATTTTTTACTGTACTTGATAAAATACTGTAACATTTTTAGCAAAATTATTACAAGCTTTATTTAAAACTTATCTTTGTTTGTGTATAACATCACTTTACCGAAACATTTTTCAGTTTATTACTTAAACTTTCACCGGGCGTGGGAGGGTGTGGTATCTTGTAAAAGTTAAATTTACATCTGGTTTGCATTGGTGATTAACCATAACTGTAACATTACTACGAACTCATGATATTACTGTACATAACATGTTGAAGAATACATTAAACAGTAATTTAGTTTAATAAGTTTCGTCTCAATTTGATTACTCTTTTTGACAACCTCCATCAGTTCATAGACCTCACAACTTCCTACAGTACCTTCCACCTTGACATTGACCGTCTACTGTGTATTAACCTCGCCTATGCTTGACTTTTATTGAATTGAGACCGTGTGCTGTTTTTTAATTTGTTCGCCCGATTTATTTTCAATTCATTTTGTGCGTGAAAATCATTTTTGATTGGCTAGCTGAATCATGCCTCTAGCTGGCGTTTTCCAATTTCTTTACATTCCTACTTACTTTCCTGTTCATGTCAATTTGGTATTAGGGGTTTTGTAATTATGTGGTTTGGGGGACATACGATAAGTAGACAAAGTATAAGGGGCATGCGATTATAAGTATATATGGATCTTTGTCTTCAGTATATAGGTATATAGGGGTCAGTTTGCTTGATGTGTAGGTACTTAAGGATCATTATGCTTTATAATATACACTGATATATAGATATCAGTCTGCCTTATATGTAGGTATGTAAGAAGCATTAGGCTTAGTATATAGATATACAAGAGTCAGTATGTTTTGTATATGTATGTGTGTGTACTTATATCAGAACATATAATTTTGATGACAAAAATGAAACTTTAGGTAACAACTCTGAGTTTAAAAAGAGATTTTTACAATTTTAAAATTTAAAATGCTAACGTTACTTTTAATCAAAACCATTATACCCTAAAACAATATAACCTGCCCAACCTAAATGACCTTTCTTACCTCGCCCACCCCTGTAAACCACCTCCTTACCCTCCCGTTGAATAGTTAAAGCCTTGTGAATAGAACCGTATAGATGGCCGATTCCCTGCCATTTGCACATACAACAATAGTCATATTCCCGTTTTACAATATAATTCCATTGTTAAGGCTATAAAGTAATGATATTAACAATATTTCGATTTCAACATATTCAACAAGGTGGAAAGGGTTCTGTCCCAATCCGCTTTACATTTCGGCATCGTATGCTGGAGGAGGAGGGGCAGGGGTGGATATGTGGTTGTAGGATACTTCCTTGTGTTACTGTGATGTCATTGTGGTGTGTTGGGTGTATATTACAGTCTGAAGTTTGAGTTTTTGGTCGTTTATACTTGGGTTGGCTAGTATTATCTTTCGTCTAACTATTTTTAAATTACAGTAACTTTTTTAAAAGTACAGTAAACGTCTTATAATTTTTTTTAAATGACAGTACCTTATGTAAAGTTACAGTAACTTGTATAAAATTACAGTATCTTGTTTAAAGTTACAGTACACGTTTTATAATTAAGCTTTTTTATTTAAAGTATATTTTGTTTAAAATTACAGTACTCTTTTTCAGCGAGGATGCTAAACAATCCGTTCCAACAAGTTCTGGCCAACTTTATGCCCGGCAGCTTGTCCCCCCCTACAACGGCAGGGTTATCAGCGACCTCGCCTCACTCCCAGCTGCCAATGCGGTCTATGGCCGACAGTATGAAGCTGTTTGGCTCACACCATCAGTTGTCGCCCTCTTCAGTACTAATGAACAAAAAACAAAGTCGACCTACTTTTACTGGGCAGCAAGTAAGTCTTTAGGGTACTGTAGTTTAGTAGTTTTGACATTTTCGTAAAATTTAACAGCAAGAAATGTTCGAAGTTAAAATCTTTAAGATTACTGTAAATAATCGATAGTTACTGTTAAAAAATATTTTTTGTTTTAATTGCAGTCTACTCTTTAAAATTACAGTACTTTTTCTTTCCAGATCTACGCCCTGGAGCGAAAATTCGAACAAACAAAGTATTTGGCAGGGACAGAGCGAGCTGAACTGGCTCGGGAACTGAACATGAGTGAAAGTCAAGTCAAGGTAAGCTATAATATTACCAAACCCTCTAACTTTTTTGCGAGTTTTATATATTTTTTGACTTACAATAGCTTTAATGTTACAGTACATTTTACTATAAAATCTTATACATAGAGACTCAGGTATTAAAAAACTAAATGCGGTTACCTCTGCGATCCTCCATGTAAGGTCATAAAATTATGTTGGGATTAATCGAAAAGTAATCGCGGTTCAAAGCGAAAAGGCGGTAACCAATCAAAGCGGTCTTGTTTTTATTACCACGGTATTATAACAGGGTCGGAATTGATCGATTAGGTTGGGAATGTTGTTATTGCTAAATACATACAAGGTTTTACTGTGAAGCTGAGGGTATAAACAGTTTACTGTAAATTTGAAGGTATTGAAGTAATTGAAATCAAATTTTAAAAAAAACTAAGAAAGTTCAAAGATTTACCCTGCCCATAACCTTACCCATGCCACTTGTTTTCAGGTCTGGTTCCAGAACCGACGCACCAAATGGCGCAAGAAGGAAGCGGCCGACCATGCCATGAGCAAGAAGGAGAAGTCGGAAGAGCCCCAGCTCGACTTCTCCGCTCCCCACCAGTCTCCCCCCGCCCTCAGCAGTATGTTCAACCCAGCCAGCTTTGCGAACGCCAACTTCAACAGTCTGGAGATGATGACACAGCTACAGAACATACTACAACAACAACACAACTTCCCACAGAAGGACTCCCCGGATTCTGAATCTCGGGATCCGTCGGCTAGCCCTCCGGAACTGTAAAATTCAAATTTTTGGCTAGACTTTTAAAGTTTTGATTAAAAATGAGGTTTTTAACTTTAAAATTTGAATTGAAAAATGTCATTTTGGTCGAAATTTTGAAATTTTGCTAAGAATTCGAAACTTTTGGCCGTCAGAGCCTTAGGGTATATTGACTTTTTATCTTAGCTTGAGATTGTAACTTGATTGTACTTTACAGCAGATTACTTTAATTGTAAATTTTTACCATTTATAGTGTTATAACATGTTTAACTCATTTTTGAATTATGTTTGTAGTTTACTGTCATTTTTCTTACTGTATTATTATTTATTTCGAATCTCTGTACTTTAAGCTTGCTATTAACCGTTGAATCTGGTTTACTCTTGACCCAACTGTTAACCCGAATACCTATGGATTGTGTCTAGATACTTGATAGTATTATTTATGTGTTTCGTTTAATAACGCCATTTATTGGGGTTTTGCAGAGTTTGTGCAGGAGAACATTTATAAAGTCTACGTAACGACCTTATAAGATTTTTTATATAGGTCTATTTATTTTGACCACAAAAGCAAGCACAAACTTTGTAACAACCTAAACCATTACTACTTACTGATAATGAGCTTGGTAGTACTGAATAATTATCAGTATTATCTTCTTAACAAGTTTTAATTTTTTTTGAAGATTTTATTTTACTAGTCTAAATTAGCGTATTTTGTTCAGTTTCTGAAGATTTACACTGCATAATTGAATTTACATTGACATAATAAATACTGGATAATAATTATGGTGGTATAAGAACAAATTTTTGAAAAATAATGTCAAACATAAAAAATCTAAAATTACAGCAAAATGTATAACCAGTATAGGAAATAAGATTACACTGTCGAAAATTAGTAAAGTAGTAGGAAATAGATTGTCCCGCCACGAAAACAAATATATGCCAAAATTGTCTGGCATTCTGTGGCAAGCAAAAATTATTATAAAATTTTATAAAATAAAAAACAAAGTCGTATTTTACTGTTTATCCATGTAAAATACACCCAATAGATAATAAAAAGATGATGATTAAACTCAAAAACTGTATTATATTTCAGTATCTCATTAAAGTTTTGTGAAGTTTGAAAATCGTTTCAAAATCTCAAGGTTTTTTCAATAGAACACCTGAACAACCATGTTTATCAGCTCTCCACTTTTAATTGAACTGCCTCTTTTGTCGATAAGTGTTATTGTAACTAATTGAACTTGCGAAATGATTGTTCCGTTCTTGTTTTTACTTTCTTTTACTAATATTTTAATGGCTTCTGCAGGAGATTCTACGGATATGAGCTTGAAGCGGATCATCGATGTAAAAACTTTGGCCAAAGTGATCAATGTAAGTTCCGCATTTGTTCTTTGATTCTTGAAATTTAGGACGAACTGTTTTTGAAACTTTCCCTATAGTAATTAACTTTTTTTTGACGTATCTTGACAAGTCAACTTGAAATTTTATCTTATTTCACCTCTAATCTTCAGGATAAAGTCTCTGGCATCAAAATCCTTGACTGTACTTATGCTGTCGGACCAAAGCCCGACTACCAAAAGTTCCAGGAGCAATGGTTTGGCAAGTTTGAACGATTAATGGAGCGTAAAACACAACAGAAGGCGCAATATCTTCAATCTCATATACCTGGAGCTCAACATTTTGACATTGACACTGGAATGTGTCCAGGACAATTTGAAAGATTTAGTATGTACGATCCAGCCGACTTTGAGAAGTACGCTCAGTTATTGGGCATCAAGCAGGGTGATCATCTTGTGTTCTATAGCAGAGGACCGTTTGGTGGAATGTTGTTCTCTTCCAAGGCTTATTGGCTGTTTCGAGTAAGTTTTTTGGATTGCTTTTGATGTTTAGATTTTTTGAAGAGTGTGAAGATTCTGATATTGTTTTAATTTCAGTCGTATGGCCATGAAAAGTTGTCCTTGTTAGACGGCGGTTTTGCAGCGTGGCAGAATTCTGGAGAAGAAACAGAATCTTCCTCCGAATACCCAAAAGTAGAACGTGGAGATTGGAAGGCCAAGGACACGGTCCAGAAGTACATGATGACTTTTGAGGAATTCAACAAAGACGGAGGGGTTTTAGACCATCCAGACACCGTGAACTTACTCGATTCTAGAATCCGACCACAGTTTGACGGTACACAAGATACTGGACTTGATCCTATGAGTAAGTATGGTAGTTATTCTAAGAGGTTTGCGTAATTTGGTTTAAGTGTTGCCTATATTTAAAGGAATTTACTATTTTGAACTAATTAAACTTTTGCGAACTAAGTTTGGCTTTTTATAGGAGTTAATGGCACCAGAATACCACACACGACAAATGTCCCAGCACTCGAAGCTATCAATGATAAAGGAGTGCTACGACCGTTGGAAGATATTAAAAAAGGTAAATTATGTTGTTCTTGAAAGCTGTTTTATATTCTGTTATTAAAAAGCATAAAATGTCGGTTTTGTACAAAGATTTACCAATTTGTTACCTATTTTTCTAAAAAATTTGAAAAACACTCATTAACCATTATTTTCAGACCTTTTCGCTTCCGAAAACCCATCCAAACCAGTGATAACCTACTGTAACACAGGAATGCAAGCCTCTGTCGTCTCGGTACTACAAGATGCCATTTTCCCCGATCATCCAGCACGAATGTACGGTGGAGGGTTGACAGAAATGGCACAAAGGGCACCGAAACGGATCAGCGAAGGTCCCATTCATTTGGAGCCAAATTAGGAAAAAAAGATTTTAAATATTTAAATTTTTATTAAAATTATAAAAATATTAAAAATTCGGAGAAAAAATTGAAATTTATTAAAATTGAGCCATATTAGAGTAGAATAACTTAACAAAATAAAATAATTTAAGCGAATTTTACGAAATTAAACCGATGGTAGTTTTAGATCGGGAGAATAGGCAATCACAACAGAGGAATGTATGTCATTTCTATCATTTACAGATAGAACAAGTTCAAGATTAGACCAATTTTACATTACTTTTACATCGAAAACTGCCATTTTTACTCAAAAAACTTAAACTTTATGAAATTCAAAAAATTTTAGACATTTTTCATTATCAAAAGGCTGTATTTTAGGTATCATAAACAGAAAGGCTTAAATTTTAGGTAACAAAGACAAAATATTAAATTTTTAGGTATCAAAGACAAGGTAATATCCCCTTAAGTTATCAAAAGACAACTAGTTTGATAAATGAAGGCTTGATAATTAAGTTTCCCAGTATATTCAACATGATATTGACGTGGTTTTCCTCATTTTCTTGCTCAAATTATAAATAAAATCCACACAATCGACCAGTACTGGCTGTACTTGAGTAGTCTTAAGCTGTGATATGGTACTCTTTAAGGCAGTACACTCTTCGACCTCGTATGTATTGTAGAGTTCGTCGATTTTCAACGTCTTCAGAATCTCGAGAGCTCGATTCACGTAGCGTTTCTCGGCGTTCCCAAATGCTTTTTCGAAATCCGACAAAGTTTTCGACTGGTCGGACTCTTGAAGTAATTCCAAGGCTGTGCATGTTATCCATGTGCACTTTCCTTCCACCAGATCGTTCATTATGGTCTTTCCGGTCAGGGCTGGATCTCCGAAGACGTCCAGGTAGTCATCCTTAACATATTTTTTCATTTAGAAAAAGTTTAATTTCGCCATAAGGTTACCAAATTAAAAAAAGCATGTTTACTTACCAACGCACTAAACAATAGACCTAGTCGTTCCAAAACTGGCACTATTTCTTCGAAATCATCCCTGTCGGCTATGGTATACCCAAGTTGAATTGGCAAGATATAAGTGTAATATGTAGTCTTGTGCAGTATTATTTGTTCGTACCGGTTAAAAGTGCACTCGTCCAACGTTTTTGAGGTCGTATCGAACAGTTCACCCAACACTGATCGTCGTTTTGTCTGAAAATGTTAGGGCTTAGGCATAAATACATAGATATAGTTTTAAAAAAGAAGCTATGTACCACATAGTGAAGTATACTCGTTAAAGTTTTATAAAGAATCAAGTCTAAAACAACAACAAAACATACCTCGTATATAAACCTTAACATGTCCAACATTCTCGGGTGATCAACCATCGTTTCCCGTATTATGAGGTCAATCATCTGGTCCAACATCAACCCGTCATTTATGGCCACTAGTCCCACGCTGGGCTAAAATATGACAATACACCAAATTGAAAAAAAATTATCCGTAACCACACCAAATCTGTTTAAATTATCACATATTTATGCATAATTGTTTAAAAATCACTTACCAGTCGATGCCAACATGGTTTACCCCGCCGCACTTCGCCATTATCCATAACATCGTCGATAATAAGGAAAAACGATTGTAACTGAAAAAGAGCAATAACAGTAAAATGATAGTAACTACATTTTTATTTCTAAAACCATTATGACGCACTCAAAAAATTATAAAAAAGTTTACTCCCCGGCCGGGAATCGAACCCGGGTCTCGCACGTGACAGGCGCGGATACTTACCACTATACTACCGAGGACACGCTGCCAAAGCCTTTCGTTTCGGCTCAAAAAGCAAAAGCGTTTTTTTCCTTAAAATTTCGCAATTTCGGAGATAAAACCGTGTTCTTTTTAGGTAAAAAAACAAGTCTTTATATCCAATAATATGCCAAAATAACTTGATAACGCAGTAAAAACACATAGGGTATCCTATATACAAGCTCCTTTAATTATCGTTCACCTAAACTTCAACAAAAAACTAAAAAACTCACAATTTCCATGACCACGGCTACTCGCGAAGCCTTCTTAATCTCTTCTGGAGTAGCTTCTGGCTTCAGGGCTAGAAAAGTGTTGAGGACAAGACAAGATCGAGCAAACTTTCCACCATGAATCGTATAATCAAGAACTCGGTTTATCCTGTCAATCGCCTGATCCCTTAGAAGTCCTGTTAAACTTTCTGTGAACTTTGGTCCAATTTCATATTTTATATCTTCCAGAGCATTTTGGACATGTTTGAGTGCCATTATTATGTGTTATATCCAGATATTAGCTATAGAAATGTATGCTATTTGAAAATGAAATAAATTAAAATAAATAATTCTACCAAATATGTGAAATGAGTAATGTATGAGTAATTTGTGTGAACGAATTATAATATTATAATTTAACTGTTTATAAAATATGTCATTTAGTTCCACGTATTGGCAAATCACAGTTTAGGTATTAAAATTGAGAATCTTCTAAAGCAATTATGTCTTAAGCCTTTAGCAACAATGCGAAGGTAAATAATTAGTAATTAGAAAGCTTGAATAATATAACTAACAATAAGTGATGTTTACCTAAAAACACAAGAAATATTACCAGTTATTTATTAAAAATATGGTTCTCCTTTAAAAGAAACCACAATTTAAAAGCATTGCTCCACAAATTTTAATTTTTTGGTCCAAAAACAATGCGCCGCCATGAGTAATATAAACTTATATTTTTGTTTTTTACAGTAAAATTAAAATAAACTAAACTCTTTGTAAAAATATTCTCTATTACAACATAAAACATCCTAGTTGTCTCAATTTGGCCACCACAATCCCTCACAATTGGCCAAAATTTCCGCTTTTCCCATTTTAGAGGCAAAGAAGCGAAACATAACTATACGAATATCTTGGAGAAGGCATAGAACCCCAATCTGAAGTCAAAATAAGATTTAAAGTCAAAAATAAGATTCAGAATACACTCGACTTGTCGTTTTAACCTAGTTTGAGGAAGAGGAAAACGGAACACGCAACTTATCAGGAAAATCTAAAAAATTATTTTATTTGATGCGGAATGCCAAGAAGTTTTGCGAATGTCGAAAGTGCGCAAATTTTAAAACTTGAAAAGTGAATAAATATAAAATACGGTTTTTAATAAAAATAAATACGTATCGTTCTCAAAAATTTCGTGTAATTTTTGTCACATTCTTCATTTTCTTATCATTAGTTTCTGATTTTGTCATAAACTTTAAAATTGAAATATTAAAATGCAATATTCAAAGAACTAACAATATAGTTGGAAGCAGAGTTCCCAAAAGTTCCAAGTACATAAAATTATAGCATTTTACAATTGATGCAAATTTGTACGTACCAGATCTCAATCGTTTTATTTTCTTTTTTTAAATTTTGAAAAACGGTCGGTTTCCAGTCGGTTTCTGAAGGAACACAATCATCAAAGTAAGTGTCTCTTAAATCTCTCGAATAAGTTAATGCTTTTATTATATTTGATGAAACTTTTTAAAAATTTTTATTATTTTTTGCAGTTTTAGAAGTAAAAAGTAATAAATGGCAATTAAAATTTTGTATTTCAGAGTAACAAATTAATGTTTGTGCTGGTTGGAAGTGGCAATGGCTTCGAAAACAAACAAACGAGATACTAAAGGCAAAGGAAAGAAGTCTGCGTTGCTGCATCAGCCGAGGCGAAAGGCTAGCCAGAAGTTTGAGGATGATGGTACACAGATGGAAGGAATGCCGAAGTCACAGATGCAGACCAAGGTAGTTTCAGTCCACAAGACAGTTTCCCAGGTACTTTTTTAAATTTTAAATTTGATGTTGTAATTCTACTTTATATTAATTTGTGTTTTTTAGGACAACGAAAATTTTCGGAATGCATTGCGAGAGTTCTGCATGAACGCTATCAATATAGGAGCGGCAAAACTGGGAAGTGATTTTGCGGCCACCCGGCTGGCTATGCCGAAAAACCTACCAAAAACGGCCTTTCTCGCTAATCCTACAAAAAATAGATACAAGGACGTCTTCTGTTTGGATAATAGTATTGTTAAGCTTACCTGGCCGCCTGACGATCCCAACGATTATATTCACGCCAACTATGTTCCGATTGAAGGTAAGACTGTATATTTGAACAAAACTTTGCATATGTGTGTATTATAGTAGTAAAGATGCGTCTTATGGGTACATAAAATTTGGTGGTCTATAAAATTATTCAGATTTCAATAAAAGATGATAATATATTTATCTATATCAGGTCGCAAAAAGTATATATGTACCCAAGGCCCAACCGAAAAGACCGTGAATGACTTTTGGAGAATGATATGGCAAGAGAAGTGTCAAGGGATTCTGATGCTGACTGAAGTGATGGAGCTGGGGAAGAAGAAGTGCGAGCAGTATTGGCCACAAAAGGCAGGGGAAGAAGTTGAATATGGCCCGGTCAAAGTAAAAGCCGTGAAGCTTCTGAATCCAGAAGAGAACTTCCACAGTACCTGGTTAGAAGTGTCAGCTGAAGGCTCCAGCATCACCGTAGAGCATATGTTGTGGAAGAAGTGGCCAGACCGTGGAGTACCAAAGGAATACATGTGTTGTTTTAGGATGATCAAGAAGATGGCACAGTTCATGCCAGTAGTAGTACACTGTTCTGCTGGAATTGGTCGTACTGGTACCATAGTTGGTCTGGAGATCATGTTGTGTAGGCTACAAAAGGGGGAGACGTGTACGATGGCAGATATTGTAGCAGAGTTGAGGCAGCATAGACACGGGTCGGTACAAACAATGTATCAGGTACGTTTATTAGTGATAAATTTGATGTAGGTGAAGGTTGCTTAGAATGGTAATAAGAGATGAATGTTTCAGTACCTTTACATGCATCGTGTCATGATGGAGTTTGCCATAAACAAAAAGGCCGTCACAAGAGAAGAGATGAAAAGATTCTTTGCCGATTACGAGAAGATCGTCAACAAGCAAGGAGCCAGCTGATCCATCGTTTACATCGTATTTGAATAAACATATAACTAACGTTAAATTGCTTTTTCTACATTACTATGACCTAATAAATATATTGAGTAAAACTTTGGTCAACGTACGTTCAAATGGCAAAGCACAGACTTTAGTATAATACATATACGTATATGTATTTAATAAAATACAATCATGCGTATAAGTTCAAAGTTCTAAATACTTAGACTTTGGCTGTCAATGTTGTCATTTACTACCGAATCCTATATTCAAGCAGTTTCTTCACCTGCTACTTTCATAACATACGTTTCCATGTTTATATGGGTTTAGTGTTCTTATCTGATGTCAGTTGAAAGTGATACCAATGTTACAACGTTGCTTCTGGTAATTACAGTAGTTCAGTCGCCGTTTATTGTTATCAATGCTAGACTGTTTTGGGTATTATTGACTAGAAAGTTCTTGTTCAGATCCGTATTTTATGAAATTGTGTTTTACACCGGAATTGTTGTAAGTTTTGCTAGACTTGAGTCCCGTCTGTAGAAGTCACTTATATTGTACTTTGTAAAAAATTACGCTGCTCATGAAAAGGCAATATATATCTTACTACTGTAAAATTCACTTAACGCACTGATTTAAAACATTTCAGGATCTCTTAGCAGTAACAAGTGCCAACTACTGTATGATACTACCTAATTTTGTACTTTTCAAAGGCTATTTTGCTTATTTTTCAAAGCCGTCATATAACATAAATATTATCATCTACTTTTTTAGATTTTACTTTTACTTTACTTCTCAGATGGGCACATTACTTTTGGCAGTAAATCGATTTACAAGTCTGGCTTTTGCTATGTCATATAATCAGGTGATATGTTATCCTTCAAAAAGCAAACCTTTTTTATGTTGATGAAACAATATTCTTTATGTAGTGACCTTTTTTGTAATACAAACTTGTCTTGCAATACCCACAACTAAGTGGTTTACAGAAATATAATAACTTCAAATATTAGATATGGAACAACAACTTCAAAAAAATAATGGCGACGTATTTTGGCGTCCCATTCATTTTTACATTCTCATTGTTACTAAACAGAGCGTATGTAGACACAGTAAACATTTACGATTGGGAGATTCAAGGAGTTGACTACGATCATTCAATTACCTTTAATGTAAGTTATACTAAGTAGTAGAAAAGCTTTACATGTACCTACATTTTTAAATTTGTAAGCGCGGCTTGTGTGGAAAGTCGAAAAAAATGTTTGAAGCACAATGCCAAATTCGCCAAATATGTATATAGTGGGAAACTAAATATTTTCACTTTAAAACTCAAAAACGCGGATTAAAATTTGTTATGGGTACTATTGGTGGTACAAAGGCTTTAAATAAATATTTTGAGCTGATTCTCAGTAAAACGGGTTACGTACTTTCGTTATGAGTTTAAAAGTAATTAATTCAGATATCAATGTCAACTCGCACCTTAATTTTTAATGGGTGTACTGTAACTATGTCACTGTTGCTTAACCTTACTACCATTACACTTCTATTTACCAGAAAACAAGTCGATAACAAATTTTCAATTAGATTTTTGGCCTACACTTTGTTTGTTTTTGTTTTGCATACGACTTTGATTGGGTTTGTCGTACGTTTTTAAACGATAATTTAAAGTACATTTAAACAACTTTAAGTTGCCGGAAATTCATAAAGATTTTATTTTTAATCATACACACTTTGCATAACTCCTAGTTACTTTACCTTGAAATTGGATATCTTTAACAGCTAATTTTTAGTCAGTGTTCGCTTCCCTTCGAGCCTACGGCGATGGTTCAGTCCAAACCAAAGCCATGTTTCAGACAACTGAAATGATCGGTATTCCAGTCGTTTCTTCAGCTTTATCGTTAGCTCCTGGAGTTCTTCTCCTCTTAACGTCAACTGATCTTCGTGAATATACCTGTCCATTTCAGTTCAGCCTGGTGGGATTCCCTACTACTAGCACTGTCAACAGCAGTCTTATTGTTAATCCAATTGTTAGATCAACTTAATAATTAAAAAATGTTTATTTTGAAAAAATTGAGCTATTTTTTAATTACCTCTTTATTTTTTCTTCGGCCTTACAATAATATTGTTTAAAGATATAACGAACTAGCTTTCAATATAGGCTTTTACTCTTAGTTCCGATCCAAAAAGCCCACAAAGCAAAGTTAGCAATTTGATTATATTAATGTTGTGTCTGCCAAGAAGTTTTTGTGGTTTTTCGTATTTTTCACAATAATTATGTATTTCAAAAACAAGAGCCAATTAATAATAGACCAGTATAACAGAGGCGTTCGTAACGTATTTGGTACACAACACTCTTTTCAGTGTGACTGGTAAAAAGTTTACAGAATTTTGTATTTAAATAAGTAGAGGCCTAAATCTGATAACTGATCATTTTTTTAGTTTACAGCGACTACTGTAAGAGGAATAAAATATATTGTCCTTCTGGTCTACTTACTGATAAAAAAACAATATTCAAATTGAATTTTTATTACAAATGTTCTTTGTATTCAAGTCCTTTACAGAATTTGTCCCCAATACACTTTCCTAATGTCACAAACCGTTATAGTCGCTTGTGTTCTTTTGTATCGACCATTTGCTTATGTATGACAATGTTAAATACGCTTATAAAGAAGTAAACGCTAATTAGAAGTTTTAAATTTTTGATTTACTTTTTACACCTGGTAATGCTTTACTCAAACTTTGACTTTAAGTTAAACACAACTGTTACAAACTCGTTACACTTGTTGCAAAGTTAAAACCTATGTTAACTGAAAGGAATTATACAGCTACCTACTTTCTACTAGTGGTTGCTTTAATTCAAGCGCCATTTATAATTGCCAACATTAGGTTGTTTTATGTACTAATCACAAGGAGATTGTTCTTCAAATCAGTGTTTTATAAAATTGTGATATACTGTGGAATCGTGGTAAGTTAGAGAAGTAACCAATAATTTAAGAACAAAATATGTAAATTATGTTTACTAGATAATTGCACCAAATATACCTGGGCTATGAGAGTCTGGCCTATGGAGGATAACAGAGTGTAAAAAAGTACCGGGTAAACTGTTTTCAAAAACTAAAATTGGGTAGGCTATGGAGTTATACATAATACGCTCAATTATATATAGGTCCCGTTCCAAAGCCGAAACACATTTGGTGCAATTCCCTGGTTAATTCTAAAACAACATTGGCTAGATATTCAGTTATTTGCAAAAAGAAACGTAAATGCTGTATTTTTGCACCTGTTATCACGCAAAATGGTACTAAAAAAATCAATCCTACCATGTGTTTGTAGTGCAGCATAAACTAGCGTAAAATACGCCGCACTAAATGTTGAAAGTTCAAAATATTTGTTTCACCCTATAGTTAATGTACACGAATTCAGGATCTTTCTTTCGTAATATGCTCAAACTACTGCATGATACTGCCCAACCTTAAATTTTTTAAATGGTACTATGATTATTTCGCTGCACCTTCCCATAACATAAATACTGTAATGTTCTTTTTAAAATTTTACTTTTATTACGCTTCGCAACTTGGTATTCTTTTGTTATCCATAAATCGATTCACTGGTTTGGCATTTGCACTATCTTATGACAATGTAAGCCTTTACATAATAAACATAATACACAGTAAAATACGCATCAATCGTATTGGCATAAACACACTGTAAACTTCGTATTTACATACTTTAAATTTAGATATGGTACTATCATTTCAAAACAATGATGACAATATACTTCGTGCTGCCTTTTATATTTTCATTCTCTTTATTACTTAACAAAGCATACTTAGCTACATTAACAATTTACAGTTGGGAGATGCGTGGCATTGACTATGATCGTTCAGTAACCTTCAATGTAAGTTAACTTCCTTCTTCCTAATCTTGAAATAATCTCTTCAATCTTCACAATAGTATTTTTAGCTGTTAATGTCCGTGCGTACGTTAGTATTCAACAGCGGTGTAGTAATCTTATTTTAATATTAAATATAACGCTTTTCAGTCCGTGTTCACTTTCCTACGTGCCCACACTGATGGTTCAGTAGAGCATAAAGCCATTTTTGAAGCGATAGAAGCCATAGCAATTCCCACTGTATCTTATACTGTATCGTTGGCCTCTGGCACCCTGCTCCTTGTGACTTCAACTCAACTTCGGAAGTTCACATGCCAATGTACCTTCAATGAGATAGCTACTCCCCCCACAATCGGAAATACCAGCAGTGAGCTTAATCATCAAATTACCAGTACTATTTGATATCTTCTATATACCTTTCTTTTCATGTATATGTACATACAGTTACCATACATAGTTTACGGCAGGTTCTTTTTGTTAGTCAAATTATCTATTTTTTACCCAAATTATAAAATTGAACTGTAATTTAACATCTGTTCGTATTGTAATAACTTCTTGTTGTTGTTTATATCTTTGAATTGTAACATATTCTATTTAGTAAATCAAATGTAACTTCGCTTCAACTTGTTATTAGCACCAGTCGAATGACCGGAATAGATTGTTTGCTCAACGATTTCCGTCTTCTGAAACTTCAAGTGGCCGTTATGACCTTTATCACTGTTCAAAATACATATCCATTCATTTCACACACTTCTACTAAGACAATATACTCTCATATTGACAAACCTACCTTCAATTTTAATGAATTTTACTTTTTTAAATAAAGTTTTAACTTTTTGCCACTTTCCAATCGTGATGACTTCTTCTATATTAATTACTATTTTTTACCTTTAATTAAATACTAATCTAAAAATTGTCGTATTTTATCAATTTTAACATCAAACTTCCAAAGACCGTGTTTGTTTACCGTTGGTAATCTCGGTATTGATACTTGTTGTTCCGCATTGTTCCAAACGTTATACGCAACTTAAGCTCATTAAACGATCAGTAATTAGTGTGTTTGTTTGTTAGAGTGACCAGCCGGCTAAGTTTTTTACTTTTCAAAATCACAAATGCCTTTAGGAACCGTGCTCTGCTCTTTTACTAGTCGAAATTACTTGACACTGTCAGTTAAAACGTTTTGATATACAATTCTCAAATTACAATGTTACGATATTATACCATTTTAACTTAGATGCTATATTTTAATAGTACATTAACAATGATCCAACAGATGTTCTCCATCTACCTATTACACTTTACTTCATTTCCCCCTTTTACCGTGTGTTTTTATTTATTTTGATAGTTATCGCGTATTTCGCGCAAAGATTACTGTGAATTGGTCGGTAATTTCCGTAACTTTAATCACTCAAAACCGGAGATTCAGACGTTGATTTGTTTCTGCTTGACTCAGCAAATTATCCTACATTATTTTTTACAATATATTGTTCTATCATTTATTGTGTTTCATCTTATTATTTTGCCTTTTTTATGTTTTAGATCATCTGTCTACAACATAAATTATCTTAAATGTCTTAAAGTTAGTTTTCGTCCTTTTCTCTACTTTTAAATAAGTAGTACTGTGAAATCAAAACCTAAAACTTAAGCAAAACTTTGTCATGTATCGCCTCAGTTTTGTAGCCATTCTATATACTATAGTATTGTACCACTGAAAGAATGTAGCGATATATTGTTCTTTGTGGTCACTCGAAACCCTATCCTAGCGTCCAGTTCACAATACTCGAACCCTCTTAAACGATTGTTCCCACTCTTTGTCGTTTATTGTTGTCCATTCTGTGAGTAATATGAGCTGATAACGTCTCCGAACACAACAAGTTCAGCACATGGGTTTAGAGTAATTGCAACATTATGTTGGCTACTGGGTGGTTGGGTACATTGCACTCAATAGTTATTATTTTTAATTTCTCATATTGTCATTAACTTCTTAATCTTTGTTATTGTTATCTTTATATATTATTCATAAAATTGTTATACTAAACTACATAACTGTCATTTCCAGATCACAATGCTGTTAAGGTACCACCATTTTATCATAATTGGGCTTACTGTATCTCTCGTAACATCAGCACACACATCGATAAAGCGACGACAAGCAGAGAAAGGAGAAAAGGTACTATTAAGAACCAAACGACAGCATTGCACATGTCTCAACGTTCGGATTGGCACAGATAGTCAAGCACCAGTAGGACCGGGGCTAGATCCCTTGAGCAGCACCTATAAATGTACATGTAATTCAGCTGGCAATCCAGTCCAGCAACAACGAGAGCTGCAACAGATCCTACAACAAGTAGAACCAATGAGTCGCTGTCAATGTGGGCCTGGAAACGCCATGGGAAGACAGCCACTGATGGACGCGAATCCACTGTTCGAACAGATGCCTGAACAACAACAATGGGAGTGCCATTGTCAGACTGACACTCAGGTAAGAAAGCAGATTTATTTAATAGTGCTGAAATCCTTTAAAACTCAATTTTTGCAACAGCAAATGAATTGTTATAGCTCCGTGGTCCCTCGCCTCAATTCTTCCCATGGAACAGACAAAGTGCCCCAACCCAATCACCGCTCCTACCACCGCAACCCATGCCTCAATTAAGTCCCGTATCACATCCTAGTCTACCATTACTGCCTCGTCAACCAGCTAGAGATATGAGACCAATACCAGATGCTCTGCCAACACCTCCACCCTATCCAGAACAACCAAATGGTATCAATTCCGTGTTGCCACCAATCGCACCCATCGTACCAACTGGCTTACCAACACCAATGGGACCACAGACGGGCCTGCCCGGACCCATGGGACCACAAACTGGCCTACCTGGACCTATGAGACCACAAGCTGGTCTAGGGCCTCAAAATGTACCTGGTCCACAAATTCCTCGAAACAGACTGCCAATCCAACCCATACCACAGTCTGGCCCCATTATCGCACCATTACCAGTACCACCCCCACCAGCCACCGGAATACCACCACAAACTACGGTAACCAGATGTCCGTGTATGGAAGTTACAGTGAACGTGATCAGAACTGACTCCAGAGGTAACAAGGTACCTATCAGAACCCCAATGTGTCTCTGTGAACCTCTCCAAACTGTACCACCTCCAATTACACCACCTATGAGAGATGCCCGACCTCTGCCTGTAGCAGCGCCTACTCCAGTACCAGCCTACACTCCAGTTCAGACTAACATGCTGCCAGTCATGGGTGCACAGCCTGGACAAAGTAGGTTATGTTTGGTAAAATATACCTTTTTAGTCATACCTTAGTATAAAAATATAAAATTAGCTAATGGAAGAGTAATATTTTAGTTACTATACTCACAACCTTACATACTAGAAAAATATTATACAATTAAAAACTATTGCCTAGCATTACATGATTCCGTAGCTCACGTAACATAATATATTTCAGCCTTGTTATACCCAGACGGACGTATATCAGCTCCTCTAACCTCCCCAGCAGTCCCATATCAGCCTATACTTCCAGCCACAACAATTGCCGCCACTCCATTAGTAATCAACGACGCCACAGCCAACGATGATCCCCCAATAGTACCGTGCTTGATGATTTCCATCAATGGAATCCAAGGAAAATATTGCACATGCAGTGAAGACTATAGACAATGTTCTCCTACTCTATGTTGCAATCACAAAACTTATAGAAGCTTAAAAGTAAGTTGACATCACTACCTATAATAGGTCCAGTTGTAAGAGCCAACAGCTTTTTTAGCTTTAAGAATTACCCAAAACAATCATTAACAATTTTAAAACATACATAAAATTAACAAACCTTGTTTAGAATCTGAACAGCACCGAGCTTCCCACAACAACTCTTCCTCCATCCACAGCAAGCACGAAATCTCCATCAGCGGTCGATTTGTTCATGGAATTCGTCGATAAATTCCGCCAACATCTTGATGGAAGCGGCGAGAAACGAGAATCCAAAAACTAAATTATAAAACTATTATTCAGGAAACACGCGTGTTGTAATTATTCGAACATATCACTTGCAATACGATTATTAACTCAAAAGGTTAATATTTACAGTATTTCATTGTATATTTACACTTATATATTGTAGTAACGTTAAATAGCTTTAATTTTGGTTAATATATTTCATGAACAATATAAAAACGTACTTATTTAATCAAAGATATTCTTGTTTTCCTTCCAAATTTATCGAAAAAAAACGAAAAATAAAATATTATTTTGTTTAGAAAAAGTGTCATCTCCTTCGCCTTTATAACGGGTTTTCTGGATGATTTTTAAAGAAATTATTTTTTGATAAACAAGGTTTTGTACCAGGTAATTTATGTGTTTAAAAGCCGAAAAATAATACAATATTGCAATACTTACCTTAAGTATTCATATATTATGTTTTTCCTATGCTTTTCAACTTCTTTTCTTCAGATAACACTTGCAACTTGCAAAACGTGATCATAAACAAGAAATGTTTAGAATGAACCTATCGATGTGAAACACTGTAGGAACGTTAAGTGCTTTTTGATATATGAACGTTTCTATCACATAAATAGACTTTACTGTAAGTCCTTGAGAATGATATAAAAAGTAATCAGCGACAATGTTTCGGCGAATCTGTTATCAAAATGTTTCTTTTTTGTTATTAGATTTGAGTGTTTTATGTTCTTGTTGATGTTTTTCGGTTGCAATATCATGAGTTGAGGCATAATATATAATATAATCGATACTACATTGTAGTATAAGGTTATCTTATAGCGTGAACATTGAAGATTAACGTTCAATAACTGCCATATTGAAGGATACTTGTTTTTAAAAAATCCATAAATTTTTGCACTTTTACGAGTTTCTTTTCAGATTTGGCCTTTATTGTTTTTAGGTAACAAATTGCTTAAATTTTAAAAAATGGTGGAAGCTGCTTCTGTGAAAGATTCAGAAGTTACGTTAGGGTCTCAGAACTGTGAAGATTGTACTCCGGTCATATTTATACTGGGCTTTCTGAATAGTCAACCATCACATTACGCTTCTTTACAGAATTACTATGGACAATACACGTAAGACAATGTTTAGTATTTTGTATCTAAATTAAACAGGATTTTTTAATTTTAAAATGACTGTTAGCTACCTTTATTAATATGTTAGTAAAATTAGTAATTGTTATCTAATTGATAAAAAAATAAGTTGTTAATTTTGAAATTTATTGTGAAAAAGTATATTTTAGCAAAGACATAATAACATACGTTCCTAAAATGTACGATCAACACTTCTGGCCTTCTGGAGACAATGGACATGAATTTATCGACCAAGTTTACCTACCTAAAGTCAATGAGAAGCCGAATGCTCCAGTTATCATTCATATCTTTAGTCAGAACGGAGGTTTACAGTTTTATTACTTGTGGGATGCATTAAATGACAAACAAAAGAAACAAGTAAAGGGATTCGCTATCGATGGGTAAGTTTAGCTATTTTATAAACTAAGTTTATGTCGCTTTGTTAAAGACTTTTGTTGCTTATTGTTTCAGATATTGTTAAAATTTCTCAACTTTATGATAATATGTGTGGTAAAAATCAATATACGATTTGAAAAGTCCTAAATAAAGTTGCATATACCGTGAAACACGCAAATTTCATACTTCAGAGCCCCAGGCCTTTTCTCGGCCCACCCTCGTTACTACATGAACCAAAGGTTCTATATGTGGCCACGTAACGAGAAGACCGACATCAAGTTTTGGTTGAAGTGTGTGCCACAACATATACCACGATCTTTACTATATACACCACTGATTTTACTTGGCTTCTTCGATCAGTATTCGAAAAGAATGGAGAAGTTCGATCTTCCCCAGAACCAGCTCTATCTGTGTTCGAAAGACGACAAGTTAGTGGCATTTAAGTACATCAGAGAGTTTGTGTTATCACAGGTTGATAGCGGAAAGTCAGTCGTGTTGAAGGCGTGGGAAGATGGTGTACATTGTGCTCATTTTAAGACACATCAAGGAGAATATTTCAAATTGTGCGGAGAGTTTGTCAAGAGATCTTTGGCGGATAATCTATATGACTGCCATTTGAAGGCCAAATTATAAAAAAAATATTTTAAAGTTTTTACTCTTCATAATATTGGCACTTTTAATAAAAGATTGTGATATTACTTTGCTTAATATTGCCATTAAATATCTCGATATTATTTATAAAGACCACAAAAGTAAAAACGCAACAACTAAATAATGACAAAGATAATATTGTAACTTCCAGAACCGCTTGTTGAGTGAAATCTAGCCATAAAACAGAAACCAGTAATAACCGTTACACAATGCAGCAGTGAATTTACTCTTCTACCAAGAATTCTCACTCAATTTAATTAAACTAAAATTGTGTTTCGTCAACAAAAAGCTTGTCGCGCTCCAAAAACATTGTCGATAAAAAGTGTCGCGCGCTTCGTTTACAACGAGCCGTTTTGTTTGTTCACGAAGCCTTTTTCGAGTCGATTGTCGGTCAAGTTTTTTGGATTACAACGACATTTTGTCGGAAATTATGACTACCGCCCCCAGAGGACGCACGGAAGAATCTGAATTCTCTCGCATCGTGGTTATGTCTCGGCGTTTCACTACCTGACACAACGTCTGCCAAGGAGACAACAAGACAAGCAAATGTTGTTAAACATACCTTACAAGGTAACGAGTTACAAACAGTCAGGCAAATGGCGTATGTTCAGGTTATTTCACTGTCTAAACACAAAGACACATTTACTGCTGATCACTCCAACTGATACCATGTTAATATATAAACCTGAAGACAGCCTCAGTTCACCACACATCGTGTCCTATCACTCCATCAGCAGTTATGGATTCAAAGGAGCAAATTCGTGAGGCCGAGTCCTTCAAACGGCTCACCTTCTTGGCCGTAGCCATCTCTACCATGGCCACATTGACTGCCATTATTTTGGTGCCAATGTTGTACAACTACATGCAACACGTTCAGACCCAGTTGGATGAGGAACTCGACTTCTGCACCCACCGTACCAACAACTTGTGGGGACAGTACAAGGCTTTGTACGGAGAACAAGCTGCTCGTGAGAAGCGTAACGCCGCCGTTCGCCGCGTGCCAAAGGGACAGAGCAAACAACGCAGAATGTCCCAACGTGCTCGCGCCGCCGGCACTTACGCTGATGATGGATACGGAGGTGCTCCAGGATCTCAGCCAGTCAACGGCGCCGGAGCCGGAGACTACGCTCGAGAATCCGCTGTTGGAGCCGGCTCTGCTGCTGGCGGAGGATTAAGCTCAGGAAGCTGCTCGTGCGGAGTTGGACAAGCTGGCCCACCAGGACCACCTGGAGTTGACGGAAACGATGGACACGACGGTCAACCTGGTCCAAACGGAGACAACGGACCAGATGCCCCAGCCGACCACATTCCTTCCGAATCCGACTTCTGCTTCGACTGCCCACCAGGCCCAGCTGGACCACCAGGAAACGCCGGACCAAAGGGACCAAACGGCCAACCAGGACAGCCAGGAGCTGATGGACAACCAGGAAACTCAGGCACCCAAGGACCACCAGGCCCAGCTGGACCACCCGGAAACGACGGACAGCCAGGAGAAGCCGGAGCTCCAGGACAACCAGGACAAGTCAACGAAGTTCCAGGCATTCCAGGCCCAGCCGGACCAGCTGGTCCCCCAGGCCCTCCAGGACCAAATGGTCAACCAGGTGCTCCAGGCAGCTCTCAACCAGGCCCACAAGGACCAGCCGGTGATGCCGGAGCTCCAGGTCAGCCAGGACAACCAGGAGGCCCAGGAGAAGCCGGACCTGACGGAGAATCCGGAGTTGGCGGCGGTTGCGATCACTGCCCTCCACCTCGTACTGCTCCAGGCTACTAAGTGAATGATTGTTGAGTTGTGTATACTATTTATGACAATAAATTTTTAAATATATATCTTTGCCTACTATTGTAAACAAGGTCATCTTATGATATTAACATTAAATTATCTTTATAATAAAATCAGAAAACTAGTATTTGATCTATTGTATTATTAGATTATCATCATAATAGGTATTATATTACAGTAATAGCCTGTGATCTTTATTACTCAGCGTCTTTTGAACCATTAGGAATAGCCGAAGGATAATAAGTTTGCGATCTGAAAGACAAATACCGAGATATAATTATGTTTACACGTCAGTAAGTTGCAGAAAATATCACTGTGCGACGTTATACTTTTGATGACAAAACATTTTAGACGTTTTGTGTTTGTTTCTCTTAAAATCTTGTTAAAATGTTGTTGTACTCAAATTACTTTGAACTCCGTAACATAATATAAGTCAAATAATAGCTCAACTTTTGAACGGTTAACTGTGTGATAAGCTTTAAATACTACTCAAAAGTCACCACAGTCGCTTTACTAACTTGTTTCTATAATAAACAACCTAAACTCACGTAAAATACAGTCTAATTCTCCCTCTACGAGTATATTCCTTTACCACACGTAGTTAGGCTATAATAATATAATAACCTTACTATTACTCAAACGGCTTAAAGTTTGTTGACTTTGGAGGACAAAAGATTTGCGCAACTCTTGTTTATGCACCGTTTGAAAGATTGGAACCCCAAACAAAAGCAGCTCTATATAATAGGGCCGGCCCTTGAACCGAAGCTAATAATGGTCGGGCTAAGCGGGTCGTACTCATTTGTTAAGGGGTTACAGCTTTTTATAGGTTAGACGTTTTATAGGAGAATATGAGCTTCAAACCAAATATTTTTTGTTTATTTATATCTTGTTTAATATTTTGTTTTACGTCGTACTATCCAGTATTATTCCGTTATGTAGTTGCAAAACATTGCAATTTAAACTTATATATTACTCGCTACGTTAACCTTATTATTGATAGTTGATAAAAAAAACTTTATCTTGTAGAATGTTTCCCCTCCTTATAATAGGCCTTTCACTGGCTCAACTAGCAAAAGCAGCTGATCCAGCTCAGCCAGGGCCACAACTCATCGATGAAACGACTCGTTGGACAAAGTGTTGGCCCACAAACATGACCATCTACGACTTCAGTGTTCAAAAACTGGACGGCGACTACATTGATCTGAATCAATACAGAGGAAAAGTGTTGATGATCATCAATGTCGCAACTTTTTGTGGTATGAATATTGTTTTATTAGGGTGTTCACTTAATCCTGCGTTCCCTTAAAATTATTTAGCTATTTTTTAAATTATTTAAACTTAATTTAGCATACACTCAACAATACATGGACCTGAATCCGATGTTAGAAGCAAATGGTGACAACTTGACCATCTTGGCCTTCCCTTGTAATCAATTTGCTTTACAAGAACCAGCCGAAAATCACGAAATTTTAAATGGTACGTTCCTAGTAAGCTGCGGTAAACCCATATTATGGGAAACATTAAAGAAGTTTTTCATTATTACGTTACATACTTATTTCTCTTTTATTGCTTTAGGTATCACCCAAGTTCGTCCAGGAAACGGCTTCAAACCCCATCAGAACCTCCACATTTACGGAAAACTAGAAGTTAACGGTAAAGACGAACATCCTTTGTACGAGTTCCTCAAATCACATTGTCCACCAACCACCAACGAGATCGGGAAAGGCATCGACCTTATGTATGACCCCATCAAGGCCAACGACATCACGTGGAACTTTGAAAAGTTCTTGGTCGATAAAGAAGGAAGAGTGAGATTCAGATTCCACCCGACTGCGTGGGTTCACGGTGATGTTCTGAAGCCATACATTACGCAGCTACTCACTGAGCCTAGGCCAGACAACTATATTGTAAATTAAGGGTATTAGAGAATTGCAATTTAATAATAAATTCAATTTCGTATAGCTTTATCTAGTCAGATTAAAGCTCAAACCCCGCAAAAATACAGTACACACACAGAATAGAAAATGGAAGTGTGCGATTAGCATGAACGCAATAAATCTAAATTAAAGTAAAAATAATAATAAACTTTACTAAATAATATCAACAACAATTAAAATAACATAATCATTACTATACCAACTGTCCCTCCGGCACCCAAACACTGCAATGCTTCAGCGGAGTATATTGAGCATTAGCAGGACAATTGAAAGCCTCCCTAAAGGCGGGGTAATTCTGGACCGTACCCATTACACGGTAGACCGACGGAGAATGAGGATCGGTCAAAATCTGTTTGTGTAGCTCTTCTGGAGTCGCGTCTTCCTGGCACCAGACTTGAGCGAAGGATAAGAAGAACAGCTGATCGTGCGTGAGGTACTGTAGCACATCATGGGGCAGCTGAGGTTCTTGACCGTTCAGTTGGATGTGATTCTTGTAAGCACGGTACGCGGCGTGTATACCACCGTTGTCGGCAATGTTCTCGCCCTGAGTGTTGGCTCCATTCAGATGAGATGGAGAATACTTGGCCGGATCCAGAGGTTCGAAGGAGCCGTATTCGTCCACGATACATTGTGCCATTTCGTTGAACCGCTTGTAGGCTTCTGGAGAGAGGCCGGTTTTGCTACGGCGGCCGATTCCGTCCCATTGGATGCCTTCATCGTCTAAAATAGGGTATTATTAGATTTTATTTAGAACGTAAGATTCAGCAGTAGGCCTGAATTTATAACTGTAGTATATCTTCCTAAAAAACCATAATTTTCCTTTACACCATCCCCTCAGTCAAGCGACAGCCGTGATAGATAAAGTAATAACTGTACTTACCAAACGCATGCGATAGTTCATGTCCAGTAACAACACCAAGGCCTCCATAGTTTAGAGAAGTTGGCCATTCAGGGTTGTAAAACGGCGACTGAACGATGCCCTCAGGAATTGTCAACGAATTGTAGAAGGGCTAAAACAATACGTTACCAATAAAAGATACAGTAATTCACCCCTCAAAACTTTTAAAATTCCATTTAAACTATATAAGTAATTTTATTTATAATTTGACCATCTTTCTATCAACCACTCACCTCATACCAAGCATTGACAGTACCAGGCCATTGAATGAAATCATCACGATAGTTCTTGCCTTCTGATGTCGTGTAGAACATCTCGTGGTACTTCAGATGAACATTCAATCTTTTCGTAGTCTCGAAAAAGTCTTTACCCACACTGAAACTACTGTAATATTTGTCCAAGTTTGCGTTGTCAAGCGAGAAACTTGGGTACAGTATGTTCTTCTGCAGATTCGTAACTTTGTCGGTCAAAAACTGTTTAGAAGATGGATCCAGCCACGTCAATTCGTCCAACATTCCCTGGAACTGAAGGCGAATGTTGTCGATCATCTTCTCCACGTCTTTTCGCGCGTTTTCCTTGTCTGTTACTGTCGGATATAAGTAATCAGCAAAGGCACGACCATTGGCGTACATCATCTTCATCTGAGTTTGCATGCCACACTTTTGAGCGATATCTTCTGATGTCGTTTTAGATAGTTCGGTAGAATTAAACGTTATTTTTAATTCAGAAGTCTTCATAGCTTCTAGTGTTGGAATCAACGCTGCTTTGGCCATGATTAACCTCATGTACAAGTAGTTCACTATGGTTTCGTGGCTCGCCAATCTTTTACCATTAATATCGCTCCACAGCTTTTTGTAAGTTTCTGGCCATTTAAAGGCCACTGTGTTACCTGTAGCACCAATTCCAGACAACGACTTTAACTCGGTAATGTAAACAGTAGTTTTAACGCCGGGGAACTTTACGTTAAGATCGGCCATATTATACTTGGTACAAGTATATTGTCTACGTTTAGTTTCATCTGTAGCGTATGCTTCTCTCGCTAATTTGACTTCCAGGTCCGTAAATTCCTCGACAAACTTGTGAAGCCTCTCCTCATCAGCATCAGCGTTCGGATCGTGTTTCTTGTAGACAAACAGCGCCTTCTTCAACGTATTCAACATGCCCTTCTTGTACTTGGCTTCTTGGTCTTTCCATGGTGCCACTTGATAGTAACTCTTGCCCAATAACAAAGTCGGTTCGTCCATATAGAGTAGCTCTGGCTTCTTCCCAGGTTCCGCAGCTCCTTCTTCACCGTCAACTTCTACAGATTCTGTGATGAGAGTCTGGATACCTTCAGTTACTTGAAGGTAAGCAATAGCCTTCTCTAAGGATGCTGTAGCCGGAAGCAGGGCTTTTTTATAAAACATGGTAGGCTTGTTGTTGTTACCGAGAACTTGTTGTAATTGATTAATGGCTTCGTTGATCTGTTTACCTTCTTTTATTCTGTCTTCGTAGTTCTCGTAGGTTTCAACGCACTGATCGTAGTATTGGCGAAGCTTTTTTAACGCAGTGGAAGGCTAAAGACAGTGAGATTAACAGTTAAGGTAAAAAATGAAATAATATTTTTAAAAGACATTACTTGTTCTATACTCACCTCTTTTTCCAGATCAATATTCATGATAGCCTTGGCCTGATTCCGGTAGTTTTGTTCTCTCAAAATCGTAAAACTCTTAGCCTTTTTGTAGTTACCACAAGAATATTTGTAGAAATCGTTACATGGATCGGCAGTCAAGTCCATAGAGTAGTTGAAGTTCTCAGCAGCCAACTTGTAAGCTTTTACTTGGCTTTCTGGGTAACTATTGTCAATCTTCTTCTTTTCTCTAATGTTCAAAGATGTTTGTTGAGATGATATGCCTAAAATTTTGTAAACTTTACCTAAAACTTTGTTAACGTCACCGTATTTTATACATGTTGCACATTTTAAAATTCCTTAATCAAATTTTCAATAAAACAAAACAATCTTACCATTACCTCCCGTAAACACATCACAGGTAGCTTGTCCACTGTATTTACTGTCAGCTGGGCAATTAAAAGCAGATCTGAAAGCTCGATGGTTCTGTAGAACTCCTTGAACTCTAAATTCAGACGGCACAATGTCTTCAAAAGTCAATTTTGTAAACACATCAATACCAGACTCGGGATTCTCACAAAACTGTCGTGCATAACTCAAATAGAAGCTTTGATCAGCTGTAAACTGGCCTAGTAAGTTGTCGTTCAATCTGGCATCTTCTCCATCATGGTCTTTCCACAATTGATAGGCGGTCAAGGTTACGTGAGAAGCTAAATAGGTATGAATAAGTTACAAGCATTAAGCCTATCTCTAAAATACGCAAAATTTCTGAAGAATATTTTTAAACAACAAAAAAAGGTAATAAATCCTTACCAATATTGTCGGCAATGTTTTCATCCACAATTTCATCCAGATCTAGACATTTCTGAGCAAAAGTTGTGTTTCTCAGTGGACAAAACTCTCCGTACTGCTTCTTCAAACAGTCCAGAAGATTTCCAAAAGCGGCATAGTCTCGCGACCAATCGTCGTACTTGCCACGAGCATCCAATTGAATACCAAGTTTGTCTAAAAATTAAAATTTATGTTGTTTTTAACAAATTTTTTATAAATTTAATTTTACTGGGAAAATTGACACTTCGTCACATTTCATGACATTTCGTTTAAAAACAAGAACTAACAAAATTTTGTCCGAAAAAGATAAAATAATAATTGACAATGTAATTTTACCTAGCGAATGAGCCAGTTTATGAGCGATTCTTGTACCAATGGCACCAAAGTTAACCGCTTTTGGATACTTGGGATTAAAGTAGGACTCCAGAACAGCTGCAGGTATAGTCAAACTGTTTGTAAAGTGATCGTATTTGATGGCAACCTAAGACGCATTCACTTTATTAGCCACTTATTGTTCTTATAAAGTTTTACTGCTTTTTTTATCAGAAAAAGGTGTTTTACCACTTACATCAACAGCACTGCCTTCAAACTCCTTCCGGACAGAATCCTGTAGAAGTTTCTCAAACTGTTTTCCTTTGTTGAACTCATTTAAGTAAGCTCTTTTATCCATAAAACCTTCAGAAGCACTGTCATAATCTTTGAAGTACTCTTCGATGGCCCCATCTTGAATTGCAGCAACATCTCCGACAACATTGACTCCGATATTGTTGATCTTGCCAATGACTGTGGCTTTAGCATCGTCGCGAAGCCAAGAAACACGACGAATGTGGGTAACAAAGACATTCAGAATAGTGTTTGTTAAGGCTGAGATCTTGTTCTTAATATTGTCGAAAAGAATCGTGCTAGATTCAAAGTAAGCACGATCACTTAGCCTGCTGAATTTCCGAGATTCAAGAGCACAATCCAATGAGAGTTGTTGACCTTGAGGGGCAGGGGACAAAATATCCCTGAAAATTAGTTTAACCGTTATTATTAGGTGTATTAGTTGTTTCTATTCATGTTTATTTCACCATTTTACTAAAGAAATGTTTATGATAACTTACTTTTGACTCCACAGTAGTCTGAAGTAGAAGTAATCTACCAAGTTTTCACGTGTAATACTGTATGTTTTATCTTCCAGCAGCTTTAAAATATCAATGAGTCCGTCCCAATTGGTGACACTGATCTTGTACTCCTTGCTCAACGTTTCCGTTCCGTTTTCTTTAGCCAAAATCTTTGACCTGACAGCAGAAGGAGCTGACTTCAATAAGTGGTCGAAGAATAAAACCCAGTCGAACTTCTTGTAATCTTCTGGCAGTATGTTCACTGTATTGACAATCTGTCTTTCTTGCAAAATCTCTTTTTGATCTCGCCTCTTCACAAACTTTGACAATACAGCTTCAATGTATACAATGCTTTCGGCAGCCTCGTCTATATCTATGACGTTTTTAAAGTCGATAACTTCAATGTATTGCTTCAAGACATCACAAACCTGCTGGTTAATATACTTCTTCATACCAGCTCTGTACCTTTCTTGGTGCCATTCTTGAGGGAACATTAATATGTCATCGTCGAAGTTGAGTAGATACGATGGGTAAGGTACCATGGTCTCCAGATTGGGTTCTACTGTGATTGAGAACAATGTAGCTGTATCGTACTTGGTGAACAAGGTGGCTACAGCTTTTTCGGCAAAGTTCTTGTCAATATCAGTTCCATTTACAGCAAACAGAGGGTAACCTGACCCAATGTCATTTTTGAAGCTGTCAACGAGATCAATCATGTATTGTTGTCGGTGTTTGTCACTTGACTTCGTATCTTTGCAGGCTTCGTAGTAACTCTTGATGATGTGTTTCTTCGCAAACTCAATATTTTCGTTTTCTAGGGTGTCTACTACATGTTGTGACGATGTTCTTGTAGCCTTCTGTTCTTCCGTTTCAAATTTGTCAGGCACATTGTTACAGACATAGCCATAGAAGTTGTCACATGGACTTTGCTCAATATCCAAAGTAGAATGGAACAGTTGGATCACTTCTTGGCTATCGTCATTGTCTTCGGACTTTTGTGGTAATGGTATGTTTAGTGGTGGTAGAGTTGTTGTCGTTGATGGCAGAGCTAGTGCTGAAATGTTTTTGTTATATTCCGGTATACGAATGTGTTATTCTTAAAAAATATGTTTTTAAACTTAAAAGTAACTATTTGGTATCTATATAACTTACATGGCTCAATATCGTTTACCCACACGTTGCAATGATCAGACGGAGCGTAGACACTTGCTTGACATTTGAAGGCCTCTTTGAATGCTGGGAAATTCTGTAGAGCTCCCATTACCTTGTACTTGTCCTCATTGAATTGCTTATCTTGTTTTCTACAATAAACCTTTGCATAAGACAAGAAGAACAGCTGATCTTCAGTATATTGTCCCATCAGTTCATTAGGTAACGCATCGTCAAAGCCAGTAACTCCAATCGAGTTTCGGTAAGCTCGGAAAGCAGCTTGTAGACCTCCGATGTTAGCCAGAATGTCATGTTGTTTAGCCTTTCCATCAACACATTGTTTGGTGCCATTGATTGATTCACAGAAGTTGGAGTACTGATGAGCCACACATTTGGCCATCTTTTTGTACTCTTTGAGATATGTTTTGTCTAGCCATGAGTTAGGGCTGCCTATGTAGTCGTATTGAGAACCCACATCGTCTGAAATGATTTTTGTCAAAGACGATTAGACAGATCTTTTGAAATTATCGCGCCAAAAAGCAAACTAAAAAAATATACAAACCAAAACACGAAAGTAACCTACTGAACCCATAAAGAACGTTTTCTCCTATCAAACTTCCAAAAGCGCCATATTTGACAGCCTCAGGCCAATTTTCATCAAACAGTGGGCTTTGTAACACTCCTAATGGTACTGAAAGTCCATTTGTTGCTTCGTCGTATGATAAAACTGGATTAAAGATGTTAATACCAAAGCCTTCACGACGTGCCTCTGATGAAGTCAATTTTTCTATCAGCTTTTGCTGTTTGTAATTGTTGACTCTGAAGATTGTCTCGTCATAAGACAATATATCAAAAAAGTACAAAGTGTCGTAGTACTTTAGAAGGGCCTTTTTGCTATCAGTAGTGTTGTCATAGCCAAGATTTTTGGCCAGATAAGAGAGCTTGGCATAGGCTTGCTGAAATAACTTTGTAGATAAATAAAAACCGAGAGTCGGTGAACTCTTCGACCTTTATCTAAAAATACTTATAAGCCACTCACATTCTTAGACTCTGATGATAGCCATGGCAAAGATTCCAGCATGCTCTTGTAGCCCAGTAAAACAGAATCCACAACCTTGGCCACATTCCTCTTCAGCTCCAGTTGTTGTTTCTTCTTTGGCAAAGAAGTTTTGACGAACTGGTAGTTGGCCACTTGGTCGAACAAGTTTATGGCTTCATGAACACAGTTCCTAGCGATCTCAACATCGTCGCCTATTTTAGTTTCTGATTCTGTTTTTTCAAGAAGTGAAGTCAACTTTTCGTTTATTATTTTATTGTTATCCCAGTTGACTTCACGTGGTAGATACTTTCCGTTGTCGGTGTATATGGCCACAAGGTGAAGATAATTCGAAAGTTCGTCATCCCAATCTAAAATTTTAGTTTTCAGTTAGTCTTGAAACTAAGTTTATGTTGAGAATTTGTTTAACTTTTGCTCTTAAACATAAAAGTAATTTTGGGATTATCTTATTTTAAAGAACCATTATTTTATGACTCAACCCTTACTGTAACATCACTCACCTAATGTCAGTTGGTCAAACTTTGCCAGAAGTTTCTTCAGAAACTCCAAATCATCTACATATACCTCTTGGTGCTTGCTTTGGAACTTTGGTACAATTTGTTTATACTCGTTCAGTGCTCCTTCAAACATACCAACTATGTCGATACTGTAGCTCCATTTCTGTAGCTCTCCAATAGTAACTCTTTCGTACTTTTCTGTCACATTCCTGAGCTCTTTCTTCTCCTTAATCACATCAAACAACCCTTTCTCTAGACCATAGTAACCTTGTGCTGCTGCTTTAACCCTTGCGAAATCTCTGATATTGACTTTACGTTGACTTGAGATGTACTTCAGGATATGTGTGGTAAGACTTTCGATCACAGCAGTGTCAGGATAGTTGTTTCTTAACATTCTTTCGGTGATCAGACCTCCTGGCTTCAAGTGGAAGGTGTAGCCTTGGTCAGGATGTTTGAGGTTCACAATAGGAGACAATGTCACTATACTATTTGTACCAAAAGTACCATACAAATAGCCCAAAGCCTTTCCGGTTTCTAGCGGTGACGGTGTTGTATAGTTAAAAACACCATCTAATAAGCCAAAATGCATCTTACTGTAGCTGAACAGCTTTTCAGTTATTTCTTTCGCCGGTTTCGTATCTTGCATAGGATTCTCGTGGTAATTAACACATGTCCTGACAAACTCTTTTTGCATCTGGACTGGCTGAATGTCATCTGGAGCCATTGGCTTCATGATTTCAGAGTAGAGTCGAGCAAGGTTGTTCTGTTCCACCCTTTCAAATACGGTTTCTTCACTCAATCGACCACACGTGTACTCGTAGAAGTTATTGCAGGGGTCTTGGCGGACGTCGAGTGAGGTTGAGAGGTGATGGACAACTTCTTCGTAGTTCTTGTTGTTTGATACCGGAGAATTCTTGTTGATATTGAGGGATGGAGCCAGTTTGGGCAGATCTGGTACACCTACTATTGGGTCGGCGGGGGATTCCCATAACTGAAAAATTATAATTTAGTCATTTTTAAATATTAATCTAACATTTAAAATCGTCTGACTTAACTTACATCAACGACGGTAGCATTCTTCTCTTGTTTGCAATTGTAGCTCTTCTGGAAGTCTCTACTGTTATCTACCAACTTGTTCAGCAGCTGTTTGTTCCCATAGACATACGCGCGTTGTTGTACATCCTTGCAGAACCCTTGTGAATATCCATAGTAAAACAATTGTTCCGGTGTAAGTAATCGCATGAATTCATCAGGTAGACTTCCATCGTTACCGTACACACTGTGCCATTCGTCCAAAGCCTTCTTGGCCACTAAAATGGCAGTGTTTTCGACCACAAACAAGTCTTTCATCACTCTGACCAACACTTCTTTGTTCTCAAAGTAATCCGAAAGGTGTTCATACTTGTCAACCAATTTCTTGAGAGTATCTTGCCCTAGCCAATACTCCAGTTCTCCTTTTTCGTTGTACTGTAATCCCTCCGTGCTTACAAGCTGTCCTAATGCTCTGCCAATCTCGACTCCCAAAGTACTGAAAGTAAATTCTTGTGGATTGTCTTTACTGTAGTATGGAGATTGTAGGTATTCTAGTGGAATATTGATGGAGTTCCTTTCGTAATCTACAGTAACCTTCAAATTATGATTTTCAGCAATCTCACTTCGTCTCACTTGAGTTAGAGACAGTTTGTTTAGGCTTTGAACTCGTTTGAAAAGGTTGGAACTCAAAAACCAGTAGTCTAAGGTGTTCGGGAACGGAAGAGGAGCACTTGTATTAGATAACAATGACAGTAAGATATTCTGTTGAAGAGAATCCAAAGCCTTGGGATGATTTCTTAAAAAATTAAAATCACAAATAAATATTAAATAAAAAAAGCAAAATTCAAAAAAGCAAAAACATACGACATCGTGTTAGGCTCTAGAAATTCCTTGTAATACTCCTTCAGCTTGTCATTGTCTAGCCACTCATCGTTCACTCCAATATTTCTCGCGATTCCTCTTAACTTCCGCACGAATTTGTCACGATCTTCTACTGGCATCCACGATAATCCGTTAATCAACCCTTCGAAGCTCTGAACCACCGTTTGTACAACTGTTCCAACCTCGCTTCTAACCTTCTTAAATTCGTCTACATTCTCGTAAACATTGTTTACAGCAATATTAGCAAAAAGCGGTGGCAATGTGTCCTTGACTTCATGATAACATGTCTTCTCCACATTCTTGTCTATGTCATCGTATAATCGTTCTTTATACACCGGAACAATGTCAGATGACACGTCGAAAAGTTCTGGAATCAGATGTTGGTATCTCAAGAACAACCTGATGTAGAGATGGTTAACAAAGTTTACCGTGTTTTCTTGGCTACTGTAGATTCTCTTGTAGAAGCTTGTCAACGCTTCAAATACCTTTTCATTTTCTACCACAATCTTTGTGTCTTCGGTAATAAAACTACTGTTATGTAACGATTTATAAATTCCGTTGAGGTCTTTTAATAAGAATTCAATTCGCAGAAGTTTACCGTACTCTGTATCGTACAGTTCCTGTAGCTTGTATTCCTTTTGACCTTCAACTCTAGAGTTGTTTCTGTTGAATACAACACCCAGCGGATGCTCAAAGTACAATGCTTGTTCCACCGCTGCCACCACCTCGTCGTAGTCACGTTGTTGTAGGTCAGGTAGTACAGCAGCTAGTTTTCGTACAACAGCTAGAGCGAGGTTACTAGCAAGACTTAGCGACGTATCTCCAGTCAAGTAGACGCTCTTATCGTACAAGAAGTCTGGAGCACCCAACTGCAGTTTGTAGCCCGGCTCTAGGTTTCTGTTCCCAACACTTGGGCGAACATCTACTGAGTACAGCACGTTAACACCGTAGCCAGATGAGAGAATACTTAAAGCTCGGCCCAGATCTGTAGGATTTATGGTGGCGTTTGCTGGTAAAAATGGTATGCCCAAGACCATTTCAAAATACTTAAACATGCCCACAAAAGCCGTGCCGTTAGTGGTTTTTGTAGAACCACAAGTCTTGAACATTGACTGAGCTAGAGATTGCGGAAACTGAAACAATATCAATAAAATAAGATATAAAGCCTATAGATTCATTCAAAAATCTTAAAAATAGAAAATCGAGTGCAAGACAAGTATGTTAACGAGTAAAGAAGCTCTTACTTCTAACTCCTCTCCGTTAATCTTATCAACAACAGCCTTCTGAAGCTTGTTCTTGGCCTCTTCTAATGGACTAAAGTCACTTTTACCACCACATGAGTAGGAATGGAAGTCTTTGCAGGTATCGCCGTCCAGGTACAAGTTCTCCGTCCATCCTGACGCAATATACTTGTACTGTTTTGTATTGTTGACAACCGGCTTTTCAATATTCACAGTTGGAGCAAAATTAGGTACAATGGGAATTCCCCTGCCTGAAAATTGTTATTGTTTTAAAAATTTCAAACTAAGTTTCAAGCTCATTATAAATAAAGTCTTTTTTTTATATTTCTACGCACTGTTAACAAAAAACCCTCACCAGCTTCGACTTTAGAAGCCCACACGTTGCAATGTTGTCTTGGAGCATATGTCGATCCAATAGGACAGTTGAAAGCCGTTCTAAAAGCTGGGAAGTTCTGCAATGGACCAAGAACACGATACTTCGATGGTGAATGTAAGTCGGTTAACAAGAACTTTCTCATTACATCATCTGGAACCTCTTCTTCACAACTAACTCGAGCATTAGCAATGAAGAACATCTGTTCGGGGGTGAAACCTTGTAGTAGGCCTGGAAGGCGCGGATCTTGGCCTAATAACTCCATATGAGCTTGGAAAGCGTTGTAAGCTGCCCTGATACCTAGAAGATAAGTAATATTAACTGGTTTTACATATACTACATTTTTTAATTTAAAACCCTATAACAATTTTAATTACACTAATTTATTGATACCTTTAAAAACATAATAAGCATTACCTCCATTGTCTGCAATGTCGTCTCCTTGAGTCATTTGTCCATTAATATTCAGATCATCCAACGGCTTAAAATTACTGTACTGGTCGATAACACATTGCGCCATCCTTTTGAAACCCTCCCGGGTACGATCATCCATCCAAGTCCTCAATCTACCATATCCATCCCATTGAACACCCTGATCGTCAAAACCATGTGTAAGTTCATGTCCAGCGACTACTCCAACAGCTCCATAATTTATAGCAGCTGGGTAGTTCGGGTCGTAAAACGGCCGCTGGAAGATACCAAATGGCATAGTGATAGAGTTGCGACCTCCTTGATACCACGCATTGACCATCACAGCTGATCGACCGAAATACGACCGGTCGGTTGAGTTCATAAGCAGCTGTTCCCATTCCTTCTCGCGACGCCATCTAAAGAAAGTATCTTCGAAGTCTTTGTAGTCCATATCATCTGAAAGTAGATAATATAGTGGGAATATATAAGACATACAAACGTCACTTTAAAGACCACAAACATTATTTTAAAAATTTTTAATATTCTTTATCTCTTTCATTAAAAACTCACCCATTAGGTACAGGTTTTTGTGGAATTCGTTCAACTTTTCGTCGTCATCAACCCACTCTGGGTAAGCAATATTCCGTGTTAAATACCTAATCTTCTCATAAGCACTTTCTTTCGATTCCTGTGACATCCAGTTGAGCTCGTCTATTTGAGCCTAAAAATATTACACATATCGGGTACTTAGAACTATTTAACTATCACATCTGATAAAAATTGATTTACAAATTATTCACTTTGTTAAATAAAAAACACAAAATTTTTTAAAGTTTAATATTGTGTTACCTGAAATCCAGTCAAGACATTAGAAACCAGCTGCGAGGCCTGCTTCTTCATAATCTCCTTCTCCTTCTGATTCAAGAAGACTCCGTCGACAAACAATCGACTGGTCGCTTCTGGCATCAACACCACAATCTTTTCCAAACATTTTTCTTCAATATTATCCTCTCCAAAGTCTTTTCGTTGGAATTGTGGCAATTTATGTTTCAAATCGTCTTCCAATCCCCACTTATGACCATATTTCTTTGATAGTAAAGTGTCGATCACTGTTTTCTCTGTTTGCTCCGGGAAGTATTCTTCAAATTGCAATAGGATGCGGTAGAAGAGATAGTTGTAGATAAACTTGTCATCTTTATCCCACCAGTAGTCTGCCAATTTAAACAAACCGTCTGGTTCCATATTAATAACTTCATACTTAAGATTAGAAACCAAACTGTGGATTTCTCCTGAGGTCTCAATTCGGCTAACTTCTGTCAAGAAGTCTGTGTATTGGATGAAGTAACTTACAAGGCTTTCTGAGGTGACGACGTTAAAACTTCTAAAAATGTACAGATGAGAAAAAAAAATATTTAAAAAAAACGGTAATAAAGTTTTAAAAAACAATTTGTCGAATTCGTACTTCTGAGGAGTTATATATTCTTTAATTTTATTTTCTTATGTGTAATGTCTGACTGTCGAGTCAAGTGTTCCTTTCTATAATATTTCTTTGTTTGAATTGCCGACAAAAGATTGCTCTGTCACAAACATATTGCTACATTTAGGGGTGTGAAACGGGCCAGCCCGATCGTAGGGCCGGGCCTACATGGCTTCTCACCTCTAGCTACAGGCATGGCCAAACCATGTTGACTATAATTTTGTTCAAATATTAAGAAATGATTTAAAATATTGTACCTTCCATAATCTCTTCTAGTAACCTTGTCTGTATTGACATCTACAGCCATTTCCTTCTCTAACTTGATCACTTCTTCAATATCCTCTTCCAGATCATGTACATTAACATCAACACCAACGAGTTTGGCAGCTTGTAGAACCACATTCTTGATCTTTTTTGCATAAATTGGCTTAATATCATCGAAGATTTTTCTGTAAAACAGTTCGGGATAGTAGGTAACCGGTTGGTCAATAAACAGCCGATAGGCAGGGGTGTGGTGTTTCTTTTCTGGTGTGGGATGAGGCCAATTAGTGTCGACGTGATAATCGACAAATGTTTTTACATGAAAATGAGCCGAGATTCGAGCTACTAATTCTCCCAATTCAGTTGGGCCAATACTAGTTACTTTGTCTCCAAAGATCGGAATCTTGAGTCCAATGGTCTTGGCGAATTCGACCACTTCTTTGATCGCTTCTCCGTTCTTATGGATCTTCTCTTTGTTCTTGTATGAATCCACGCAGATCTTGAGGGCCTGTTTCGTCTTTTCGGCGTAGGGACGATTCTGAAAACATTCATATCATACGAGCCATCTAGAGCAACAGTTTAATATTCTGTTGTAACTCAAACTTACTCCACTTCTGTCCAAACCCTTGAGTATCATTTTGGCGTTGTGTTCATCAGCCATATCAAAGCTACTTCTAGGCTTGTTACCACAAACATACTCGTAGAAGTTGTTGCATGGGTCGTACGAAAAGTTCATGGAAGCTGTCAGATCATCCGAAAAACTTTTGTAGGCTTTGAAAAGATCTGGTTGAGATACAGAATCTACTACTTTTGGCTTAGGAATATTCATATTAGTGTGTGGACGGGGTGTGGTTGCTAAAAGGAATTGGGCAGTATAATATATAATTTTACAGCATAGTAACATTCTTTACAATTAATAAACTTAATCATTATAAACTTACGAACCACAATTATTTTAAAAAGTTTGTTATATGGCGTTTTACTATAATACCATTAGAGACTATTAATTTTACAAAAAACATACTTTGATCATTACTTGGATTAGTTGTACCTGGCGTTGTACGGGCATGATCTTTATTGTTATTATTGACATTGACCAATGTGATTATACTGATTGCCAATAAAGCCAACGAAACAGCCAAGATCAAAAAATGAGCTATTGTTTTTGCTTTTTCTGTGTTCGAAGCCATGGCTTCAGCCAAAAATAACTGTCTTGATCAAATACAGTAACCCGATTCAGTATCGTAGAATTGTGAATTCTAAAATTTAAATATTTTTATTTTTTAAGAAAAGGTAACTGTAAAGTAGCGAGTGAAGAGTACGTTCAAACAAGTTTTTTTGTTCAAAAACTACATAGAAACCTTTTAAAAACATTTTTTTTCCTATTTCAAAACTATTCTACGAATTTTCTGACCAAAAAAGTTTAAGAAATTATGATTTGAAACACTGGTTCAAAGCCATTACATAGGTTAAATTGATATATGCTTGTCTCCGAATTACTTTAATTTATGAACGAAACTTGTGATAACATAAGTGCTTTATCAGTTCTGGAAGTTAATTAATTTTTCGTTTCAAATTTTCATAAAACATCAGCTTAGTTTGTAAATGATGAACACGAAGAACGATAGATAATATAGAAACCGGAAAGTTGGAAAACATGCAGATTTCATCATAATGTGCAATTTAATAAAGGTAAGATGACTTTTGTTAGGGTTACTGTATATAGTGTACGGTAATGGAAAGAAGGATGAGAAATACAGCTTCGATGAGGAAATAACTAGTCTAATATCAAACACAAAAAGTAAAAATTAACATTACTTCACCAACTTTTTGGCCAGTGTATCTTACGTATCACTCTACACAATGTAACTACGTTGATCGTATTAGTCAAACTGAAATGATAATTAATCGCATTTGTGCACAATTGTGTTATATAAATAATAATGACTATCCCCTTTGATCAGCGGCAAATGAGTGAGGCACTGTTTGATAAGGAGCTTAGTACTATAATACGTATCTGTGATATTTAAAAAATTGTATCTTTAGAAATGTAACTTTTTTTAAATAATTTTTAATTTTAAAGTATATACACAGATCACAGTATAATACTATACACCGTAGTACAACAAGAAATGTCTTACGTAAAGCCCGAAGTTGAGTATGACTACATGTCAAACTAGATTTTAAACTGCATTATACTACCAACAACTAGTTCAAGTCAATACCACTTTGTGCTCTCAGTTTATTTTACCATTCCACGAATGGCTCCTAATTTATTTGACAAAATGCAATATTTGCGGTAAATCAACAGTATATTCACTTCTTCTTAGCTTCCATATTGAATTGCTCTTCCGTTTTAACCTCATGTAAAGTGTCACCATCTGGATCTGCCATGTCTACGAATGCCACTTCTGTCTTTTTCCCTGACTTTTTCTAAAATTCCAAAAATTAAAACTGAAAATATGATTATTATACTCTGACAACTCCATCCGACAGCCTTTGACTAGCCTTTTTTCTCAAATTTTATCATCTTTAAAACTTTGGGTTTGTACTATGTCTACTACAAGCAATCTATATTAACCTTTTGAGCTGATCTTGAGATTTTTAAAGGAAATAATCTCCACAATTAACAAAAATCTGGCAAAACCTACCCCTTGAAGACAGCCAACAGCAGACACGAATAATAATGCCGGTATCAGAGTAACACACCCAAATATGACCGCTAGGTTATGAACCACCGTTTCCATTGTAAGAAATTATAAAATGACCCTAAATTTAAAAATAATATTTTTTAAAATAATAAAACGCTTGAGAAAGGCGGCAAAAACTTATTTTCAATTACTCTCATTGTCAAAGCCAGTCGGTTTCTTCACAGTAACCATGCCTGGGTCCAAAGAATCTCCCAAACACGTAAGTTTAGTTGGCAAAGTACCACCCAGGAAGTTCGCAAGGTTTTAAAGATAATAATGTGTAGAGTCGTAAGTTTACATTTCTAAATTTAAAAGTTGATCAACAACTGTGCCTATTACAAGCAATCTATAACAAATCTTGAGCTGATATTAGGAGGTTAAGCCCGAGAGCTTTGTCTCTAATTGTTGTCTTTGAACTTCAATGTCCTTTTCAGCGTCGACATAAAAAGAAGGCTAGTCCTAATAAGTCTAAACAACCGAAGAAAGTGAAGAAGGCATCAGCCAGTCCTAAGAAGAAAAAGGTAAGTCTATGTTTTTGGTCATATTATGTTTTCTTGGCTGTTTTCGACTTTTTATTTTAATTTTTTTAATTGTAAATTTTTTTTTAATTTTTGGATTGGCAGTCTGCACCCTTCTCACGCAGGTCGCGATAAAAATATTTTTTTTCGGCAAAAATTTTGTTCCAACCTCAGGCTACCTGCGTGCAACGTCGTTTTAGTTTTTTAGTTGGGCAGGTACCCTGCAGCTTCAAAAAAATGTTTATTTGTTGTAGCTTGTTAAAGTTATGTTTTATTATTCCCTGTTTTTTGTTATTTTAATTTTTTATTTCAGGTAAAAAAGCATAAAGAGAATAAAGGTAAGTTTGGAAATTTTATTGTGAACTGTATTTTCTATAATTAGTTAGCTTCATGACAATATCCGTCAAAGAAGACATTTTTTGATATTTTAATTTGTTTTCAGGTTTGAAAGATGAAGTTAAACAAAAACATAAAAAAAGTTGTTCTTCGTCGTCGAGTTCAGAAGAAGAAGCTACTAAGAGGATCAAAAAGAAGCCGAAGACTTTGCCAAGTCCTGTCAACAAACCTAAAAGCCATGATAAGCCAAAGGCTAAAACGGTAAATTTATTTTATAACTAAATTTAAATCGATTAACATTTTTTTAGCACCCTCGAGTTCCGGACTACATTCTTCCAGTCCTGGTCAACAAAAACTTCTCCAAGAACAACAGAGCAAGGAACAGTGAGGACGCGGCCAAAAAACAAAAGTTGCGTTCGCCGATTGTGAAGCGAGGTGGGTCGGAAGTTTCTGTAGATAGTCCAGACAGAAAGACACCGATCTCTCCGGCTACGCCAAATCCCACTACACCAAGTCCAGGAAATGTTTCTAACGATAAACAATCTGGTGACGAGAAGGTGGACAAGGCCTCGGATGTGGAGAAGTGCTTGAAAAATGTAAATCCTCGTGCGCCGGATTCAAGTAAAGGATCTTCTAAGACTCGGACTCCATGTTCAGGATGTGGTTCGTCTGACGTTGACAAACAGTCAGATTCAGACGACCAGAAGAAGAAACAAGATTGTCATAATAAGGAAGAGAAGAAGCCGGAAAAGGATAGGATATATTGTAGGGATGAAGAGTCTTCTTTGACAGAGGTGCAAGACCCGCAGCCGGCTGTTAACGTGCCAATAGCAAAGGTGAATGAAGAAAAAGATAAGGAAAGTTCCAAGAAGAAGATTCATATTCCTGATGAAAAGAGACCACGCAGAATATACTGTAGGGATGAAGAATCGTCTGTGGCCGAAGCACAGAATGTGCAAGAAAAGAAAGCATCTCCTGTTAAAACAGCAAAGAAAGTGAACGAAGAGAAGGAAAAGAATACCGCGAAAGAAAAGAAGACAGACAATGGTACTCTGAAGGAGAAGAAGAAAGCCAACGATACTTTGAAGGAGAAGAAGAAACTGAATGACGTAAAGGAAAAGAAGGATAATGACACGGCGAAGGAGAAGAAACCAGTCGTAAAGAAGATTACAGATGACAAAAAGGAGGATGTAGCAGATGAAGGTCACAAAAAGGTGGCAGAACAGAAGAAGATTCCTAGGGATAGAAAGTACTGTAGGGATGAGGAGTCTTCTCTGGCTGAAGTCCAAGAACAACAATCAGCTCCTAGTGTGAAAAAGAAAGGCGCAGAAGAGAAGGACAAGAACACGTCAAAGGAAAAGAAGAAAGCTAATGATACTGTGAAGGAGAAGAAAGCACCAGATTCCAAGAAGGAAAAGAAGGTACCAGATGACAAGAAGAAGTTACCAGATGAGAAGAAGGAGTCAGATGATAAGAAGGGTAAGGTAATAGATGAAAAGACGGATTTAAACAAAAAGACGCCAGAAGGGAAAGTCACGAGAGAAAGGAAGTACCGTAAAGAAAACGAGGAAACTTCTCTGAGCGATGATGCCGAAGCGAAGCCTCAGGATGCTACTTCGAAGAAGAAAGTGCCAGAATTGAAAACGTATGTTATGAAAATATTACTTTTTAAATATAATTTTGCGAAACTTGAAGGTTTTTATAAAAAATTTTTCAGCACGGTTTTTCCTCGTCATGCTCCTTCAGAACCACAAATTCTGGATCCAGCGGATGCTACACCAACGGTATGTTTTATGGTTTGATATTGTGTTACAATCAGATGTACAATAATTGGAAAGCTTGACACAGTAATGAACGTTTCTTTTTACTTATACGTAAAACGAACTTATAGCCCTTGTCATTTTTTTTTATTTTCAGATGGACGACGTTAAATCTACTGACAAAGATGACGATACAACCAATTAGTCGCCTACAGTAACATGGATTCAGTTCATCTGTTCATATATGTCTTGTCACAATAAATGCATTGTTCTGTACTTGTTTCATAGTTTTATAATGTCGAATTACATTTTAAAACTCAAGATTTATGTAAAGTTACTGCCTTTTAACGTACTACAATATAATTGGCAGATACTAAACCATTTGTACTACAATTTCCTATTCGGAAGCAGTCAACTATTGTTAGTCAAAACCTTTTCGTTGGTTGTAGACTTTTACCCTTTACCGTTTTGCTTCATATATAACTGTTTCGTATATAACCGTAGTGCTTATGAAGAATACTTTACAATATGGTTACTGTAAATGCTTACCAAGTGAAAGTGGTTGCGCACATTATTGAGCTTCTATTGAATATAATGGCATTTCGATTGAGTATTCGATTATTGCGCGCATTAAAAGCTACGAACTTGTTTTTGACCAATCAAAAGTTCTATATATAATATTATATTGTCATCGGTTAGTACGATTATTACAAAGTAAGCTCAACAGTCGTAATAGTAAGAATTTTGGTAAATATAATAATTTTTGTAATAAAATTATTTTCTGTAAAAATTTGTTGGCTTATAGTTTTAACTTATACATTGACCATGTTGTTCTAAAACTGTTATTTAGGTTGTTTCTTCGCTTACATGAACACTGCAATCTATATTCGCTATCATGGAAGAATGTTGTTCAATTTTTTCATAATTTGTCAGACAGTGTTCATTTGAATATGGTGCTGCAGCTACTGGCGTTTGTAGATTGTTTTTACTCTGCTTTGAAGACAACTGACCTTTCAGAAATGACGACCTTTTGTAGTTGCGTGTTTGGGGTATGGCAAAAACTTTTTTTTAAAAATAATTTGCATTTTTTATTTTTTTAAGTTATTGTAGGCTGAAAAACGTATATTTTGTACTTTTTCTGTCTAGTACAACGTTCTGTCTTACAGTGGTTAATATCCCTAACGTGGCAACTAATTATCGACTTTGGCTTTTTTCCTGAAGCCGTTTCAATGACCGTGCAAGCCGTTTTGAATTTGATATGTTGGCTTACTGTAATAGCGTTGATCTTCATTGGTCGATATAAATAAAAGTTTCAAACGCTTGGTAACGTGAGGGAAAAGTACAGGGTAAGGTGCTTATATTGTCTTAGCTATTTTAATAATTTTAAAATACCAGTTGAAGGCCATGTTTTTTAAATACTTTTTTTAAATTATCTATAGTTATTATAAATATAAAGATGTTGAAATGTACTTCTGACCAATTGTTCTTGAACTATAAAAAAGTATTTTTTTGCCTTATAAAATGAAACAAAATTGTCATTTGAGTACATTTTAAAATGAGCTACAATTCTTTACTTAGAAACTAATTTGTATATGTCATTAAGTTATCTTTTACAAATTACAAAACGACACGATATCGTAAAGTTTATTGTAAAGTTACAATGTTTTATATCACATTGTAAAGCGTAATTTTAGTATAATACAACTTTAGGCTTCTATTCTACTTCGAACTCTTGGCGTTGTCAGAGCGTTGGCTAGCTTCAGTGCACTACGCAACTTCGTACTTGCTGGTACTATAATGTTGATCAAGTAGTGAGTATATGTTAAAGAAATTGCGAACAATTAAAAGTACAGAGTTTAATATGGTAGTTCAAACAAATTGGTAAAAAACTATTATAAAATTCTTTCAATTTCCATAAATGGGGTTAGAATGCAAATTAATACAGTATAATAACCTTGTTAAAGTATTTTTTATACTTTCATACCTAAATATGTAGCGACATTTCAATTTACAGTGGAGTAATACCAGGCAACGACATCACAGGCTACAAATACGCATATACGATGACAACGTACGCTTTGTTCTGTCCGATTATCTTGCCACGACATCACGAAGAGCTTCACAGGATGTATAGTAAAAACAGTAAAATGTTATCGTCAACACAAAAGGTCATGTTTGTACCTAAAAATGTCGTAGGGGAAGCACTCACGATACCAAACGAAAGAAAACACCATTTTCAACAAATGGACAACAGATGGGACACGAACGGCAGAGTAATATAGTTACATAACACGTTACTTTGTTATTAAGTGTTACTGTAATTGTCGTATTTTATCGCTTTAATAAAATATCGTTTTTAATATTTAAATTTTTTTGTAACTTTAGGTATGAACCACTAAAGAGATCGAATTAGCGGTTTTTGTGCAGCTCAAACATTATGACATATGTACTTATGTCTAGGTAACTTCAGAATTAGCAAATTCTATGAAAACAATGTCTAATACAATGTGATGATACGGTTGTTATAAGAGTTCAAGATGTTTAATTAAAAGTGTCGTACTGTAATCTTTACTTACGTGATATCTATAAACTCGTTTTACTCTATCTGATATATAATAAAAATTACATCATTAAAAACAAAATTAATTCAAATGTTTTGATGCCGTATGTTACGCATTAATGTAGTGTTACACGTTTAAAAAACTTAGTGGTAAAAACACTATTATGTAAAGGTATTTTCGAAAATAATATTACAGCATACAGTAGTGTAAAATTTGAAACCCACATTACAACATATACTATTTAAATTAGATTGAAGAATTTTTGATATTTTTAGCTATTTATAGATATTATGATAACATGCATATGGCAAAAATTTTAGTTTGTAGTTTTGCGAAATTTTAACATATGCTCGAAAATGCTGCAAAATTGAAAAAAAAATTGTTTTGAAGATATTGTATACGACTTACATAAAAATGGAAGCTTCTTTTCAATTTTATAAGGAAAAATCTTGTCATAAACCTTCGTTTATTATTATAGAAGAACAAATATGGACAATTTTAAAATATCATACAGTAAATAGCGAAAAAGAAGAGTAGAGAGTTTTTAAACAGAAAAGAAATTGTTCTAGTAGGAGGTACATAAATAAAGTTTTTTTTTATTTTTCTATTATTCCCTTCTTCATATACCTAAAAGATGCAAATTTGCTAAAGGCTGTACATATTACCTATAGCTCAAAGGTAAAAAAAAATTAGATCTTGCGCTTTTACAGTTATACCGTATAAAATATTGCGGTTAAAATAACAGTAATATTCGTGTTAACATCATCTTGCATGTTATTCTACAACTTTCCTGAAAACTATTATATGTATAATTCAAATTTGTATTTTATGTCTTTCTTCCGCATCAAAAGTACTGTACAAGTACGTTTGTGGCTATTGAGAACTTTTGATGACAAGTACTGTTAGGGTACATTGGGTTATATCTTGAACATGTCTTTCTTAAGATAACTTTATTAATATAGGTTTATGTAAAACGTATATTTTTTGAATTTAAACTATATTTTAAATAGTTTTAATATCTATTCTGTCTCTTTATTGTTACTTTATTCATAGTTTATTTGCTTTGTCATACTTCTCAAGAACAGTTTTGTCACTTACTTTATGAGTTTTCAAAGGCAGACTGATACGTGTTAAGGAAAATGTAACCATGCCGATTACATTAAATAGTATTTAGTATTATGTCATGATGATTTTTAAATTTCAGGTTTGATGGATGACAATGAGTATGTTTACTTTAAGTTGGTACTACTGGTATTGGAACAGCTTTTAAACGCACTTGCTTTCTGGTTGAGTATCAAGTTTATCATAGCCTTAAACCACACAACCTTGTTTTTAAGTAATCAGAAGTACTACATAATAAACGTGGTACTGTCGTCTATGCTTACATTAGTAACACAGTAAGTTTTAAATAAAAAAATATTTTTAAAAATATTTTTTGATACAGTAACTTTAAGCTGCTTTTGACTTTAAGGCGTTACTAAAACTAAATATATATTTATATCTTTAGGCTTTTCCTTCGCATAGATGAAAATGTAACTCCACTTCCAAAGCCTTTAAAAGTACTAATTGATTACATGCACAACCTGGGTGACAGTGTTATTCTGAGTATGGTACTACAAATAATGTCCTTTATCGACTGTTTTTACAGTACCGTAAACCCTGTTCACATTAAAACAAATACTACTGGAATCATATGTGTTTCTATAGTAAGTTGTCATATCTCAAGTTTTAAAACTTGTCATAAACTTAAATTTTCTACAAATGTCGAAAGCAAAACTTTGAATGTAAATAGAGGCTAATATAGAGTTTCAAGTTGTATGGTGTTCGTTAATGTTTATATTATATATATTTCAGTGGATATGTTGTTTGATCCATCAAAAGCTGAGCGAGTATGGCATACCTCCAGGCTATATCTCTATGACCCTACAAGCCGTTTTAAATGTCATTTGCTGGTTGTTTGTTATCGGCCTTATTTTGATTGGAAGGTACAAGTACAAGCATCAAACAGTTGGTGATATGAAGGAAAAATACAGAGTAAGTAACATAATTCCATATGGCGATAAATACCTTCATATACATACTTGTTTCAATGGAACGTCACACCTTCAGTAGTTTACTAAACTCGTTAATTTAGACATCACTATTACTACGAACCTTAAACGTCCTCAAAACGTTGGCCATACTGAGTGCTATCAGAAACTTTATCCTCTCTACTCTTATCATGCTTCTGTTGGCGTAAGTACAAAATTAATGAAAATGAACATGCTCTTAACTTTATTAACTATCCGATGCTCTCCAAATTGCCAAAACTGTTATTTAAACTCTCTAAACATTTATTTACAGCTCTGTAATCCCAGGAAACGATGCCGTAGGCTTTGTCTACAACTACACCATGACATTCTACACAATCTTAAGTCCCATTTTCATGATTCAAAGACACGATGAATTGAAAAAAGTATTCTTAAACCATCCAAAAGTAATCAAGGTTACTACAATGTCAACGAACGACACCCACTATGTGCCAAAAAATGTTGTGGGAGAGGTTTTGAGGGTTTCGAATGAAAGAGATCACCACTTCAAACAGATGACTTCGAACTGGCAGACAGCTCCGCGACATACGAATCGCTGTACAGATAGTGTTGTTATTGAGTTGTAATTTTAATCTAATCGACCTCATAAAGCATGTTTTTTAATGTTGAAAATACCTTTTTTTCAAATGAATCCCAAGTTGATTTCATTTCATTTTGCAATATAAGCTTACTAGATACACTTCAACTTAATTCCAAAATTTGTAGTGCAATAATGCCATAGTGACCACTACCCTGACTTAATTCCCTTTAAAGTCAAGGCTAGCTGTCGCCGTGACATTTCGATTGCAATACTTCCGGCATTAAGTTGAACAGTATCAAGTAAGTGTTGTATTGCAAAAAGGGACGAGAGAACAAGAACATGTTTAATCAGATGCACCTGACACGGTGACGTCTACAGCTGGCTCGAACATCTATTCAACGACTTTTTTCGATTATTCTAAACTGTCAAATTGGGACAAAGCTTGTTGAAATTTGTACTTTTATATGTTTGTAAGTTTTAAATCAATGTGTTTGTTCCATTAACTAGGGAATTGCACCAAATATCCCTCGGCTTTTTGAATGAGACCTATATAGGATGAAAGACCATAAAAAGTTACCGGAAAAACTGTTTTCAAAAACTGCTAAATGGACTTGGCTAGCGAGTTACAGTATGCTCTATATCCTTATATGTTTACAAGGTATAGCTTTAAAGTTTAAAAAATGATATCATTTTTTGATAAATATTATTTTTTAAAAGTGTTTAAAAACAAAAAATAAGACTTATAAAATAGTTTTTTAATCATAATATTGTTTGGCTAGCCAAAACTTCTTGTCAGCATGGCTGGGCGCCAAAATGAAACCAACGGGATTCGAACTTCCCTCCTTCTGCACCCCAGATTAACTTCTTAACCACTCGACCACGCTGGATTGAAGTCTCAATCCATTCGTTTTGCTCAAGTCGAATGAGAAGGATCGAACAGGAAACCCTATGTAAATCATTTAATCGATAATATCTCGCTAGTTGAATCTATTTAGCAGTTTTTGAAAACAGTTTTCCCGGTAACTTTTTATGTTCTTTCATCCTATATAGGTCTTGTTCAAAAAGCCGAGGGATATTTGGTGCAATTCCCTAGTAAGTTATATTATTATACAAACTATAACTTTTACAATGTCTCTTTTTTGATTATTTTTTATCTCAAAAGTTACAAAACTATTTTTGTTAAATTACAATCATATAGGACTACAAGGTTACCGTGGGTTCAAATGTTCATTTGTTAAACCTTGTCCTAATGTTATAAGAAACATATAATTTTCAGAAATAGTTCAAACCCCCAAAATGACGTCAAAACAGTTCCCTTTACCCCAACTGGTACTAATCTCCATTTTTGTCCCAGCCATAACCCAAATGTTCGGCCGTCAACCTCAACAACAAGTTGAACCAACAATGTTTTCCCAATGGCCAAAACAAATCACCCAAACTTGGCCAACTTCAGTCCAAAACCAATTCAAACCCATCAGAGGCTCGGATATTGTAGTAGGAAGTCAAGTTCTACAGCAAATCGACCGCTTTTCTAGTCTAGACCAACTGGCACAGACTTTACAGTCAACTTCACCTCCTTTGGCCAATTTCTTGTCCCAGGAAATCATTGGACTAAAGAATGCCATGAATCAGATCAAAATGAAGGCCAGTTTGGGGACACAGCTGTATGTTAACGAGGTAAAAATGCTTTGAATACTACGTTGGTCTTTTAAATATTAAATTAATAGTACTACAAAACAAAATTTAAAAGTTTTAACAACAAAAACTGCTGTATAACAACATTTTAGCTGCAAAAACTTGCTAAGGAGTTCCTAGTCAGCGCCAACACAGAATACAAATCTCTTGACCCAGCTACTCAACTAGAGCTAAAATCAGCTTATCCAACATTATCGTCCTATCTAGCAAGTAAGCTTTTATAAATTAAATATACACCATCATAATATTCAAAGCAAGCTCGAAGCTATATTTGTTAACAAAATTCTCGTTTACAATGTACCTACAAGATACAGCTATTTTATACCTTTTTTACATTTTATAGGCCCGATTGGCCAGAACCTACTCTTCAACGAGACAGTCGCCCCTCTTGGAGCTCCGTCCATCTTACCTACCCCTTACGCCGCCCAACAAAACCAAGAGCTTCAACAACAACTTCTGAAACAACAGCAACAACAAGCCGCTGCCAATCCCTACCAAATGCCGTATCAACAGCCGGCTTACGGCAACAACATGGGCTACAATTATGGAGGTATGAATATGGGAAACGGAAACAACCGCAGATTCGGATGAAATGATTGATATCATGTGTTATAATTAATGAATAAAATTGTACTTTTGGCAAAGTTTGGTAAATAAACAAAATTAGGGGTTGATGGATATTAGAATTCTGTCCAAAAAAAACGTCAAAACTACCGAAATATAGGGAAAAAGTTGACACGTCAACTGAAAAATGTGCCAAGTATCTCTCTTCAAAAAATAATATTTTTTTCTTGAACCCGTTGTTCATAATCTGAATATATTGTTCCGGATCAAACTTTTAACCATGTAAGCCTTGTTTTCTTATTATTTGTTTTGCATTTTAGGTATACAATATTACAAGCAAGGTTTTAATTTTAGATATTGGTTATAAACAAACGTTTGTATCAAAATGCTTCGTTCAAACGCATCTCAGCAGTCGAAACAATCCCAAGGACAAGCGGAACAACGTCAAATGAATGCTGACCTGTTCACGTTGACTTATGGCGCGTTGATTATGGACCTCATCAACGATTTGGACGAAACGACTGAAGTCAACAGCAAATTGGACAAGATTGGGTATCAAATGGGTCTTCGGATGGCTGACGACTTTTTGGCCAAGAATCCGAGGATAGGACGTTGTGCATCGGTTCAACAGCTGAGTGAAGTGTTGGCCAAACAAGCCTTCAAGTTGTATTTGGGAGTGGAAGCTACTGTTCAGTTCATGTCTTCAGAAGAGTTTCAGCTGAGGCTGGAATCTAATCCGCTGGTCGAATTCGTTGAGATTCCGCCTGAATACAAAGATCTTTGTTACTCTCAGGTATTTTAAATTTTTATTATTTGTTATTTTGGGAAAAAATTGATCTAATAGAAGTATTATATTTGTGGTCTTCCAACAATATTTTATAACTTTTCAAAAAGAAATTAAATATAATTGATGTAGGTGATTTGTGGAGCCATCAGAGGTGCAATGGAAGCGATTCACCTTGAAGTTTCAACCCAACTACTGTCTGATGTTCCTAACCCAACAATAGTGCGAGTAAAGTTTGCTCGCGTACTACATGAAGCTATGCCGGCAGGAGATGATGATTAAACGGGTTTAAGCATAATTTAACTTTGTAAATTAAAAACGTTTTTAAAGCAGTATTAGAGATTTAGTACTGTAAAAAATTGTGATAAAGTATATAATTTTAAGATTTTTATCGGCAAACTTTTTAGTGTTTTAATTACAAAATGCTTTCGAACTATTATAATATATGATTTGGAAGTTTACATTTTTTAAATTCAATTTGCTCAGAAGTTTTAACTTTTTTTGTTTGTGATAGTTTTATTATTAAAAACCAAAAAAGTATTTGCATTGGCCGGGAATCGAACCCGGGTCGCCCGCGTGGCAGGCGAGCATTCTACCACTGAACCACCAATGCCCATTCTCTTTGTTTTTTGAGCATTTTCATTTTTCGAAAAAATAAAAATTTATCGCAAGCAAACAGATAATTTCCACAATTCCCGTTGAACATGACAAATAGCTCGGTAAAGTTTACTATGACACATACACGAAAATATTTTTAGTATAGTGGGCGACAACAGGAATAAGGTTATAACATTTTAATTGTCGCATTTTGTAAATAAACCGCTCCCTGACATGAAAGCCTATTTCCAAAACTTTCATATTATGCTTGGTGTTATTGGTGGAAAACATTGTTTGTTACTGTAAATTGACAAAATTAAATTGGGCGATTCACTTATGCGGTTTCTTCAGAATATTGTGCTTTTAGTGGTTTTTACTGTAGTAAAATGTGAAGATGAGAATGGGTGGAAACATGCGGTTTTAGAAGTACCAGAAAAGGACGGAAGTAAACATAATGTTAACCTAAAGTGAGATATTGTTAACGAATGATTAACTTGTAGAAAAGCTAAAGCTATACAACTAGACGTTTTATTGATACAATAGAACCAAATCATTGAAAAATTTAACTCTACTGTAAATTGATGAAGAAAAAGTCTTTACAGTAACGTAAGGGAAATTTTAGTTATGGCTATAGCACAAAATACGGTAACAATGATAGTCCAGTTATTTTACATTTGTCTTTTGGATTATATGATGATGTTGTGCGATCACAGTTATTTTTAATTGATCTGGCCGATCACTTGAATGCTACTGTAATTGTAATTCAACATCGAAGCTACAACGATGATATCGGTGCTTTTCAACCATCTCAAGCTTTAAGCGACTTTAATGCTCTTTATAAACACTTTACTGAAGGTGAAGCTAGTCCAGTAAGGTTTAAAAAGTCCCAGAAAGTCATTCTATCTGGCTATGGGTACGCTGGCTTCTTGGCTTTGTGGTTTTACACAGAAAACAACAATGGAAGATTTAAAAGGTAAAGTTTTTATAAAAATATTTGAAAATAAACCATTGCTTACTGTGAAGCTATTTAAAATTTTTAGTGCTTTGATATCCGACGCTCCAATAAACTTATACAAGGGATTTGGACTATCATTAGGAGCTGTTGATAACCATTTGAAGAAAGTGTACGAGCAAGCCGGCTGTAAATCAACTGTCTTAAACAATGCTTTGGAGGCCTTGAAAACGGAGAATCTGACTGATTTTCAAGATATTGCATCTATCTTGGGGCTGAAAGACGTTGACAAAGTGCCAGAAGATGACCTGAAGAGAGAGTTACAGATATTAACATACTTTATTCATGACGCCTTCATTAAGTTGGCTGCTGACGAACAAGATTTTGCTGAGAAGAGAGAAGGAACTGAAATTATTGCTAAACCTGTGGAGGTAAGATTGCATTTTAAGTCTGCTTTATAATTTGTTTGTTTTTTAACTGTCTTAAGATGGTAATATGTTATCTCTATTACAGTCAAAACCTCTTTTCAGTCTTACTGTAACTCCGTAAACGTATCATCACAAAGCCTAGAAGGTAGATTGTATCCAATCAAACGTCTTCTGAACATTTTGAACAAGGACAAGTATTCTTTTGATGATCTTGACGACTATAAACTGATGGTATTGAAGTGCAACTATTTGGTACCATACAGTTGTCCTCATGGTCCAAATAACGACTTTTTCACAAAAGAATGTCAGAACGAAGAAGAGTGGAAACGATATTGGAAGTCATTGTGCAGTAGATTCAACAAGGACAACGATCCCAAGTGGGACTTTGCTAAACAAAACTTTGAAATAGACTTGAGTAAGTAGAGGGTACTCTATTCACATTAATCATCATCCTATTGTAATAACATGTTGACTTTAAATAACATAACCTAATATTCAGGTGATTTAAAGAACGTCGTATTTGTTTACGGAGAAGATGACGTATGGTCAGTTACCAAGCCAAAAACCAATGCTTTGACCTATGTAATACCATTTTTGGGTCGCTCCAGAATCTTCGATCAACCAAATTCGTGTGATTCAAACACTTTGAAGCAATTCCGATATCAGCTAATCAACTTGTTGGACTGTTTCCTCGATCAAAATACAAATGACATATGCGGTGACATAAAAGGACATCTACCGCAATATGAACATACGAATGAAACTGAATGCTCTCCAGAGGTGTTGGCGTATCCGTGGGGACAAACGTTGTTCATCAACGAAACTATCGACGATTCATCAGCTGCTGGGTTCATTATATCTTGGATTACTTTGTTCTTTGGTATAGTAATAACTTTATTTTAAAAAATCATAATTTTTAAAATTAGTTTTAAGACTTTAACTTTATTTTTTTGATATTGTTGAAAGCGCAAACTAATTAAAAATTAAAACGGCTAGAAACCAATAAATTCGTTGTAGTTATAGTAGTTACGATTCTTCAAGAAACATTTTGTAAAAGCTACTGCAACAAGCCCCCAGTCATAAAAATGTGTATGAAGTTTACTATTTACTCGGTCAAAAATTAGTGTACATTGTTTTAGTTGCCAATAGTTGATTTAGTGTTGTCCACCTTGTGCTGGCGGTTGATTTTGCGGAGACGTTTGCGATCAAGTGGTCGGAACAGGGTGAACAGAACCTCTAACTGGAAATAATTATTTTAATTTGTAAAATTTCAACTAGTAAAAAAAGTTTAATTAACAAGAAAAATTTTTAAAAAACTGTCAGAATACTTACTGAAGGACTAATAGTCATGGTAGCTCCAGTGTTTGCGGTGCGAAGGTAATCACTGGCAGTAAACAAAGTCAGTACTCTTGCACTTGGACTAAACTGATATCCGCAACGATGCATCTAAAGAAAATTAATTTAAAAAATTTAATTACAAAAATAATAATCACATCATAAAACCTTGTTCAATATTATGTCACAACATCAAATAACAAAAACTTTGCAAGCTCGACTAAACTTACAAACTTCGACCTTTACTTTCGAAATTTTTAACAAAAAATTTTTGAAAGTATCAATTTCTAACCTCATTTGTGATCTGATGCCCACGCACAATCAAATCGATTCCATTTGCTTCACAAAACTTTTCGGCGACAGAATCATCGAAAGTGAACGAAATTCCTCGAGGACTCAAGGCCCAGCCTTCATGAACATTAGAAGGGTCTGACCAAACAATGTCACATGCCATCCCATACAATGGTACCATGGTGGGACGGCGAATCTTAAGCATATAATTTTATAATCAATAAAAAATGTTATATTACACTTTAACAAATCATTTTTGAAGAAGTTAATGTTTTTAAAATAATATATTCTACCTTTTAAAGTCTAAATATCAAAATTTTGTCATACTTTGTTGATATCCTCGACAGTAGTCATTTCAGGGCTTAATCCTCCATGCATACACAAAATCTTCTTATCGATCAAAGCAGCAAATGGCATGTGATTGAAGGCGTTGATCAAGCTCAGCCACAGTCTCTGTCCAACATAAGTACCGTACTTTTCCAAACATTCATCGAACAGACCGTATACCATCGATGTGTTGTAGTCTTCATGATTCCCACGCAACAAATGGACACGATCTGGGAACAGCACTTTGGCTGACAATAGATAACACACGGTCTCGACTCCTTGAGTGCCACGGTCAGCGTAGTCGCCTAGGAACAGGTAAGAATGTTTATCAAAAAAACCGTGTTTCTCTACCAACATACGAACATCCCGGAATTGGCCATGAATATCAGCACATACAGTAATCGGCAAAACTTCCCTGAAAAGTTAATATAAATGACAATATTATTAAAATTTGAAAATTAACGTACTCCTTTGTATACCATCAAATCAATGTAAAGTAAAGACAAAGCTACTACAATATATAATAAAATAAATCACTAAACTTACTTTCCAATCTGTAACAAAGTCTGTTGCTTCTGAAATGACTCCACAGCCAACTGACAAACCTTGAACAACTCTTCTGGAGCAATGTATACCTCCATTTCTGCAGTCGGTTCTCCCTTGTGATCCTTCTTCATGCCAACACTGTTCATTCTAAGAAGTAATCGCTCCAGGAACTCGTTGTGGACCTTGCTACTAGCTGACAAGTTGAGTGAAGCTTGTGTAACATCACTTTGAAATGATCCTGTAGCCGACGAACTTGTCACACTGGACATGTTACTTTTAATTTTGGAAAAATAAGGTTACTGGGTAAGAACGTTTAAACTATAATTTTCAGTCAAAGTTGAACAGCCGGTTACTGTAATTCGTTCAAAAACCAATTGAAAAGTTAATTTTAAAATTAAAAATTTGGTAAGGTCAAAGAGTTTGAATTACAGTGAAACCTGAGGAACTCCTATATAACAAAACCTCCGTATAAGAAACAACTTTTGAATCCCCGGCGCACACTACTTAGTGCATTTGAAACCTCTATATAACAAACTAATTTTAAAACTCCTAACAATTCGTTATACAAAGGTTTCTCTGTATCTATCAAATATTGTTATCCAAAACAAGTAAAGTAAATTTTTATTTCCAGCTTCTGCTTATGTACAATCTACAACTACTTTTTTCCATTCCGTTTCTCAAACAGACGATTTTTAATAGTGAATCCACCAAAGTCGTTTGTAGTATCACTTATCAGAGAAGCAACCTGATTTTGCACTGCTTTTACTTGGTCAAGCTGAAAAACGTTGTCATTAGTATATATTGTGGATCAAAAATATAATCCATAACCTATTCCTCACCTCTTTCAATGCCTTGTCTAATTTCTGTTCCAACTCTACATTCCTTTTTGTCATCATGTCCAACAAGTCTTCCTTTTCCTTCGCTTTGTGTTTGCTGCCACTCAATTCCATTTTACAGGTATCCAACTCCTTCCTCAGGTCTATCACAGTCTGTAGCAACATCTGTTTCTCCTCGTCGTTCTCAATCGAAGACTTTGAAGAATTAGCTTCTGATTTCGATGTGTTATTACTACAATTTGCGATGTTTCTAGCCAAAATGTCCCATGGAAACGACAGTTTTTGTGCACATTGAGGTACTACTGTCAACGTGCTTTGGATTTGATCAACTGTCCCGTTTATCAGACTGTAGGCTATGAAAGGCAAGATACGTTCATCCTGAAATTTGAATTATTACACATTGCGTACAAGAACATACGGAACAATATTTTCAGTTGTATTATCAATAACACTTTACAAATTTTGGAACGTATACTCAATTTTTTATCAAGAAACAATACTAACAAAACACCAAGTTACCTCTAGCGTTCTCCAGTAAATGTCCTTATGAATCCTAGAGTGATCTTTCAACAAAGCCAGTAACTTTATCATTTCAATCGGAATCATAAGTCCGCTGGTTTTGGAATAAATTGAATCAATATTACCATTTAAAGAACTGCAAGCTTGAAAAACTTCTAAATTTTGTTTGAATTGCGTTTCATTGATCTTGGCACATAATTCGGGGCTCATCGCATCTGTTAGCATGTCACAAGACTCATTATCTTGGGTTAGAGCTGAAGTTGCATTTTTAAAAAACAGTTCTTGGCATATTATGTTTGAATTTAGCAAAAATAACGTTTTACCGTTGTAAAAAAACTACTACAACTGCATAGTAATAAACAAGTTGCAAAAGAATAGATAACAAAAGTTAATTTTATCAAACAAACGTAAAAAATAAAAAATTAGCTTACTTTGAGCCAAAATCAAAGTCTGAGCGATCAGATGATGACAATAAGTAACGTAGGTATCTTCTTTTGTACATGTTTGAGCATTCATCTCAACTACGGCAACTAACACAGCTGGATTTTCGTACTTCGAAAGTTCAGCACCATCATCAACAATTTCCTACAAATATTTTAAAATAAACATAGATCGATGATAAACTATGCCATATAATTAACGTTAGAATGTAAAACCTACCTTAATAAGTACATTCAACAGCTTGATAGCATTGATAGTAACTTCGGAATTAGGCTGTTTATCCACCCCCAACGCAACCATTCGTACCAAGGACTTTAAGGGCGATGAGAAATTCTTCGAACAACTTTCTCCACTTCCATTCGTAGCATTTATTATTATCTGAGAAACCGGAGATCGAAGAGACTTAATATTAACCAGATCACCTAACAGAGACAATATCTTGAGCGATTCCTCTGTCCTCGGATCGAACTTTGTTATCCTCAAGGCAGTGTTCTCAATGGCATTAGAAAAGTAGGAAAAGGTCGAAAAATCTCTACTCAAATCTGTAACTTCCATTTCATTGTCGCGATTAGTTGTCACCAGCACTAATCGTAAAAAGTCACTAGCAAAACCGACAGTCAATGTTGTGTCAGCTTGAGCTAGCACGTTAAAAGCACAAAGCAATGTTTGAAACATGTTTGATGACGTGAAGAACTTCTCGCTCATTGGGGTGTTAAGTCGTTTGAGTATCAGTAAAGTAGATATTACTACCAAGTAATTGTCACTAGATAGATACGACAAGAACTTCCGACTTAACGACTGATAAAACTCGAGCATAAAGACATGAGCTAACTCTTTTGATCTTGTCACAAGGTTACATAACATTGACAAAGAATGAGACAGCATCTCGGGAGATTGTGGATCAATGCTGAAATGAGTTCTCATCAGATTATGTCTCAAAAACCAAACATTATAATCATACGACTATGCTATACTCAATTTCATGTTTCTTACATTTCGTCACAAAAAATAGCCAAAAAGTCCATTCCATATCCTTCCACCGCAAATTCAGTTCGATAGGTTAACAATTGTAACACTTTGAATGCATCTATCACTAATTCCACATTCTGACGAGCCCGTAGGTTATACTTTAACACTTTATATACACCATGAGGAAACATTATAGAGTTGGCACAGAAGCGTCGCAACGATAAATTGACTTTAACAATTCGAAAAAGTAATTGCAGGACCCGTTGGAATACGTAGTTATCAACATTGATATGTTCCAGTATTTCATAACACAGTTTTAACAATGGAGTTACTGGATACGTGGAAGGTTTTAAGAATACTGTAGGGTAAAGTTCAGTGCATATTTGAGTCAACTTCTGCAAAAACATGATTTTAAGTACATAAACCAAAAGTTTGCCACAAAATAAAAGTTTAATATTTTTGAACAACTTTATATTATCTTACATTAAGCAAATCAATAAAAACAGTTGTCCTAGAAGCTGTTCTGTCTTCCAAGTACACACTGCCACTTCGGACGACATCCGTGATCAAGTCCCGTAGCTGATCATCCATTAAAAACTTTAATACATACCCGTCTAGAACACTGCTGATTAAACTTTCAAATCTACTATTTATCAAAAAAACTACAATTATAAAAATTTTTGAAACTAAAAAGGTTGATAACTCGAATAATCGTAAATCATCTCGTTCATAATTACAAATATCGTAAATATTGTTGTTTAGAACTTTAACGAACGTACGAAAACGTGAATTTATTAATCGGAAAGTCGTTACAAAACGATGAATCCTCGAAAAAAGACATGGGAAAAGAAAACATTGATAATAAAATGATTCCACTTATACAAAAAGTTCCAAAAACAACAATAAAGTTGCTTTTCAACCACTTAAACATAAGATTCTCATTTTTAAAGAACACAAGAAAAGCACCAAAATACAGTAATAACCAGAAGGTCATTCTGTGTATGTTATAAAAGAACAAAAACTTTTGTTAAATAAGTATTGACTATTAAATATTTTCAATGTAAGAATGTTGACCTTTATGATACTCTAGATAGAAACACAACTGTAAAATTCCAATGCCAAAATATTTGACATAAAATCATACGTATTACCAACCAATATTTCAAATTACGTAAAAACTCGTGTCCTAGCCCTTGAGCAAGATGGGAAAAACTTGGTCGAAGCGAAAGATAAACAAGGCCATATTTGCAATCAAACCTCTCCTCTTACGACCTCACAAACACACGAAAAGACGACGCGAGCGGGATTCGAATACAACAGTGCAGATGGTCAGTAATAAATAAAGACCTGGTCTTATTTCTCGAACGGTAGTTGCGGGAAAACAGAGGGATTAAAGGAACAAGTGCGAAGTTCGAGCAAACAGCTTTACCGTACAATACGTACCCAAAAACACAAACTTTCGATGGTCATTTGGGCTTAAAGTTTGTAAAGGAACGGTACAATATGTAAAGTTTAAGACAGGGAAGACTCTGCTTACCACTAAAAGACGAGGAGCATCCTCCTCTTTGAATAAAATACGAAAGAACACGGCAGGTTAGAAGCCTTTAACATATAATAGATATCCAATATCCTAACATATCAAACAAGAATTATTGCGCCTCAAGTTGTAGCTACTACTTCCATACAAAAAACGTCATGTTCTTTCTGAAAAAACTTAGTTTTTGGCGATTCAAATCTCCGCGCGCCTAAATTCTTCACCGCCTCACCTTCTTGACTTCTCCTTTGATTAGAATGGTTAGAGGCTGAATCGCGCACCATTTGTTTTCATCATATTAAAAGGCGTACTTCAAAATGGCTATTTCATAAACATAACCAAATTACAGTATAATAATTGTTAAAACGCCAAATGGTCAAAATTACATTAAGTTTACAGCATTTGCGATTTTCAGCAAGTAAAATACCAAAATACATATGAAAATGTAAAAAAATACACAAACTATGTCAATCAACAACTTGTTACAGTAGAGAAAAGTACGGTCAATTTCCCAAAAAAACAAATTTGTTTGGAGAAAAAGTTGGCGCACGAAGAAAAACTTGACTCGCTTTTTGTCCTTTTTTTCTTAATTTTGCAGAACTTGGGGAATATATTGTTAGATTTGTTGAGTTTATTGTTGTCATTGTTAACGTTGCTGTTGTAAAATGCCAGAACCACAAAGAAAGAAGATGAAGAAGTCAAAAGACGAGAAAAAGCTGATTGTTATACTTGAAGATTGTCCGTTGGAAACAGCACAAGTAAGGTATTTGTTTGTTTGTGAATTCTTAGTTTAGGTTGGAAAAGAGTATCAGTTACTGAGAAGTGACAAACATGTTAACTTCATAATGAAACACGGGAAAGATCCAGCTGATTATCGTCCAGATATTCTGCACCAGGTATGTTTTGAAGTTTAGAGGTCGGTTATGTTAGAGTAGACGAAAACTCGATGGTTTGTATAAAGAAGGGACTTTGATACCTCTTTTAAAGTACTATACGTTTTTATAAATATTATTTTAGTGTTTACTTATGCTACTGGACAGTCCATTGAACAGAACTGGCCTGCTTCAAATCTACTTCAGAACCAAAAAGAATGTCCTCGTTGAAGTCTCACCACAATGTCGGCTACCGAGAACTTTCGATCGTTTTGCCGGATTGATGGGTAAGTAAAAAATTACTACGAAAACAGAAGCTTTAACAATCCTTAACTGATTTCTCAGATTTTAAAAATTTAAAATTTTAGTGCAACTACTCCACAAGATGCAGATTCGAGCTGAAGAGAATTCCACAAAGCTCTTGAGTGTGATAAAGAATCCGGTCACTGATCACTTGCCGGTTGGAATTCGCAAATACCTTACAACTTTCAATACTGAATTCTTCCGAACACCAAGGGACTTTGCTAGAGAAATTACGACAGAAAAGCCAAAAGATCCGATTTGTGTTGTTATTGGTGGAATCGCCAGAGGATCCGTTAAAACTGATTACACTGAACAAGATCTTAAACTTTCGAACTTTCCTTTGAGTGCTGCTCTGACCTGTGCCAAGTTAACAACGGCTTTCGAAGAAATATGGAATGTTGAAGAAGGAGTTTAATAACCTCATTGTTATTTTACAAATAAACTTGTTATTGTTTTCATCCTGCACAAACTGGCCGGGCTATTAAAGATAGTACTTATGAAAAGGTTATTATCAAGCGGGAGTGTTTTAATTGTTGACAACCTTTTTCATTTTTTGTAAAACATATAACCAGATCAAGGATAGATGTCCCTGTTTCTAACCGTCAGCTAAAAAGAACCAAAAATTCTCTAGACTGGCACCAAATACACTTCTTTAAAATTACATCAAACCAACACTTAAACCAGTGAAAATATTTATGAAAGATTCATTAAGGATAATTTATCAGAAAGAACAACAAAAAATAGTAACAAACTGATGAAAATTTAGATGAAAGGCCAAAACCATATGATATATCCCGTCGGTGTTTAGCACTTCTCTTCAACGAGAGCTTCCTTCACCAACATAAGGTATGGGTGTTCACCGTCAGCTTCATCGCGGAATTCAACGATGCAAACTTGTCCTTCACCACGACCTTCGGCCATGTTTTCTCCAATGAAGAATTGAAGGTTCTTGAAGCGGTCCTTAGACAGGAGGGACAAAACCCAAGCTTGGATCTTCTTCTTGAAGGCGGTTACTTCCTCCTCTGACTTTCCGTTCTTTTGCATCAACTCAATCACTTTCTTCATGAAGTCCTTGATGTAGGATTTGAAGGTAGCGGGGTCTTCATAACAGTTCATCTCTTGAAGTTTGTGGTTCAACACGAAGTCAATACCACGTTCAACGTGCTCATCAGATCCATCGTCACCATCTTCGCCTTCAGCAGATGGGTTGGCTCCATCAAGCAAGATTTCACCTTCTTTGCGAACTACGTGGCGTCCCTTGAACTCGTAGATAAGGTCATCAGCCAACTTCATTGGAAAAGAGTCGGATGAGAGTTCATCATCTGAAAAACAATATTAGACTGAAAACCTATAAAATTGTTTTTAAAAATGAATCTACCGTGCTTGGCTACACTTGTTAGTCACTGCCGCCAAGCAATCAAAAAACTTGATTGCCTACCAACTAAACTAAAAGCTTAAGGTAGCACGGATAACGAAACAACTATCAAACTTACCGGTGAAGGCGCACTTGTAGATCAGCATGTCTGTCCAGTCAAAGCAAATGAGCTAAAAATAAGGTCGTTGATACGAAGCGAAAAACCAAGCCAAAAACAATCGATGGCTTTATAAAAGATATTAGAGGTCAAAATAACCGCTCGAAAGACAACCTCCACACTCAAATAACATAACAACAAATTTATTTTTGACAACAAACAATATACATAATTGAAAGTGTCTAATCGAAGAGACCGAATCCCATGTCTTCGTCTTCTGATTCTTCCTTGACCTCCTCCTTCTTGGCTTCGGCCTTGGCTGGAGCAGCAGAGGCGGCGGCAGCTGGAGCAGCAGCAGCAAACTTGGATGGATCGGCAAGATATTCCTTGAGCTTCTCGGCCTGCTTGAAGGTGACGTCGGTAGCGGCAGCAATAGCCAACAAGTTCTTGAATCCGTTGGCAACCGAGTGAGGGACGGAAGCCTTAGTTGGGTATCCAACAGACAAGGAGAGAGCAGCGATGTTGCGTACTCCGCCCAAGAAACGGCTGCGAATTTCGTCAGTGGTGAGGTCCAAGACTTCTGGGGTGTAAATGGCTCCGTTGTCGTAGACTTGTTGAACAACCAAACCGTATGAGAAAGGCTGGATGTTTAACATGTTCAACAAAGCGGCTTCAGAGGCTCCGACCTTGTCTCCTTCCTTGATAATGTGGACCTCATTCAAGATTTCGATGGTACCACGAGCGATCTTGGTTGGGATTTGAAGGGCTTGGAAGAAAGAAGTCTTTTCTGGACCCATACCGGTGTTTTGGGGTGGGAGCTTGACATCACATGGAGCAATGGCTCCGGCCTTGGCTGGGGCACCACGCTTGTTCTCCAACAACTTCTTTCTGGTCTCTCCCAAATCTTCGTTGGTGAAGACGAAGCCAACGTTTCCGACGATGTAAGGCAACAATTTCTCAAGCTTTGGGTTCTCAGACAAGTTACCACGAATAGCCTTGCGGATCATGGTGTTCTTTCCCATAAGAATCTCGGCGTGACCACGAAGGGCGGCACGGATCTCTTGCATCTGCTTGGAACCAACATTGTCAACACCGACGAGCAAACAGGTTGGGTACTCTTCGAAGAGACTCTGAAAAACACAAAATTTATACTTTACTACATATTTAACATAATACGTACCTAAAAACAACAAAAACCCCATTTTTTACGTCTTAATCAAAATAGAGCAGCATAAATAAAGTCTGCCACCTTTAAATACCTAAAACTAAACGCAGAACAAAAGAACTTACCAAAATACGGCTAAAATAGCTAGCTTTCCACTCAGCACGTCCTTCCCTGACCATCTTTGGTGTATCACGGATTTCCCGAAAGGGTTTAAAGGCTAAAATTAAAAAATGAATAACATAAACAAAGCAAGGCAACAAAACACGTAAAAGTTAAAACGACATTCAATACATACCAACGCAAACTTGTTTTATATAATTATGAATAACTTTGATTTACATTAAAAAGTAGGTTTTACAGAACAAAAGTGCGAAAACAAAAAAGATAGGAAAATAATAAAATTCTACAGTAAACAATCTATCGCTGAGAGACGTATAGTTTCTTGGCGTTTCGTAGCAAGCCGTTTTCTGACGAAATTTTTGGACGTTTCTCGTTTTTTTTCTTCGTATAATTTTTTTCCAATAGTTCACAACCTCTTTTGTAAGTTTTTAAACATACTTATATTACCTTTGTTTTATAAAATGACTACATTTTAATATTTTTAGTTACGAGACACGTTTTTTTTAATTTTAAAACTCTTTATGACATAATTATTTAGCTTTCTTTTCACGCGCTATCTTCGTCAACGCGTGAAATACTTTACTTTTTAGGTGTTCCGGAGTCAATATTTTTCTTCAGATCCATCAATATCACTGTAATTTTTAAATTTTTTGCGTAAATAAAGTAAAACTCGTAGTATTCTGCCAATTTTCAAAGCTTCTGGTCTTTGCGACCTGGTACGAATATCGTTGTTACAATTCGCATTTTAGGGGATATGTTCCGTTGTGACTCTCCCGAGTATGAGGAGTTGTTAGAGCAGTACGAAGAGGCATTAGCCGTACAGGAAGAGGAGAGGAAAGCTGAAAAACGTAAAGTAAGCTCATTTTTTGTTGATTATTTTGCTTTAGAATACCGAGATTGGGCTAGCTGCAACTTTGGATAGGTTGAGGAACCCTGAAAAAGTTCAAAAAGAGCGTATTGTACTGAATGCTGAGGGACAGATTATTCATGGGCCTGGAACTTCGAAGAAATGTAAGATGGCTTTTACTTACATAGTGCTGTTTTTTAACTCGCCTTGGAAAAGATTTTTATCTTGTGTTAAAAATTTGAAATTATTTTGTTTTAGCTAATGGCTTTGCTGTTTCAAGCCTTCCGCGAACGGCACCCGTCGTTCTACAGCCACGTAATATGGATGATGTTATTACAAATGCTGTGGCACGACCAACAAAGCCTTCAGAGATACGACGGATGGTGCGAGCTAAGATGGTACGATGTAAAAGGTGTAAAAACAGGTTTCTCGACAAACATCTGTATGAAAGGCACTTGCGAGACAAACATCCAGTAGATCATCTTGCGTATCTCGTTCAGCAAGAAGAAGAAATGCAGTTACAAAGGTAATACATTTAACATACTTATAGTTAATTTCCTACACTAGTTTTATCTTAATTGTTGTTATTTTTAAGGTATAACTAATTAAACACTAAAAATAATGTTAACATTTGCAGAAAAGAAGAACTAGAAGCTAATCGAATAGAAGAATTGGCATCTGGTGGCTTTATACCTCCAGAAAACGAAATGGATTCGGCAAATTATAAACTTGATCTCTGTGATATACCTCTACCCGGTGAGCTGACCAATGGCGTTGTTCCTCGATTCGACCGTTTTGGTCACATGTATCAACCCAAGCGACAGTATAAGAAGAAAGTGTCACCACAATGTCCGTTTTGTGATAAACGGTATAGGAATGAGCACTCTTTGAAAAAACATATCTCTAAAAAACATCCTGAATACGCAGAGTTTGTGCAATGTTTGAGGTGTTTCAAAGCCTTGAAGGATGAAGAGGAACTTCGGAATCATATTTGCGAATTGGTAAGGTTTTACGTTTGAATTTTAATAAGGCGTATAACGAGTGGATTACTATATGATGTTTAAACTTCATATTGTACAACCCTAATTTAGCGTTATAGATTTCTGCAACTTGTAATTTACTTTTATATTATTTTAGGTTTACATGTGTTTTGAATGCACTCCAGTACGAAACCTTTGCACCGAAATGCGTTTGAGTATGCACCGTGCTAAATTTCATAGAGGTGCCAACTCCGGATTCAAGTGTAATTTATGTAATCAGAAATTTTTAACGCCCAGAAAGTTACGAAAACATAAGAAGATGTCTCACGTCTTTACGAAGACATATCCTTGCCATTTCTGCGAGGACTTATTTACCTCTGAAACGTCAGTCACTACCCACGAACGGATACATACAGGGATCGTGAAGTTTGAATGTAAAATATGTGATTTCAAATGTAATAGATTTTTGAATATGGAGGAACATAGGAAGGAAGAACATGGTTATATCTGCTCTATATGTCAGGTAAAACTTCCGGAATGGGCGGATATGAAGAACCATACGTTAACAGAACATGGCGGGTATCTTACTTCTACCAACAGCTCGAGTAAGTTTAATTTTGAATCTTTTATTAATTGATAAACTTTCTAATTTGTAAAACGTCGTTCGGTGATTTAAATTTTGATAATTATCCCACCAATTTCAGGTTATATCCAATGCCCTAGAGTATGGGTAATGTTCAAAGGCGAATAACTCTGGCTGTGCCCGCACTTTACCTTCCTACGACTAGCCTAATGACATTTTATCTTCAATTCAGGATTTTTAAATAAATTTCAATTTTTGTAATAAAAGTAAACCGCGGGTATATATTGTTATATATATTTTGTTATCTAACCGATTATAAAATGGTCTCAGCACAGTTTTGTACAATCAAGAACAGATGTAACGCATCGAAATACCTTATGTTTCAACATGTTTGAAGCTACCACTCAAAGTTGTTCTCTAAAGTTCAAATTTTCAGTTAAAAGTTTATCTTCCAAAATCCATGAGAAGCTTGGTAAAGGTATCAGCATTGAACAGTGTCTTCTCCAGTCCTAACAAATCTTGCCAGCTAATGTCAAAATGAGAAGCAACGTGCTGAGTAGGAAGATGATACCTGAACATCCCGCTCCGATTGTGTAGAACATGTTGTCGCCATCGAAAGGCCCTGAAACATAATTAACATTAAACTGACACAAAAAACATAAAAGGAAGTATTAAAGTATTCGCAACAAAAAAAACATTTTACACAAAGAACAATGCATATATATGAGTTGTTTATATTATGACGGTAGCTTTGCCATTCACGATTAACTTACCAGTAGCATCTTCACCAGGCGGATCCGGTTCTGGCTCTGGAGTTGGTCCTGGCTCTGAGGTTGTGTCCGGTTCCGGGGTAGGTTCTGGCTCCGGGGTTGGTTCTGGCTCTGGGGTTGGTTCGGGCTCTGGGGTTGGTTCTGGTCCAGGTTCTTCTGTAGTGGGCGCGGCAGTGGTTTCGGCCGTCGTCGTTGTCACTTCTGTAGTCGTGGTAGCAACGGTAGTTGTTTCAGCGGTTGTAGTAGGTGCATCAGTAGTGGTGTCATCATCGCAAAAAATACGCGGTGTATTCAATAAGAACAAGATCAGGAAAAAGAAGACCGACCGCTTCATGTCCAAAATCAGTTAATTCTTTATTGGAAGTTCAATGATCCAACATTTTTTTCATTTTTAAAATTCCAGAAAGTCGAGATTATTCATAGGTAAGTTTGTGATTTTTGTCACTGGAAAAGTTTTTTTTCCAGATTGTCTTGGTCAATTTCGTCGTATAATATGTTGCATAATGGAGGGCGCAGTCTGCAGTATTCAAGTTGCTGCTACAAAAATTTCGAGTTTCGTTTGCGATCAAGGAACGCTTCGAGGACAATTTTTAAGGCGCTTTTCTGGATTTAACGTAAGAGTTTGACTAATTAAAACCTCATTTTAGTTCTATTTATACTTCGCTTGTTGTAGCTTTCAGATGGATCACTTGTGTCAATTTGTGAAGCACAGAAAAGTATTTTCAAGGCGGTCAGAGACAACGATACAATGTGCTTTTGGCTCTCATAAAGAGGTTTGCAAAGCCTTTTTTGCTCACAATAAGGACTTCCATGGGATGTTTATGCACATCAAAAAGGAACACAAGAAGATCTACAATCAGCTTAGGGCGAAGCTGCATGAGAACGGATATGTAGGTGTTTCAGGATGTGTTGCTTTTTTTTATCTTTGTGGAAGCTTCGCCTTATTCTGTAAATATTTAATAGTTTTATTAGTTTTGTATAATTTATGTTGTTATTGGTTTGTTTTTCATTTTAGGATGCCGATAACCCTACATTCATACCTCGCTACAACGTTAGTGCTGACTCGACTCTAAACGAACCTTGTTCATCAACTGCACACGATCGTTCGAGCACAACTGCAGAGTTAGATCAAACTCCATCAACTTCAAGTAGATCAATGTGAGTTTTCTTTTTGATTTGCTGTTTACAGTGATTTTCATTTTTGATGTAACGATTTCGTGGTCGTTGAAGTAAAATTCCTAAATAATTTGGAAGAGTTGTTGATAAAGATTGTAGAGGTTCAAAAATTTTTAGAAAAGGGAAAAACATATTATTTGGCAATATTTGAACGAAATTCAAAAGAAAATGTATTTTCCAACGTCGAAACAAAAGAGAAGTTTTGCGAAATAAATTAATATTTTAACGTTTGTTGTAATTTTGGTGTTGTTGAATATATGATTATATTCGTTATAGAAAGAAAGAAGAGAATGAGCTAAATAAAAAACTGATGAAGATGAAGGTAGACTGTTGTGCACAAGTTAAACAAATGTTGAGAACCCCTACATTATTAGCGCATATGATGCGATCAAATTGTAGTAAATATTATACCGTGAAGATACACAATCTACAGAAGGAGATGGCGATATACAAGGACAAACTGTTATTTATTTACCCTGATTTGGTATGTTGCTGTGACGTCTGTATAAACTTGGTCTGGGGGGGTCAGTATTTTTTGCTTCTGTTTTTTGTTTTAAAAATCTTCTTTTGATGATTGATGTTATCTTTGAAGACGTAAGATTGTTTTTCTTATTTTATATTAATATTGTTGAGTTCAGTTTCCTATTTCTTCACAAAATGAAGGTGTCGAATCGTCGCCAGAACCAGAAGGACTTTACAAGATTGAGAAGATTTTAGATCATAGGATCAGAAATGGCGATTTGGAGTACCTTATCAAGTGGGAGAATTACCCAGAGGACCAAGATTCCTACGAGACGGTCGAAAATCTATGCAATGATTCTGTTTATACCCTTCATCGATACTTTAATGAAAGATTGGTTAACAACACTTTAATCAATAACGGACTGCATTATGATCTTTCGTATGTTATGTTTTTGTTATTTGAATATTTTCATGTCTTTCTAGCTTGGCATTTTGTTATGATACTTAAAATAATTTGAAGGAAGTTAAGCTTGAAAAAGGTATTGTGTTTAGTTATAAAAAATCTAAAATTTTTTGTTTTGGAAAGGTTGACAAAAAAGATTTTAGAGCTCGCAAAGCACCACCAGTTGACTGTTTGGATACAGTACTGAATCTTGAACGCCGAGACGCAATTGAAATGACTGGAAGACCTTCTTTTTTGATATTGAATCAGAACAGAAGCAAAATATGCTCTTTATTGGACAAGTTGGACAGGAAAAGTTTCCAGGCCGTTTACGAAGAATCGAAAGGACAGAGTTTTGAAGAAGGCATAGAGATGTTGATGAACAAGTTTAAAGAAGAAATTTTAAAGGTTTCTGTTGAAGAAGGGCGTGAACAAGAGAATCAATCATACGTTGTTGACAATGCAGACACTACGATGACTTGTGGGGACTCTGTTTTAGATCAAACAGCTGATTCCTATGTGGCTTCAGCTCAAACAATTGCTAAATCAGGGGATAACAATGAGAATGCTGCTGTTGCTCAAGAATTGGTTCAACCTGAAAGACCTGTGGCTTCTTCTAATGTTGCGGATCAAAATGTGGTTGAAAACCTTTCTGCTGTTTCTCCATATCTACAGTATGAACAAAATATCGAGGATTCGACTGAAATAGCTAGGAATGATCAAGTGATTCCAGCTAGACAACAGGATGGGCTGAATGGTAAGGTGACGGGTTCATAATATGAATTGGTGATTTTGATTATTGGTAATGACTAATTATAATAGGCACATTTTAGTTTGGTCTTCGCGATCGATGAATGTGGATAATGACTTCGGTTTGAGCACAGGACTAAACGAATCAAGGGATGACTTACGTAACTTTGTGAGAGAATGTTGCAACGATTTCCAACAGTATGAAAAAAACATGAATCTACAGCGTAGACAACAAGTAGAAGGTATGTGTCGTTTCAAGATTATTTTTGGAAAAAAAGTTAAATAAATGTGAAATTATGTCATTTTAGAACCCTTTTTTGTGGACGAAATAACAGGTAATTCAAGAGCATTGTCGCCGTTGACTCGAGATGATGCTGAAGTTTTAAACGCACCACTTGGAGAGGATTATATAATTTGTCAGTATGAAAGTGAATCTCCGGGATCAATGTACAATGAACAACAGGGACGAGATACTGAAGCTGGTGACAACGTTGAAGATGCATTGTTGCCTGGATTTGAAAACTTGGGAGAAGTGGATGTCCCTTCTCCAATTGGAGATCAGACTTTAGTCTCTAGCGATTATGTTTCACGTACTGATGAGGCACAAGATATTCCAAGGCCTGAAGTTGAATTGTCAGTTCAATTACAAGAGTCGGATGATCCTTCAGTTGAAGATGAAATCGAACAGCAGGAACTGGAGCAACGAACAAATCCACAACAAGAAATTGTTCAACATTCAATGAAACATCGTTCTGTACAACAACATGGAATGGAACGACATCTAAATGAACAACTTAGAGCTGGAGAGCATTTAGTTGAACAACATCGGTGTGAACAAAATGTAACGCAAGGAGGACAACTTGTTGTGGGAGGTGAACAACGGGCACAGCTGGTGGGTGTTAGCAAGCAGCATGCACAAGTTCGACAAAGACAGGATAAGAAAGGAACAAAAGGGAAACTCAAGTCACATGGCGGTGCTCCTGCCATAAAAGTGGAAGTTACAGAAGACATGTCTAGTGATACTACCAGTGCAACATCTGAAGCGTCTAGTATTGATACCGAATTCAAAATTAAGAAGGAAGAGGTGACAGAGGAGAATGTTCAGCGTGTAGATAATGCCGGTGAGTTACCTCAAATAACTTATTTTATGGATTAAAAATTGTGGTAATTATATTTTTTATAGGTATTAATTAGTTTTGATAGTTTTATAAATTAGTGTTTTAGCAAAATCCGTAACTGCGCCTTCTGCAGTTTCTACAGGTGTTGTTTCACAAGTCCAAACTGTGACTGATCCAAAACCTTTTGCTAGGTCTTCTGGAATTGACAGTCGTAAACGGCACTTTTCTTCATTAGCTGGTCAACCGGGAAGCACATACACAGTTAATAGTTCTAACCATGCATTTTCTGGGGTTTTAAATCCGGAGCTTTATGAAAATCAGCCGGAACCAAGTGTGAGCAATGTTAAGGTATGGATTATAAGTTTATCTTAGTTTTGCACGTTAAATTAAATGTTTTATAAGTTTTTAATACAACGTATTTAAAAATTTTAAACATTGATTTGGGCTTCAAATGTTTTCCGAACTTTTTAAATTTTATTTTTAGGTTCCGAGATTAGTTGGTCCAACGGCTTCAAGTTACTTCCAACCATACGTTCCGCCAAATCAGCCAATGCGCAATAGAGTGCATAGTTACGACGTTCCGCCTTCCAATATCTACCAGATGAATTTTCAGAATGTAGCAGACCAATGGCCACAGTATTCGACAATTCAGCCAGCCGGCTCTCTTCAAAGACCTTTTCCCAATCCAATGAGTTTGCCGATGGAAAGCTACGCCTATTATCCTGAACAATATCCACAGCCGAATTATCCACAATATTACCCGCAGCCACCAACTATGCAAAGTCAACTTCAAGCGCCATCTGTGCTGAATCAGTCACTTCCACCACAGCCAATACTACCAATTTCAGGAAATCAAATGCCACAACAACCGTCATCAAGTCAGCCACAACGTCAAACAGGATCCTCGATGTATCTGGCACCTCCTCAACAGTATGCCCAACCTGGAATGCTACAAAACAGAAGGCCGAGCTTGCCCAACTATCAGATGGATCAACCTTTCGATGAGAGATTTGAGTAAAATCGAAATTAGGTAGCGCTAGTTAATATAATGTTCTTGTTGTTATATACATTGTTAGTCCTTAAGTTATTCTTTGTTGCAACAATTAATCCGGTTTATTAATAATAATGTTTTTTTACTTAATATTGTACTCCTTTGTTTAAATTTTTTAGGATTCCTTGACTTAATATTTTGTTATCATTGATTTTGTTGTCACTCATTTTATTTTGTACAATAAATGGGTCTACCACGTTTTACAGTAATATTCTTGGTTTCCACTTTGTTTTGTTAATCGATTTTAAAAATATTTCAAAGTCGAGAATCATGTGGACATTAACATTACAGTAGGACTCGCGTCTTTTCAGTACCCAACGCACTAAGTGAAGCATGCCCTTTCGCATGCTGCCTCAACATGAAACAATCGTGCTCACGAGCAGAAAACACTTGTTCATAATCTACTTGGCGCCCATTAAACATGGGCTTCATAACGAATTCTGAAGACTCTTTTGGCAATTATTTTGGTCAAAACTTGTTCATTGTTATTTATTTTTCATTCTTCTACAAACTGAAACCTCGGAACGGAGCGAGCACGGCTGCTTTCGGCCCTGGAGATGGGTTCAGATTCGGAACCAAAGAATGATGACAATTGGAAGTCTGTCTGTGCTTATTAATACATATAATAGTAGGTTACTCGGTTAGTCACTTTTTGATTATTAAAGCAGAGATTGGCTCAAAATGACAAAGTTCATCTAGATATTGTTGAGCTTTACTTGGCTTTGTCATTAGTTTTGTTTTTGCAAGCTCTGGGGGTTGGGAACGAAAGGGATTCTTTTGTTTTAGGTCAGGAATATTGAAGTAGGTGTAGATGGTTTGAAGTTGAGCAAGGTTGGTGTAGTTGATATGGTAATTGTTTAAATTGTCAGATTTCTAATCTTATATTGTGTTACAGTATCATTATATATGATTTATGCTTTCGTTTCTTGTTGTTATAGCAATTAAATACTTTTTTTTATAAAAGTAAAGGTTGTTTAAATTTAACTTATCAACATGTGCTGCAATATTACGTTGTTTTGTTTCGAAAGTACTACAGTAGTGTAATAATAAAGTGTAGATATTACAATACTTGACGTTTCTAATGCAATTTTGCGTTGTTTTTTCATTAATTCATGTTTTTAAACATATATGTAGCAGACAATGTACTGAATTCTCTTACTCTGCATGAAATATAATTTTTGATTGTTATGCTACGCTTGTTTACAACGTCTTCTTCTCTACATTTTTATTTATTTTGTCTGTCGAGCAGGGAGTTCGAATATTTTAATAACGACGTGTTATATATACATCTTGGGTTATTGCGTTTATCTTTGCATTCTTAAAATTCTAAAAAATATAGCTTTACTTCTACAAGAAAACGTCTATATTAATATATTGTACGCCATTTAATTGCCATTCTTATTTAAAACCCATTTCTTCCTAACTATGAACTTGACTTACGTTTACAGATTAATGCTCAACTTTACTTCTGTGATACTAATATTGACAATCTACAAACCTCCTTTGTATTTGGCGGCCAGACAGAGCTCTCACAAGAATTTGGCTAGTCTGGGCGTGGGTAAACTAGTGGACGAACAGAGAATCATAGAAAAGTTGTTGGATTACGAGAATGGGAAAGGATACGATTGGAGGTTGAGGCCTAAAGGAAGGTTGAATACAAGCAGCAGTGAAGGGCCCGTGGAGATTGTGGTCAACATGTACTTACGGTAAGTTCTTTAAAATTATGTGAGTGAAATGCGAAAAATTGTCAAATTTTAATTTTTAAAGAAGTGTTACAAATTTTAAAATTGTTTTAGTTGTCCCACTTTCAGGAGTATATCAAAAGTCGATGATGTTAACATGGAGTTTGCGTTACATTTCACATTTCGTGAAGAATGGGTGGACGAAAGATTACTCTTCTTCAGCCCTTATCATAAACATATTGTACTTTCTGGTGATCAACACCAAAGACGCAATACGAAAGGTAATTTGAGTTTTCTGAGACCTTTCAATTACTCAATATAAGACAATTCGCTTTTAAAACGCTTTAGGTCGTTAATCATGGAACTAACTACAAATCTAACTAGTAAACTATAAAGTATGATTTTTTAGTTTGGACCCCAGACACTTTTTTCCAAAACGAAAAGAACGGCAAGAAGCACATAGTAGATCTACCTAATGTCATGATCCGTATACACAATGCGACAGCCAAAGTCCTGTACTCATGTCGGTATGTTATCAGAGAATCAAGGTTTTTACAAAATTATTACTATTGGTCTGAAGTTATGAGGAGAATCATCTAATAAGTGATTTTTAAATCATTTTTGGTTAACTCACTGAATATATGCAATATTACTATCCCCCGTTATAGCATGACATTAACCCTGTCGTGTCCAATGAAACTAGCTGCCTATCCATTGGACGTACAGACCTGCTACATTGACTACGCATCGTACGCATATACTGCTCAAGAGATAAAGTACAGATGGAAGTTGGACGATCCAATTCAAATCAAACACGGGTTACATCAGTCGCTGCCATCCTTTACATTGAGCGAAGTCAGTGTGGGTAATTGTACCTCAGTAACTACAACTGGTACCTACAGTTGTCTCAGGACTATATTGAAATTAAAAAGAGAGTTCAGTTACTACCTACTACAACTTTATGTGCCGTCTTTCATGTTGGTACTGGTTAGCACGATATCATTCTGGTTGAACGAGGAATCTGTTGCAGCTAGGATTACTCTTGGTGTTACAGTACTTCTCACAGTCACCACTATGGTAAGTTTTTAATATAAATGAAAGAAATAAACTTGCTAACATATTCTATAATAATATTTCAAAGTATATTGTAAATGATCAAAAATGTCATTTTTTAGGCTTCTGGTGTCAATGCAAATCTACCACCAGTCAGCTACACAAAGGTACCGCTAGTTCTACATTAACTTAGTTTTTCTAGCATCTTTAGGTAATTCAAACCCCATTTTTTACTATTTAGAGCGTGGACATATGGATTGGAGTGTGTACTGGCTTCATTTTTGGAGCACTTCTGGAATTTGCGCTGGTGAACTGGGCGCTACACAAAGATATAAAATACAAAAACAGACTTCAGAAGCAGGCCACCTCTTTGTTGGACATGTAAGTTCAACATATTTTGAGAATTTAAAGTAAAAAATGGAATAAAAACATAAAGAGAAAGTATAGCAACTAAAATGGACTAATAAGAAAAGTTATGAATAGCTATAGAGAATATGTTAAAGTCTACAACAATATGATAACAGGACGGATGGAAAGATGTAATTTGATATTTTCAAAAACATAAAAAATCAAAATTACGTCTTTCATGCTTCCTAAGGTTATCTTCCAACAAGTTGACTTTATTTTAGACGTTTGATTAGACAATATCAATAAAATAATGAAACATTGAAAGAATTGGACAATTCACTAACGCAATATGAAACTTAAACCTGAAGAAGCTTGAACTTCAATATAAATCAGCAAAGGCAAAGTCCAAAGGCAAAGAAGGCATTTTCTCGAAAAAAACTATCAAAAAAGATAAATTTATTTTAAAAATAAAATTCAAAGCAAAATTTCGCGCCAAATCAAAGGGAAACAATGACTTCTTATACGTTAAAACGTGTCTTATACTTTTAATCATTTGAGGAAACATGAATTTGACAGTTCAAAAAACTATAATATAACCCTAAAGTTTATAAAACTAATGGAAACGCCACTGTATTTCAGGCATACTAGACATATGGTAAGGCCGGACGCCAATGCTGACGATCCGCAGGATTCAGCGCGTAGTTTTATTGGCATGTTCCAATGGTATCAACTCATGAAGCGGATACGACACAAAGAAAAGAGTCAGAAGATAGACATCGTGGCACGTGTGGCATTTCCTGTTTCTTTTCTACTTTTTAATCTTATTGTGAGTTGATGTTATTTGTATTTTTAATACTTTAAAAGTGCTTTTCATGAGTTTTGTATCTAAAATATTTATGACAAGTTTATTGTCAAGTAAGAGCAGCTTCTTTTAATAATTTTTTACGTGAAAATACGGTTTTCTGGTTTAAAGGGTTTGCTGAATATAAAAGTATCCCTTTTTGCTACTATTTCTTAGTTTATGTTGTTATAAGGCAGTGGACGAGTATTTTTATGTTAAGTTTAAGATTGACAACTACGTTACTTTATAGACTAAAGCTTTTCAAAATACGGTGTAATATTGTAACAGCACACTTTTTGTGTATTATCTGAATGTTTTTTAGTATTGGGCGTATTATCTCACACCGTACATGGCTGTGAAGTCAACAACTCGTGTTTCGGCCAAGGATTTGTGATGTAACCTTTTTACAACAAATAAATAATACCATAGATAACGTGAAGTTTTTCTAATTTTATTCGCTTTTTACTTCGAAGTTTTTTTGGATTTTTGTAATTGTAAAATACGGAAGTTGTTTCTAAGATGTCTTAATGCTATAGTTTGAGGACTATAAACGTAAAAAATGGTACATATAGAGGTTGTTCAAATAATGCTGTGCTTCCTAACTCTGAAAATTTGCTTTGAGTGGGGGCACATAATTATTTGAACAATAAAATATACTTGTTTTACTACCCTTCACACTAAGCTTTGGGGATAGAAGTATAAATAATGGAAGCCAGAAGCTGAGTACTGTAAATGAACCGTCGACCTCTAAACACTCCATAAATTCTGGGATTCGTGTCGTCAATTAGGCTCGTTTAATTTCATTTTCCTGCAGATGTCATCCAATTGACGTCGTGTTGGTCGAATCACGGTGACGCCGAGGCGTTTAAAACCTTTGGCCTTTAAGTGTGTTTAAAAATCAACAAAACCGCAGCGGAAAAGCCCTCCAGAGATAAAGCCCGCGGCGAAGACGTCAGACACGAGGCGGGGGGAACGGAACGTCGTGCCGTCCTCCTCTTTCTTCACGTCTTGGTCCTCTTCTTCGCCATCTACATTGACTATATATTGATTTTGTTTTGGCCACGGGAAAAGAGAGCGTTTTTTGTTTACTCGGTCCCCCCCCCCCCCCCCACCAATTTTTCTCCATTTTTTGCGCCGCTGAACGGCCCTGTCGAATTTATTTTTTACTGCCAAAGAAAGAGTCTTACTTTTCGCCAAACTCGAGATTCAACAAATTCAAATATTGGGTTTGATTACGAACACAGTTACTGTTTGTACTTTTGGGCATGGGCACTGTTTTGTGAGGTAAAAACGGGTAGAGCTAAAGAATGGTTTATACTTGGAAATTGCAAAACTTTACAGTAATAGTTCATTGTAACTGACAACTAGTTTGCTTATTATTTGTATATGCTTGTACGTAGATTTATAGATTTGATTATATTGTTATTTGGTTTTGTAGTCGTCTTAAAAGCTTGGTCTTTTAATAGTTTTGCAAATCAGCTTCTTAAAATTGATATAGACGCAAGTTTATTGTACACTGTTTTCGGTGTTGATCAATACTATTTCATAAAGATTCAAACTTTAAATTTAACTAATTAAAAAATTTTAAAACCTTTTTTTATGTTGTTATTTTTAAAATTTTACAAATATTTAATTTTGGACGCACATATTTACTTGAAAGGTTACGTGTGCAGTGAGTGCCATAGGAATATATGCAAATATTAACTAACACTGTTTTACTCGTTGTTTAATGGTGAATGTAGGCAGTATCAAATAGTAGCTTTAGAGGTATCTTGCTTTTTTGTGGTTGGGGCAGTTGCGGACGGTCGATTTAAGCTGATAAAATTTTTTAAAAGCTTTTGTGTTTAGGCATTTTCACTTTAATTTTTTATAAAGGCAGAACTCATTAACTTTTAGGATTTTTCAAAGACTTTTGTTGTGGTACGAAACCCCGCTACAGTAAAAATTTTGCAATCTTTTTGCGATTCGTTACATCGGGACTTCACTGTATGTAAAAATGCCAATGGATTATGTTTTCAGCCTGCTTTTAACGTGTCATCCTAAAAAAGGTTAAACGTCGTTTTAGAATTAAAATTTAAAATTTATATTTGTATATTGGCGTAAACATTAAGATAGTTCAAGTAGGTTTCTCACTTCTGAAGTGTGGCTATTTTTAAAATCTTGACGTTAATTTTACTCCGAATGACGTCAAATTACTTTTGTTTTTAAAGTTTGGAAAAGGATGCCATTTGAAAATGGAGTGACGTCGTGTTTTGGAAATTAATTTCACTTTGGGAGTATTGTACGAAATATACAGTTTTAAAGTATTTTTAAAGATATTGAAGTATAATTTCTACTTTTATTTTTAGGTAACATTTTTTATATTTTGCGGTTTTAAGTTTTCTATTTTTGCAATTTATAATTGTAATTGTATTTATAATACTATTTTTGTACACTGCCACCTACAACTACAGTCGTGGTTTTTAAACTTCTGTTCTTTAAAATTACTTTCCAACTGCTCTATAACATATTAGTACAAGATATTTTCGTTGAAACACTTTTCCATCTTTACATTCTTGCAAATGTAATCCTATTAGTAAAGCTGTCTGTGACTTTGTCACTTTATTACATCTTTATCCACCTGTTTCTGAGATGGCTAGATTAGAAAAGATCGTTAAATATCAATAATACGGTATTTTACGTTTTTAAATGGTTTTTGATGTTCTGTAACACTACGATCACTAAAATTGTACTTTGGTAGACCTTTAAATTTAGTTCTTAAAATAAAAAAATTGAATTTTTGAAAAATGTTTTAAGAGTTTGGCCTTATAAATCATAAAATAGTAGGCTTTTGGCAATAACAAGTTTTGGAATTTTAAAAGTTAAAGGTTTATTATAGTCGCCATGTGTAATTCGAGTCTTTTTTATGTCATTTTGGAAAGGGAAAATGGGTTTTGCCTCTTCTTTCCACTTTTTCGACCGAAATCGCCACTAATTGGCCATGGAATTTTGTGTCTGCGACAAACTCTTTTTGAACTACTTTTTTGCATTACACTTTTATCTTTTACAAATTTACAATAATTGTAAAAAGTAAAACATTTACCGAAGTTTTCTGGTATTGTTAGTTTTGAAAGCGAGTAATCAAGGTGGTTTTTGACAGTACACTTCTGTATAACGAATAGCTCGGGGATTTAAATAAAATTTGTTCGTTATAAGAGATTTTCGTTAACAATGGTTTGACCTTATTATTGTATCTCATCGTGTTGTCTTAATATTTTAGTTATTTTAATCTCATCATATAAAAAAATTAATTTCAAAGACAATAAGTTTTGTGTATTAACACTTGTAAAAAGCGTTCTGAGCGATTGATTTTGACCTCGGGAGTTTAAAAAGCATATTTTCATTCAAGGTATTTCTTTTAAAGGGGGAGGGGGCTTTTTACGGTTTTTTAGGGTGGAGAGACTTCTGTTTCTTTTCATACTTGTTTTTTGTACTCATAAATTAGAGCTTTAAATTGTCAATACTGTTTTCATAAGTTTTTTCATTTTTTTGTTGATTTTATTCTAGTTAATGTTACGGTTTTTTGCTTTTAATAAGCGAAGAATGGGTAAGGAGAGGAGACATTGGGGGAAATTTTCGGATTAATTTTTTTTAGAAATTTTGAGTTGTCGGTCGGTTGGCTACATTCAAATTTTTAATTTTTGGAAATTTTTAAAAATCGGAAGAATGATTTACGTATATTAACAATTTAAAAACAATTAAAACTTACTAATCCCCAAAGCCAAAAATCACCTATACGGTACCGGGTAAATTTTTGAAGACGTTAATTTCGGGGGAAACAGGCATTGGAAGGTTTTATCCGTCCAAATCACCTCGAATTTGAAGTGACAGAAGAAAGAAAGGGAGTGCGTGTGAAAGGAGTTCTTGGGGTTCCTTTTCGGCACGATAGAGTGCCAAAAAACGAAAGAATTCCATACACTCCAAAGGCCTCGCAGAAAAAAAACTCTCGAGGCAAACGGGCGAAAAAACGGAGGGAAAAAAGAGGACGGCCGCCGAGGCCGCTAAGGCCACGTTTCGGCCGCCGCACTGTCCCGACCTCGTTTCTCTATATTCTCCATTTTTTCTAAATTTATATATTTTTTGTCCTCCCGCTTCGTTATATCATGCGAAATCCAGATGAGCTGCCTCGAATCAGACTTCGGGGCATGGGTGGGGGATGATTGTATAGTTTTATGTGTAAGGGGAGGTTTGGGACGAGTTTGTTGGGGGTGTTAATAAGGGGCTTTTGGGTGAAAATGGAAAAGATTTTAAGAAAAGCTGTTATTCAAGACGACTTTTTTAAATTTTGTGCTTTTTATAATGTTGCTCTACGGTTATCTTTTAAAATCATTTTTTGATTTATATGATTCAAGCTTCAGAAGAATTAACTTTTCAAAAATTAACTTTTTGAAATTTGTATTGGTTTTTCATACTTTACCTTTATGTCAAATTTTTATAAATCTTTATTACCTGATATTCCAAGATTTTCAATTTTACTTAAATCTCCGCGTACGTTTTACATCTCAATGAGATCATAAACCCAGCCCGTGGCCAACTTTTCCAATCTGTCAATTAAAGCCCTTTAGGACATAATCGCGGTTTTAATTGTTTTTGGCGCTAATCGCGGGGATTTAATGGAAATTAATGCCCGTTTTTGGGGCCCGCTTTTTATTGTAAACTTTTTTTTCAAGATTCTTGTGCTAGCGGCCGTTACACAACTGAACATTCTTCTAGCACGGCCCCGACGCAATGCTCTTTGGAAGAGGCGTTCAACTTGGTAAGGGCTTTCTTTTCGTCTTATTTTATTGTTTGAGGCTGGGGATTTGGATGCAAGTTTTATATTAGTCAAGGTTTCGTATCTTAGTGTAGAGCAAAGTAAAATTTTAAAAAAGTTATAAACTTATATTTATATAAGTTTTAAAAAGATTGTCAAATGTTTTAGAAAATCATGGCTGACTTGTAGCTTATTTCTTTTATAAAATAAAAATGTTACCTAAACTCACCTTCAAAACTTCAGAATGACCTATTTCTTGAACGCTACGGAGCCGCGACCGGTGAGCATCCAGAACGAATCCGGGGGCGCCAAATTGGCTGGCAAAAACGCTGCGGCGCCCCCGTCGGCGCCTTGCACCTCATCGTCGTCGAACGGCACCAGCACGGTGAGTGGATGCGCGGTGAGAATGGATCAAGCGGCGTACTCGGCGCGTGCCATGGTCCACCCCAACCACATCATCTACCGCAAGATGGAGGGGCTGATCAAGCAGATGCTCGATCCCGAGGCGGGTGTGCCAATCAAGACGGTCAAGAGTTTCCTCTCCAAAATCCCATCAGTATTCACGGGCATGGACACGATCGCCTGGATCCTGCGTTCGGCCGACGTCGCTGATATCGCGGACGCACTTCACTTGGCTCACATGCTCGCCTCACATGGGTATATCTTTCAAATCGACGATCATGTGCTTACGGTGAAGAACGACGGAACGTTTTATCGCTTTCAGACGCCCTACTTTTGGCCGTCCAATTGTTGGGAACCCGAAAATACGGATTATGGTAAGAATTTTGAGAATTTATTTATAATTTATTGCATTTCCAAAGTTTGACTATTAACAAAATTTAAATTATTAAAAATGAAATTGAATAAAAAATTAAATGTTATAAGATTTTTTACTCGAAACTGCCTCTACCTTCTTTTAAACACCAATTTTAAATCAATAAAATTTATAATAAGGAAATATGGGTGAAAAGTCAAAATTAGCGAATATGTTTAGGTATGTTTGCAGAAGTATTGAATTACATTTGTAATTTATTTGCAAATTTTCAGCTGTTTATCTTTGTAAAAGAACCATGCAGAACAAGGCCCATCTGGAGCTGGAGGACTTCGAAGCAGAAAACCTTGCCAAACTACAGAAGATGTTCAGCCGGAAGTGGGAGTTCGTGTTTATGCAGGCTGAGGCTCAGTATAAGTAAGCGTCTTCTGCCATTTCATTGAGTCATTAATACTTTTGTTTAGTCGTGGATACCTTAATATATAAATGATATACAACTTATAATGTTAACCTCTCAAACTTCAGGGTCGACAAGAAGCGGGACCGTTTAGAACGACAGATTCTCGACTCGCAAGAACGTGCGTTTTGGGACGTTCATCGACCAGTACCAGGATGTGTGAATACAACAGAAGTGGACTTCAGGAAGTTGTCGCGAGCTGGTCGGCCGAAATACTCGGCTTCGAATACGTCAATGTTGAATGCGGCAGCTGCTGCTGGCTTCAACAACGTGCTGGACGGAAATTGTGGCACGTCTGGAGGACAGCCTCAAGTGCTGAGGTGTTCGCCGAACCAAGATGCAGTCACGGTGGAGAAGACGTTGGATAACGGTGGACGACACTACTTGAGACCGGGTCTGAGACGGTGCACATTGCTGCAGGACTCAATTAAGCATGAGGTAAGTTGAAAGCAGAAACCAATAGTGTAGCTTAGAAATATATACTGTTGCTGTTAAGTAATACCATAAAATTTTTTCAAAATTTTTTTCTTACACTTGTACTTCCAGATAACCCTACTACAAGGTCGCCTGTCTCAGAACGTGCTCAAAACCTCAAAGATATTCGAAAACTACCAGTCGTATTTCGAGCAGCGCAAGTTTTTCGACTGTTTCATCTTCCCCTTAGGCTCAACCACCGATCCATTCCAGTCCCACGCCAACCCATGGATCTCGGATACTATCGACTTTTGGCAGCACGACAAATCGTATGTTTTACTCCAATGAGTGATATCTGAAAAAAATTTTTTAGCCAACTTTTTAAAATTTTTAATAGCGGGAATAACGTTTCATATTAGTGCCAACAACTGTATCATGTTTGAAACCAAAATTTAGGTATATTAATTTATTGTTGAGGATAACAACGTGATAATTTCAGGACCGGAGATATATCAACACGACGGTTAAAACTCTGGGAACTCAGCTTCGAAGAGCTTCTCAACGACCAGTTGGGTCGAGAAACTCTTCAAAAGTTCCTGGACAAAGAATATTCGGGTGAAAATCTGCGCTTCTGGTTGGAGGTAAGTGAACTAAAATTATTTTCAATGCGGTCAAAAATTTAACAGAAGTATCTATTGGTCAGCCTAAATAGAACGTAAAAGCCTTGACTGGTCAGTCTCAATAGATCATAAGAGACTTGTCGCTGTTAGGGCGATAATTTTCAATTTAAAGTTGATTTTCAACCTAAACTTGACTAATTTTAGGTTCAAAAACTCCGCAAATGTAGCAGCCGCATGGTACCAGTACTGGTAACGGAAATTTACAACGAATTTATTGACTCAAACGCCACATCGCCGGTAAATATCGATTGCAAAGTCATGGAAATCACGGAGGAAAATCTGCATAATAATCCCAATCGATGGTCTTTCGACGAAGCAGCGGTAAGTACTGGACTAGACTAGTCGTTTGATCAGTCAAGCAATGTTTTTTTTTATTTTTTACAATTTTTATTTTACCAACGATATGTCATTATTGATTTTTGCGTTTCGGCGTCTGTTTTTGATAAAAATTCAAAATTTTGACACATATTTCGAGTTTAATTTGTATCTTTTTACCATACCGTTCCAGGAACACATCTGCGCCTTGATGAAGAACGACTCGTATCAACGATTCCTGCGCTCCGACATGTATCGCGACATGGTGAATTTGTCGCGGAAAAAGGTGCGAAAGTTTTTAAAGTCTTCGAGCACTCCGTTTTATAATTACTCCAATTCTCACTGAGTTTCGGATTTTATTTTCAATTTTAAGACCTTAGTTAAACACTTTCAAAGTTTTTTTACCATTTTGTTTTGTTGGGACCTACTTTAATATTATGTATGATCCATTCCTCAAAGTTACAGTATTTTTTTACAGTATTTGGTTTTCAAGTTGAATTTCAGTCAAAATTGATGTTGCTGAAGGCATCTTTTACAACATTTTGGTTTTTTTAAAAGTTTTAATGACTTCTAAAGCAAGTTTTCGTTAGTTTAAAATATGGTCTTGCAACGAAAACTTGCAAGTTTAAAACTTAATTTGAAAACCGGAAATATTGTATAGAATGTATCATACACAACTTCTCCGTACTAGATACTGTATTATTAACACGGGTTTTACTATTTTTTACAAAATTTTTTAATTTAAAACAAGTGTAATGTAAAATATTATAGTATGTCAAGTTGGGACAGAAAATGTGGTTTGCGTGGTACTGTAGTTTGTGTATTATAAGATATTACTGGGACTTGAAAAGTATGAAAACAAATAGTAACTTATAGCTTGGTATAAACTCTAAATTATGTTTTAGTTGCTAGTGGTACAGAAAACTATATTTTTGGTTAACAACTAGTATTAAAATGCTGGTGTAGGCTTAAAAATGGTTTTTAAGATCTGAGAGAACTATTTTTGATTAGTTTTTAATCACCTCTTCTAGTTATAAACATTGTAAGTTATGGTACTACTTAGAGTAATACCTAGAACCTAGAAGACATTTTAGTACTATTTCAAATACCACTAAGGGTTTGCAGTACCAGAACTAGAACAACAGACACTGTACTAATACTCACGGCTTCTCTTCTTCAAGCTTGTTGTTATGAATGTATATTTCGATGTAATGTCCACTTTCAACGTTTACTTTGGCTGTCCTTGCCTGGATTGACTTTGCTTTCTTCTAACATCTTTTACGCTTTTTTCCGTTACATTTTTGGGTTCGTGCTGTTTAGTACTATTTAAAAAAATGTTGAAACGGTTATAAGTTTAGTTTATAAAACTGATTTTTTGTTTTATTTTTAGGGGAAGGTACTTTAAGTTAAGACAATTTGCTTCAGAGTTCAGTTAAGTTTATTTTTGGGTTTTCAGGATACAAAAACGCTAGTAATCCTGGCGATACTGGTGTTACAGTAATTTTAAAATTTCATTTAGGCTCACTCTTCTGTAGTATTAACCTATAATAACAAGTTTTTGTTTTATAGCTTAAGCTTTAACTTTTTATATAGTTCATATAAATATGAGTACTGACCAGCACAAGTACTATTCAAATACCAGTACTGATCAGCACAAGTACTATTCAGCACCTAACCAAAACTGTGTTTTTGTCGTTATTTCAAAGAACTACTGTCGCCACTGTCGGTGTTATCCTTTTACTATCTTTGTGTTTCCTAGCCTTAGTTTTTGAATTGTAAAATACCGAGATCTTATTGTATTTCCATTTGTTATTGTAATCGATATGTTGATGCCAAATGAATCATGAAACAGTTTTTGTTCGAATTTGTTTTAAGCGCTACTTTTGAGTTGGCTTCGAAGGTTTTTGTTGGGCTAAGGTGTAGAGTTTAAGGTAATGGTATGCAATCGTATGGCAGAGTAAGTTTCAAGTTTTTTGATGGTAAAAGAAAGTACGATTGTGTATTTTGTTTTGAGGTTAAAATATAAAGTGATTTTATGACATTGTATGTGGTAGTTGCTTTAAGTGTCATTATGATATCAAAATGGGAATGATGACAGTTTTGAATTACTTGGTAAACTTATTTACTATAGTTTTGATGCTAGTAGAATTACTTACAAAAACCAATTTGAAAATTGCATGACAAATAACGCGTTTTACCTTATAAGGCTTCAAAGTGTAGTAATCGTTTTGATCAGAGACATTTTAAAATTACATGCAATAAATTTTAAAAAGTTTAAATCTTAGCCTCCGGTCTTTGTTTGTTTCCACGTTCTTTCTGCCATATTGTTATGGTATTACTCTGTGTGCTTCTCTTGGATGTAGTGCCGTAATCTGAACTGCTTGACTGTTTCTGCACGCTTCTTAATCCATTCTTTACTCTGCGATTTGAAAAAGTTTTGTTATTGAGGGTTCTAGTATAATATTTCGTATTTTTAATATTGATATTCATCCTTAACACGCTAATGTTATACTAGTACCATTTGTCACTACAATAACACTACTTAATATTATTTTTTTTACATTGCTGGCCCCTCCACCCGCTTCTGTGTGCTTGATAACCTTGTGTTTCCTGTGTTACTTTCCCTTTTGCATTAACTGATTTTATTTACCATGGTCGACGGTTTTTCATTTGATTTTGCAGAGCTCGTTGAGTGCGCTGATTTCGCGGAAAACGTCGCGAAAAGTGCCGGCGCCTCGATCCCTGTCTTCCAAGTCGGCCAACTCGTGCGGCGGCGGAGGCGCGGGCGGCGGAGGCGGGTCGGCGTCGCTCAATTCGTCCTTCACGGACTCCACGCAACCGGCGCAACGCGGCGTGTCGCCATCCGCCGTCAGCGCGATCCTGGCCGCCAACCCGTCGCCGCAGCCACGGACCGGCTCGTTCCGGTCGGTCGTGCCCAGCCCCAAACACTCGACGGCTTCAGAGCCGGCCCGCAAGGCCTCGATGAACCCGCAGCCGTCGAACTCGACGCCCACGCCCTATTTACAGCTACCGACACACTGATGTGTTTCCACATATTTATTTTGTTTGATTATTTTTCGTTATCGTTGTCAGCTGATTGCGAATGAGCTTGGTGCAGGGTGTTTCGTGGTCTTGTGTTCCAGAGCCGTTGGATTCGAATTTTGAGTTTGAATTTTAAAATATTTAAGTTTAAAAATGATTTTAAATTTACTTTTTTTTTGAAAAAAATATTTTAAATTGAACTTTAAACTTTAATGTCAAATTCGAATTCGAGGGTCAAACCCAATCTCGGTCACGCATGGCCAAGCTCATTTGCGATTGTCATCGGAAACAAGTCGGGCAGCTATCGTGTTATGTTAGGAATGTAAACCAATGTCATATCTCGTTTCCTGGCTTTACCGCGCTGATACTTGGCTTACAATTATTAAGTTGCTAGATCGAACAAACTTTTAAAAACTGGTTTGGTCCAAAAGTTCTTAGAATTACCTACTAATAAATTCTCAAAGATTCCAATTTTTGAGTCATTGACAGGTACTTCTACGCACTTTTGGACCGGACCAGTAATGTTGTCACTACTCGAGATTACCCTTCAGTTCCAAGAGTATACTTAAGATTAAGTTTTATATATTTGGTTTGTGATGTACTAGTCTTTACCCCAGTTATGTCCTGGTTTCCATTTTTATATGTTGAGGGTACCATTTTACTATGTTTAACCTTATGTTCATGTATATAACAACTCTTTTTCGTCTGATCGTATACTCGCTTCAATACTATTATTGTGTATGGTTTAATAAACTAGGAATAATGAGATAAGTAGTGGTATACGAACGTTGTGGTAGGTACTAAAGTAGCATATTATGGTAGGCAATGGCTGAGTTTGATGAATGATAAGAGTACTGTATTAAAAAGAGGGGGTAAAAGCTGCGTAAATTATTAAAACTTGTCAATTATAGTTTTTTTAGGGGACAAAGATTACTCACATGGGTCCCACCACGAAAACTTTAAATTTCAATATGGTTTACCACTTGCAAAGATATTATTTACAAAATTTTAAAAATTATTTTTATTTTGTTTAACACTTTTTTAGGTATATTTTTTAAATTTTACTTTGGTTAATTTACATTAACATAGATTATGTTCACCTTCACACTTTTAGTTGATTTACAATACCTTTTAACTTCTCTGTTCTATTCTTTTCCTTTAGGCTTCATGGTGGCCCACACGCTAGACTCACAGCTTCTGAAGCACACAGCTACACGAACTTCTACAGACTTAACAGTTTGCACTGGCACTTACATTTACCGCTTTTTATGATTTGAGGGATGGTATCTTACTATTAGTTGACTTTATAGGTTCTTGAGATTTTCAAAGGTTTTTTATATTTTCAAAATTTAAAAAGTTTGAAACAACATTGTACTAGAAAAAAGAACTTTAGGGTTGATTGACTATCTAAAACAGTTACAGTCAAATCTCTTTGATATGACACTCAAGGGGCTTGCCCAAAGTTATAAGTTGATAGTCATACTATACAGGCACATTTTTCTGTTCTAGTAATTATTTATTATAGGCGGTCCTCCAGTAATTACAATAGGCGGTCATTTCAAAAGGGTGCCACTTTTTACTATCGAGGGTCACACTAAAGAGTTTGTACTGTAATTTTAATAATTTTTCATTGACAGATGGTTTTTTACTAAATACGCTACGTAACATACATTACATACACCCAGCTTTAAAAACACTTTACCGTAAAAATACAAATATACATCATCATTTAAGGCACTTTTGTACTAGCACACCGCTTCCAAGCACTTTATACGTAGCATAGTAAACAGTACGGGTTGCTTATCACTGTAAGCTGATACTCAGTAAATTACTGTAGTTTAATTTTGTTTTGACTATTTTTACGTTGTAATAAACAGTTTGCTAACATCCACAATATACCTAAAATAAGGTTGACAAAGCCGAGTATAAATCATAGGTTGGTCAATAGACCTGTCTCAGAACTTTATCCCCTCCCCCCTCCACAAGGTTGATTTCTTACCTCTTAAGCTCCAGTTAAATTAGATTATGCAGTAATATTAATATTGTCATAAGCCTATTATTTGTCATCATCAAACATTATAATTGATGGAACTGTAAGTTGGGTATGGTTGGTGTTGGCTTAAGTTGCTATATTGGATTCCTTTTGAGTTACAGTTTGCTGCTTTACAGTAAGTTTGATTATTTATTGTTTCAGGGTTAAAGTACATTTAAAATTGACTTCAAAATCTACTTAAAACGATAAACTTTTTGATTTTACTATCATTATTTTTATGATATACTTTTGTTCATATATTCTAATACAAGGTAATCAAGTTAACATATAAACAGAGTTCTAATATGTTACAGTAAAAAGTCTCAGCACGGTATAATTTTAAATTTTAGGTAAAAATGACTCGCGATATTGGCATTAGATTCCCGAATCTTGGTGCATTTGGCTCTACTCACAATACGAAAAGAGATAGCACGGCTCAATTATCGACCGGTAACGTCAACGCTCAGTTGGCTTCACCACATCAACATTCGGCCAGTTTTGGCAATCAAGCACCGGGCTCTGTACCTTCTGCCAATTCTCTTAACAATTCGGTTTACAACTCACAGGTAAAATTATATTATACTTGGTAACATATGGTACCGTAACATTTTTTAACTGAAAGAATTTACCAAAAAGTTACTAAGAAATAACCTTAACTTTTTACATTAGAATTATATTGTACATAACAATACCAAATACTAACTAACATTAAATGTAATATTAATATAATACTTTAAAGTCTGGTATATCCCCGACAGCAGCTACAGCACCGTCTTCATTGATGAGGTTCCCATCCTATGGTGCCCAGATGTTAACATCAAATAGAAATTCAAGTGGATCTGACACTCGATCAGCCTCGATATCTCTACCACGCTCATCCAGATACGACAACAGTAACCCGAACAGTAATATGGGCAGTAACTCTGCCAACTCGGCTCAAAGTTTAAATGACCGGCTTTCTTAGAGTTACTTTACATTTTTACATCTTCCATCTATTTTATAGGTATATATTTACGAAATTTGCATACATTGATATCTAATTAATCTCAAAGAAACTATTATATTGTAATACCGAATAAATTGTATAAAATACTTTGATTGGTCTTTTTAAATTTGTCTCTGTGTAGGCAAGAATCAACATTAATAACCAGACACATTACCTAAAATCAAGAGAAATATGATAAATGCTCTTGTTTCTTATCAAACAAGATTTACATCGGCGTTTAACCTCTAAAATGTGATCTAAATGCGCTTAAAGCACTATAAAGCAGAAGAATAACTACCCAAATTATAAAAAAAAACAAAATATACACAAGTCCTAACGATCTGAGCTTGCCAGCTTTTATACCTAAACTCACAACAATATCGATGATTCTTCGATGATCTTCGTTCACATTCCAATAAAACAGCTTCCTAGTTATTCCGATGGCTCCAGGTCCTGAGCTCATTGATGCCACACGCTAAAAAGAGTTCCAGCCTGAGGAAATTGAAAAGTCTGGAATAATATTTTGATTTATTTTCGATTTCCAATGATTCTATCGGGTTTTTTTTATTTTGCGAACGAAGTGCCAAAAAATAATCTAAAATTAAGAAAAAATAATTTTTTTGGCAGTTTTTGTATGTTTATCTGTAATAAAAGTATGCAAGATTAATACGTTTTTACGCTCACTTAATTCTAATAATAAACAAGAAATTTCATGATATTTTGATGCTTTGGCAGCCGAGAAAATAAGTTTCTATACTACAATCAATAAAATTAATTTTAAAACGATTTTTATTGTACAGCTGAGTCTTTGGAACAATGCTTTTCAATATGAAAAAGATTGTGAGGAAATGGTACAAATGGTACTGTTTGAACAGTCATGATGTCTTCACCGGGCAGCTGGAGCAGCACGCTTTGGGGTTGGAGATTACTGTGTTTTGAGATCGTTGACGATGTAAACATTCGAAAATACTATCGAAACATTCTGTGTCACACATTTTTACAATTTCGCACTAAAACAATTTGTAAATAGATAGGAAACAAACTTTAAAGAACTTTAAAAAATCTTCCATAGTGTAAAAGTTACAGTAATTTTAAAGTTTTAAGGCAAATTACCTGTGATTTGCCAATTTTGATCTTGTTATCAATAAATCGTTTACGTTGTACTTCTTTGTCTACAAAAGCTTTTAGAATTCGGGCGTTTGTTATCATGTTGGTCTCACAGATTTGTCTAAAGTTATATTATTACAAATTGCTACAGTAATATAAATTACCAAACAAGATATTTCTTGAGCACTATAGAACTTTTTCGATAACAATCTAATACTAGGGACCTAAGTCTTTAATCATTTTTGTTATATATAATTTTATGTTACAATAACATAAGGTTATGCATTGATAGTTACTGTATAAGCTTCTTTTAAAGTTTTTATTGTCTAAAAATTTTTACTTTTTGCAAAAACATTAATATTCAAGAGCAACTACAAATACTATATTTGGTTTACTATATACTTACTTGACCGGTAGTACGACACCATGAGTTACAGTAACCATTACAACTAACAAGAAAAAGAGAGCGAACCTCATGGTGAATGGTGATCGACAATGTGTAGTAGACTAGCTGGCTCCGTTCCTTTTATACCTGCCCAGTTCGCTCGGCATTCACGTGAGTAATTAAGATATTCTTCTAGAACTTTCAACGGATCAAAGATTTGTGACACAACAGGTCGCGCCGCAGATACGATCACAGATGTGATCTTTGAATACGCGATTGTAGCTGACCCCGGGCTTGGTCGATGTTACATATCCAGCTTCTAGAAGGCACTGTTGTGAAGAAGGGCAAGGTTTGATCGGAGATCACTCGGCCCAAAAAGTTTTGGCGTATCTCTGAGGATTATTTATTTATTTTCAAGAATTCACTCGTACAGTCATAATATAACATAAAATCAATATAATATAAATTATAAATTTTTAAAGATAAATGACAGTACAGTGATGAGCGTTTTAATAGCTATTGATCCCTTAGTTGTCTTAATGATCTAGGAAAAAAAGAGTTGGCCTTAACACACGTCCTGGAGTAAGGAACGTGGCATTGGGCCGCTCTTCTAGACCTAGAATCTCTCAGGACAGACTTTTGGGCAGACGATACAACTATCCTGTTATTTATTATAGAACATTATGGTAGTTTTTGAAGGTTCAAGGCTAATGGCATACATATTGTACTAGTATATAAGTGCTTGCTAATTCACATGATGTTCTTTAGTGTTGCTTACATCACAGTATGTATACTTGCTTTTCCTTGCTTCTCAGAGTAAAAGTTAGTTTTAGACACCTATAAAGTTCACGAAAATATGTTTTTAAAATAAAACTACATATTATTTAAATCTTTTTATGTTCACGTGACTCTTACTTCGAATACCTATATTATAATTTAGTCATGGTCTGTCACATTCTCCGTACATCTTGATTAAAGTTTAATCGGTTCCAAGGCTGTAACATACGATCGTATAGTGAGCGTATCTCATGGATTTGCACGTAAATTTTGTATAGCTTGTGCTGCGGAATTTGCATAAATTTGTGGTTTGGGTTATGTTTTGTGAGCGGTATAACCAATTCTATTATAGTATTCGACAACAGTTTCAACTATTTTTGGTTGGTATTAAAAACAATAAAATTTTATTTTACTATCTACAAAATAAAATTTTTTTGTTTGTTATGATGCTAATGTTGCAAAATTAATTTATATTTTTATATCAAACACTATAGTATTTTAAATTTTGATGTAAAGATAAAATATGTTCAAACTAGTATGTATACATAATGATAGAGATATTTTAATAAACTTTTAGACATCGCATTTAATAGAATCTTGATCAAAGGTCTCGATCAATCCGGTTTAAAGGTAAATCTTTTTAAAACCATCATTCTACCATCTCGAGAATGATCATCTCGAGAGTGTAGGCAGGTTTGATGATATATCTCTTTTAACCTTTAAAAATTGTTTACGAATATAAAAGTTAATCGTTTAAGGTAACATTTTAACATGCAATCAACTTAAAATCATTGCTTTTTTAGACCGGTTCATGTGCACGATACTAATCTTTAATTTATGTTTACTACAAATAATTCGTACTAGTTTGGCTGAGGAAGTTATCAGGTAGAGGCTGTACTGGTCCGTTCTATAACTGAGGGCGTCGTCTGATCAGTTGTTGATCTTAAAATTATTTTGTGCTAAATATCAAGTATTCGTAAGACATTAGCATTTTTGAAATACAGTAAAACCTCTGTATGAGGAACCTCTATATAACGAAACCCCTGTATAACAAACAACTTTTATTTGAGATACCTAATAGTTTGACTACATTTGTCTTAAGAATGTCCTTCTCTTGCTCTGAGCAAATATATTACCTTTTGCGATGAATATCTGTCATCAAACCTAAATGAAGAATCTCCTTCGAAACGAGGAACGAGCAAAGATCAAGGAGAATTTATATTTAAAATGTCAAGGTGTTTACAACCCTACAATAAGGTTTTTAAATGTCTTAAAAATTAAAAACAAAGTTTAAGCGATACTGTATATTAGAAGTATGTTTTTATATTATAATATATTACCAAGACAATAAATTTTTAGATATTACATGAAAATGGCAATTGTTTTTTTTCGTCATCTTATGAACGACACTTACTCTGATTACTAACTTTTGTCTTTTTGTTTACAGTTTCAATTAATAATCGTACAAAAACTTTTCGAAATATATTCAAATAATTGAATATTGAAATTACAAACACGTTGTTAAAAGATGACATTTCAACTCAAACGACGCCGACTTTTTATAAATATGCCAGGTTTTACATTATCAACCATAGTTAGCTTACAATGAGGTTTCTGATTGTTCTGTTTTTTATTGTACTAGTTGTGGTGGCTCAAAGCCCTAAGTAAGTCAAGATTTCAATTACCTTGACAAAAGTTTGAATTATATAATACATTTGAATTTAGAGGATAATTAAAATGTCACAGTAATTTTCAGCTTTATATTACTTTATGTTTAGCTTTTAAGTGTTTAATCATACTGTAGCGGGCATTTTAGTCCCTCCTGCTACCCCGTTCTTTTCTAAAGCAGCCTCAAATAGTACAGAGCCGAACTTCTCATATTATACTTTATTGAGGAGACCAGTAGGGAGAGCGTCCTGCTCCCTACGCCTACAATAAATGCAACTGACTTCATACGGCGATCTCGGGTCATTCGTATGTTTCGAGCAAGCTAATTTATTGCTTGCCCGATCTCAGAAAAGACTCGAGATCGGCCCGTAACAATACTTATGTGTATGCAAAATTTATATACTTTTTTTATACATACATACTTGCAAGTACAAATAATATAGTACAATTACAGGAAAGAATGTACTGACGGTATGGAAAAAGCTGCCACAGCTCTCGCATTAGTTGTTAAAAAGGACAAAATGCGACACCAAATTGTAGATAAGGTTTGGGAATTAGTAAAAAACGAAGTAAGTACATGTATTGTACTATTATACACATGTATATGTTAAACTAGTGAATGGTAAAATAACAGCTTTACTTTTATAGAAAGTATTTTTTTAAATACAGTATTATTTTACATTTCCAGTGTGAAGCAAAGCACGTTTGTGACCAACCATGTTCCCAAGGCATCTTCGCATGTCTGGACAAGCAATATGATTCTACTGAAGTAGTTGTGTCGCCCGAAAACTGTTGTGGAGGTTGTCCAGGACAAAAATAATAATCATACTTATCAACATTTACACTTAATTTTGATTCAAATTTTTTAAATTTTTTACATAAATTACATTATCAATATAGCTTATGATAAGACATTTTCGGTACAAAAAGTTCTTTGCTTCAGTAAGAGAAAAATTGAGGTAAATACGATGCATCGTATTCGCGATGGAACTTCTGTATAACGAATCTCTTGAAGTTTTGAAAAAAAGTTCGTTACACAGGAGTTGCACTGTATATGTATTTATAAAACCCCTACAGTAAAATAAAAGTCTACCTATCTTATGAAAAAACCAATAAAAACTTTTTTTTATTCCCACAAACATTAAAGTAATGTAAATTAATGTAATTGCTTGTTAACAACATGAAAAAAGAAAAACTTTAAAATAAATTTTAATGTAAATTACTAAAATGTCTATTTCACAGCCATTTACATAAACAACTCCCATCTACAATAATTATTATAAAAGCTACTGCACTCAGTGTAACATTACATCAAATCCAATATGAAGTTGATTGTTGTTGTAGCTCTGTTAACCGTGGTTGTTGCGGGCGAAGGCACTCAGAAGTGAGTTTTTTTAAAATTATGTAATAGTTGAAGAGACATCGCTAGGAGGAGGGGAGGGGAGTAAATAGAATTACTAAGTTCGCAAGTAAGCTACCTGTAAATCAAATTTTTAAAAAATCTTTCTCTTATAAAAAGATCTGTAAACCTTTCTAAGCCATATAGTATAGTTAAAGTGAAAGAAGTAAGTAAACTGTACTAAAACACTAACATATATTGTTGTTTTAGAGAAGAGTGCGAAAAGGGTGTAGCATTGTCTATCAAAGCTCTCGAGCCGATTGTCAAAGATGAAAAGAAACGCCATGAAACGGTCGAGCTTATTCGTCAGCACGTTAAAGATGCTGTGAGTTCTTAGTAAATACTCAACATATAAAACTGATTTCAAAGCCGTATTTTATAGAAAACGCCGTTAAGTTGTTTTTATTGCAATAATAATTATAGTGTTCGAAACACAACGAATGTGACGAGCCATGTTACAAAAACACCTTTAGTTGTCTTGATGAACAGTACAATGCTAACACAATTGTCATCTCAGGACTTAAATGCTGCAAAGGATGCCCAGCGATGAGCTAAATCTGAGATTTACTTTGAAATAAACTTTTGCTTATTTGCTAGTTCGAATTGGCCTTTTACAGAAACCATTTATACAAATAAATATAAATAAAACCTAGTATATATCTAGAAAAGAACTTCATGAGAAGTTTTTTGAAAGTACATGTTCAAAAATGGCACAGCACTTTAAGGGTTAAAAAACGTCTTTGCAATGTATATTTACAAAAAGTTTATCGCTTGAGTAAGAAGGAACTTGTGGTAAATAAACAAATGTAATTGTAAAAAACCTACAGTAAAATAAAAATTTATCCATTTTATGAAAAAACTAATAAAAACCGCTTTTTGGTTTCCACAAACGTAAATTAATGTAATTGCTTGTTAAATTTTGTATTGTACAATACATAAAAGTAAAATTTGCATAAACATTTTATTAAATTTTAATGTAAATCACTGATGATTAAATGTAAAACTTACTGCTTTACAATTTAAATTTAAAAACTAGCGACTTCACAGCTATTTACATACAATTCATATCTACAATAACTACTATAAAAACTACTGAAGTCAGCGTAACACCAAGCCCAAGAGATGAAATTGGTTATTGTTGTAGCTCTGCTAGCTGTGGTTGTTGCAGGCTCTGGCACTACTAAGTAATTTACTCTATAAATTATATAAAGGAATAGTTATTTTTGTAATTATGATCAGTTATATAAAGTTAAAGCGAATGAAACAACTGAAAACATAACAATATTATTTTAGAGAAAAATGCGCAAGTGCCGTAGGCTTGGCCACCAAAGCTCTCGAGCCGGTTGTCGAAAACGAACAAAAGCGCCATAAAATGGTCGATCTTATTCGTCGACAAGTTAAGAAAGCTGTAAGTGCTCACCTAAACAAGCATCATATAAAGCTGATTTAAAAATTAAAAACGTATCTTGTAGAAGATATTGTTCACAAACAACGAAAAATTCTTGCAAAACGTTAATGTTCTGTGTCAAAAATCAGGCAATTTCAATAAATTTGAACTGACCCGCTCCCGTTTTTTGAGAAAAATAATTTTAAATGACGTTGCAACAACTAGTTGCCTCATTTTCGACGCTTTTTGCGACGAAACGCCAATATTTTGCGAGAACGTGATCCTTTACGTTGTTTTTACTGTAAAAATAATTTTAGTGTACGAAAACGAACGAATGTGAAACACAATGTTTCAAAGACACCTTTGTTTGCCTTGATGATCAGTACAAAGCTAGCACAGTTGTCATCTCTGGAGATAAATGCTGTAAAAACTGCGCATCCTAATGAGATTCATTTTGAAAAATAAAATTTTGCTTATTTGCTAGTTCTAGTTGGTCTTTCACAGAAAGAATTTATATTATAAATATATATAAAGTCAAATTGAACCCTGATATAGAGAAATTAATTTAATAGCAAAATTTTGAATATAAATTTTCAAAAATGGCACAAAACGCAGTTTGAAGGAACACGTTAGTATAACTTGTTAAAATGCCACTTTTATCGTTACAAATCTACTTCTTACGTCAAGCTGGTCATTTTTATGCTTTTAAAATAAGTTATTCACAATTGTTTTGATGATTCTATGTTGTTAAACGTACACGGGCAATTGGATAAAAATTAAAATTATTAAAATTTAACGATCCTGAGAAAGTGCTACACAAACAACATTAAATATGAAAAGGTTACAGTTTTAAATTAGAACAATGAAGCTGTTGGTCTTGCTCTTACTTCCTGCATTCGTGATGAGCCTGGGAGTACAGTAAGTAAACAATACTACCACAAAGTAACACTAATTTAGCGATAGATGTTTGGCAGGCTTTGCGACCATGTCTACTATCTTAGACAAGTACATCAAGAACGAGGAACTACGACACAAGTGCGTCCGGTACTTTGACGATGGATTGCGAAGACGAGTAAGTATTAGAACTTAATTTTGTCATCGTGTACTAACAAAACAATTTTCTGTGTATGCATATTTTAATAAATACCGTTGATATATTAAAGGTATATTGTGTATAATTAATTTCTTTATTTTTATTCTTTTACAGTGCACACGCTTCGACAATTGTCATAACCCATGTATAATGCAGGCATTAATGTGCATCAGATACCAGTACGCTACTGAGAGAATGGTCTTGGTTGGCAGCGAATGTTGTACAAAATGTTCTAATTAACAATTGCAATAAAGAATAATATATACATAAAGCTTTTAAAAAGTTATATTTCAATAAAAATGACATATACAGCAAAGTAAGTATTTAATTGTAATAACAGATCGTAACGTACCTTCCGCGAAAAAAATGCCAAATCAAAACGTGTCTCTGCCAATATTTTAACTGATCTTGACTTTATTAATATGCAAAAAAGCGTTTACAATAAGCTATGTAGGAATACCTATTCTTAAATTGAAAATTCACGTATTTTAGGTAACAATTATGTGAGAAAATCTAAAATTCTGCCTTATATATATAAGTAGATAAGTTGTAATACCCAAGCATTTGAAGACTTCTTATGCGGGCTGTAGCCTTACTACTGCTCGCAACGTTAGTTGACACTAGAGTTTTCGATCAACGGTAAGTAACGTAAAGTAATCGAGGAACATAGTACAATATGTTAAAAATAGTTTTTTTATATCTACAATATATGAAAATGTAGCGTTGTGTGACTGTATAAAACCATTTCAGAGCAGCATGCCTGTCAGTAGTATCTTTCATGTTCTCAGAATTGGATGCTGCCGCTATGAGAGACAATGCAACAAGGCAAAAGGTCGTTGACAGAGTAATTCAGTATAGCCTTCTTGTCGTACGTTTACTCAAGCTTAAAAAAATGAAAGTGTATCCAAAGTTGTCGCTTTTAATGTAATGGATTACCTTCCAGTGTGCAAAAACCAACACATGTAAAACTAAGTGCGTCCAAGAAGCTGCCAGGTGTTTACACGATGCAGATGCCAGCCCAGCGGGAATGAACAATGCTTCAGGCATAGCCTGTTGCGAATCATGTAAATCTCCACAGAGAGTACATGTTGGTTCAAGTTCAAACTGAAGAAAGTAGTACTATTAAGTGGTTGTAATGACTGTAATAATGTATATGGTAAAAAAAGTAATAAATAATGACATTTTAAAACAAAGGTGCCATATTTGCTAGGTTCTATCGTATATTTCAGACCTTTTTATATTTCGTGGCATTGTTAGTTGACAATCTTGATTTGGCCAAATAACACTACCTATATCAGAACATGGAAAGAAAAATACAAATTTTTCAAAAACGGAAGCTCCAAAAGATAGTTTAAAATACAGTACTATTATAGAAGATCAGACCATAGCAACTCCTAGTTCAACAATGAAATATTTAAAAAAGTTTTTAATTTTTAAAACTAAACGCTTAGACTTACCTCGATAGATGATAACCCACTTAAATCTTAGATCGGACAAAATCAGTCAAAAACCCAAAGGCAAAAGATTCAAATAAGTCTTAAAACCAAACAAAATTCGGTACGAGAAAGTTGCAGTCTGCAGAAACGTTTCGCACAATAAATTTTTTTTAAATTTAAATTCAACTTATTAAGTAAAGGACAAAATATTATAATAAGTAAAGCTTGTTTCAGAACTATGTTATGAAAGAACAGTTGAGGCTTAATTAGACTTCTAAGTATTAGGTGCCGACATAAAGAACCCGCTATTTTTTACAAGAAATTAATACAAGCAAAGTATGGAGGATTCTTTATGTCGCCATCTGATATATAGATGTCTTGTCATAAACCACTACCACGTGTGTTAATATACTATTATTACAAGCTTTATTTTTCTTTAAGGTTACTAACAATACGTAAATGTTGTCAGTGTCATTTTTTGGAAATTACAATAACCAACAAAACTATTGTTTACGAAGCTACTAACACTTTCAAAACATGTATCATACATGTTAAATCGCCTTTAAAAAATTAATTCTTGTGTCATTTTTCTTGTAGGGTAAATGTGCTCAAGGATCAGGCGAAAAACATTAAAGGCTGCCTATGCTATGTTGTAGAAGATGATCTACATTGTTTTTTATATTATTTTTGTCTTGACTAAATTAACTTGTAAAATGTATTTTATTTGTTAAAGCCTTTGAAAATGTTTTAAAATTGAAATACTTATTCATTCTCGATTCACAGACCAATTCGAGCATTTTTATTGATTTAATTCCAACACGAATTAGATTCTTACATAGATGTAAATCGGTGTTAAACCACACTTTAGTTTTATAAGACTGGAATAGGATATCATTGTCAATTGTAAACCATGAAGCTTACTATCATTTTTTTATTGTTTGCCGTTGTATTCGCTGAAACCTATAGGCAAGTTTGACTGTAGGTATTGTCAATGTTCTTACCGAATTTTTTAGATTTATAAATCAAAACTTACATTGTTTAGAGAAGAATGCTACCGACGAATGCGTCATGTAGTTAATGACTTGAGCAGGTATATAAAGAATGAAAAGCGCCGACACATGCTAGTCGACAGTGAAAGATCGATTCTTCAAGACAGAGTAATACAAGTAGTTACTCTTTTGCATATAAATACAGCATAATATATATATATATATATATATTTATTTAATTATTTATGTATATATACGCTTATCTGCTTCATTTACAGTGCGAAGAAGAAAATATGTGCAATTCAACATGTGTCAAAACTGTGTATGGGTGTTTAAACGAACAGTACGACCAGAATGTTCTCATTGTATCACCAGAACGCTGTTGTAAAGACTGTCATTAAGGATGAACCACGTGTTAAACTTTTATATAAAGCTATACCGTTCTTGTTTGTAGTCGACCATAATAAACTGTCAATTCCTATATATTAATGAGCATCAGGGACGTCGTTTGGGGGAAGGGGAGGGGGGGGGGTACCCCCTCCCCTGAAATTTCAAATTTTTTTGAAGATAGGGTTACTTATTCTTTAACATAACATTAATAGAATTGATTTAATAATAACTCCACTTTATATACTATTAAAATAAGATTAAAAATAAAAAGCTAGTTACCTGAACAGTACTGATATCAGGATGCTTGAACAAGTACGCCTCGACCTCAGCTGGGTATATGTTCTCTCCACCTCTGATGATGCCATCCGTGATACGACCACAAATCTCCAGACTTCCATTCGAATGCATGATACCTACATCTCTGTAATTATCTCAAGTTAACCATACTTAATTATTATTAATACCAGCGTATTTTAACCTATTTTAAAACCCTCCCCCTACAGTAGAACTCTGATCTCTGTTATCACTCACCCAGTATGATACCACCCGTCCTGATCAATGGACTGTTTAGTCTCCTTCTCGTCGTTCCAGTAGCCTTTCATAACATTGGCACCTCGAGAGCACACTTCGCCCTTCTCTCCTCTTTCGACCACCTGACCGTTCTTATCGACCACACACACTTCAGTGTGGTAGAAGGCGTAGCCAACACTGTTGATGCGTTCCATCGGAGGTTCGCTGAGCCTTGAGAACGTTGTCAACGGAGACAGTTCTGTAGATCCGTAGCCGATTCCAAAGTCGTACATGCCGAGTTCTTTTACCAGTCGATCGCAGAGTGGAGGTGGGCAACTTGAGCCTGCCATAATTCCTGAAATGCCATAGGCTTATAGCATTCGAAGCGTTAAATTTTACTCTTTTTTCAACCTTCAATGCCACTTTTTATCGCCTTACCCTTCTTCAAAGTCTGTAGCTCTCGTGGATTGTAGTCCGCATGTCTGAAGACATCCACAAACATCGTCGGAGTACCGTACAGCACGTTACACTTCTCCGTGCTCGCTCCTTTGATTACAGCTCCAGCATCAAACCACGGCGAAGGAAGATACACGTCTGTTTGTAGTAGGTAGCACTCAGCAGTCCCATCACACATCCGAAACAGTGATACAGAGGGCACGGGATGCAGATCTTGTGATCACCATCGTAATACTTCATACTGATACCCAGAAACTTGGCATTGTTCACCAGGTTGTGATGAGTTAGAGTGGCTGCTTTGGGAAGACCAGTAGTACCAGACGTGTACTGAATGTTTATGGCGTCGTCGATCTTCATGGTTTGTCGTGCACTTTCCAGAATCTTGCGCTCTTTAGAACCACCAGCCATCATGATGTCACGGTAGTTCCAAGCGCCTCTAAATTAAAAAAATTACAGTTTTTAAATTTAAAATAAAAATACCGGGTGTATTACTTTTCCTATAGACGACTGCATCACCTAAAGAAAGCTGTAAATGTAAAAAAAAAACGTACTCGTAAGACTTTTCATCCTTGTCAAACACGATCAGATGTTTAAACTCAGGTAACTCTGAGCTTTCCACATTACCTTCTCCAATCCCAGCTGTTCTGATGCTCGGCATTAGCTCAGCCAACGTTCTGAAATGACATTTTTACTTACATAATATGAAAATATAGTTTGTAAAGTAATTTAATCTCAAAATTGTCATAATGTCCACTAATATTGCAAAAAATAAAAATAATAGCTAAAATTACCGTACTCATAGTACTGTGATCTTCTGAACTTGGGCGGAGTAACTAAGGCCTTGACTCCCACACTCAACAAAGCATGTCTCAGTTCCTCAGTCTGATAAGCCGGATTCACAGTTACCGTGATCATGCCAGCCAACGACGCCGCGTAGTTAGTCACAGTCCATTCATAGTAGTTGGGACCCCAGATTCCAATCCGATCTCCCTTCCTCAGTCCCAAACTCAACAAACCCTTGGCCAAGCGACAGGCGTCCTGATAGAACTGTTCGTATGTCTTCCGAATGTTCTGCTTGCTGAACACCACGTACTCTTTGTCCGGACTGTGCTCCACTGACCTCAGCAGAACGTCTCCAATCAGTTTGTGCACCAAAGGTGTCGCACTAGCACCGTGTTCATAGCTAAGACGACAACGATAACGTACAATGTTAGTTAGAGGACGCTGTAGCCGTAACATGACCGTTACGGTAGAAAAACGACCGAATTCAGTGGAAGACTATGGATAACATAGTTTTCTCATTTTGGATTTCAAAAATTTCAAAGAAATCGGTTTTTTTCAGTGAAAATTTACATTTTAGACCTCAGAAACCAACAAAACTAACTCATTTTGAATATTTGTTTTCTCATCAATTTACCGGTCGGTTGGAACTGAATGTCTCAGGAATCGACCAATACTCCAACAGGACGAACTCCACCTCCGGGCAAGAAGGTTACCATTGTTACAGTAGACGAGTCCAGCATCATTGAAAGTGGAGTCAGCACAGCAAGATCTCCCAGCATGGCCAAGTCCCCCAATGCGGCCAAAAATGTGAAGAAAGATGCCAGTTCAACAAAAACGGCCAGAGAAGCAGCATCGACGAGAACCGCCAGAGAACCGGCCTCCACCAGAAGTGCCCGAGAACCAGCCTCTACCAAGACTGCCAGAGAACCAAAGTCAGCCAGACGGACCAAAGAGGACGCCAGCTCATCTAAGAAAAGCAGACGGTCGTCTAAAAAAGGCACAAAACGTGCCAAATCGACAGAAAAAGATCAGAATTCGACCAGAACGGCCAGAGAACCAAAGTCCCTTAGAGAGCCGGCCAAATCATCGCAGAACGAGATGAGTTCAACCAAAATGGTCAAAGAACCCATCTCTGGAGGATCGACCACAGGCAGCACGAGTCCCTTGCTTGTGAAGCCACCAGCCAAGCCCATTGCTATGGTTTGGGTAGACGAGTCCACGGATGACAAAGACGTTTATGGTACTGCGCCTAGTGGTAATAGTACTATCAGTTCTGCAAAGGAACAACGGAAACGCCGCAGAAAGAGAAGACAGGATCAACCGGTAAATTTACTTAAAAATTTTCGTAAAATGTGTCAGCGACTTTCGTATATTAAAGGCTAATTTTCGTATTTTAACTAGCAGAAAATCTAGATATTACTGTTTAGCTAAGTTAAGATTTGATTTCAGTCGTACACCAGCCTCAACGAACGTGACGCTGCTGACGACGCTACCGTCGTGTCTAGTGTAGCCGACAATGCAAGTACTCCTGACAAGCTGAGTACAGATACGTTAAATTCAAGTTCTACAAAGACTAAGAGCTCGGAAAAACCTACTGTAAGTTGTTATCATTATATTAAAACAACTTTCTCATTATTTTGTTTTTTAAAGTTTAAAAAGAAAAAAATAAAAATTCATAACATTGTTAACATCAGAATTTAACTTCAGATAAAGTCCACAACAACTGCAAGTCAAATCAACACGGGAAAGGCCCAACTGGACCATATTCACGAAATGGTACGCCAAATTCTGACTGAATCTTACCAAAGTGTCCTCAACGAGTTCTCCAGTGGGGAGAGATTGACCAACAAGGAAGTTGTAAGTCCATTCTCCTTGATCCCTTACAAAGATTTCGTATTTTATGGCGGAAGATTAATGTTCCGTTCCAATTTTAATAATTTTTGTCGAAAAATTGTTTTGAGACAAGTTTCTCCCTCGTTTTTTGAGCAAAGTCTTCAGCTTGTATAAAATTCAACTAAACATGAGAAACGGGCCGGCCTTGACCAAGATTTCGGTCGGGCCGGGCCTGAAAAATGAGCTGGGCCCGGCCGGTTCCTTTTTTTATAAGTTTTTCACAAAATTTCAATGAAATAGGTTGAATTGAAAGGTTTTTAAGATTAAAGAGTATTTGAATTTATTGTAGAAACTGTATTTTATCTATTGTTGCAGCCTTGTGCCGAGATTCGCGACTTGGAAGCCTTGAAGAGGGATCTACATGAACATTGTGAGAATGGCATGCGGAAAGTTGCCAGAAGAGTGTTGAGACGTTTTGTAAGTAATTTTAGATATAAAAGGTTTGTTTAAGGTTAATTTTCAATGTTTATCTCTGGGTATTATGTAAAAAGAAAAACGTTGTTAAAGTTTTATCTAAAATATGTGATGTTGAAACTTTTAAAAACGTTTTTTATGTTTTGATTTAGAAAAAAGCTCATTCTGTGCCAAAATTTCAAAGCAGCGAAACGGGTTTGGGCTCAACTTCTGATGATGAAGGTGGAACTCAAGAAAGCGAAGCTACTTCTGAATCCGGAAAGAATCTGTCTGACAGTGTGGGTATTCAGAAGAAGATAAGAAAGAAGAAGGACAAATGGAGTTTTGTTGGTGTTGTAAGTATTATATTTTACTGCTTAAGGCTTTAAAACTTTTAAGTTTTTTATTTTTTCAAACAAAAATTGTTTTTATTTTAAAGTTACATTGCTTGTGGTGTCAACAATGTAATTTTTAGAAGTCGACTCAGAAGGATATCCGAGTGATTAGAGAGACAAACGTGAACGATGATGAGAAGACCTTGAAGGACGTTGAAAGCATCAGGAAACTTCTGATTCCGAAACGCAGAAAGGGCCAGAAGAACGAGGTGGACTTATCAGAAGAGAATTCTTTGGTCAGCAGCCACAATGGCAGTTATGCGGACATTGGGGGAGGAACGGTGAGGTTTTGTTCTGTATCTACTACAATATTTAGGAGTTATTCAGATTGTTCTTCTTTAATTGGCATTTTACTTTTAGGAGTAATGTTTCTTGTTTTAGTTATTGGACAAAGTAATGTTTTTCGTAAATTCCGTTTATATTATGACTTGCCTTTTCATATTTCAATAACGATTTTAGGATCTGAATGACGTGAGAATAGAAAGATATCAATTCTCAGGAACTCCCAACATTCAGAGCGTTATCAACTTCGCCAAAGCTACTTTTAACTATTGGCAGCACAAACAGAAGCCTCATTACACTGTAGCTCCAAGGTTGAGTGTTCATATGAATGCCAGTATCAAAGGTATGGTTTTTCGGGTAAAATTGAGGTAGAATATATCGTATACTAAATAATTTTTTATATTTGAAGTTTCAAATTTACATGAATATTGTTACTTTTTTGATTTATACCGCTTTTGATGGAATTTTAACTTCAGAATCGTGCAAAACTCATTGTGGATACCATCCGAAGCCTGCGAACGAGAGTCATACTGTGTTTGTGGACAAGACCTGCGGGAAGAATGTGGTAACGTGGACAAAGGAAAAGGAGGCAGAGCCCACGCTCAAGGGCATTGGCATCTGAGTAGTGTTTAGATAAATTGTTTTTAAGGCCTACGGTTACAGTATTTGTGTGGTTTTTAATATTTCCTCTCGTCACATGATTTATGTGGCGTAAGATGGCAAGGTAACTGATAATAGGCTTTGTAAGCTTATTTTGTAATGTTTAAAGTACAGTAAATGTATTAGGAAATAAGCTGTGGCATGTGTAGGGTTACTATTAAAAAGTCTACTATGTTTATAGATGTATGGTTTTGTAGATATTGTAAAGTCATGTTTGTTGATATGTTATGTATTATGTTTGGTGAGTTATGTATTGTTGTGTAATAACGTGGTTATGGTGATTTATAACTAATGTATGTTCAATATTGTCATGTAAAATATAATGGTTACTGCTACTTAAAGAATGCATCGCTTATATAATAGTATTGGTTGGTATAACAACGTAGTATTTGATATCATTTACTGTAAAAGCAATTTATCAATTGTAAAAAAGATTGTATGTTTGGACTTTGATAGTTTTGATCTATTTACAACTGTACTATCCATGATATTTTCTTGTTTGGCTTGGCAGTAGTTAATTGTAAATTATGGCTTAATATTGTAATCGTCTTGTGCGTCTTTTGCTCGGAACTACAATAATGTTACGTTTTTAATAGATGTTGTAATCCTAGTTGGTTTTTTAAAAATTTGGTCGCGAAATTTAAAACGTTTTAAAGAGAATAAACTTTAAATTAGACATTATGATACGTTGCAAATGTTTATTTTACATTACAAACATACTTTTGTACAACACAAGTTCATTTTATTTCAGGAATCAATACATATTATTGATTTTTTAATATTGTAGTAGCATTTGCCAATTCCACTCAAATATTATGACATACACAACTTAAACTTGAGTAGTTGCTTCAACCTCATCAGTCACCTTAGTAGCTGAGTAGTCGCGTCCAACGAACACAATCTATCGTCACAGACACGATCAGAAGGGCATTGAGAACGTACGTCGCCAGCAGTGTAAACTGGCTCATTAATATAGCTTCCGGCGGTTTGGTAGTTGCACACAATGATGAATCCATTGTCATAGTCAGAACCCAAGTTGGCGATAGTTGGACATTGAGTTATGCCACATCCGACCAGGTAGGAATTGGCCCAGATCACCTAAAACATTATGATAATAGTACTACAGTTCTGTCATCTATTAATCATACATATGTACAACTACTTGAGTAAAATGTTTAATAAAATAGTTAGGGTCAACTTCAAAGTTGCCGACTTTGCTGCCGTTGAAGTGGGCAACTTCATCGAACCAATCCTCGACCGAACTCTGAAGAAGGAAGGTGTTGTTGACTACTGTGGGGTCAGATGACCAGTACACGTACATGTTCTGTCCTCCAGCATACCCATTGTGTTTCCAAATACAGTTGTTGGCCCAGTCTTGCTTCTTCAGCTTCTACTGCCGTTTCGTAGTCGTATGCCAACATGTCGGCAGCAGTAGGTAGTTGACCGTCGGCCGCTGCTTGTTGCCTTAAGGCTACAATACGTTTCTTGACATTGTGGTAGTTGAAGGCAGCAGTTTGTTCATCAGATGACAAACTGTAGGATTCTGTAGCTAAACAGGCAATGAAGAGGAAGGTCTTCATCGTATGATATTAGTGAGTATGCTATTCACAAGTGAATGTGATTGACTGATAACATTGGCTTCCTTTTATGCTAATGTCAAGACTTTAAAATTTGAATATTGAACTCAAGGTCAAACAGTTTACCTTGTGAAGGTATGAACAACTAATGCTAGTTACAGTGAATTGCAAGAGATTAAACGCTTCTGAAAACAGCTAAATCATATGTGTCGCCCCATACAGTTTGTTTGTCAGTTTTGCTTTCTTGGAACTGTTTCAAATTTAAAATAATTCCCGCGAAAATACTGTAGAAAGTGTATATATGTATGATTAATAGATGACAGAACTGTAGTACTATTATCATAATGTTTTAGGTGATCTGGGCCAACTCCTACCTGGTCGGCTGTGGCGTAACTCAATGTCCAACCATCACCAACATGGGTTCTGACTTTGACAATGGATTCATCATTGTGTGTAACTACCAGACCGCAATTAACTACATTACTGAGCCAGTTGACATTGCTGGCGACGTATGTTCTCAATGTCCTTCTGACCGTGTCTGTGACGATGGATTGTGTTCGTTAGATTTGGCTACATCTTCAGCTACCGAGGTGACTGATGACTTTGAAGCAACTACTCAAGTTTAAGTCGTGTATGACTTAGTATTTGAGTGGGATTGTCAAATTCTACTATATAAAATATTTACAAAGCTGTAATATTTATTGCCCTTTCTACAGGCAATGTTTACTGTGCAATAAATTTGCAAGTAAATGTAAAAAGATGAGTTATTATAATATTTTTTATTATTTTTTGTTTTCTTACTTTCGGACCGCAAAAAGCATTATTTTTGGCTTGTTTTCAGATGAAATTGGATTTTCTAAACAAGGTCTTTAACTGGATTCAGTAAGTCCATTGTTCTATCGTACTACCGGGTTTGGCATCGTCTGTTTAGTCATTGCTAAGGCTTGTTCTTTTGTTGTTTTGCAGGTCTACTTGGGGTTAATAATGTTAAAGGACATGTTTTTACAGTAATTTAAATACCGAAAAAGGTCATTTAATTTAGATTTTTCGTAATTTAAAAAAAAATAATAGTAAAAACTTTCTTTACATTTCAAAAATGGCTTTTATTAGTTAAACGTGTTTATATTGAAATACTAAAACCGGAAGGTCGTTCCTTGTAGTGAGCACATAACATACTGAGGAAGCCGATTTATCTTGATGCTGTTATTTCGCCAAATTAAACAAACAAAGACGGTGGGATCTTAATTAAGGCGAGCTGTATTTGATTAAAACACCTTAAATGACTGCGTCATTTCGTCATCGTGCATGTCATGTTGTGGTATGTTAGGTCAAGTATGCACAGTATGTTGAATATATAGCAGGTGTATATATGCATATATAGTAGGTCTTGGTTGAAATGTCATTTTATGTTTGATCTAGTCGCGGACGAGAAGTGGTGATAAGTTGGTGCTTTTATGATAAACTTTTGATTGGGTATTATTGGTATCACGAAGAATTCGTATAAAAACTTCGAGCTGATTCAGAGCGGGGCAGAACTTTTTTATTGTTAACAATTTTATTGCTAATTAATACAGTTGCACGCTTGGATAACGAACAACTTTTAAATTCTTTAACGAATCGTCATACGGAAGTTTTATTGTAGTTAATTTCACAATATTTGTCCAACATAAGAAAAATTTTCTGAACAGCTAGCATACCAACTTACACTATCATGTCATTATGTCATTTTTAACTTTTTTTAAACTATCTTAGCTGCTGCTTATAATACTGTCATGTGTTTTTTATAAAATGTTTTATATTGTTATCGACTGTCTTGTTGTCACGTTTTTATTTTTTAAAAATATTTTAAATTTTTAAACTTTTTAAATATTGTTTTGATCAAGTTTTGCACCAGCTACTTCTAAAGTCTGGTATGTTAAAACGTCTTTTCGAAAGTGGTTTGAAGTCATGTTTTATCTTGATCTCTATATTATCCATCACAAATACTTGGTATGTCTTTTGGCTCTTCAAAAACCTTTGAAAGCTGACTAAACGTCACTTCACTGTTACAAATACCTTCCGGATCAGAGATGACAAAACTTTCAATGGTATTTTTAGAGGTTTACAGCCTTTTGTTACATTAATGTCTTGAATTGAGGTGTTTGGTAGTTTGAGGGTATTAAATTAAAGTTACATTTACAACTTCTGGTTTTGCATTTCACTGTTTTACAACTTTCGTTGTTATATTAACATTGTCTTGAGAATTAAAGGTGGAAATATAGCATCAGACTAATCTTGTGGCTGTGATGTCACATGATGACAAAACATATAGGAAGTAGATACCTAACATAATATAAACAAACCTTGTTTATAGCAAAAGATACGTGTTTGACTACAATAAGATGGTATGTTTTACCTTGAAAATGTCATATTTTCTTCTAGTTTTATCTTATTAGTAGGCATACTGTGGTTTTAATTTTAAATTACTTTGATAACATACTTTTTCAAATTTAAAATAGTCATCAATGTTACTGTATCTTTCTAAGCAGTTTATTATGCCTGTCGATTACCAAACAGTTGCGTATTAATATCACAAACATTCTGCGTATGACAATATTTTTATATATTACTTTATCCACCCCCTAATCTACCCTCTTATTTACCCTTTGGCAACCAGTTTTACGACAGTACTAGTATCCCCCAAGGGGCGGGATTCACATATATTGTGGTCGTATAAAGCGAAATTAAAAAGGCAATGATTTAAGATACCCGGTGATGTACTTCTATCTACTGTAGACATACGTTGGAGTAAATGTCTTTGAGATACTGGTGGTAAACATGGGTTTATAGAACGTACTAGATGTTATTGTAGATATATTGATCTTTGTAGACATTTAAAGCTACTGTAGGTATAGTAAACTGTAAGTTACTGTTGGATATTACTTTTATTATACTTTTATGTAGTTTAATGTGTGTATCGTATTTTATACTACTGTGTTGACGTACTGGTTCATTGCCAATAAACCCGGTTTATGACTTCCATTTTGTCATAAATTTTCTAAGTTTTATGTGACAAATTCGAAATCTGGAAAGTGACCTTACCTAGAACAATAAAGAACAATACCTATTCTTCTAAAACATTACTTTTTATCGTATTTTAATGTCCTCGAAATCCATTTACTGCCAAATCTGTCATAGGTAATGGTCACTTCCTCCTACGAGGACAAATGACGTTGCCAGTAGTGGTCGTAGATTATTAACGACCAAGAGTGTTACTTTCAAACAATGAACATAGCTTGTGGGAACACTAATATGGGAACACGATAACTCACCCGGAGATATTACAGACTTGGGAATTGTATTGTTATTGTAGTTGTTTTATGGTGTAATTCGGGTTGGTGATTGGGGTTGGGTTTACTATATTATATAAATTTAAGACTTACCGTATTGTTTTGGGTAATCAATTTTGTGATGGTTATAGCGAGAGATAACGATAAGATATACCATGTTAAACTACGAATTTAACGTTTATTTTTTTGCGTGATTTTTACAACATTTGTAAACTCTCTAAAACTAAAATAACATGCCATTACAGGGTTAATCTTGGTTTACCAAAACCATAAAGAATGGCGTGTTGTACGAGACTGTTGTTAACGTTGTTAGTTCTCGGTACAGTCGATCATGCATTCGGAGGAACATGGCTATCATTCAGTGAGTTTTTACATAACTTGTTTTAGTTAGACAGCATAGCTTTGCATATAGCACGCTATATATTATAAGCTTCAATGTATTACACATTACACTAATATTAATGCACTGAACTAGTCCGTACTCATCTTGGCTACGCCAGACACCTTTTCAATTTAAAATTTTTTTAAAAATATTTTTTTAATTATTATTATCAAAAGGTGAAAGATGAACACAAGTTCCAATTTTTAAAGAATTTTGCATTTGTTGCCAACACAGCACTAGGCTTGCCGCTAATCCAAGCCTAACTTTTCTAAACTCAAAAATATAAGGTACTAGCCCAAACCAACGTTCTCTCATCCAAACTGAGCTAGCCAATTTAGCTGACGGCTCGGCTGACCGACTAGCCAACGCGATTCCTGTCCAGTCCATGGGAGAGGCGGGCAGGCCCGCCGGCACTGATCCGCTGGAGATGTTACTGAGCAGTTGTAACGAGAACTATGTGAGTTTTAATTATTAAGGGGGGGGGGGGATACGAAAACTAAATTTTGTAATACTTCAAGATTAGTTACACTAAACTTTACTTTCCACTCTGTAATCTTTCTAATACCATTACCACCTTAACCCCTAACTTTCAGATGACCCGAGCCCAACGTTCCGAACCCTCAAAGTCCGACGTTCTCCGACTGTGCAAGGCCTTACTGGAGTCGATGCAACAGTAACATACCACGACTGTCCGTTCTGCTGAACCTTACTGTGTAAACTTGAAGCCACTTTATACGTCCAAGATTCTACGCACCGCCTTACTACTACTGTGTAACCAATCGTTGTAAATACATACCATGCAACATTAAGCGCATAACGTCATTTGTCATTGTATACCACCTCACCATCGTATTGTTATTCACAACTGTTTTTAATTCCCAAAAGATACTGTATTTGTATTAATACTTTTAAAGTACAGTATTCCTTAATTTATACTCACAAAATACAGTAATCCTTCAATTACCGCTCTTGTATTACTGTATAATTACTATTCAGTATTCCCAAGTCTATTATTGTTTATGTTACAGTATCCTTCACTAAACTATGTTACAGTACTCTCCAAACTCATATGAAAACATCGTATGTCCTCAAACTTTCTAATACTTATACGAACATTACTATACCTTATGTAGTATAATATAACGTTTCTGAGCCATATATGGTATAGAATACTATATTGTACCTTACAATCTAGACTATGAGGATGTTTTAGCATATGTGGTATCAAAAATCCTGTCTTTCCACATGCAACAAAACACGTATAGTACAATATATTACCATACCATATGTTGGTATATTATCCATATGTAGACGAATACAAATTATTGTTAAAACATTTTTTGGTCTTTTACCGGCTTTAGTCTGACAAAATATGTTAATTATTCGAATTACTTCACAATTTCACTTGTGCTACAACAAGATACGATACCACCCCGGATAATTGTTTGTGTCCAATTTGAGCGCCTTCAATCCAATATTGTTCTTTAATTAATAAAGTTGTTTATTACATAGTGGGAAGTATAATAATATACAAATGTGTTTATTATCACAAGTTGAATGATATATACGTTGTTATGTCGTTGATTAAAAATTTGTAATAATATTAGAAGAGTAGATAGTGTAGTAGTCCAGATTACTTATAAAAACTCAAAAAAATCTGGTGTCAACAATTTAAAAAAAACTACTTAACAACATCAAACAGATAAGAATAAACGTTTAAAAATCTACTACAAAGTAAATAGAAAGATGTCAGCCAAATGATTCGGTCGGCCAAGGACAAAGGTGCTTTCGTATCATATGTTTGTAAATTTACATCGTTTGTTATTTATGTTGATAACATACAATGTAAGTGCTATAATATGATATGAAGCACATCCTTCAGCCGGTTCTACACGGAATCCTTTTGACTTTGGATCGGAACCCTTTGGACGGCTAGCTTCAAGGATGTTATCCTGATATTACACTAAGGATATCAAAATATAGCTTACAATATTTGATACTATAGATAATACAATTAAAAATTATAGTAACATACTTATACCAACAACTAATTTATATTACTTCACCTTATTCTCAAGTTACAACACTTAAAACAATAAAAATTAGAACCACTTTACCTTACAAACAAACAGCACACAACTGTCGTAAATGTTTAATTGTGAAATAACTTTGTACAACACGACATGAATAACTTATACAAACGTACGATGGTTAGCTACAGCTAGAAAAGTGATACAATGAAAGATTACAACATTGTAAAAAGATCAACTGGTATTGTTTAAATGGACCACAAAGAATATTCTACATTACATTACTATAGTAGTAATACAACAATCAAAAGATCGTTGTTTAATACGACTCTCAATACCCCGAATCGCCCATTCAAGCAGTACCAACTCAAAATTGACTGACATTAGTGAAAATAATTAAATAAAAAGCTACAGTATACAAATACAGTTCATAGATACAACGACGAGTTACCGATTAAAGATACGATTTTTATAAAACTTCAAGATACGATTACAGTCAAGGTAAGAAAATTTGCAGATGGAAGATAGAATTTACAGCTTAAAGCCTTCGGAGACACAATCAATATCGAATATCACAAGGAGCACACGGCTGACTAATATAACCAAAACAACACAAGTTCACCAGATAAAACTACACAAGTTACAATACACGACAAGCAATACAAATTAATCCACATGTACTTCAGTTTACATGATGTATTTTGTATTGTGATAGGTCTATCAATAAATAATGTCGTAAATGCTATGTTAAACAAGGCTTTTTGAATTAAAAATTGACGTTCCGAAAAGAGAATACTGACAAAACGTCAAATTATGACATTAAAATAACCAAAAAAATGACATTATCAACTGATGACCCAAATCAAGGCATTATAACATAAATTATAAGGAACCCACTACAAGCGGGAGATGATCAAAAATGTAAAAACTGAAGAAAGAAATGCAAAACCATGATCACTTCATGTCACATTGATATCGTTTTCAATCTAAAACCACCGTGAATGAGGTCGGTTTCTGTATCACATCAGACAATCTTAACACAGCCTTTGACGTTAACGAGATGTTACCCATGTTCTTTATCCATAGTATCATAGTATTTTAACTCCGTTCGATGATTGGATCTGGTGGAGGTGGAGATGGCCGATTCTCATCCGCCGTAACTGGATTCTCGTCTTTTTCCTCCATTTTGATATCTTCTGGCTTCGTGCTCCTTCGGAACAGCCTCGAACTAGGAAGGTACGAGTACAACTTGGCACCGAACGATGTGTTATGTTCTCCATCGACGGACCGTGACCTCGGCTCCTCGGGAATGGTGGTCCACTGCTCGGACGTGAACGTTGGAGAGGTTGGTGGCTTCTGGGGTCGGCGGAACGATGCGTACGCCAACGCCGCCCTCAATGAGCCGAACACAGAACTGTTGGCTTCGGAAGCGCTACGGCTCGTGTTCGGACTGGATAGTGGGCTGGAGCAGCGGCTACACTCGCTGCCGCTGCCGTGTCCACAAGCCTTATCCTCTCCTTTGTTCACGCCCCAAAATTGTCAATGGGCTTCTGTGGTCGTGGCCGACCCTGGTTTGTTAGCTTCATTCTGGTGGCACGATGAGGAAGCGATCTCCAGAATCTCAGGATACAACTCGACGACTCGTAGCAGAATGTTGTCAATGTATTTGCGGAGCTGTTGGTTGCACAGTTCTTGTTCGTGTAAGGCTTTCATCAACTAAAACGACAACGTTTAGGGTAGGTAACAAAATGAGAAAGTTAAAACTTTCAAACGGTTAAATAGTTGTTTTAGTTAAATAAATTACTCATGTAAACCGGTTTACATTTCTTTTAAGTGATTCTATTAATAGGTCAGTACAGAAATATATTAACTACCTAAACTAAATTATAAAGAGAAATTGTTAAGCTTATAGTATTGAAAATTGCTGAAGAACAAAGCTATCATAAAAATAAAATTTTCCTGACTGATGGTACCTAAAACCTACTTCTACAATGTCTTATACAAACTTAAAATCATAATAAACCTATTAATCCTTTGTTAACATTCTACTTTTAGTCAGGGTAACAATTAGTCTTGAACCCAATTAGTACTCTCGCGCACTGCTCTGTTATTAACCTGAAACTCAAGGTCTTTCTTCAACTAAAAAGGTACAAGTAACACAGCAAGCCAACTAAAAGTGAAGCAAACTAAAGCCAAACTAAAGCCATCAACTATAACATGATATTGTAGCACCATCAATACAACATATACACCACTAGTGTAATTTTTCAAAAAACTGTGATTTTAAATATTTTGTAGTACTAAAAAAGTTACAGTACCTTCACAAAAGACAATTTAAAGTTACCGAAACCTTAATCCTACTAAAACTAAAAATTTCCAAAGAGATAGCGACTAACACAAACAATAGAATCGACTGGTCGATAGCAAACCAAATCACAGTAAAACCAACACCAGTGCTGTTAAAAGTTCATCGTTAAGAAATTGTAAAGTGCAAAATAAAAATAATTAGGTAACAGTACATGAGGTCGGGCTTGGAGATGCTCAGCTTCGAGTTTGAGGTAAAGTTTGAGTTAAAAGAGGTAAAATTTTGAAATAAAGTTATAAATAGAATTTTAAATAATTTAAATTTGAGTTAAAAAGTAACGTTAAATTACTAAAAAAAATGTGTTAAGATCGAAAAAAGCCCAAAGCCCAACATCATTTAGGCCAAAGAAGCTTGATCGCCCCGAACACCCCCAAGCCTCGACCCAGCCAAACGGCTAGCCAAACGAAAAAGCGAAGAAAAAAACGAAAAAAGACCTCTTGTTTCTTGACTTGGTGGTCCGAGCAGGCGGAGCATCGGCTAGCCCAACCGACCTCGTCCGAATCCATTCCGCTGAGTTCGGCCGCCAACGACGGTCCATTGGCCAACAACATTTGGCCAGACTGAACTGACTGGGTTAAGAGTTGTCCTTTCAGTTCCTCCACGTTTTCTCGCAATTCTTTGTTATCTTGTTTTAGAGATTCACATCGGAGTTCCAATTCTTGGATCTAGAATGATACAAAGTTAGGTTCAGACAAAGAACGAAGTGCAATGAATTAAAATCAGACGTTTTACGGTTCCTCGAAGCTAGATTCTCTAATCAAAACTCTTCTAAAACCCATATCAACAGTAAAATAATACAAGTATACATAAATGCTACTGTTTTACGTTAAACTTTAACCTACTAGATCAACAGATCCATGTCTTTGCCGCGTTCCATTTCGCATTCCTCTGAGCTCGTCAGTTTCTTGTGACAGCTGATCTAGCCTATCCTGTTGTTCTTGTAGTTCGTCCTCGGCTTCTCGTCGATACCTACAACATTATGACTAATTTGTAACCAAAAAAACGCATTAACATTTACAAAACTTAACCCAACTTTTTTTAACTTTGAAAACGACAACAGCTGCATTTACAAACAAAACCCGCTATTAACATAACAGAATATCTTAAAAAGATCTTATGTATCACAAAAATTAAGCTCCTTACGTTTCAAACTGACTCCTGAGCAATTTCTTCTCCTTCTCCAGTTCTGAATTCAAATTCTTGATGTCGTCCATCTCGTTCTGTTGAACATCGTACTTGTGTCGTATGTCATCGTACTCATCCTGTAACCTCTGACATTCTTTCCTTGCGTTCTCCAAATCCCTTTCCAGCACTTGTTGTTTGTAATTGATACTCTCCAACTCTAACTGCTTCTCTCGCTCAACCCGTTGAACACCTTCTTTAGCTCGCTGTCGCTCTGATTCTAGCCGTTCTTCCAGGTTGGCTACAGCTGTAGCGTGCTGATATTCGAGGGAGTGGATCTGTTCTTGTAGCGAATTGTTTTCGGCACGAAGCCGCGTCCTTTCCAAACTCAGCTGATTCTTCTCCTCCTGACATTCGTGTAGCCGTTTGGAAAGGTCAGTCATCTAAAATTAGGAATTCATATTAATCACATAACTCTTCGAATTTTATTAATTCAACCTTAAATAAAAAATTTTTTTTTGATTTTTTAAAATAAGAAATAACCCTTTTAACAAATTATTTATGCACTTTTGATATCTTTATAAAGTTCCCATAAAAATAAATATTATACCTGATCAACCTCCTCCTCGTCGTGTATCATTGTGAGTTTGAATTATTACTTATTAATTATTATTAGCTTTCTTCTACAATAACAAGAATTAGCTAACAAGACATAATGATAACTGTGGCGCGTTTTAAAATGAACCGTAATATTATACCGTATTTTATCATAAATGCTTCAAATAAAAAAAACTCATTCCCTCAAAATAATATTTAAAATTTTAACTTTTTAGGAATTCGCATTGTTTGCTAAAAGTACTGGTCCCATAAGTAGTACCTCTATCAGCGTATAGACCAAGATAACGCCAAAAAATCAAGTTTTACCCCGAATTTGTTATTTAAAATCCCTTTCATCTTTTTCAACATAAAAACGTTAGTTCGGCGATCAAAACACTGTCAAAACTCCGTTCATAACACTATTTTCGAAACGCGTCTCGAGTGACGAGATTTAAAAAAAAACGAAAAACTACTATCCAACTGTTTCAAACGCTCATAAACGGATAAAAGCTTTCAGACATCTACTTGACAATATGCGTTCTTCGAAATATAACAAAACAATAAAACTTGAATATGTTTCTTATAGTTCATAAAGTAAAAAGTAAGAATTTTAAACGTATCTCTTATGATGTCCCTCAAAGTAAAACATATAATAACTAAATAACAACCCAAACTTTTACTTTGCAACTCGAATTCAATCCCACAAACAGTTCAAATTCGAAAGTCGAATCCCAACTCATATTCCCAACCCCAAAAGTCACTTTAAACTTTATTTAAAACAAAATCCACCAACAAATTTGTCGGAGCTTCCGTTTTCAAAGAAAAAAATCAAAAAAAAATCTCCGTAAATTCATAAATCCCGATTTTATTCTCCTTCCGTCTCCCCTGAGGCGAAAAATATTGAAACACTCAGAGTTATTGTAGAGAAAAGACTTTTCAATTTAGTGAGAACACTTTGATAAAGTGTTTTTGAATCATTGAATACGAGAAATTAAATTAAAACAGTTTAATACTGTGAAAATACGGAACCCTTAAAAAAATTAATGAAAAAGCACAATTTAAGAACGTAAAAACATGATTTAGCATTATAAGTTACCTCAAAACCGCAATTTTCAAAAACTTTTAATTAAAAAACTTCAATTTTTCTCAAAAATACCCCTTGTTTGGCCGCTTTTCCTCCCAACCAACACCTGTCATATAACCCAACTCATCAGAAATGCAAAAAACAATAAAGTAGTAACCGTTTGAAACCGCTTTAACACTTGACCAATCTCGAAAAGCTGTCGAATTTCCAATTCGCGCACTTTTAAAACAAACCCTCGTTTGACTGTCTGGTGGTGTCTCGTTGGTGTGTGCACACTCTCGAGAGGCTCATGTACCTGTGCTTTCATTCAGGTAGATGAAGAGGCCGGGAAAGCTAGCGGGAGAGAGGGAAATGCCTCTATTTATGGTTAAAACAAGAAATATTGTTTTAGTTTGTCTTAGATGTTACGATTTTTGTGAACGTTTCGATGTTTTTTGTTTTACTAACTGAAAATGAATAACGAAATGTATAAAAACAATATTTAAAAACCAGCGTGAGTTCAGGTAAAACTTGCTCTTACTTTGCTAAAATATTTTTAAAAACTTTTAACTTCTCTCTTTACCAACACTTTTTTTAAACTAAAACATGTTTCCCCAGCTTTACCGTGAAATAAAGTATATTTCCAGTTATGACAAAATAAATTTCTGACAAACTTAAGCATGGCTAATTCCCACCTACAACAAGACCCTCGAAATATCTGTCACCATGGTATCTAACAAAGGTAAATAAGATATTTTTGTTCAATTATAAACCTGTAAACAAAGAATACAAAAAAGTAATCAAAATATATAAATAGATATAAAGACAACAGTAATTAAAATATTGACAAAAGACGTTACTCATAGATACCTTTACCAAGCCTGATACAAATTGAAAAAGCGTCAAAGTTTAAATTAAAATGTCACAGCTTTAAACTCTGAGAGCGGCTCGAAGAATTTAATTAAAGACTTATGGCCAAAGGTGATTCAATAACAAATGACATGAAGATTTATTATTCTTTCAGAGATTTGTTACGTTTTATATCATGGGAAGGCGGCTTTTAGTTATCAAGTATTAAAGTGATATGTTTTTGATTAGAAAGGTTCAACATACTTAAACAAACTAAAAAACACATTGAAAAAAATTTTTTACAGTAAGATGTTCTTCAAAAATACATAAGAATCTCCCAAAAACACTAAAATTAAAATTTATATTATTATAGGTAACATTTTGGCAAAAATAAGCATTTTTCAAAATTTGCAACTAAGTTTTAAACGCTAAACATCCCTTACGGCCTATATTGTAAAGCCTAATAAGAAACAACAAGTTCGGTTAATGCCCACCACAACCACATGTCAGCCCATCCCACCTCGATAACTCATGGTGAAGATAAATCTAGCGCCACAATTAAGACGTATCATAAAAATAAACGAGCTGGGTTAAATGGCAATGCGCTCGATGTGTTTTAGAGAGGATTAATCGGCCAGAACATCGGCATGCTCATTTGCATGATTTATGATAATATACATCATGCCGTTTTTGGCAAAATCTCAAGTATTTTAGAATTTGAATAGAAATATGAGCATTTACTCTATAAGACCACTTTTTTTAAACGTAAAAGACATAACATTAATCAAAAAAATATCAAAATCAAAGATACAAATTATAAAATGACTTCAAACCTCTCCTCAAAATTGATCAAGTATAATATCTTACAAATTCCCCAAAAGTCATGACTTTTCCTCTCAAAAATAACATTTAATTTGCCACCCCCTTAAACTCAATAAAAAAGCAAATCCCTACCTCGAGAGCCATGCTACCAACTGGATCTGAAGGATCACTACTGCTCCCGTCCATCTGAATCAGCTCCGGCTCCGAAGAATACGAGTTTTTCCTGGAACGCGCGAACAACCGCGACGCCACCGCCGTCGAACTCGCTGCTCCAGCCTCCAAACCCATCGAACTCGACGCCTGAAACGCGTTCCGGATCCTCTCCTAAAAACAATTTGCAATTTCTGGCACTTTATCAAGACTTTTGAGGTTGAGAAGGTGATCAAGGTGAAAGACGACTTTAGTCATACGTTCATTGCTTCATAAAGCGTTTGAGACATTGAGAACTTGTAAGAATCTATTTAAAAGTTGTCTGAACAAAATAAGGCAAAATAATGATAAATTAGAAGAGAAAGATATAAAATTGATACCTAAAATCACAAAATTGCAACAATACCTCTAATAAAGACGTATTTTACCTCATCAGACGCGTCAAGAACAATTTGCGGAACATCCATTATCAATCTACACTTCTAATTCACAATAAACAATGATAATAACTAAATATAACACTGCCAAGAGTTACCGAACCAAAATTAATATATTAGACAATACAATTTCGAAATTTAGCGTCGAAACAGGTCTCGGGATATTGGTTATGGCCAAATAAAGGGATGGGGAGGAAGAGCTTGATCCGCAAATATTTGCAAAAGACCGTCAAAATAAAAAATCTCGAAATTTATTAATTTTGACGCAAAACATGACCGATTTTATATAATCGTCAGCGATGACGGAAAAATTTAGGAAAACAAAGAAATATGGTTTAAATAGTTAAAATAGAATAAAATTAAAAAATGATAAAATAAAAATATTTAAAAAATTGAAAAACTGTAAATTGCGACAAATTCAACGACATATTATAAATAATGAGTCAGCGATGACGCAAAAAGAAAGGAACCAAGTAGTTGCGTTATAAAATTGCAACTAATTGAAAAATAGGACAATACCGTTTTAAAAATACCAGTTTATAGATAATTTGTTAATTTTAGGACATTAATTTGCGTGAATGACATTAACCTACCTGACGAAGCCGGCTCATTCACAAAAGTCCTTTGACAAACCCGTTTTGCGTGCTGATACAAGCTACTGTTTGATGATGTAAAATGTGATTTAGACACGGAAATGCGTGTCAATTTTGAGAATTTAAACGTAATTTCACAGTATGTACAAACTAAAAAAAGTTGACTATAAATTACAATAATGTAAGTTTTTGCACTCACGGTAGATATATTTAAGTAAACTGAATGGGTATTTTATACTATAATTAAAGTTTTTGGTATTAGAAAACACCATTTTAAAAACAATTAATTATAAAAATTCACGGAAATTATATTTTATACACAAAATTACATCATTTCCTTTACTACATTCAATTTATATATTCAATTCCCTTATTAGTAAATATATTGTATGCCACAATATTAAATGTCGGCCACAAAATTCGAACAAAAACAAAACTGTTAACAATGTAACCCTTTTAAAATCGCGCCAAAAGTCAAATAAATAAAAAAAGAAAAGCGACAATAACGAGAAGTAAGTGAACAATCACAATACACATTATTATACCTTGACTCTTCCGGATAATCGTTCGCTTCCAAAGTGTCAAACTTTTACTATCGGTCAGACTAATCCTTTGAGGGATATCTACTGGAAAACAGACATTATTTTAGGTTAAATCTGACTTACGGAGTGACAAAACACCTGGATTTGCTCTGTAAATGTGAATCATAGTTCGAAATTTAAAAATTTTTGTTTTTCTAATTCTCAAAACTTTAATAAATTTTCTACATAAGTAAAGTAGTTTTAGAAATAAGAGTACAAAGTGTGAAAGGGTTTGCACTTTAGAAGTAACCATATATTTAATAATGTTATACAAGCATGAGCAATCATATAGGCATAACTAACCATAACAAGCTACATTACCAAAATTATTAAAAAAATTTTAACACAAAAGGTTGCTAAACCTATACAGTAAAAGACCCGTTATAATCTCTCCAAACTCCGTAGCCTTGAGATGCGTTACTTCGACCGGTCAATACAATTAAGCGGCTCCAAATCCGCCCAGTCCAACCCGAAAAGAAAGACTTATTGAGGCGGAAGAAGGCGCATAAGACAATACTCAACTCGTTGCTTCAGGTGAAAAACGAGATTTCCATCTTTTTCTCCTCGCGGAAACGTAAAAATAATTGGGGTTGATCAAATATTCATTTCCCGTGGATTTTTGACGCTTTTCAGTTAATTATCATGCAAGTTGCTGAGGGTTCTGAGACGGTTTGGAACAATATTGTGGTAGTTATAATGTAAGTTGCAGAGGGTTCTGACACGGTTTGGAGCAATATTGTGGTAGGGATAAGTGATGGGAGCGAAAATTATAGTTACTACTAGAATATAATGCAAACGTTATGTAAGGTATGCGTAAGATAAGACATTTAAAAGTACTTTAAAGCCTTTTAAAGTAATGTAAAACAGTATACAAATCATGCAACCATAGTCAAAAAATCCTATTAAAATCAAATTGTACTGCTCAACTATTGTCATTGAAGGTAACATATAAAAATGTCAAAAAACTAATCAAAAACACAAAGAAAGTTGGAATTAAAAGATCAAACCTTCAAATCTAAACAATAATTACGTTTTAAAACCCAAAGTAAACAATTAAAAATATAAAACGGCTCCAAGAAAGATAAAAACAGAACGTCGTGATTCAGATGAGAAACTTGTGATTAAACTGGCTAGTGGGAAACAAAGCTTAAAAATTTTTAAAAAAAATAAAACAGTTTATTTTTAATTAAAAATTTTGTTTAACTCTCAATTTTAATTATGTGTATATGAAAACACAAAAGAATATAAAAGATAAAACACAAGTTATCATGAGTAACCAAACATAAAAAAGTTTCTCAGATATGATATTGGTCATCATGAGTCCATTCTTTGGCTCACGACTATTAAAATGGATCAAGATCGGAGCGCGCTCGAATTTCGAACATGAAAAACGTCTCGAGAAGTAAAGTTATAGTTATAAAAAGTATTACTCACCTCCCTCGCTGACCTCACAAAACAAAACTGTTAAATTTAGAGCGGTAATTTGAGCGGTTAGAGCAGTATAACTTACTTGTGACTGGAATGCTGGTATAAATAAAATAAATTTTTATTTAAAAAAATAGTTTATTTTAAAAAAATGTGTATAAGACATACTGTTACTAATTTATGTCATTTTTTAATTATGTTATTGTAAAATACGTTTAACATTGCTGGAGCGTTATGGATAATAACGGTTTAAAGTCACAATTTTGAGTAGCTTTTCAGAACGTTTTAATCGAACCATCTTGTAGATGATTTCAGAACACGATTATGTTTACTCAAGGGACCTCCTAATGTCTTCTGCAAAGTTATTGTTATAAGAGAGGTTCTTTTCAACCCCAAATTATATTTTTGTATAGTAAAGAGACTTAGAAATTAAAATAGTTACAAATATTATAAAATAAATTTGGTTTTAAAAAAAAACCAAATTTTGTAATAAAAATGACGTTTCTGCTAACCCACAACAAGACTTTTGTATATGTCCTCTAGAAAGTGAGCAGCCACATTACCCACAACTCAGCCACCTGTTTTTGCTCGCTCAAGAACCATTAACTGTATAATTTAGTAAACACATAATGTATAATATAAGAGAGCAGTAAACACCATCTATCTTGTTTTAAACTCACAATTACCAACCCTAAAACAAGGTGATTTTGAAAGATACTTCAATAACTAAAGTTATAGTAGAAATGTAAAGAGTAACACTATTGAGATGCAATTATACCTGAAAGGAGATCACTGGGCTCGGCCTTCTTATCACCAGGCCCAGTTCGGTCCCTTTACTGGCTGAAAGAACCAGCAGGTCTATTTGCAACATTCTGATATGCCAAACATAAATGTATAGATTCCAAAAAGGATAGATATCCTACAACAAGATGAACACTAATTCACCGCAATTCAATTCCAAGTTCGACCTTGAGGCACTCGACAGTTTTTGTTCAGTAAATGGGTTTCGCGCAATCTGAGGTACTCTTTATGTTATTCAAGGTATTTTTGGAAATTGGGGCAGATCTCCTTGATTTATTTGGTTTTAGAATTCTTTTTTATATGTTTCAGCGTTTTTTCTCATAGTTTGGCACAGTAATAGTTGTTATATTAACCAAAATTACCGTAATTTTGCAAGAATTTGAAAGTTTGCACCATGTGACAATGAGTGACGCAATACGAACAAACCTTCTGCATGACACGTAAATAGTCATAACCTTAAAATATCAACATTAAAAACCACCCAAACACAATACATATCAACAGCTATGTCAACATGGAAGCCCTGTAAAACAATGACAATACAACAAACTTAATTTTAAAACATTTTCGAATTTCAAATTTAATTTGGAATTCGGTAAGCCTATTCCTAAACTTTAGCTATTCTATTTTTAAGCTTGTATATTTATTTAAAATTTAAATTTTTCGAAAAATGAAGCTGCTACTAACTACTATAATAGCAATTTTATGCCAAAAAGTGTTTTCGTGTCAAGACCAACAGTTCGAATGTTATCTATACACTGGATACTGTCAGGAGCCTTCGTATCAGCAGTGGATGCAGACAAATTGTCCAGCATCTTGTGGCTTTTGTGAGACTCAACAAGGTCAATACGCTTATCCGCAACAATACGAACCATACTTTACTTCAACGCAGTATGGAGGAGGGTACTCTAGTGGTAAGTAATGTAATAAAAAAAGCTCACAATGTTGTTAGAAATAAAAAAAAGTATTTTAGCCAAATAAAAAGTTCTACGCACTTTCCGACCGAATTTTTTACTTCTACTCATCTACTATTAGATAACAGTACTAAAACACTTTTTCCAGGTTGTAGCAACTTTTATTGTAGTGGCGGCTACTCCGGCTACTGCTACGACTGCTACGGTGGTGGATTTGTCGGTATGGTAGGGTACCCTGGCTACATGGGTGGTGGTATTAATATTCTAGGCGGTCTATTAGGCGGGCTAGAAAGCTTAATAGCTGGGATTGGCCAAGCATTTCGTAACATCTTACTAAACCTTGGCAACCTTCTCAACTCTGGCAATTTCGCTAACTATGGTTACGGTTACGGTGGAAACTCATGTAAGTCTGAAGAAACGTTTTTACTAAAAATTTTAAAGATTTAAACTACTGATTAGTGCAAAAATATTAACAAAAGTTTAGATTGCATGGACTATCTCCCCGGCTGCTACATGTACCTGAGTATGTGTATGTCACCGTACTCTTTCTATTCCCAATGCCTACAACGCTACTGTCCTCTAACCTGTGGCCTCTGTGCTGGTGGTCAAAGTGGCATAGTTGGTGGTGGAGGAATAGTACCAGGTTTATCTATTGGAGGTGGCGGACTTGGTAACCCCTTAGGTGCTTTAGGTGGAATTATGGGTTAAAATGACAAAAATTGAATTTAAAATTGTACAATTTGATAGACAAATAAAAGAGTATATTATTCAAAAACTATATTTTTTTTCTTTAATAAATTTTATAATATTTTTTTTAAACTAGACATCTAATTTAAAAAATGAACTTTTAAAAAAATTTGAAATTCATTTTTAAAGCTCAAAAGAAAAAAAGATTTAAAAGTAATTTTTCGCTACTTATCTCATTACCTGAAAAAAGTTGGTTCAGCTAAAGAAAGAGTTAAGGTAATTTGAGATGTTTTTAGTTTTTCTTTTCCGCAGTTATCTAATTACATTATACAAAAGCAACGACATTATAAAAGAAAACGTTGCAATCCTAGCACAAAACTAAAGTTTGCAGAACGCTTCCATAACATTTGAAAAGGCATATGTAACTCCAATTGTTGCGTATTTTAGGTTAATTTAAAAAAGTTCTATCATAATTTTTAAAATACTTTTAATAAGCTTTTAAAATATCATGGTAATACATTGGGAGAATATCAAAATATAGATGACTAAATTAAAGATTCAAAGTCAAAAGTAATTTTAAAAATACTACGTAACAGAAGCCTCCGTAGCGTTGTGTAGACAGTTTGTTCAGCTCACAATCAAAATGTCAACAATAAATCAAAAACAAATTTAAGAGGAATGTCAAGCACAAAAACAAAAGATGCATGACTTTGGAGGGACACATTTCACTTTCATTTCGACTAAAAGTACAAACGAAACATTTGATGCCAGTTTGAGGCGTTCTTTATGAATAAATTAAAATCATATGCAAAAACTGTGAATGTTATCAATTTCTAAAAGTAACCTTTTCAACCTTTGCAGAATTTTGAAGTAAAAAGTAGCTCATGCATAACCATATAAAACAAAGATATAAAAGTATATTTTGGTTATAAAAATAGCTACAATTTTCAAACTTTGTACTGTTGTAGCTTAGTACTACAAGTTTTTTGTCGCAAAATTTTGCTTTTTTGGGTACATTTTAAGGGCGTTATGATTTTTTGAAAAATCGTCATTTTCACCAAAATTACACATATTTTCATTTGAAAATGCTTTTTTTGCCAAGTTTTTCAAAGGTTTTCATTGAGATTTTGCTTGAGAACAGATTTCTCGCAAAATTTTCTAAGTTTATTTTGAAAATTTTGCTGCGACTGCATTTTCAAATCTCGGCGGAGAGTCGGCGGAGGCGCGAAAATATCGGCGGAGGCTATAACTCACTTAAAAATGAACGTAAAGATATAAAACAAAAAGCAATATGTTTCGAATTAAATCTGTTCTCAAGCAAAATCTCAATGAAAACCTTTGAAAAACTTGGCAAAAAAAGCATTTTCAAATGAAAATATGTGTAATTTTGGTGAAAATGACGATTTTTCAAAAAATCATAACGCCCTTAAAATGTACCCAAAAAAAGCAAAAGTTTGCGACGAAAAACTTGTAGTACTAAGCTACCACAGTACAAAGTTTGAAAATTGTAGCTATTTTTATAACCAAGATATAACGTTTTAGTTTCGGATATTTTTCGTTGGACACCCTGTAATGTTAAAAGACGTCTACTACAATATAAGTAACACGGAAATAATTCACAAAACTTTGGGCCAATGCCAAAAGTGTTTGGACATAAAATGGCGACTCAAAATGCGACGAAAATCTGAATTCTGGTCGCGTATATGAATGACCATGCCCTCAGGGAAAACATGTCCGAACATTTATTTTCTCATTTTTCCTTGATTTTTCAAACCAAAAATAAACAAAATATAAGTCATTTGCATAGAAAAATACAAACAATCGCTACCCTTTTTATAAAATATGAAGTATGTTACCTCGAGTGTACATTAAATTAACAAATTTAAAAAAAAATATTTTTTTCAAGTATTTTTTGATCATAAAAGCATAACTAACTGTAGTCGATACCTACTACAACATTTACAGACGTGAATATTCTACTATTCAAACCGAGTAATCACAATAGTCAAACTCACAACAAGACCACATGTTCGAACGTATGTTATATATACAGAATCCTTGTAAAAATTTGTTTATTTTTCGAAAAAAGCCAAAAACAATGCAATTTCGAATAAATTTTAATGTTTTTCACAGGTTTGGCGACAAAAGAGACTAAAAAAAGAAGATTATATGATAACACGGATTATTTTTTAAAAGTGGGTATTGCAATGGGCTCGATTTGACAATAAACTTTATATTTTAGGCGTAGCTACACATAGTTGACATAAAGTTAGTAAACACCTACTTTTGTGTCAAAAAAACCGAGTTTAGGTAATAAATAAAAAGCTGTGTTATCGTTGTTAAGATCTACAAAGCAAACAATCATCTACAAAACTACATACATATAATAGGTATAAAACAGATTAGTAATTTTTCTATTTATTTTTTGACCAACCCAGTAAAATACCATAAAGCAGGTTTACCTTGCTCAACATTGCAGCCTTTTGGCCAAATAAATCCCCGTAAAATGCGAAAAAACAGCATTCATATTAGAATTCACTTGAACATGGCGTCGTGTTGCCCGTAGTAACCAAGTAAGTACTTTAAAAATAGTGTCATAAAGAAGAGACACCTGTAAGAGCTTATTAAATAAGTGGCCAAGCTCGATTTTAATTAAAAATAAATAGGAAATACACTTAATTTAGTGAATTAAATCAAAATATTAGGCAAAAAAAGTAAAATTCAATTTATTTATTGTTTATCAATTTACCATAGCGTATTTTACAATGATTAATTTATTGAATAGTCTTATTAGAAACCACAAAATAACATACATATGTACAACAATGTTCGAGATCAGTGTAAAACATTAAACATACCATATAATGATGAGAAAATAAAAATCTTACAATAATCACAACAATACATACCTGTATTTACAATCTTTTTCACAAAAACTTGTACTATATAATACAAAAACAAACCCTGTACTCTACTTTTTCTTCCTCCATGCATTGACTTTAGCTTGCAAATGAAATACGACCGGTAGTATCAAGATGCCATGCAGGATTCCAAGGGTAATGCACAGTAACATACATAGCACGAACACTTCACCCATGTATATAGGAATAACCAGTAGACATAACACACAAAGATTAGTTGATATACCAGCTTGCATTACTGGGAAGCCTACAGCACCTAAGGTATGTTTCAGGCGATTGTAAACTTCTGTCTGTTCGTTGTCGTATATCTTTTCTTCAAACTCTGTAAAGTCAAATCAATAGTAGATCATAGCTATATAGTACTATAAATATCATTATATTACACTCAAAGTTATAACTCACTTGTTTTGTAGTAATGATGACATATATGACACGGTATATCAATAGAAAATCCGATTGACATAATCAAGGCGGCCATCAAGATAGGATCCAATGTAATCCCATAAAAGTGTAAGAAGCCAATTTCACCTAAAAGTAAAACATGTCAACATCCCTTTGACTTTAAAAATACGGCTAGCAAACAAGAAGTATACCTAAAAAACCCAAAACCATATAATAAGGTAAAACAGCATATAAGTCAATAAAAATCGCGTACCTAAACAAATAGATAAAATAGCCAAAGTAGCCATAGATACAGTAAACGCATCCACAAAGAAGATAAAGCAAACCAAAGCCATGCATATTAATGTAGCTGTGACACTCTGCCATGTACAAGATGGTAACACATCCACCAGATCCAAGAACAAAGCTTCGTCATAGAAGATAGTAGCATTGAATTCCCTGAAATTATTAAAGTAATACAGTAGATTCTTTCAGATAAATTTATATAAAAATTTGAAGCTGCACAGATGAATCTTGAGTACAGTAACTTAAAAAAATATCAAAACTTGTATTGACAGCTTTGTTAAATCTTCAAATCATACGGAAATTCGTTGACTGTGCTTCTCCAATCGTCCAGAAGTGAATGTCGTTGTGTCCAGTGCCTTAGGCGTTCGCCATGAAAGCCAGTTGTAAAAAAGAACTTTTGAATTATCTTTCCATCGCTTGCATTTGCCTCCCTCTTCATAAATCCTCCCCAAAAGTTATATTCAGGCCAAGCCAAGAAGTTGTCCAACATCTCATCGTCCAGCCTCCAACCACTTTCCTCATCTTTCACCAGATTCTCGTGAGATTCTTCAAAGAAGTCCGGATCACTGAAGGCTGCTACATAATCAGCGTAATCTCTGATAAAGAACTTTGTAGAATCTTCTCCAATGGCCTCAGGCATTGTTTCAATATGTTTGACCAAGGCTTCCAGTCGATTCACACGGTCGACATTACTCAAGTTGCCAGGATTATTGACAAAGATGGCGGGTGCAGTAAAATGAGGAATTACATAGCGTTGTTTTAATTTATCTGCCTAAAGAAGAAAATGTTATAATAAACATATTAGAACAGTTAATTTTAAAATGTAATTAGTATAAATTCAACTTTTAAAAATTTTAACATACCTCAAGAAGATCAGAATCCTTCAAGAAAAACTTTTCCGAGCTGAGATCAATTCCCATATTAAGTGCTCCCTAAATTATCGAAATAAACCATAATATCCACAAATTTGCATACTGTAGTTTAAAACATAAAAATTCCAAAACAACCCTTTATATAAAAAATTATGACATTTTAATATACATACATAGAAAACAAGAACTTACATAAGCACTAGCTCCCCAATATCCAACCAGCATTGTTAACACAACAACAATAACTGGAAGCTTCCCCAACACACTGATATACCAGTCAATAACCGAGTAAAACGTATCCTTGATCTTCTGCCGCTTCTTGGAGACAGCTTCAAATTCGTTGTTTTCTTGTTGCATTTCGATTTTACCACAAACTGCCATTATAGCCGCATACAAGGTAAACGAGTAGAAGGTATCGACAAACAAGGCAAAAGCATTGACAATCGAGAACAACTGAATCTCGGGCGGTGAAGTGACAGCCCCGACGGTAAAAGCAAGAATGTTGGTAATTGCACTCAATGTTATTGAAGCTCCAGTCTCTGCACATACCTGAAAATCTGACAGTCAGTACAGTGTTCTCTCTATGTAGTGAACCATCTGTATAATTTCCAAGCCAATTTGCCCTAAAAAGTCTCTCTGTAAAAACGACACCCCTTATAGTAAACACAAAATATCGGTCCCTTCTGGTTGTTTATATAGAGAGAGTACTGTATCAATATCTCACAATCGTAATCTTTTAACAATATAAGCAATAAAATTAAAAATTTTTTAGATTTACGCTTACCATACTGATCCTCTTTTCAATACTGTCGTTAGTGACAGCCGTTCGCTCCCTAACTCGACTGACTACTCTTTGCCAAGCATGCAACATCAAAAAAGAATCATCAACACCTAAAATAACAACAAACAATAATCAGAAGTAAAAAAAAATAGTCTACATTCAGTGGAAACCGTTAGTATTTCTAAAGACACACCATTCTATAATTCAGCAAATCGTATTTTACCAAAACTTCGAACTTACCGATAGCCAGAATCAATAATGGCGTTACTGCCAAAATAGGTCCAAACCTTACTCCCAAAGAGAACAGAATACCAAAAGCGGTGGAAACTGACATAAGTGGTACCACACATGCTGCTATTGCCAATGTTATCTAGAAAGCCATTGTAAATACTGTAATACTTAAAAAGACGTCAAAAATCTCTTGATGCCCAAAAAAATTAATAACCGACCTTATTCCACGTGAACTGTTGAACAAAGAGTGATGACATTATAGTAGTGACAATAGTAAAAGACGTCATGATCACAAATCCGACAGCAATCAAAGGTTGTAAACTCATTCCAGCACGCTCGACTTCCTTCCCGACATAACTTGGTGACATTGCAAGTACCTTTATCAACGATGAGTTAAATTCACTAAAATTTAAGCTTTAACAACATAAACGATAAAGAATAACATCATTCAACCAATTTACAAAGTGCCTTACCTTTTAAAGTATTTGGGAATGTCAGTTTCGTATCTGAGGATATCTTCATCACTCCACCAAGCCTTTCTCTCAGCTCTGACTTGGAATACTATCAACGATACGGTCTTCAAGTTCGATGCCATAAACTTTTCCTCCTTTGTGAACTTTTCCATCTCTTCTGGTCCATACGTGTCAACACCAAAGAAGTTGGCTTGAATTGTGAACTTTCTGTTGAACATTGATGTAGTTGGATAACTTAGGTTCACACGAGCATTCAGCGTCTGATTTTTGGCCAATAACGTGTTCTGAATTTGGAAACCATTCTAAAATTGTTATTCATGTACATCTGAATATTTTTGCATTAAATTTTTAATTATAATAGTTTTAAGACCATTCGTTTGCGTAAAAACAGCCGCCCCACAGCGTATTTTACAAAATTTTCAACAATTTTTGTAACATTTTAAACCTTAAATATGCATAATAATGCGTTATTTATCAACAACTACGCTGTGTAGGGATTGAACCTTATTGAGCGAGCTTCTGCTCCGAATGAAAAGCTTTTTCATAAGGCTTTTCCACTTTCCTCCCCCCTCTCTCCCCCCTTTTTTCCCGCTGCGATCCACTTTTCTCCACTTTATTTTCCCTTTTTTCGTTTGTAACGAAACGTTTTTGGCTCAACAAACCTCTATTATCTTACTTTTTCTTAAACTTGGTGTAATTTGAGTAAAGTGAAGGTAAATTTTATCATATTTGTATGGTATTTTAATATCAAATACAAAAAAATTAAAGTTTTAAAATTATTCTGCGTTTTTGGATACTTCAACGCTAGAAATTGACCTTAATCTTTAAAATGGGCCTGCAGTTAAACTTTTTACTACATATGAATTCTTTCCAATTTGACTACATTGTCTGTCTAAAACAATATATAAACCAGACTTTTCAGACAAAATTATTTTTAATGACAATGTCAGACTGCCCTGACACTTCAAGTGTCTCAAACTTCGTGGAGAACGCTACACCAACAGTGGAGATTATTTCTGTAGCCAGTACAGAGCCCAATACCTTTAATTTAAACCAATTATTAGCCCAGGCAACAAACTCAAGTAACTATAACTTCAACAACCTTACTGCAATCACTTCTCAAGTAAGCTCCACTACTATTTTGGGCAAAGTCTTTATCTTTCAATAGGTCTGACAAAACTTTGTGCAAAAAATTAGACATGAGGGGGCCGAGCCCACTTTTCCGGCAAACCGTCCAGAAAAAAATAATAAAGCGTCAAGTCTTGCCTTTGATCGTTCAGGTCAAGTCTCACTCATTGCTGGAAAACTAACTTTCAAATATGTATATGTATTGATGTTTCAGAGACCATCATTAGACGAATTCATACGGCAATATATTAGACAAGAGATAGAACCATTAACGCGAAGAGTGGAATCTCTAGAAGCAGAAAGGCAGATTCCTCCTGTCATTGATAACAATACAAATCGACCAAATGTAAGCAAACTGTAAAACAGATTTCAAAGCTAAAATTGTCGTGTTTTTTTCGCAAGTTTGACTTTCTCAGTATGCTACATTATTTTTAAAAATAATAGTTTTAGGGCCAAACAAGTCTAGATGACCAAGTCAAGTTCATAATTAAAGAAGAACTTCAGCCATTAGCTGCCAGGATCAGTTTGGTCGAAGCCAATTCAAGTGGTTACGTAACCAGGAACGATGTAGCTCGTATAGTCCACAAACAATTGGCCAAGGCCCTTAACCATAGTGCTAATGAGTTTATGAACCAAGAAAAGGTGCTGGAAGCAAGTCTAGGCTTCCCTGGAGGGGCAGAACAAAAGTCTTATAAGAACTCGTTTCCAAAGCCTACTACCAGTATGGTAGAAGACAACATACCGTACCAGTTCTGTTTTGAAAAGATGCCACCGACTAGTATACTGTACTTTTTACCGTCAGATCTAGGTACTCCGAGGTATATTGATATTGCCAGTCATATCATACAGGCTTCTGGCTTGACCTCTAAAACGCTAACAGATGTGGCAAAGTGGATTCAGAAGACAATATTACAGAAGGTAAGTCTGATTATGACTTAAAAACAGCTTATTTGTGATTTCAAGACATACAACCTAGAGGATTAATGCTTCTTTAAAACATTTTACTATTTTATTACTGTACTTTTCTATCGTAATTTACTCGTTTAGGCATACGGGAAAGAGCTGACTCAAATGTCGGTGTCAGAGAACCCCAAAAACAATTATGTCTCTATACCTAATGCTTTGTTTGCTACTGTAGTGGACTTTGCTATTCACTGTAACTGTCACGAACGCTTTCCGACCGACCCTGATGTTGTACAAGCTATTAGGGACCAGTTGATTGATACTTTAGAACGGACGGCAGCCGAAAAGTTGTAAGTTTTAATTGTTTCTTACATCAACAACACTTTCTGGAGGCGATTTTCAGTGTAATATTTTTAAAAACAAAAGCCTCTTCAAAAGTTTCGTTTTAAATTTAAAAAAACTTAAATTTTGAAGTATTAACAATGTTTGGAAAAAGCAGTAAAAAGTTTTTTGGTATTATTAAAATTTTCAGAAAAGCTTCACGAAAACACAAAAGAAGAACTCAAAACAAACATAATCTAGTCCAAGCCCTTCAACGAAACATCAGTTTTTCTGAAAGTGATGGTGAAGATTCAGCTCCGCCAGAAAAGCGGGCTTCTGTCATCAAAGAAGAAGCTTCATGGCAACAAGTTTTAGAATAGCCTAAGATTAGCATAACATAAAAAATTGTGCCTCTGATTTCAATGTTATGCTGTTCAAAAACTTACTTACTTCTAATATAAGTTTAAAAAGTTTTGTAATATTAACAACATCCACCTAAAACAACTTACATAAAACTGTCTGACAGGCTCATTAATCTGACAGAAACCACGACAAAACTCTGGAAAAGTCTGTAGCTTCGTGCCATCTTCTGATGGCATTTTGAACTTGTTGTAGATCGTATCTAGAACCTGTACTGTTTGGTTTAGATGGTCATTTCGTATCATTGTCTGATTATCTTTCGGAGTAACCAATACGAATATTGTTATTCCTTGGCCGTGATTGTCAAAGAATTCTTGGTATGTGTTATATTCTACCCGACTTCTAGCATTGGTTGGGGCGTAGGCTAGGAGATCACTCTCTTTTCTGTAATACACTAATTTGATATTGGTTCAGTAAATAAGTTACAGTAAATTTAATTGTACAAGCAGTAAACATAGCAAATTTCATAGTTTAAAGTTTGCTTTGAGCAGTTTAAATCGTGAATTTGATTTTCTTAAACCGAATACTGTAAAGTCACAAAAACAATTTTAAATTCACCTAAACTTAAAAAAAATCTTTTTTCAAAAGGTTTTGGCCTACTTCGTAGTTGCCGTGATGACACCAAAGATGACAGTAAGTAATGTTGTTATAACAATTGTTGCCACAGCATGTCTGGCTACCAAAGCTCCGAATTTACCGTAAAATGTGTGCATAAAACGAAGAACTGGTGCTGCTGAGGGATTATCAGCGCTGATCACACTGGTATCACTCCCACTACTCAGCGACGAGTCATCTGGCTTCCGAGGTTTATCCATAAATCTAAAAAGCTTTATAAACAAACTTTACATTATAAAGCATAATAGTAATCGTTTAATCTATTATATAAGGCAGCGAACAAAAAAAATAATTCACAATTTAATAACCATGGTAAAGAGGATATTTTTGACTGTATTATACTGTTCACGGCAACAAAAGAACATTACTAATCGATAAAACAATACGAAAATAAACTTTTTCATACCAGGAAAACCAAAAATGTGTTGCAATTTTAAACAACAATGCAATCAAACTCAAGACAACAGCAAATGATTGTCTTTTAATCAACACACGTCACGCATAAAACAATATAAATATATTTTACCTGACACAGAACGTGTTTAATTAAATTCACCAAACCCTTTGTGACCTTTCAGAAAGTTACATTAATTGCTAATGGTTAAAACTGTCAACGAATAAACAGATTTCTGAAGCCACAGGTTCTTCTCATGATTGACATAAAATCAAAGCCTAAAGTCATTAAAAAGTTTAAAAGATTGATTATTACTTAAGTAATTAGCAATATAGAAACCTAAAGTAAGTTGCTAAGCCACTTGTTGCTTTAAAAGATGTCATTTCTACGTATTCCCACCAGCGTAAATAAATTGTCTTAACATCTGACCTCTCCTCTCGTTTGTCAATTCCAGAAACCAGAACAGAGTTATTGTATTGTAAAGACAGGCTTTTAAACAACGAGGTTGTAATCTTTAAAATTTTGAAGAATATACAGTTTTACAAAACAGTAATTAGTAATTTAGGTAACAATAAATTGTAGGTGGTATTGTACGCGTATTTTGTGAGTACAACCGGAAACTCTAAAGGTAACATGGTAAACAAACTATACTTTAGAAGGCTAATTCGTACGTAGTTCTTGCCCTTTCATGTGTCTTCTAAGAAATAAAAATGAGTTTAATTTAAATTATTGCCCAGTATTTCCAAAAACCTTAAATAGTTTTAAAGTGGCCGGGAATCAAATTTAAAAACAAAAAATTTTGAAAACTCTCAAAAAGTTTACCGTGGCTATATTTTTCCATTTAAAGCAAAGGTAAAACCCCATCCTGAAGACATTAAAAGTATAAATGGAATTGTAAACCCACTAACGATTAAATAACAATTTTTACAGAATAATTAATGTGTTGTCAAGCTGTCTAAAAGATTTTACCACAGAATTCAGTTAATGACAAACAAGACTGTTTAAAAAAGGCTGACATTCATATACATATATGTTTGCCTGTAATAAAGTTAAATTTATGTTCAAAATCTAAACCTATATGGCTTTGTTTTTACAAGTCTACAATAACAGAAAGTGCATTTTTAATAGTGGTACTGTACCGTCTACACCCAAAGCGTATCATGATCAAAAGTAGAAAAATGAATTTTATTACTGTAAAGAATAAATATTATTTATGTTATCCTAAAAATGTACAGCTTTGCGTTTAAGTAAAGAAAACGTAAGCTAACAAAAACTAAGAAATTTGCTTTAAAACTTCGTAGCAAAATTTACTTTTTGCAATGAAAAATACAGTAAACATTTGAAGGTAAAGACATTTGAAACGTAACGTCAAAAAGGAGTTACTAGTTTATAGCTGCAGTTTTGAAAAGAGGTAAAAAGTAATTATAAAATTTTATATGAAACTTACTAAAAGTAAATTACACCTTACAAAGTAACTAACGTATTTTATTACTGTAATATTAATCTTTAAATAGTAAAACAGCTTATAAACAAAGATGTTTAAAAATTATCAAAGCTTTTATAATACTGAAGCATATTAAAGTATATTTTACCTTTTCAGTACAAACTACCGTAATCAAACCGTAACAATCCCTGCCAATTGAAAACAAACTTCCTTTGAATGGATATAAACTAAAATTGGTCTTTCTTGTCACTTGTTCAAGATGGAAATTACATTCGCCAAACTGAATTTGATCAGTTCAGTTGAGAGATCTTTGGCATTTTACATAGATTACGGTAAAAACTATTCTTCAGTGATATCATGATTTATAAAAAGATTATTTATATAAAAAATAAAAAAAATCCCTGCTATAAATGTAAAAATTTATATTGTAGTAGAATCAAAAATAATGTTTCAAAACAAAACCCGATGACTTTTTGAACCTAATGGCTTTCAGACCATCGCTAATGCCCGGAAGAACAAAAGGAAGTTCGGAAAAAGTTCTACCACAACCAGTCGCCCTTTATATTCCACGAACGTTCATGAATCTCGTCACAGGATTGTTTTAATACCGGGTCGAATTCCTCCCGAAATTCACTTTCCTCGAGCTTTTTTATTTGTTGCGCAACAAGGAGACAATAGAAGCAGACAATGTCACCAAAGTTGTTAATGCAGCCTCTTGATAAATGGAGTTCCTGTACATTACAACACCTGATTATTGAGGTCAGTGAGAAAGTGGGTAAACAAAGATCACATCTATCTTCGTTTATCACATCGCTCTGCAAGTTGTCGGCGGCTTTAGCAACCGTTTTTCACGAAAAAGTGAAAGTATCAACGATCACAATAGTAAAAATGTAAGAGCAAAAACAACGAAAATAAATTATTTTTAAAATTGTTGAGCACAACTGCTTTTGAGAATATTAAAAAAGTTTAATTGCAGTAATTGTATAACAATAGATTTATACAAAAAAGTTTTTTTGGTCAAAATATTATACAGTATTCTGTGTCTATAAAGCAACCGGAAGGAACTGACATTTCGTGTTTACTATAGGAGGTGTTGTTCTTAATTTTTGCAAGTTGACATGACAGGAAGAAATTTCTTGTTTACTGTAAAAAGAGTTGCGTATACAGATGGTTTACCATAGAGAGTAACCACTGCAGATATGTACTTTAAAAAAAAAGATTACTTGACAGAAATTAAACCTTGTTTTTAAACTGTTGTGTTTTTAGACCTACAAATACAGCGTAACTCCTATTAACAAATAGCACGAGGATTTTAAATTTGTTTGGTACAAAATAGTTTTGTTATACAGGAGCTTTAAATGCACTGTGTAGCGTTAGTTCTAAAAGTTATGCGTTTTACGGGAGATTTGTTATAGAGGAGTTCGTTACACAGTAGTTGCGTTGTAGCTGTAAAAAGACATCAAAAATTTAAATAAGGATTTTGTTGGGTTTACCTTTTAATACTTTAGTTTACTTTTCAAACAATATTATCTACACTTTTTACTAATATTTTTTAAATGTCAAGTTAATTTTTACTATTATATGTTCTTTTTGATGATTTGTCATTAATATAATTAAGGTTGTCTGGCTCACCTTAAAACTTCTTGACCTTGTATTGTCTAGTTCTCAGCACTTAAGAATAATATAATTCTTAGTTTTATTGAAATTGATACAAGATTGTTTGCTATATATAGTTCTTTACTTGAAAAATGATAAACAATATCAGAAGGTGCACCTTTAGTTGTAATGCTTTTTCCTGCAAATATTTAAATGCACCAAAACCAGTTTTATACCTTTTGAAAGTGGTATCTGTTTACAGTTTCTTGCTGTATAGTAAGCGGTTGATGAAATGAAATTGTGAACGAACTTTACAGTCGGTTTAAACTATCTAATTAATTGGGGGAGAGCATCTAATTAGTCTATAAGAGTGTAAAAAGTAGTTACACTTTGCTCCGGAAAGGCCATTTTGCAAACTCATGCGTTAACAATTTCTTCATAGTAGTATAGTTATTAAACTGACAAAATCTTGTATTTTAAAAATTTCTGTGTTATGCACACAAGTACATTCACCACAGCCAATTAAATAACGTTACCTATTTTAACTTTTTTTTTAAAACTTTTAGACCGGGCATTTTCAGGTTAGGCTTGCTACTTTTTGCCTCTTTAGCTCGTTATTGCTTAGTTTCAACAATAACGACTAATGTATAATGGCTCATTATTAAACTTTACTTCGAAAAAAGTTAAAATAATAATCTTTTAGGTTATTTCTTAAACTAAAAGCAATGATAACTCAACGAATTTTTAAAAATTAACAAAAAAACTTTAGTCATTTTGCATTACACTTTCGAAAGCAGTTTAATAACATATGTGCCAGTTACATCGGTGTTTTTACTTTTCCCGCCTGTCAATTACCCTTCTCAACATTCAAAGTTTACAAAAACTTTCAAGCAACCGGAACTTTTCACGTAGCTCTTTATTGTAAACCTGGGAGGCGTCAGTCGGTTTTTGTAAAAAGACCATCTTTATATAAGACCAAATTTTACGTCGCAACAAACTTTTTGTCCGTTACGTTTATGAGTTTTTACTTTACTATGGTTTAGAGCAGTTACTTGGACGGATTTGGGTTTATGTCCATGTTCCTTTTCATTTGAACTTGTTATAGGTTCAACATTTTTTTTAAATTTGTGCATGTTTTGTATACTTACCACGTGCGCGTTTTGCAAAGTTTTGGTACTATTTCATGCAAAAATAACATAAAAAATAGTTTTATAAGCAATAATAATTTAACGTTGAATTTTTCCATATTTTGTTAACAAACTAGTAATTAGATACATTTTATAAAATAAAATACAAGATATCCTTTCAGAATGTTGGGTGTGATTACGATAAGCTTTTTGGCTTTCACTGCTCTATGTAGCGCCGATCCTGAGACTGGACTAAGCAAGATGTTCGCTCCGATCTTGTTCCCTCCGACTGCTGACTTTCATGATGTACATGACGGTCCAATTTCTGCTGAGTAAGCTTTACTTAAAATTTAGAGTACTGTGGCTATTTTTGCATATTCAAATAAAAATTTAAAAAATTAAAATAAATGAAGCCTCTGGGCTTGACCGCAGCGAATAAGCCGGTCAAACCATACGTCTAAAATAAGTCAGAGCTTTGTTTTGCTAGCAAATACACTGATTAACACAAAAATTTTTTGTGCCGAAACTAAAATTGTTATTTCAGAAACCTCGACTACTATGATGCCGTAGCAGCTGGACTTGATGGCCCAGTTGGACCAGTTGTCCGGCCTGCCTTTGTCTTCCAACCTCCAGTAGAACAACTTCCAATCTTCCGACCAGTCCAAGCTCCCCTTGTTGTTGATGAAGACATTCCACCAATGAAAGTGTCACAAAAAGACTTTGAAACTAAAAAACTAGCCAACTTTGCTCTCTTTGCTCCAAACCAAGGAAGCGATGGATTCGAAGTTAAAACTCAAGAGGTACCAGTAACTACTGGCAGTCCCAAAATAATCGAAGTCAATGCCGAGACTCAGGAAGAGAAAACTGAAATTAAGGAGGTTGAGACGACTACGGAAGAAGTGATTGTACCTCCACTGGCTGAAAAGTTTGTCGTATCATTTGATTAGCTTTATTAGTTTTCATTGTACAGAACTTAATAAATATAACTAATAATTGAAAAAATGTAAACTTTAAATATATAAAGTATGCTTATGTCAAATATACTTGCAAACTGTGTTCAATACTTTACTAAAATTAAAAGATAGAAAAGATAATGTTTGTAGTTTTGGTCGTATAACTTGGCTCACAATTATGGGCGCGAACTGCGGAAATTAAATAGAAAAATTTTGGAAAACAAGATAATAAATTGTTTATTTGCCCAAAAGGCTTAACCGTTTTCTTTTTGCTGAACCGAACGCCATCACATTTGGTTATCAACAAAGCAGAGACTCAAATTTGTATTCAAAATGAGTTTAAAACTCTTTAATGGGCACGTTTTTACAGCCTCTAAACTTTCCATGCGTCAGTTTCAGTCTGCTTTACTGCCAGAAGGTGCTAAGGCCTACGTAAACGGTAAGTTTGGTATGGGATTGTGTGTATGATGGATGCTGGCGATTATAAAGTTGTGTGAATTACAAGTAATGTTTTGAAGTTATGTTGTGTTGTGTTTTAGGAAAATGGCTTGGGAGTACCTCTGGAAAGGTGTTCGAGGTGTTAAATCCTTACACCAAAGAGACTATAACTGACGTTCCAGACTGTAATGTACAGGATGCAGAAATTGTAAGCTTTTTTTATAAATGTTTTTAAATAAGTGCGCGTTTAACATAAATTATAGTGTTTAAACAGCTGTACGTTCTCTGCAAGAGATACTGGTTTAAAATTTTGTTTTGTAAAATATAGAGCTGCTAATTTTAAACTATAACATGACGCTGAAGATCGTTTGCTTTTGATATATTACTTTATTTATAGGCGGTACAATCAGCAAAGCAAGCTTTTCCTAAATGGGCCAATGAATTTACAGCGAAACAAAGAGCAGAAACGCTGAGAAGATGGTACGAGATCTTCAGGGATCGTGAAGAAGAATTGGCCAAGCTTTTGACAGAAGAACAAGTAAGTGATTTTGTTATTGATTTGTTTTTAGGTAACAAAAATTCTGTAAATCTCTTTTTACTAGAATCGTGTCGTTAGAAACTTTTTCGATGTGTTGTCTTTGTAAAATATTGTTATGTATGCTTATTAAACATGTTTTCATACCTTTTAAAAAGCTTTTTATATAATTTGATATTTAGGGCAAGCCGTTAGCGGAAGCTCGGGCTGAGATTCAATATTCTGCGGCTTATTTTGATTGGTACGCAGGAGAAGCGCGAAGAATATATGGCCAAGTTGTTCAACCTCCGACTCTCAACCGAACTCATTTACATGTTCGTGAGCCTATTGGGGTAGTTGTGGCTATTACACCAGTAAGTTTAATTTTGAACGTCGTTCTTAAAGTCTTTCACTTTATGAAGTGCATCTATGTATTGAAGGTTAAACTTGAGTATTATTTCAGTGGAACTTCCCAGCAGCAATGATTGCTCGTAAAGCAGCAGCAGCTTTGGCTTCTGGATGTACGATGGTTGTGAAGCCGGCTCACGATACTCCATTATCTGCATTGGCTTTGGCAGCTACAGCTGAAGATGCTGGCATACCCAAAGGAGTCTTCAACGTTTTAACTGCTGCTCATGAAAACACAGCCGAGATTTCGAAATTTGTTTGTGAATCCCATAGTGTAGATTGTATTTCGTTTACTGGTAGTACGGGAGTCGGAAAGGTAAGCACACATTTTGATATCTTTTATACCTATTATATATTTAGTATATAATCATCGTTATTTACAGTTACTACTTTCTCAATCTGCTTCCACAGTTAAAAGAGTATGCCTCGAACTGGGAGGTAACGCTCCTTTTATTGTCTTCAAATCGGCCGACTTGGACAAAGCTGTCAAAGCGGCTTTGGCTTCGAAATCAAGAGCTAGTGGACAAACTTGTGTCAGTTCAAATAGATATTATGTTCACGATAGTGTGCATGAAGAATTTGTAAATAAGTTGAAGGAATCTTACTCAGCACTAAAATGTGGCGATGGCTTGAAAGATGGTACTACTCAAGGCCCTCTTATTAACGATAAGGCTGTTTATAAGGTAAGTTTTGTGTAAATTTAGTTTTTTTTCTTGGTTTATTATTATTTCATAGATTTCACATAATCTTAAGCAAGACATAAGACTCATTAATTAAAATTCAGTTTCACTGATAAATTACGTTTAAAAATTATACCGTTTTAACGTTTCCATGATTCTTTCAGGTCCAATACTTAGTAGACGATGCTCGAGACAAAGGCGCCGAACTTGTGATTGGAGGTGAATATATAGAAGAGACCAACATCTATAAACCCACAATCCTTACTAATGTAACAGAGAAAATGGAGATTGCTCATCAAGAGATTTTCGGACCTGTAGTAGCGATCCAGAAGTTTAGCGACGAAGCTGAAGTCATTAAAAGGGCAAACTCTACAAGACATGGATTGGCATCGTACATCTTCTCAGAAGATTACCGACAAATCAACAGGGTTTACAGAGCCCTACAGTTTGGCATGGTTGGAGTTAATGAAGGTAAGGGATTTGTGTTTTTATAACATGTACAGAGGGTATAAATGGAACGTTTTTTAATGGCTTTATATCATCTAAAACAAGGCCTTTGGTTTTGTGATATAATTCTCAATGTTTAGGCGCTATTTCATCGGCTGAAGCAGCCTTTGGAGGTGTGAAAGAAAGTGGCATGGGCAGAGAAGGTGGTCCTCAAGGTATCGATGAGTTCACCCAATGGAAATATGTTTGTATTGCTGAATAAGTCAACAATGTCTCGTAAAATTATAATATTTTAGGTTGTACAATAAATTTGCAGACTTTTAGGTAGTATAATTTACTTTAAAATGGTTATTACACGTGCCATTAGAGTCATACATATAAAACACTAATTTTATTGTCGAACAACTTAATGTTTAAAAAATATTTTTTTATTTTATTACTAACCATGTTTGTATGTAATTTTCATTTTTGAAACTAATCGTAAGACGTTTTTCCTAATGCTATAAGAACGGTGGTGCAGGCCGCAGGTTTAGTTTTTTTCGGCTTGCGCCCGATGTTTTGCGCTCTCGTAAAATTTCGCGCGCGCGTTGATTTGTTTCTTTATTGTTTTTGGGGGGCAACGGCGCTGCTCGACGCTCTAATTATGCGTTTCCTAGGCTTTATGCCGAGTTTTTTCTTTAGTTTTTATGAATAATATTTTTCTGGCCGGTTTGGCATGAATATAGGTCAAAATGTTGTTTTAAAATTGAAAATAACTGGAATAATGGTTAATTTGGTGGGTAGAATAACATTGTTTGTTAGATTTTGCAGGTTTAAGCTTTTTTGTTTTGTTTTTTAGTTTTATGTTGATTTTATAGGGAGCGTTGACAGTTTATTTGTATTATATGGATGTCTTGAATTTAAGGTTTCAAGTAATTTTACAGGTTTTTGGGCATGAAAAACTTGTAAAACGACGTAGAAACCATTATATTTTTGTTTTTTATAACGTGTCTTCTTTTACTTGTGTTTTTTGAGTATTATCTGTCTGCTCATAGTTAACATAACGTAGAAACTGATTTTTTCATTTCAGAAATCTCGTCACAATGGCTCGTGGTGCTGGAAAGATTACCAAGAAGAAGGATCCAAATGCTCCCAAGCGTGCCTTATCAGCCTACTTTATATGGCTCAAGGAGAACCGAGCCAGAATCACTAAACCCGGCATGAAGGTAGGCGAAGTGACCAAACTGGCAGCCAAAGAATGGAACAGTCTGAGCGACAAGTCAGAGTGGGAGAAGAAGGCCGAAGACGACAAGAAACGTTATCAACGAGAAATCACGGCTTACCGCCAGACCGACGAATAACTCTGACCATTCATATCCTCACTCATCTCACCCTTAATGTATCGTTGACCCGCATATTTCCTTCGAAGGCTTGTTTCAATAAATTGCAAATTGTTCGATGTTAGTTTGGGCTTGCTTCAATGATTTTGTGGCCAAAAGGCTTTGTGTTTAAAATTTGATCTTTTGGCCAGAGGGCTTTGTGTTTAATGTTTTTTGGGAGTTGTGAGGTTTTTGAAACTTTTATATTATCTTTGATATATGCGTTTATCAATATATTGATGTTTAACATGAAAAGAGGTCTTAAGATGTTGTACACGAAATCTTTTTATTTGTAACTATTATAAGGTAAATAGGAACCCAGAAATTTACCAACATAATCTAAAATTTTCATCAAACAGTGATGATTATTGTTAGCAAACTATTTACATGATGTCATATCAGAAAATCCAAATCCTTTGTGATAAGAAAACATGGGTTTTTCAAGAATTGAGGGTGTAGTTGATGACGCAGGTTGAACTTATTCGAGTCCAGCGATAAGAAACAGTAATATAAACACACAGTTTCAATTCATAATGATCTGAATTATAACAATATGCTGTTATGAGTCATTAAAGTGTAGGCAAATTCTGTAGCTCTTGTGTTTGACTACCGTCTATGATAAAATGTTGTAGTTCCGTTAGTGCGTGGTTATATTGATAAAAAGGCAACGCCCTTTTAGCACTATTTAAAAAAACACCTATTCTGGCTTGAAACAGCTTTATCAATTGACATGAACAGGATATAGATAATGTTTTACGACCAAAATTTTGAGTCCGTTTTCAAAAATTTCGATTTAAAAATGACGCAAAGCCATTTAAAACAGGCTTGCTACAGAATACGACAGTCTTATTTGTATAGCGCGTGAATTATGTTTTTATCAGTTTTCGAGTTTCAAATAACATTGTTGTAGGCAACACATTAAGGAAATGGACGTAACACTCTTAGGTCCTTGTAATTCTGATGAGCTCAGGTGTGCAACATCTTTATGCAGAAGGTTTGAGAATAAAGTTGGTGTTATTAGCGGTGGGACTAGAGGGTAGGTGTTAATATGATCAGAAATGTCGTTAAGAGTATACCAGGCAAAGTTTTTAACACAACTTTCTTCACAACTGTTTTTTAGCAATCTTATTTCAGAATTGGCCTAGCAATTGCTCAAAGATTAGCCGAAGAAGGTGCGAATGTCATAATATCGAGCAGAAAGCCAGAGAATGTTGAATTGGCCATGTCATATCTCCGTTCAATACCCAATGTAAAACATGATCAAATCCACGGTATACCATGTCACGTTGGCACAACATCAGATCGTCTTAAGCTCATCAGAGAGGCCGATTTAAAGTTTGGTCGCTTAGATGTTCTTATTCTAAATGCCGGAGTAAACCCAGCTGTTGGTGACATAAACAAAGTCACCGCGTCTCAATGGGACAAGATGTATTGTATCAATGTGAAAGCCGGCTTCGAATTGTGTCGTGCAGCAGTGCCGTTGATGGAGAAGACAGGTGGAGCCGTTATCTTCACTTCATCTTTGGCAGCGTACAGAGTTCCTGGAGCTTTTAATGCATATGGGATCACAAAGTCAGCACTGTCAATGTTAACTACGGTATTGTCACAGGAATTGGCGTCGAAGAATATCCGAGTCAATGGGATTGTACCTGGAACGATAGAGGGTGCAGGAATGAGCAGAATGGTAGGTTTAACAACATTTAGCCACTTTCATCTTGATCTTCAGTCAGAGGAACAACGAAATTAATTGTCTTAAAATTAATATCCATTTTTAAGTAATAACTTTAGCTCTGGGACACAAACCACAAATGGCATAAGCTGGTAAAAGACGCGGCCGATGGCTCAAAAGGTTTAGCCGGAAGATTTGGTAAACCATCTGAAATCGCGGCATCAGTTGCTTATCTATGTTCGGATGACGCCAGCTTTGTTACGGGAGAAAACCATCTTGTTATGGGTGGAGTTGATGCCAGAATATGATGTACATTTGCAAGAACCATATCTCCATAAAAACAGAAGACATATTTAAATTAATAAAGATTTTTAGCCTAAAAACCTTAATGAATAAAACAAATGTACGTTTACGTATATTATCAACAATAACAATCACCTAATTCAGTAAAACAACTAAAATATAATTTGAGATCACGTTTTGGCAGGTACATCAGCTGTTAGTTTTGCGCTTTGTTCTACTGCTGGTGCTACTGGTACTGGTTTTACTTTATCTGCAGCTGCAGGAGGTGTGGTTGGTGGCGCTACTGGTTGCTGCTGCTGTTGTTGCATCGCTTCTTGCTGCTTGAATAACATCTTTGGGGCCAAATCAGCAAAAACGACCATTAAACGACGATTAACTCGCATTTGTTTGTCAATACCTAAAAAATATGCGAATGCATAACATTATCAATAACTGCATAACAATTTAGAGATTCATGGTATAATAAATGAATACTTTGTTGAGGAAATATTATACAAAAACGACAAAAAATAGTCAAATCATAACGGATACGCTTTCTAAACTCGTAAAAAACAAAATCAAATAAAGAAAAAAACTTACATTCTTGTGTACACTTAGCTTCAATGGGCAGTAACTGATTTGTGCTAAAGTCTCTCACACACGATCCAAAACAACGTTCTGTCAAAGTGTTATAGACACTCAAAAACTCTTTCAATTGAGTTAAATTCTCTATCTGTGACATATCAACTGTCTATCACACAATATACTCAAAAAACTAATTATTTATCTGTAAGTTAAAGCAAAGCCTAGAAAAATGTGAAATTAAGACAAGAAAATGTTAAAAAATATAAAATAATTTAGAAACGTTACGCCAAAACATTTTTGCAGTCATTGTTTTCGGTGCGGGACTCTTGTAAATATTTTTGTCGGTGAAATACATATTGACAAAGTAAGGCGGTTAATTAACAATGTTTTTTAAAAATGTTCTGTTTTATGAATTAATTATAAATTACTTTTAAAAAAAGCTCCGTTCGCAAAGTTTTATAAATTTAAACTTATTTATTTGACGAAATAAATGAACAGAATGCCCATTATATGTCACAACGACAATAGCTCGAGATTCAACAACTAACTGTAAAAAATGACGTTGGGACATTGATAGACAAGTATTTTGCAAAAGCATGACTATAAGTGATGTTTTCTTAGTGGCCTAATATGAATTTGATCCGAAAGACGGACTACGGTTATTTATAAACTAGCTAGAGTACTTCCTTCAGAGAACACACAATTTTTTACAAATTCGGGCATTTAGAGAGGTTAAACCTGATAATGGTTTACAATTTTAGAACATTATATTCATTTTCGGTGTGGTTACAACAGGCTAAAGCCACGACTGTAAACGTCTCCAAACCGTTGTAACATATAATAATAAAGTCGGTACAAAATAATATTTAATACTTTTAATTCTACAACATATTGCACATGTCTGTGAATAACATCCATGTGCAAGACTCTACAGTAATTTACAACAATACAACCACAAACGTCAGTCTTGGAACGATATTACAACATATAATCCTCAAGACAACGTATGTGATTGTTTGACTTTAATCAGAATCCCAAGGCGATTTGCAGACTTCGATTGCTTTGTGGGATTCAAGTTTGGTTTTGTCAAAGAGAAGCGGTAGCGGGATTCTGTAGCGTTCTTGTTCCGCACAGATGGTATCAATGTTCTCTCCGAGTTGTTGAGCCCATCTACTACAAGAATCGTACAACATCAGCATGGCATGGGCGTCTAGAGCTGCATATTGTAACTGAAAAATAAAGTTGTTTATTATAGTTTTTATGGTCTAACAAATAAATTCATTTCCTAATCATAAGTGCAGTAAAATTTTCTCCATATCAAAGCTCTTTTATTTTCGGCCGGATATTGTAAATAAAATTTAAAAAATATAAAGCTTACCTGCGAGTTCCTGAGGGGTCTCCTGTCCCAAACGCTACATTGTTCGATCTTGTTCACTTCTCCTCCCAACAATGCCATACATAACGCTGACAACCCCAGTGTCTTCACAGTGGAATCTTCCTTCTTCTCTGCCATCTTCACTACGGGAGTAAGTGGCAGTGTGTCATCATGTTCATCTTCAATTACTGATGTATCTGCTGCAACAATCGAGTCGTCCATTCGTCTTTCTTTGGCCTTTTCCAAATTTATGAATTTTTCTGGATTTAGGTTTCTTGCCGTTGTGATACTGATCAGCTTTTCCACGACTCGTGATATGCAGATCAAGCTCTCAGGTTCGTACAAGCTGTTACAATTAGGCAATCGTCTTCGAATTTGAACCAAGTCTTCTCCAAAATGAAACCCTATCTTTAAGATATTCTCATCCAAAAATAGACGGTCCATGAACTCTGTCAGGGCTGCATGATCGTCGATTTGATCTAGATCTATTATGCACACCATCTTTTCAAAAGCAATTTGGATAATCGATGCTCTAAATGGACAAACAGGATTATTTGCATCAAAAAAGAGGTACTAATCAGTAAAATTTGACATCATTAACTAATATAATTCATACTGTAACTTACCTGCTGGTCAAAACATAGGCCGACCATTCAGCATCTAACCCAACCACAGCCGTATATCTTCCTGTTCTTTGAATACCACGCAAGTTATGTTCGATACAGGCCAGTTTCATAGCGTTGTCCACAAAGAAAATGTCGACATCGGCGGGTAGCTTCAGATATTCTCCTTCTGGAGGTTGTCGTTTCATTCTGTTCTCCAAACTATAGGCCAGCCGTTGCATTTTTACTCGTTCTGTGTCCAATGTGCAATCAAACTTTTGCCAATACATAGCTGCCTTAGGATCCGCACACCTTTCCCGAAGTTCTTTCACTATGTGAGAGCGCATTTCCGGACGTTGCTTTATAAGACAGAATGCCAGATCGTACAAATGTTCTATTCCCCATTCACCGGTACCGTATCGTTTTTGTAGGGCTTTAGAGAAGGCTACGTATGCCCAGGGCTTAGATATCTTGTTGCATCGAGGCATTTCTAAAAATTTGTAGTAAGTACACGTGATTTATATTATAGATTGTTAAAGTATAAATAGTGAAATATCAAGGTATACTCTGATCACTCGTTTAAAATGTAAATTACCCATCATATGTCCAAAATTTAGAATATTAAACACTCTACCTTTCCGTAATTCGCACATCATATCGCCAATATTATCAGAAAACTCCTCAAACGTCAAAACTTTTTGCTTCTTCTCATCGCACAACCTCTTCCTGGCTCTGTTAAACAGTTCCTCGTCCAAACTCCAGGCTTCAACTTCAGTCAGTGCTCGTCGTGCATATTCTCTGGCTTCTTCTGTCCTTTTGCCCAAAAATTCTTCTACAAACTGGCCGCTTGTCCTGCCTAATAACATCAGCGTCTGCATATCCTCTTCTGTGTTAAAAGCGCAGCCGTATCGATGAAATCCAAAACTTAAAGCGCAAAACCTGTAATGAAGAAGTTATTTAAAATGTAACTCCGAAAATGTCCTTGATAAACAAAAAGGTACGACAAAAGATTCCAAACAGAATTAAGTACTTAAAAACGTTAAAGATCAAATATTTTAAACTACAATACATTATAAATTGTACCTAAATACATAGACTTACAATGACAATAAAAACTTACGTTACTTCTTTATGATCTTTTGCCCTTAAAATTGCTTCCTCCAGTAGTTTATTACCATGAACTAATATAATTTTAGCAGCAGCTAATAAGCTCCATATTTTACATCTGATAGGGAATTCCAGTCTAGCCAACAATATCAAGAACTGGTCCATTTCCGTTTCTGATATTGGAATGCATGGCTTAAATGGTCCAAGAGATTGTCCCTTCTTATACGCATTTTGTGGTGCTATACTCCGGCAAAACAACAGAAAAGTCTAAAAACAAAACCATTAACAAGTAAAACAAAAAGTATAGTTCAAATACTATTTGTTCATACCCAAAAAAGTAATGACATACCTTGAAGAAAAACTGAGAGTGTGTAAGACTTTCTCTGTACAACAAATTAGACTGCTGGTTTGCTACGTATACGGGTACATGTTCATATAGTTCGAGGAACCGAGAAAACAATTTTTCTTTAGGTATCGAACCAAAAAACTGCCGTCCAATGTCGATAATATTCAGTCCTTTGAAAGCAAACTCTAAAATTTATAGTGTTCAGAAAAAAATGACATTACATTGTTATAATTTGGTAGATCCAAGCCATAAAAATAAAACGTCAAAAAATTTCTGTCCTTTTCATATCAACTTAATACCTAAAATACCAAAAAATAACAAAACACCCTTACGTTTTCTATTCTGTGGTTGTCCATTGATTGGTCTCGTTGGAGTTGAGTTGCCTAAAACAAAAAACCGCGCCAAAGCTTCCACCGGGTCTTCATTAAGATCACATGGCTCAACTTCAGGCAGCTTCTGATTGATAAATTCGTTTAGTTTCAATGGCGGACGATTTGATATCCTTCCATTCATTAGAAATTGAAATTTAAGTTTCTAACAAAATAACAGCCTGAAAACATAAGGGATGTCATAAGAAAACACGTCATAAAGTAGGTATAGCGCTTTCAATTTAATATTTTGTACTAAATTAAAAAATATATATTTTAGTATCCGCGTACATTATGTTATTACAGAAATAAAGAAAATTTATAAAACCATAACAAAAAAAGCCAAATGTAACAATAAAAATTGTTACCTAAATAAAAAAAAAGCCTGAGAAAACCAAAGACAATCTTTTGACAAAAAAGAAATAGCTTTAACTAAATTTCTAAATATTTACAGGTACATCCACCAGATCTTGTTCTAAATAACCAAATCTACGTTTCCAACAACATTTTGTAAAAGTGGAGTTTTATAAAAATTACGAGAGATTCTCGATCTCGAACCTGACACCAACGAACACTATTTGCGCGTACATCTCCTCCATCCCGCGACCAGTCTCGCGAGGAAATAAAGACGACGCGGAAAATAAAATAAATATTCGTTGACACTTCGTCCTCTGACACTTCGTCATATCAGCTGATGGTTAGTGGCATTGTAGGGCGTTGTAATATTACAATAACTGGTGTCCAAAAAGCATAACATAAACATTCAAACATCAACAATGTTTTTCCAAAAACTTATTCTATCAATTCATTATTCTGGTATTCCGGAGATGGGTCCATTCTGGAGATGACGCAACATAATTTTTAAATAGTTGGGAGACATTAGTTGCGAAAGATAACTGTGACAATGCTCCAATTAACTACTAGTATATAAAGTCAAATAATCACAACGCTAGACAAAAACATAAAACATACGATATTCAATGTGCTAAAAGTGATATTACGGTAACATCTTTAGAAATTCAAATATTAACAATAGTCACTCAACGTAATTTTATTAATTTATAGGTTAAATAAAACTTCATATTAGAGTTTCCTTAATAATACGTGTAATATAATAGGATTGTAATCTGTCATGTTTAAACACGTTGGAACAACAAAAAAATGTCGTTTATAGAAATATGTAGTCGGTTGGTTTTAGTTGTAGACTATTTTTTATGTTAGATAAAATTTCAAATTAAAAAATGGAACTGAACCATTTACCAGCAATTCGTGTCACGTTCCCTGACTATTTTCCTTACATTAACAAATGTGCATTCACAAGTAACTTTTCAACTAGTTACAATAAGTTTGGATGTCCGTATCCGGGTGTTATGGTGGAGGTAAGTAGAACTGCTTCTTTAATTGGTCTACTGTATTAAACATTTGTATTTTTAAACAGTTCTGTTACAATTGGACCGGTTTGCTTTAGATAATAAAAATCATCACAGACGCGTTAGGATATAAGTTAAAGATAATGGTAGTAGATGAAGATAGTTTTAATTACGCCAATCTCACAGGAATGTTAGAAGCTGATGTGACAGACACATTTGGTATACCTTTGCAAAACAGTTCACGGTACGATGACGTTGTGGAAGTTTCTGAAAAATTATATGATGTAAGGTGCAAATTTTATATAAACTTTAATTGCTTTAGGTAGATTCTTATATTATGATCCACGCCGCAGGAGGTATTGCAAAAGATTGGTGGAATATTATTCGTATTTACGACAGTTATAGTTGGATTTTCATTTTGACTGTCTTCTTTATAGAATGTTTTTGTGCTCTTGTTATATACAGAACGGAAAAAGTTGTAGGATTTACAACTAGAAAAAAGGATCTTGATGTAGGTTTTAAGTATTAGTGAAAATTAAATGCGTTAAAGGTGATATGGCAAGTAATATGTGTACAACTCTTACAAGCCACAAACTGGTCTTTCAATTTGAGTTCTGGCAAGTTTTTGGTTGTTTTGTTTGCTCTGTTGCAAGGTACTATACTTTTCGGCATTTTTACGTCTTGGTTTTTGCTATCTATTATCAAAGAACCAAGTTACAAAGAATTAACAGCATACCAGTATATATTTTCTGAGCTAGAAGCTGGTAACAGAAGGTTGGTGTCAGAAGGCTCTCAACGATGGCTTGAAGACCGTATGGCTGATTCTGTAGAATTTCCTTTTTTGCAATTGAAAAGCGCATTGAAAAAACATCCACTTATTGAAGGGCTTTATCCGGACGGTAAGTACTGTAGGATCCTTTTTTTGCTTTTGTTTATATAGGATGATGCTATACCAATAAATTTTTTAATTTATAAAAGTTATTGCAGAAGTGATAGATAAAGTATTATACGAAAATGCTGTGATGTATGGCCAAGCTGACTTTCGCGGTTACTTCGACGCTTTGGCGCATTGTGACATTTTACATTCTAACATTGTCTTTCCGTTGATAGGCACTCATCTTCTCTTTCCAAAAAACTTTTCATTAATGCCACAAATCAACAAGATCATCCTTGACAACCAGTTTAAGTTCAAGAACATTAATATTCGATATTCCAAGTTAGTGTCGCCTACAAGCTGTGAAAAGTTTCGACCGGGAGATCCACTGCGTAAGTTGGAATATTGATATTTTAAAAACATTTCTATAAAATAGTTATATCTTCAAATTTTAGGTATCAACTTTTACATTGGACCATTGATTGTATGCAGCATCGTATTCTTTGTCGCTTTTGTCACTTTAATCATCGAATTTTGTTTCAAATGGTTTTGTGATTTTAGAAAACAAGATTTACACAAGTTGTACAATGTCACAGTTTGGGTAAATAAATAATATTTTTTGCTAAACTTTTGTGGTATTGTTAAAATTGAATCTAAAAAACAGCAATTTGTGTCACCAATAGTAAGTACTATTTCACACGTTCACTTGAACCCAATTGACCCGTTTATTGTTGCGGACCGGAGACGGAAGGTGTAGCCTTACTGTTTTCGATATCATGTACATGTGGTATAGATATACAGAATGGAATACCAAAAACCAAATGTTATAAAAGACCTGTTTTTGAGCAATATATACGACAAAGTACTTTAGATACGTATACTATAAAAGGGCAAGATAAACAGAGATCAAATTTACAGACAGACTAATAACATTCTACCGTTATGCGACCAAAAGAATACAATATGATACCAGTATTATTGCTTTTTTTCTCTAATAGAGTTTAATATGTAGTAGAGGTTCTGATTGGCGCTTGAGACTTGGAGGCTTTGGCTACAGTAACGACAACGGTAGAACGTTGTTGCTTCTTGAAGGGGTTTCCCAACACTCTGAGGTATAAACACGCTATGCAAATGGTTTCTGTACTAAGAAAATATGATAAGTAAGGTCCGATGTCTCCACTTGGCAAGTGGCCGTTTATCTGAAGAAAAAAATTATCGAATTCGAAAAATTGAAGACCTAAATCTGGATTATTTTACATACGTTTGCAAATGTTGTATTAAGCTATGTTTAAATAATTAAAAGACAAAATTGTCTAAATTCTCACCTCTTGATAACCCAAGCCAACAATATTAGGCACGCAGTTAAAACAAAACTCCATTAGCACAGCAATGGCGGCCAAGAAGTTGGCTTGTCTGTGAGATCTTCTGTTAGATTCTTTAGTTGGAGCTATTCTTCGTCGACTGAATCTGGCAAAGATAACAGCAAAAGTAATGGCAGCAGCCGTGTTCATTATACCCACAGCCAACTTAACTTGAGATATAGCCACGCCTGAGTGTGGGGTGATACAGCCAACGGCCATGCAATCTGAAATCATTGATATATTATATTATTTTTTACAGTTTATATGACTAACAGTTGATTTTCGAATAAAAACTTTAAAAAAACAGAAATCTTAATTTTTTTAAAAATTTTAATTTACATTTCCAAGTGCCAGGAGGTGCTTCTACAGCATATTCTAACAGTAGGACAAGTACGAACAATATACATTGTAACGCGACGTTTACTGCGTGAAGGAGATACCTATACTCTTTTCTAAAGTATGTTGGTATTAAAAGAGCAAAAATACGATCTATAGTGAGGCAAAACACGGCAATCGACACTGGTGACACTGTACTAAAGTAGGGTACTCCTGTCCAGAAGATCACTGTCATATTGTACATGGAATCTTAAAAGGATTTAGATCTATTAGTATAAGTATTATGAAAGTTTAACTATTACTTACATTACAAACTTCATTTTTTAAATTTTGAAAACTTGGTTTATTTTTTAAAAAAGATTTAAAAATTACCTGCCCCATCCCACCAACCGATGACATAACTCATAAAAGGTATAACAGCTGTTGACGTTACTATCCAGTCTACCATACATATTTTCAAAGGTAATGCCAACGTCTTCCAATTCCGATATACTAGAGTACACAGTAAAATTAAGGCACAACTGTAGACACACAATGTGTATGAACATCCTATCAAAGGGATCAGTGGACTAGCCATGTTATTGATGAGTATTTACATAGTTACAGTTGTGCTGAAATCAATTTTTAAACAAGCTAAAATTACATTAATTATAACAAGTAGATATATTTAAAAACAAATTTAGTTCATGATTATAGTCAAGCCTTTAGAATCCCTCGATACAAATTTAAAGTGAAAAAATCGACAAACGACGAAAACTTAATTGCAGCCTACGTACTCTGAGGTGTCGAGTATCCCAAAAAATACCTTCAAAAGTTTTAAAACACCGGCATTTGTACTATTTAGCACGAGATAAATGCACAAGATCTTAAAAACTTCTGCTTAATGTATTAAGTTGTGTAATAAAAGCAATCAATTTCATACCGTATTTTAAGAAATATGCTTGAAAAATAAAATTCATAGAACACTTAGAAAATTTTTAAATTTTAAATGTCATTACAGCCAAAACTCGGATAAGCCTACGTAAACCGAAATGGAAAAAAATAAATTTGAAGCTTTATAAGATTCGTAGTTTAACAAGACTTTTAATTAAAATCCGTCTAGTTTTGTGGGCAAAAGTTTAACTGTAAACAAAAACGAAATGTCTGATGACATTGTAAGTACGTAACACTACAATACGAAGCTTGGTTCATGTATTAAGGACTAATTTTTTTAATACCATAAAAATTTCGTATAATTAACTCTTCTATAACAAAAATTCCGTATAACGAACGACCTCTAAATCACCGGCTATCGCATTTAAAACTCCTATATAACGAAACTCTTTTATTACGAACAATTTTGAAATATTCTAGTAATTTGTTATAAAAGAGTTCTGATGTACTTTACCAAACATTTGCTACGGTTTTACCATAGGTCAAATATCTTTCATAATATGACAATTTATTATAATTTTGGTTTACATTCTCACAATATTTCCTACAGTACGTTGTCAAGCCAAACGAATATTAAACTTCAATAACCGACAAATTAATAAGCTTGACTTCCTAATACATATCTTAATGGATTCCTTTGCAATTGAGAATAAAGATAACATAAGATACACCAAGTTAAATTATACTCTCTAATTTTAAGCTAGAATGATTTCTTTCCAGCCTACTACAATATAATGTATTCCCTAATTGCAACCATCTGACCAAAAAAAGCATCTGACAATATTAAACCAATATTATTATCTTTTTCTCACAAGATCTGCTGCATTAAGTTTTTGCATTAACTACAATATTAATTGGGCACTTGCTTTTCACAAAACATATACTACAACAGATTGTAACTGGATTGTAAAGTAAAAAAATACGCTAAAAATAAATGACACGCTGGAATACTACTATAAGCTTGTTATTACGTTTTTGCATAGAATACAATATATTTATAAGTCATACAAAAAAGTATACATTTTAAAAACCTAGAGCCCAAGAGATAAAGCCAAAATTGTTGCTATTTCAAGTTTCTTGACGCAAGCTTGACAAATCAAAAAACTTTAAATTTGTAGTTACCAATTACAGAAAGAATGTTTGCCTTAGGCAAAAGTAAAACTAAAAAATTTAAATAGAGTACGGTAATGCAAAAATAAATTTAACAAGGAACGCTAGTAAATTTGTATTATTTTCTTTAAAATACGCAGTTTATTCTCTCACACAGTTGTGCGAGAATGTGGATGCCTGAGAGTTTCCTTACTAATCTATAATACTTGAAACACCAACCTCAAGATTTTATAGTATCTAGTTTAAGCTTTTTACGTTTTCTAATGTAAACAAGTAAAAAACTGTAAAATAACACGTAGTTTGATAGTGGTAATCAAAGTGGCAAAACGCTACAAACTAGTACACCATACTAAAGTGCAGGGCCGGGCGCAAGGGGGGGGTACCCCCCACCAGAAAAAATTTTTTGAAAAAAGTTGAACGTGGTCCCCCTGTGGATTTTCGGAAAAAAAAATTTTGCAAAAAATCGGCACAGGAAAAATCGGCACAAGAGCTACCTGTGCCGATTTTTTGGACCCCTGCCCCCAGACCAAAAGTCCCCGCCCAGCCCTGCTAATGTGCTAAAACACGTAACCAAAGAGTGTATGTACCAAATACCAAAAATTGTGTAACTAAAAAAAGTGTTGTCATTAATTGAATTAATAAATGACAATTATTAAGCATAAACAGCTAACTCTAAATTATTAAATTACAGTTTTTGTTCGAATAAAGTGCATGACAGTATCTGGAAAGAAAAGTACAATATAGTATTTTTGCAAAAGATTACAGTACAGTGCTTAAAATAGGTATAAGCGTTTAACGTTGCAATGTAAAATGCAGTTTAAAACTATTACAGTAGAGTATTATATTTTTAATTTTTTAATAGACCGCAAGTCCTATTTTCTCATTAGCACTCTGTGTTTATCGTAAAAATACTTGTAGGCGAGTTTAGATAAGCTCTATAATTTGATCGAGAATGACATACTACAAAGTTAGTAATACTACGCATATTTTAACTATAATGGTGATAATACATACTGTACATATTTATGTGAACATTTAAAATAAAAACATGTTTCTAGAATAGAAATTTAACTGATGTTTGGCAGTAAAAACAAAATTTAAGGATTGTTTTTAGTTTTTAAATTTGATTATTTTCTGAGTATGTAATTAAATTACCGTTACTAACTTTCGGTTTTATTAATAAAGATACTGTGAGTCATGCAGATATGCTATCATTAGAATAAAGGACTACTATTAAGAAAAAAAGAGTACCATTAAGAATAGCCTATTATTTTTGTAAAAGAAAATTAACTAAAAATATAGAAAATTAACTAAAAATACAGATATAGTTGTCGTTTTATAATAGCAGCTTCATTTCTAAAGTATTTTTACGTTTCTACCATGTCATAACGTTGCAGTCGCTTATGACTTATGTAGACGGGTCAACTTTGCGCTTTATTCAATCACTCTCAACTTTTACTTTCTGCTTTAAAAAGAAGTCGATTGAGTCGCGATATAAGTTATTACACATGCCTTTAAAAGTCTTTGTATTAGCCTTATCTATTGGATTCGTTCATGGCTGGGGACAAGCACAACACTACGCAGTAAGAGGCAAGATTACTTGTGATGGAGAGCCTGTTGATTTGGTTGTAAGTTGTGAACTCCGTTTATATTTAACCAGACTAACGGAGGCCCTACGGGCCTCCTATGGTCTGGATATCTTAGTTTTGTTTTATTTTAGTATAAAATTATTTTATAATTACTTGAAACGTCAGAATCTGTAAAAAAGGCTCGGGCCTGCGGCCCTCGCGCGTCTTTAATTTTAACTTTAAAATGGAATGTTTTTGTTTTTATAACTTTCTGCTAATGCAGCATGAATTCTGAAACTACTTTGAGTATGAGTGATTTGCTTATTTGTATTCTTGAAAACAAACATTTTATAAAATTACTTTTTTTGTAAACCGGTTGTTTTTTTGAATTTAAAAAATTATTAATTTTAATTTACCTTACCCATGTTAATTCCAATACCTTTTTTATATACCCCGACCCCTAGTCTTACCCACACCCCTACCCAACCCCATATTTTTACCCTTACCTCTACTTTTTAACATAAAATTGATATATTTATTAAAAAATTAAACCCATAATATTTAGTATCATACTCAAAATAGAATCAGAAAACATACCTACATCTTCGTTTGCCATCGTATCTTCATCAAAATAGTTGAAACCCGACCGCTCACTTCGAAAAAATTCATGGGACTGACCGGTTTCTTTTTTTAAATTTCATAAAATTTTTTATTTTAAATTGATTTTCCCATAAATTTGCATGTAAAAAAATAATTTTAAAATGTACTTTTCTTTGGCCCGCAACATCCACCGACTCTCCGTTTATATACGGGGATAAAAATTTTTTACAAATTTTAAAAAGAGTAGAAAGACATGTTGTTTATAAGCACGTAAGAATTTTAAAATTTTGCAAGAAGATATTTTAAGCGTGTTCAAATGTACGATTATGACAAGATATCCGAAGACGATCTTATGGCAGAAACAAACACTTCAGAAGGCGGTTACTTTGCCCTAAACGGCACTTCTACAGAAGTTACAGAAATCGAACCCTACTTGATGGTTTATCATCATTGCGGTGATACTGGCGAGTTTTTGTTTGTTCATTGTCCTCTGAATTACATTTATAATCTGCCGACTGATAAAACTAATGGTGAGGAAGTTGATATTGGCACAATAAATCTGCGAGGAAACTTCAGAAGGGATGATGAGAAGCGAGGTTGCCTTTGATTGTGTTATTTCAATAAACTATGTAAAAATATAAAGGTGTTGAGTTCTGATGTTGGATAATTATGACAAGAAATACTTTATAATATGTAAAAAATATATAATTGCGATTTTATGCGGTGGTCACTATCTTATATTTTCTTATATATTCCGCGGTTTTCCTTTAATTTGCAGGCGAGAATTACGACATTGTGCGTGCGTTTTTGCAGTAATGCAGCCTCGCGCTTTTTTCTGCCTTCGTCCGTCTATTTATTATATTTTCCGCATTATTTTTTGGCGCAAAAGAAAACTTATTAACAAGGTTGGTAGATTTTTTAAAGCGTTTGATGAACAAAAAGTTTCAAATGAAATTTTTTTTTTATTTTTATTTGTTTTTTGCAAAAATGAAAAAATCAATAGTTTAGTTTCGTTACAAACAATTCGCTTTTAATATGTTCTGTTTTGAAAAATTCTTTTTTTTGCGATTCAAAACATACGCGACTAAAAATGCTCTTACGTATGCCATGTGTTTACTAAATCAGAATGTAATTGTTAAGCAAACTGAGGCTATGTCCGTCACCGTGGATGCAAACTATTCACAAGGATTGGTCGACTATCCTTCACCATGTTCATCAGCTGCTTCTGATTATGAAGAATTAGAAGAAAAACAATTCGAATATGAGCCAATTTATAAAACCACAGAATGGCAAAATACAGGAACACAAGAAGTCAAAGTTTACAGGCCGACGTACGAACAAATGCTAAACTTTGATCAATTTATAATTGATATTGAAAAAGATGGAGCCCACCGTTTTAGTGGAATATGCAAGGTATACTTTTAAATATACTGGTTGTTTTTTAGATGGAGTAAATTATGAATTATACCACTTTATTTTAAAAATTTAAATTTAGTATAATACAATTGTCTTCATATAATTTTATATTATAGGTCATACCTCCAGAACAATGGCTTCAAGAAAATAATCCAAGAATGTTGTACAAAAAATTAAATCATCTTAAATTAAAAAAGGTATGCTTTAACTACCGTTAAATGACTTTTTAAATTATGTAAGAAGTATTTTAATATTTTTACAGAGCTCTTCGAGTCAACATAAACCAAGTGAAACAACGTGGTGTCTATCTCCAGCAGAACTTTACTACTGATTACGAAGAGAAACCTTTAACCGTTGAGGATTTTAAGCAGATGGCTATGTTGGACCCTAACAAAGAGCACTACAGTATAGCAGAAAAAGAAAAACTTTTCTGGCAAACAATCGACAACAGTAGTATTAAAGGTCTATATGGAGCTGATATTGAAGACACGTTATTTAGCGATGACATTACTGTTTGGAATATGAATGATACTGGACCTTTGTTAAGGGAGCTGGCAAAAGATGTGGGTTTTTTATTTAATTTAGCAAAATTTTGAGGCTTAAACACGAAATTAATCAAAATATAAATTTCGATCAATTTACGATAATAAATAGTTAAATTTAGATAGAAATTGCTGGCGTTACTGTACCGTATCTTTATTTTGGAGCACCAGACACGACTTTTTCTTGGCACGTTGAAGATTGTGACTTGTACAGTATTAACTACCAGCACTTTGGAGAACCAAAATTCTGGTACGCTATACCAAGCTATGAAGCTGATCGTTTTGAGCGGTTGTGCTATCAATTGTACAGAGAACAGTTTGGTGGTGTTTGCAAAAGCTTTATACGACACAAGATCTGTATTGTCAGTCCTGAAATCCTACGCAAGCACGAGATTACATTTGGAAACATTGCACAGTATCCTGGAGAATTTATTATAACTTTTCCTAGAGTAAGTTTTGTAATTATTTTTTTTACTGTAATCTTTATACTATAATACATTTTAACTTTAGGGATATCACATGGGATTTAATGTTGGATTCAATTGTAATGAAGCCATTAACTTTGCCAGTGAAAGGTGGTTGCCATTTGGATTGAATGCTAAGATGTGTGACTGTTATCCGTCAATCTCTGTACGTCTCTACCTCACGGACTTTTATTCAAATTATGTTCAAAAGAAGGTTCCGTTTGGATACAAAATACCCATGCTAGAGAAGAAGGATAATGTCGTGTCTAACGTTACGCTAGAAGAAAAGCACAAGCTTCGTAAAGTGGACATTTTTAACTCAAACTTTACGAAAGAAGTAGCTTATAATGAAACTGCTGGACGTATTTACCCGTATTGTTCAGTATGCCAACATTTTGCACCTAACGTTCCAATCAAGAAGAGTGGCAAGAATACGTAAGTGTTAATTTTTATTTTTTTTTTAATTTTTAGGTGTAAATATGATTCATTGAGCTCAGTATTAAAGTGGTAATTTTATTTTTTCAAAAAACTAGTATAAAATTAAAATATAGCTATATATGCCACGTGCGTTACAAAAAAAATTAGACGTTCAGTCAAAAACCGCGAATTCTTGTCTAAAAGGCATTTAGACAAGAATTCCAAATTTCTTATCTGAAAAGATAGAAGAGACCATGCTCTCTCGCCGCGAAGAGAACAACGTCTTTTTTTCTTTGCGCGCTTTCAGACAAGAATTCGCTGTTTTTGACTGAACGTCCAATTTTTTTTGTAACGCACCTGGCATATATCATTACATTTAGGTCCTTAAACTTGGTTACAAACTTGGCAAAGCGGAAATGGTTTTTTGACAAACATGAATTCATCGATGATTACGTTCGGAAATGTAAACTTTGTAAAGTCGTCGTACATTACCAATGTTCCTCTCCGTGCGTCGAAAGCAAATTTTATTATTGTGATGCTTGTCGAGACTTTGCGGGTTTGGAGCAAAGTGTTCAAGAGTACCGTCGAGAATTCAGATGCTGTGAATGGTGTTGTATACGAGGTGGTCCTATGATTCAACTACTGTTGTATGATAACCAGCTTACTTTGCAGCAAAATGTAAGTCATTAAAGTTTGTATAAAAATTAATTTTAACTCATTTATAGAGTAAAATAGTTTAGTTTAGTGTTTTGTCGTATATTATAATGTTATTTTAGTTATGAGTTTAAATTATTCATCAAAAATATTTCTAGGGAAAACCAAAACGTTTTGTCCACGTTGTGTGTGCTCTCACGAATAGACTGGCATGGATTGCTCGTGTAAAAGCTGACATTTTGGTCGTATGTGCTTACCTACAACCAAAAGAGATAGCTACAGGAATGTTCTACTCAAGTCTACTGCCAATAAAAAACCTTGGGGAACCGCGGCACAAAAATCAACTCAAGTTTCTGGAGCATCGGCATGACTACTTTGCTGGGAACTGTCTTGAGAATCATTGTAGCTACTGCCAGGAAGCGTTGATAGACATGTCAGTAGTCAGATGTGAAAAATGTTTTGAAGAAAACAATGTCACTGAAGTGTATCACGTCACTTGTGCTAAACTACGAGGTCTGATGTTGGTGTTGGGGTCTTTTCCAGATGTTCTTACCGCTCTATGTTCGAAACATCTTCAACAAAAAGATCCTGGCAAGTGTTGTTTAAAAGAGAACCAAGAAGTGTACCTGAAAGACAAAGATGGCAAGTTCGAAAAGAGGACAGTTACTTACAAAGTGGCTAGAAATTACTTGGTTTTACGATTATTGGACAAGTCTGAAGTTACAGTAACCGATGCACATGTAAAACAATGTAATTGTTGTGAAAATGGCAGTGAGAATAACCATAAAGTTGGGTCTGTGGTAAGCTATATACATTTTTCTATTTAAAACTTATTTGTATTTGTATTTTATAAAACTTAAGTTTATATAAACAAATATTTAAAAATAATTTTTTAGCTAAAAGTGCATCGTGAAGCAGAATCTTCAGACATCGTTTGGGGCTATCTAATCAAGAAGGTCCACCCGTTTGTGTATTTTTGTAAGAGCGAATCAGACAAGTTGGTACAAGTGGAAAGAGATGATTTATATACCGTACTAGAAATGAAAAAAGAAGGTCAAGGAAGTTGGAATCAAAGCGATTCGCAGACTGAAGATTCTGAATCTTCGTCGCCTTTAGAATCTTCTTCAGATGAAGAATTTGGTCCGTATTACTGTAAAAAGAAGAAACGCAACAAGAAGCATAAGCTGGCAAAGAAAGAAGCTGTTAAGGTCAAGTTACTGCTGTCTGATGTTGCAGAAGCACCAAACAGTCAGCTAACAGTACCAAAGCTTGCAACAAATGTATCAAGATCACTAGTGCTTAAACGAAAGATGGCTAACACGACAGGTGTACCAATGTTACCAACAAGAACTCTGCAACCACATGGTAATAGGAAAAGACTAGCAATTAATATCACACATCGAAACTTTGTACATAAGGTGTACGATGATATGATTGATAAGTTTATATCAGGAACGGCAGAAGAGAAGGCTGAAGTACGAATCTTCAGAAATCAGAATCCTAACTTTGACAGGTATCTAGATAACAAGTTCAAGAACAAGCTGTCTTATGTATACGTTCAGAACATGTAAGTTTTACCTATGCAAATCACTATGTATTATTAATAGTTATGTTTTACATAACATATACTTATTACTGTATTATTGTAGTCTTAAATTTAAGTTATGCTTTTTTAATGTTAAACTAAAATAATTTTCGAAGTGTTGATTATTTTAAAATATTTTAGACAAGAGCACGCTCATGCTTCAGTATCTCTGAGTTCATGCTACAGTGTACAATGTGCTCCAGTGACAGTTGATGCTACTGTAAATGTAAGCTTAGCTTCCTTACCGTTTCCAGCAACGCTAAGTGTCAAGGCTACTTCAAGTGGACTAAAGACATTGGAGAAGAAGAGGAGAAGCACGGTGAGAATGGGAAAGCCTGGCTGTAAACGAAAGCATGATAATGTAAGTGTCAAAGTATAACATGTATTTTTTTAAATTTTACTTTACGTGTTAAAGTGAATCTTTAGAATTGTATTTTAAAGCTTTGTAATATGTCAGCTTTTCAGCTAACAAATGCGTTATTAAACCTAAAACAATGTAAAATAATGGTGGAGCCTGTAGATGACCGGGTCATGAAGTTGTTGTTGGAGTCTGGTCAGATAAAGCCACAGAGCTCTAAATAAGATTAGGAAAACAGTCTTTAAAGTAACGCTGGTTGGTACTAGTTCACTTACTTGGGTTGTGCGGGTAATCTAGTCTTTCAATTATTGAAAACATTGTCATGTGTATATAAAGTAATTAAATTTTGATTGTATGTCATTGATAGTAAACTAAAACATTTTCAGTTTAAAATAGTTTTGACTTTTTGTAATCACTATCAAATCTACATTAATTTTATGCAAATTTAATTATTTAAAAATGTGTTTCTAGTTTTAAAAGCTAGTACTTTTACTTGTAATTGCTTTTTAAAAATTTTTAACCTTCTCAGTTGTCAATCAGGGATGTATTTGTATAATATTGTACTAGTCGTTTGTGTTCTTTACCACCTTCTAAATGTTTTTAACCGAAGGAACGTTGTTATCGATCAAATTAAAAGTTCGCATTTTTTGATTTTTTTGTTTTTTTTTGTGTACAATAATTTTTAAACTTTAAATAAAAGCTTAGGTAAGCTATTTTACTGTAATTTGTCTTTTATATAACATAATGTAATACTTAAAAATTTAAATTGTTTTTTGTGCAATCGGTTTAAAAAAATTCTGGCCAAGGAACAAGGACGATGGTTGTGAATGGCCGTTAATCAAAACGCGATCAATCTGCAGAGTTTTGATTGATCACTCGCTGGCCCTGTTTTATGAGATTTAAAAACTAATTTCTGATTTAAAAAAATTTGTACCAAACTGTTCTTAAAACATAAAAATTTTAAAAATTTAGGAGAGTTTTGAGGATTCTGTAGATTTGAGCCATAAAGTTGATTGTTTTAATTTTTAGTTTTTCTGTGTTATTTAAAATGCTTTTCTGATGTTTTTCGTTGTAATATGTCATTGGCCATCCATAAAATTAAGATCAATTCTGGCAGACGTCTGCTGAAGAACCTCGTCGACTTACGGCGCTGTAAATGCTTCTTTTACAAAGTGTTTTATGTTATGTGCAATCAAATGACAAAGTATATAATGAGCGTTCGTTATAACGAAGATCAAAGTATAGGTTAGTTATCTAAAGCAATCGTGTATTTTTTAAATTTAAGCAGGATAGTCTGGACTAAGTTTTTCTACAACAAGACAGGCTAAAAAGAAATGTTAAACATCAGAATAAGACTCTTGATTAAAAGTGAATATTGCAAAAGGCCTAATACTTACAGTCATACCAAGACATTTCTTTATCAAAAAAAGTGTTTTTTAATTCAACTTTAAAATCCAGTTTAAAACCAAAAAACTGCGTTTTAAAGTAATTTAAGTCCCTCGAAAAGTGTAAGATTCCAAGTTAATCCACAAAAGAGAGAATAAATCGATTGGCGGCTCGTTAATCCGCCCGCACTCTCGATTACAAATTGGCAATGGATCGGCTGACAGGTTTTCGGCTAGCTTCTTTTGTCTTTTAGAGAAGTGCCAAGAAATAAAGAGCTCGTTTCCGCCGTATTTTATGGCCAGAGACTGGTCCGTAAAAATGTCGCAACAAGTTTACAGCGCGGTAAAGACGGTTTTGAGAAGAGAGTGAATGTAAAAAATTTAAAATTTTAGAAAAATACAGTATATTTTGAAAATTAGTGGTAATTGCATAATGTTAGGTAAAGGAATAGGTAGAATATTGCAGTAGGTTTTTTCAATCTAACTTTAAGTTAACATTAAAAAATGATTGAAATTGCAAGAAGTTAGATAGAAAATGTATTAAAATAACCTGAAAACTTGAAATTAAGTCTACTTTTGGCCAAATTTCTATTTTTAAAAAACTATGTCATCTAAGTACAAAAAAACACCTTGCTATACCTACAACAACGACCCAGTGAAAGTTCGAATATCCATTACAGCGTAATAAGAGCGGGCATAAAGAAAGACATTATATAACTCATCAAAGGAGAGATTACAGCGAAAGAAGGAGGTGCCAACTGTTCTGTTTATTCGTGGCCATTGGCCGATCAATCGGGGAGGGGCGAGGTTGAGGATCGGCAAAAAACTTTCATTGACAACTGTGCCATTCTCGACAACTGTTTTGGCCGAGAGCGAACAACTGCTCGGCCTAACAACTGGCTTAACAATTATCAACGTCAACAGGCTACGGATCTCGATTCTAGGCTTAATTTTGGGTAATTCCAGAAGTTTCTTCAGAAGCTTTAGTCTGTTTTGATGCTACTGAACCTAAGCTACAGATTTTAAAATTTTACGCTTTTGATTGACCGGTCAGTCTAGCTAAATTACTAACAACTGCCTACAAAACCGACAGCCAACTGGTCCTAGTATAACAACTGGCTTCAGGAACAGCGTTGCGCTACAACTGTTATCAACAACTGGCTTCAACAATTGTCACCACACATCTGTTCGCACCCCGAGGGTCATAAGGTCAGTTTAAGGAAGAGTAGTTAAGTGTGCACATGTGTGCGACTAGGTCAGTCGGTCATTATGACAACATTAGCAGACCCATTATTAAACAGTGGCAGTTGTAGCAAAAGTTTAGGATTAAATAGCATGAATAAGTTAATATGACATTAAAAACATTAAAATAACTTTACAATATACCATAAAATAAATTACAGTAGGTATGAACAACCCAGACCCAACCCAGTACGACCAACAGTACGGCTACGTACAAAGCCCAGCCCGTCTGACCAACTCTGATATCACTACACTTACTGCCTTCCCCACGATCCAACACGCTTCTTCAGAATACACTCCCGTGCCTGGTTACGAAATCTACCGTTACCCTTACAACTACTACCTACAGACAGATCAGCCAGCTAGTTCTGGAGCCAGTAGTGTGATTGTTAGTCAAGTACCAAACCAAATATACAGTGAATTCAACGGCATCAACTTCAGAAACGACTACGCTCAGATTGGACCTGAACATGGCGTGGTTAAGGTCGAGGTGAAGAATGAAAAGGATGGTAAGGAGTGGTTGAAGTTAAATTAGGTACAAGCTGACTAACATAAGAATACATTGTGACATTAGGATTACCATTTTATAACTAATATTAAAAGAAAATCAGAAATTGAATAATAATTATTGTAGCATCCGACCATTCGTGTAGCTCAGCTCACAATCCAAATGATCGAGCTTCTCCGATGTCAGATTCAAGCTTGTTGAACTTAACTGATCACGAGCAAAGCAGTGAAACTCCTACCACTTCCACAGGCAAAAGATGTAAGGTTTAAATATCGTTGTTTACTATGACTGTCATATGACAGAGTTTTAAACAGCAGTTTTCGTGATTTTTTGACAAAATCTGGTCTCATGTTTAAAGTTCTTGCTAAAAAGTATAATTTTTTATTACTAAAAAGACAAATTTAACTCAAAAAAACTAAAATAAACTAAATTTTGAAATTTTAGCCAAATTTTCTCAAGACCGTCGCAAGGCCGCGACCCTGCGAGAACGGCGTCGGTTACGCAAAGTAAACGAAGCCTTTGAGCTGGTGAAGCAACGAACTTGCACTAATCCCAACCAACGACTGCCTAAGGTCGAGATTCTACGCGGATGCATCGAATACATAAACAAATTGGAAGGAATGCTCCACGCCCAAGGCAAAATGACCACGATTATGGCTAGAAACGCGGGATTGCCGTTAGATGGTAAGCGCTAATAATAAGCTTAATACTGTAACTTTATGACAATATGGCGTTTAAAATTTATTTTATAGTTAATGATTCAAAATTACATTTTGGGCTTAAAACTAAGGTTTTAAAGCAATATTATTCATGAGAAAAGTTAATATTTTCTCTAAAATCATACTTTGAAATTTGATACCACAGCTTCTTAATAGCTAAAAGCATGCAAACGACTTTAAAAGTACAAGTTTACAAAGTTGTAATGTACTGTAAATTAATTAAAACTTTTTTTGAAGAATAAATTTAAAAACAGCATAAGATAGCCGGAGGACATTTTTTTGTTACCAAAAATAAACTTTTTTGACGATAAAATTTTAGGCTCTTCTAATTCCTTTTTTCTGACTGATTCATACGGCCAACAGCAGCATATTGAATTAGAGCCCCACCATGTTCACGAACATGCTCATTCACATGCGCGGCCCATGGAAGAAGCCCAAAAATACGCAAAAACTCAAGTTAAACGGGTTTCCGAGGGTCCTGCTACGAAATGTCCTAAGGCCAAAAATACAAAGTAAGACATTATTTTAGTTGGGGTGGATAATGTTTTGAAAATGAAGCGGGTAACAAAAAAAGAGCTACAATTAAATTTAAGGAAGTTTTTTTGCTATTACAAATGCATAACTTTTAGTTATAGGGGGTGACAATCGATAAAATTTAAAAAAAAACTATTTTAAAAATGATTTCAACATTAATTTTCTACTATAATATATCTTTTCAGACCACACGAAGTCCCAATGACAAGCCAATTGTTGAATGAACCTACTTTGTCTTTGGCCAAACCTGAACATATACAAAAGAAGAAAGAGTAGACTTGGCTACAAACACGCTCTTATTAGTACTTGTAGTACTCAACAGTACCTTATCATGTCATATTTTACAGTGCCATAATAAGCATTTTAATGTGCCATAACAAGTTATTTTGTTAATCCATAGTTAGGTTGATTGTTTACAATGACAGAGTACAATTACTTTGTTGTCATGCCATCTATTTCCACATTAATCACGCTCATTGTTAGATCTTTCACAAACAAGTGCCATTATTACGGAAAACAGTTTTATTTCTTACTTTGTTACCTCATTCTTACTGTATTTTTGTACATTCAATAAAGTTTTTTAAACTTTTAAGGTGGAGGTAGTTACTAGAGCTGAGTAGATCGATATCTTTGGTTTGGGGTGGAGGATTCTTTTGGGAAAAGTGAGTAAGCCAACATTGTTTTTAAAAGTATGGACTACTTTATGATTTACCGGAATATTGCGTGAACATATGTCATCAGCGGACAATTCGCGGTATCTTTAAAGTTTCAAACCTTACTTTGAAATTTCGAAAATCTGAAACCTGACCAAAATACTGCCGAAATTTATTTACCCTAAACACTTACTCCACAAAACTGTAAGTGGTACAAAACAACTACAAAAGAGCGTGTCATCCCCTTTACGTTGTGGTAAGTCAATAGTGGCGATGCGTTTACTCTTATGATCGTCGCGTGCTTAAAGAAACGACCAAATATAATAGACAACAGACAAACAGTTGACATAATTACGTTTTGCATATAAAACCTTGTCGTATTTGGTTGGCAATGGAGTGATTTGGCTTTGCTTTAAGTGATTTAAATTTTTAAAGTTTTGAAATTATTCAATTGTTTGAATTTTAATTAAAAATCTAATTTGTTTTCAGTTTATGTTTTTTTACGTCAATAATGTCGTTTTTTTTAAATTTTTTGTTACAAGAACCGATAAAAACGTGAGTAATATTTCAGATTACGTAACCTGTACTAGTTTGTCAATAATACAATACTTTTATGATCTAAAGAATCGCCAAAGTAAAGCCATGAGCTTACCCAGTACCAACATCGACCCAGAGTAAGTTGTTTGATATACATTAAGTTATTTATGTTTAGGTATTCCTTTTTGGCCAAAACATTTAACTATAAAAGCCCCCAGAGGGCTTTTTTGTATAAAAAGGCAACTTATAGCAGGTTTATATATGCCAATGCTAATAGTGTCAACTGAAATATCAAAAAAGGAAACTTTATATAAACTTCATCATTTTGTTATTTTCTTAAAAACGGTCATAAAGTGTCATTTTGTATTACCTATCTTTCTTATATTCATAACGTTCCAGCTTAATGACCGACGAAGAATATGCGGCCCAACTTCAACAACAATATGATGATGAAGACATGTTGACCAACCAATTAAACAGTACCTTCAACTTCACATCACACAACCCTCAAAACACCCCCAATTCGAATGCCAATGCTGAGAAGGATGAAGAAATGGCGAGGAAACTTCAGAGAAAGTTCTACTTGGACATGAAGAAGCAAGGATTCAGCGACATGGACCTGGCTTCAATGTTGGACACTGTAGGCGAAGAGAACGAGTTGGAAGCCGCTTTAAGAGCATCAGTTGGAGCACCAGCTCAAAGTTACATCGAGAAGTACATTGTGACATTGTATAACAACTTGAAGTACGATATTAATGCTACCGTCACAATGAATGACGAATTTCAAGAGTTTCGACTTCAGGTTGTTCAGAGTTTGGTGTTCATGTCACAAGAACGAGTCATCGAGCCTACTGACATGGCTGAATATGTACGTTTTTTGAGTTGTGTGTTACTTTCTAGAAGTTTAGCTACTGTAAGCTGCTATAATAGTATTGATCTCATTGTATGGCGATAATAATGCTTAAATAGATGAAGTTATTATAGATAATATTACGTTGTTACACAACTTTTGACTTTAGATAGCCGAAAACTTTGTTTTTAAAGCCGAAACATGGCAAGAAATGGAAGCGGGTTACTTCATGTTAATACCTCTTATACCAAACATATCACCGTAAGCTTGTTACATATATTTTTGAAATTACAGTAATGTAAATTTCAATTTTACTTACCATTGAAATGTGAATTTTTAATCACACAGTTCATTGTAAAGGTAACTCAATATTTAAAATAATATTAACCTACTTTCAGATGGATGCATCTCCACACCTCGAATCTTTCAGAATCCTGGATGGACAAACTTTATCAGAAAGCTTTACAACTCAATGGCAGCGAAAATCCCGTCCTGGTATTGACTGTGATCCGCTTCATGAACATATCCAAACGTTTCGTGTTCATGAGGACGGAAGAGTGTGCCATATTCGCCGAATGGTATCTGACTCTGCCATTCAAGGAAGTATATCAAGATGAGATTGCTTCAGCACTATCAGTACTATGTTCAAGTGCTGTGAATCGACTGTTTCCCTTCTTCGAACGTATCTTCCCCTTGATAGAGACAGTTGAGAGTTCGAAGAGAGAAGCCGAAGCCATCGAGGATAACATCCACAATCTTCTGAAGGCGTGTACGTGTGTTATTAACGACCAACCCGAGAGTACGTTAGTGTCACATCTGCAGATTCTATTCATGAAGTCTGTAGACGTTCTGACTATGGTAAGTGTCAATTTTTGGTTTGATAAAATAGCACTAACAGCCTGTTGATTTAATTATTGCAATACTGATGATAATGGGATACAGTTTCAACTTTTATATTAGTTTATATGGTTTTCAGCTTATCAATAACAAGGACATTGGCGTCGGTAACAACTACTCATCTGCGTCATGGAAGACCAGTGCCAAGTGTCCCATTTTATGGCTGAAGAGGCTGAACGTCATCATTTCGTCATTGGGACCTTGGAATTGCCAAAGAGCCTACACCAAAGATTTAAGTATACTGTACTCTTGTTAAAGTAACAATATTATAGCTTCATGACCTACTTTAACATAAGAACTTTTATGAGTACCAATTTACTTACCATTCCTGACTAACACCTTGTTCCATTTGCAGGTAGTGAACAGCTATAATTCAGCCGAGCCTTGGCAGAGCCTCTATCAGCAGACTGCAGCTACAATTTGTCGTACTTTGATTGTTTATGCTGATGATGTGACCGTAGTTCAAGAGTGTGTAAATACGATAGGATTTATGGTAAAAGAATACTACAAAACCAGTGATAACATCTTGAAAATGCTGGCAGAACAACTGGAATTTGGCTTCTTGACCAACGGTTCTCTAGAGTTTCTGACCGTAATCAAAGAGGCCGTCTTCAAGTTCGGAATGTCATTACAAGGCGTGGCCGAAAGCTTCGGCAATCTTATTGATGTAGGTTAACGTATAGCTAATAGTTTTTATTTCAAACGCTTTGTCATTACCTTTTTTGTAAAAAAAAGTATTATCATACGTTCATTATGCCATCAGTAACTTTCATTTATGCCATCATAATTACCTTAATCTACTCCAGAATGTACTGTACTCTGTCTACAGTAACTCCCAGCCTCCTCAACAGTCACCCGAAGCCATACCGGCCTACAAAGAGATCTTTCTTATGGTCAACAAGTACTGTCACCATCGTATCAACACCTTCGTATCTTTGGGAATCTTCGATGCCACCTTCTCCTTAGCCATGCAATGTCTCGAACATACCATCACGGACTTGTTCTTCGAGGCTCACGAGTTTATCATGATAGTATTGACATATTTGAATCCAAATCTCTACATTAGAGACAAAGATACAATGAGTAAGATCATGAAGACAATGGAAGTGTGTGGAATGCAATTGACTCGGATTTGTTGTAAAAATGCATTTACGGCGATAGAACCTGAGATAACTGGATGTGGAACATCGATGTTGCAGGCGTTGAAGGCGGTCAATGAAAGTGTAAGCTTGTTTGATGTAAAATAATATAAAAATTAATTTTAAGACTTTTCTTTTAAAAAGTAAACTTTTAATTTTAGAAAATAGCGCAATGGGTAAAAGAATACCTGGACGATAACCACCACGGCACTGTACCTCATACCCAAAGAAGTCGGTTTGTAGAAGAATTCATCCAATGCAACGACAAAGATGCCATTTCTTCTTTGTTAAAGGACTTTAGCACTCACTTCAAACTGTAATATTTACAGATAATCAATAGCTTTGGCATTACTTTAGTCTAAAAGTCCACGTATTGGGCGTACCAAACTTCTCACCAATAATTCTACGTATTTTTTGAACAAGCTAAAGTTTGTATACTACTTTTACATCAACTTTTGTTTTATCAATCTACTTTAACATTTTGCCTTGAAAACAGAAACAACGTAGCCAAAAGAGTTTTGAAGGGTATCACTATCACTTATAATCACGTAAATAGTTATCGTATTCACAACCTCAAATCCTACTATACTTTTATATTGTCAACTTGTACAAAAATACCATGCCATTTTACAATAAACTTACTGTATTTTGAAATTATACGCTTCTCACAACATTATACTACGCGTTTCGTTATATCATAGAGTATTTAACAAAATTATAGTATGTCAAATCGTCAACAACAAGTAACAGTCCACGTACACAAGAATTAAACTAAGATAAGCCAAAACAAAGGTGAAAAGCTTTATTCGTTTAATGTAGTTATTTGTTGGAACCGTAAGATGACTGGCTCCAGACGTTGAACAGCTTCTTCCACATCGATGCCTTAGGCTCTGTGTTGGCGTTGGACGTGGACGAATCTTGAGCAAACAGTTTCGAGCTTCTTGGCGAATGAACTGGCAGAGCGTTCTCACGACCGGCAAAGTACTCGTGGCTCGGTTTTATGAAATCGTGCTGAAATCGTACTGTTTCAGAGTTTTAAGTTACGTTAAATCCAAAACATGTCAACATTTTCAGTCAAATCTGTTTTTTTAAAGGTTTTTTACCTAAATAATATCAATTTAATATGTTGTCCAACAAACTTACATGCACTTTACTTTCGTAGTCCAGTTTGAGTGAATTCAGCTCGGTCTCAGTCTTTTGTCCCAAAGAACCAATTGGAGAATTTTTTGGCTGCGGAGTGGCTACAGAACCATCTGGTAGCACAATAGATTTGTTCGTACTCTCACCAAAACTACATTCGGAGATGGTGCCATCAGATTTAGGCCGTTGTGTGACATAGCGAGATGAGAACTGAGATGGTTTGCCTGATACTTCTGGTTTTACCTAAAGAAACATAAAACAGTGAGATAATTTAATGCTGTGGAAATAAAAGCACATTAATACTTATAAGCTATCATAATATAAAATTTAAAAAAAACATACTGGAACAAACGTTTTTTCGGTGTTACCGCCAAGCCCAGATCCAGAATCCTCTCCAGAAGTGTCTCCGCTGTCCTCAGCTGACGTGATCACGACTTGTTCTTGTTTTCTAATCGGTACTCTACCCAAATTGACAGCCTCAGGCTTGTTGTAACAATATTCCGAGAACAAATGCTTAAAGCCAAACCAGCCCAAAGGATTGGTCGATTTGCTTGAGGATTCGACTGCTACAGTCGGTTCTTGAGGTTTTACTGCACTGACCGGCAGTTTGTCGCCGGGCTGAGGCTCCAGAGCTGTCTCCATACTGCCAGACGATTGGGCCTTCTCATGGCGATTTTGTTTCCAGGATCTTCGTGCTAAACAAGGCTATATTAGTGAGAGAAGTTATGTTTTGTAACAGACAGTCAAAGAAATATTCTAAAAAATACAAAAAGCCATATTTTAAAACTCTTGTTTTCGTGTCAGGACTTGAAGAAGAAATTAGTGTAACATATTTTTGAAAATGTTTAAATATTTTTTAAAACGAAAGAAAAAAATGTAACGGACAAACTTACAATTAAAAAACGAGTTTCGTTCATGGGCATAGATGGATGGGTTTTGCGGTGCTCCAGTAAAGTAAGAAGAATGGGGTGTTGGAGTGAACGGACTGCCTGTACTTGTGCTGCGATCAAGGTAAACAGAGCCTGAAATACAGTTTTTACTCTTCTCTTTATAACTATTTATCCTTTTCTTTTTAACCTACTTAATTTTCTAAGGTTCAAAGTAAAGTATTGAAAAGTTATTAACAACAGGTTTTTAGGTATTAAAACCAGTTTAAACCGTCCAAAAACCTACGATTCTGTTGATTTTGGTCAAGATACTGACTGTGCTGAGTGTCGGCCGCCATGCCCGGTGAGCCAGCACCTTGGGTGCTACGAGTCGGATGATCCGCCGTGATGAATGATCTTTGTCGGGCTTCGACGACTGACGCCCGACCGCACCGTGCAAACGGTTTTCTAGAAAAAGATGCCAAAACCAGAAGTAAGTTTTAGCTTTCAGAAATTTATGCTAATTTTTGGGATTTTGATTTAAAAAATAGGATTTTTTAAACTTTTTTTTGCTAACTGTGGCTAATATAACATGAAATCCAGCATTTTTGTTAAGGTTGTAGAAGGTAAATATACCCAAAATGTCATTTTAGAGTGATGTATGACTATATTGAATAATGTTTGTATTACTGTATATAAGCACTTTCTAAATTCAAAATCAATAGTTCACATTTACTACCCTGTTACTGGCTACAGAATCCGTCCAACTGAGCGCGACTCCATGAGTCATATTATTATCCTGTAACTTCGATCGGATCGTATCTTCATCAAGTGACTCATTGTGTCGTATTTAAGCACATGCTGGTTTTACAAATTTCAAATCTTTGAGCAAACAATAACCAGGTCTGTTTGTCATATTTCAGTATTTACATTTTCAAATTGGCTTTCTCAATTTCAAACATTTCGTATAGTTTCAAGGGGTTTACTGTAATTCATAAATTTTTTGTAGAATTTTGATAAATTTTGATCTTTAATGCCGTCTTTTGATGGCTTAGAAGAAACGCTTTTATTTTACAATTCTCAATCGTCTACAACATAAATAGGCATTTATATTGTACGTGGCTGAGTTATGTTGTCAAGATAGTGAAGTTACAAAGTAAATGAAAGTTATAAATCAAGGCGATCTTTCCTTGAAGTTTATGACTTTTCGGGTCATACTTTGCCATTTCTCAATCATTTCACTGACTTGTAACAACCGTTGCGTTAGTAGAAGTGTGTTCATGTTAATGTCTTGGCTTTTTTAAAATAACCTGAAGCTAAATATTTTTGTTGTTGATTGTCAAAATATTTTTTTAAATTTTTGTAATTCAAAAAGTTTTTTGTAAACATTGGTTTTAGCATTAGGCGCATTTTGTTACCTATACTATAATAAGATATTTATACATATAATGATTTAGAATGTTGTCATTAGTAATATTACTGGCTTCTATTAGCCTAACAGAAGCCTTTACTACACAAAGTTATGGAGTTGAAGGTAAAATACATTGTGACAATCGACCAGCCAGCGGAGTTGTAAGTCATTTTTAAATTATTTTATAATCTATGTCAACCACTTTCGCTACTCATTTTGACCTAGACTATTTTAAATTAACCTCTGTTTTCTAGATAGTCCACTTAGTAGATCAAGACACCTTTTCGGCTGATGACATTATGGCTGATGGTGAGACAGGCTCAGAAGGCTCGTTCCGTCTGAGTGGTCACACTTCTGAATTGGGTACCATCAACCCAGAACTTCATGTTTACCACAGATGTGGAGACCCAAAGAGTCGAGAGAAAGATTGTCCAGCTGTCTATAAGATTGAGCTGCCAAGACAATTAGTGACGAAAGGAGAGGTACCAAAGAATGTGTATCATGTAGATACGGTTAACCTTAGGTACGATTCTAAGGCTACCAGATACTGTTTAGACTAAACTGTAAATAAAATATTTGACATTGTTTTAGTATCATATGTATATTGTCATGTTGGATATGGTTTTTGACTACTTTGGTCAAAAAGTTCGTAGAAGAATTGAATTGATTGGCTAGAAATGGCAAAAAGAAGTATGTCTAGCTTAAAATATTATAAATCCAAGTAAATTTTTTAAACATACTGTAAAATTATATACTAAAATAGGTTTTAAACCCAACACAATAGCTTATATTTAACCTAAAATACCGCTTACACACATAATGGAAGTAAATTATATCTCGATTACTACTTATGAGCTCATTTACCTTTACTTTACTCGTAACGACACTCTTCGGAAGCTATTTAAAACTTTTTCGGCTACTAATTACCGTGTAATTGTGTGTAACCACCCTCGTAAAACACTTTGAACCAGCAAAGGATTAGATATGTCATGTTGCTTTTGTAGAGTTTTCAATTAGGTGGTATCGTAAGAGTTTTGTTATACAGAAGTTTTAAATGCATTCTGTGGTGTGATGAACGGGTTTAAAAACTGTTTGTTATTCGAATTCTTTGTTATAGAGAATTTCATTATACAGGAGATCTATGATAGTAAGAGTGCTCCTCCAGTTCTACTTTTACCACTACTCACTTCACCCTACCTATAACAAACTACAAAAAACCTTGTAATACCTAAAAATCAACCCAAAATTATCTTTTCCTACCGCTCTTTAGCAATACCGCGCAATATATAAATGTAATTTGGATCTGGAACGACGATGATATATTGTGAAAGGTTATCATGACACGGTTTAGTCTGGCTGACCTTAGGAATGGTTGTTCTTTTGCTTTTATCGCGTTTTTCGAAAAGAAATGACTCACTCTCTTTCACATAAACAAATTCAATATCAAAAGTTTTGGGTATTTCCTCAGGTTACTGGGTTGAGGATTACTGTAGTTTTAATTTGGATTACTGTGGTTTTAATTGGAGAATAATTATGTTAAGGTCAGTTTTGCAAAACTTTTTGGATAGGGTGAAATGCATAGAAAATTGACTTTTAAAATCTTGGATCAAAGGTACTATAACATCGTACTGAAGAGGGAAAAGTAATATTATCGTGGCAGTTTTAGTGCCTACTGTAGAATTTTGCTCATTCTTTGTAAATTTAATTTTTAATTTTATAAAACTGTGTATTTTTCGAAGTTTTTCCAAATTTCGAATATTCTTTTTGATCTTTCTCCGTTCTGAAATGATTAGTCTTCTGATTCATGGAAGATTCTAATCATACGTTCCCATATCAGCCTATAATTTTACTGTCTTATATTATGTCTTCAACCTATGTCATTTTAAAATGTTATTCCATTTAACTTTTTAAACTTTTAATTACGATATAACCACCTACTTCACCTGTTCCCATGAATAATATAAAATAGCTAATCTCTTTTTGAGCAAACATAAAAAAATAAAAAGTTTTTCGTTTATCTTACAAATAATGCAAAAGTTTGTCATTTGTAATATATAAGAGATAACAAACTTTTGATTCAGGTTGACGTGCCCCACTTAATCTTATGATTCACTACCTAAACAAGGCTTTTCTTAATTAAACGTCAACTTTTGTAGTTTCTCACCTTAAGGCATTGTTCGTCATTACGTAGATTACAGATATGCTACTATATGATGGTATATAATGGCTAGCATTTTTGAAATTGTATTGTTGATATGCCATTAATTAAGTTTTCTAGACTGTTAGTTCTTTAGTAAAGTTAAGTCGGAAGTAATAATACTGTTAAATTGATATCTTAACAGTACTAATACTGTCGTATATATTTTGATTTTTTATTGTTACTGTTGCTTAAATTTTACTTTTCCAAATTTTTATGTTTTAATTTTTGTTTTGTTGCGAAGTGACACGGCCACAAGGTGGGATAAATAAATAAATATGTTTTTCATATCAAAAATAGATTTTCGTCTCATTAAAAGCATAGCTCAGTTTTTGCGTATTTTAAATACAGTAGAACTTTTGTACAACAAACCGCTTGTGAATTTAAAATGCGTTTGTTATAAAGGAGTTTTAGTACATATACTTATCAATGCACTTTGTAGTGACAGATGGAGATTTAAACTTTGCTCGTTTCACGACATTTTCCTTATACGAGAGCTTGTTATACAAAAGTCTGTGAGTACAAAAATTAAAAAGATAAAATGCATTTTACCGTTATAAGTTTTGTCATGGAAATTAATTTAACCACAAATTTCTTACATTTTTTGGATTTATTTACTTTATATTTATATTTAGCTACCGGTCGGTTTTTTGTTTACTGTTTTTTATGTTTTGTACCTATATTTCCTGTATATTATTGTTTTTAGTCATTTTCATGCTTAAAAACACCATTTTTAAAGTGATTTTTCCATGATATGTCAAAATGTCAATCCAAACGATCTTTATTTTTTTATCATTTTACGTATTTTGCTTTTAGCAGTACTCTCTGTTTAGTACATTTTTGAGAAACATAAGTATAATAAGTGCTTGTAACACGCTACAAAACCAAAACGTGGGAGTATAAAAACATGACACAAATGCAAAACGTGTGTTAAGCTTTATACGTTGAAACTTTTTATTTTTGATTAAGTATTGTCTTGTAAAGCTTTATAATATATAGTGTAATATAGCTTGGCTTTTCTTAGAATACTATATCAATTATATCTTTTTAAAAACTACTTTGCTTTTTAAAAACCTACAAAATTATAAAGCTATGGTACTCTAATTGACATTCAAACTAGTGGTGTGTTATTAATTTTGAACTTTTGTATATTTATGTATATATATAGTTAAGTCGTTTTAATTTTAAACTTTTTCTTAAAAATAATTTGTAAAATATAAATTCAGCAGCTGTATAACCTATGTTACAATAATTTAAAGTCCAGTCAAAATTAATAAAAATGGAATTAAGGCAGGGGAGTACGCATTTGTTCAAGCCTTATATTATACTAGAGTAAGAAAAGAATGTGCGTGTGTTTTTTTCCCAAAACAAACAAAAAACGAGGGAAATAAGTTTTGTGTTTAAACGAGCGCTAACTGTTCACAAGTAATTAATGTCATTTTAAACTTGATTGATCTTTTATTATATAGTTATATATGTCAATTGTCATCTTACTATGTCTCTATTGTTATTATATTAACGTTACTTTATACATTATTGTAGCTTTGTTATTCTTTATTAAAATATCGAGAGAACCAAGCTTTAAATAAAAATATATTAAGCCGTTAGTTGACTAAAATTATAATTTTAGGAAATGACACAGCCAAATATCGTACGCCTACATACGACGCCGAGATTCATTCCGACCATCGTCATACTGGTCGTACAATCACTGTTAATCTTTGGAGTTTGTAAGTTTAAATTTCAAGAGATAAACAAACATTTTAAAATTTTCTTCATAACAACAAAAATATACTATGGTAATACTCTTATATATCGGTTTACCATAACCATTTATTTACTGTAAATATAAGTTAAAGATTTTTGAGGCTTGGGTAACATATTCGAATTTCAGTTTCCTGTGGCTACTACCTCATCCTGCCCAAGCTGTTGCCCAAAAAGACCGGATACATCTGCGACGACCCCTCCCTAAAGTATACCTACAAAGACAACACCATCGACATAGCCGTAGTCCACAGTTTTAGTCTAGTCATCGTAGCCATGGCCTTCCTAATCGAATGCGAACCTCATCAGTGCTTCAAAACCCGTAAGATCACGACCACGGATTCAGAAATCGGCCTCAACAATCGTATCTTCCGCTTCTTGCACATCGTACTCGGACTGGCATTTGGTGCTGTAGCCAACTACATACTGTACCAGATAGTGAAGTTCGCTTTCACTCGTCATCGTCCTCATTTCTTCGATGTTTGCCGCCCTGATGCCGAACAATGTCGTCCAGGGGACTACGTGGAGAGATACGAATGCCGAGGTACCAACATGAAGACCATCAAAGACGCCCATCTCAGCTTCTACAGTGGGCACGCTTCCACCGCCTTCTACTACGCTACATTTGCGGCCATATACCTACATCTGAGACTGGTCAAGAAGAACTTGAACTGTCTGCCGTGGTTGTTCATGTTCAGTTGTCTGTGGTACGCTGGAGCCATGTATGTAGCTGGAAGTCGAGTTCAAGACAACAAACATCATTTTGTGGATGTTGTAGTAGGGTCTGTGGTGGGACTAGCGTTGGGGCTCGGCATGGTAAGTTAAGCTTTGTGTTTGGAAATAGTTATATTTAATGTTTCAAAAGTTTAAACGTCTTCACGTTAATCTATCATCCTTAACAGCTATTCAAAGTCTTATCTTCAGGTACTAGTATACGTACGACAATCAGTACTTCGTTTCTCAAAACCAGAAAGGAACTATATTGCCACTGAAAGCGATCTCACCCCACCATAACCTAGTTAGTGCTTACTGTAACTAAATTACATCTATCTAGTGTGATTTTCCAAGTACAAACATGGATAATTTAACGTCAGAATCTCAGCGCTTTCACAATCCCAGCTTTCATATATCAAACTACGGGGACACATATCAGTACCACAGTTATACTTTTAACAGCTTTGTAAATAATATTACACATATCATGTTTTAACACAACCTCTTTGTAGTACAGTAACTTAATTATGAGAATAAATATATTTACTTATAGCTTTTTTTTGAAAATTTATATAAAAAGAAATAGTAAAGGCGAAACTCTTTAAATATTAGTAAAACATCTTCGTTTTGTTATTTACATTTTTATTTTTACCATAATATTATTTACAAAAACAAATTATTTACCACACTACTGAAAAAGATCAAAAAGAAGTCCAAGGCTGCCATTCCGAGTCGTCAGCCGGCTTCAAACTACCATTAACCAGCAAAAAGAAGTCAGTTACCCACCATACACCAAGTCCTCCAAGTGTCATTAGCTTCCCCACAGCTATCGCCGAGTATCCTAGACAGAAGCGATCTACTGCCAACATCCCCAAAAACATTGAGTACAGCAAGGTCGACAAGAAAAAGTGGCCAGAATAACTAAAAGTTATAATTTATATTAAATACCACCTGGCATGGTTAGAAGACCTTGTTATACATTCTCTTAAGGCAGCTCACTGTATCCAAACTTTCAACTAGCTAGTACAAGCTATAAATAGACCTATTCTTATACATTAACTAAAAAAACACGCTTTGTTACCTAAAAACACAAAAATAAACGTAACACGTACTGAATACAAGGCACAAGTCTTGGAAACTCCCGTGGTCCTCTACATTCAATACAAGGAAGAGCTCTGCATGTCACATTGATCTTATGTAAAACACCATTCTTCTGTCCATAAAATGGACAATAGTCCCCTTCCTAAAAGTATAATATTTTAGTTTAATCCAAGATAAGTAACATTTGTTTCTACTCAAAAGATAAGTTCTTACAAGTTTTGAACACAAAAGCAATAAAAATTAGAATAAAATCTTCATAAAGCAATATAGAGCAAAGTTTATACAACCTCCAACATCACCTTAAGCACCATCTAATACCTAAACTGTTCAAAATCAAACAAAATCCTTACCTTAGAATTGTTCTTCTGAACAACTTGAGAAACATCTTCACATTCCACAAACTGAATGTCCAACATGCTACAATCAATTAATGGAGATTGAGGAACGTCCTTCAACTTGTCCTCCCATTCTTTTTGTTCAGTTTGACATTGAGTACTTTGTGGATAAAAGTTATCCGCAAATACCGTCAACGATTGAGAGTAAACCAATAAAACAAACAAAAGCAAATACATTTTAACGTATTTTACAGAAACTGTAGTAGAATTACGAGCATTTATTATTGTTTTTACATCTTCAGATATAACAATAGATTTTCCGAGAAAAGGAAAAAAATATTTAAAAAATACATTTCGTTTCGCTTTCATCGGCTTTTTTTAACGAAATGTCAACTTTATTATTATTATTCTTTTTTTATATTACAAATTCCAGCTTGTGGTTAAATGTTATGTAATACAAGTAGGTAAGCCTTTCTTACTATTTAATTCCCTGCTTTATATTTTAGGATTAAAAAGATACGAACGAACAAAAAATCCGAACACTACAAAATTCAAACAAAATGGACAATGAAGTAGGACAAGAGCATAAACACATGATTTACTCAACAAAACAAACAGAAAATGGAATCAAGGGTTGTATTCGATGGGCAAGTTCTTTCTGCGGACCATACCGTCACCTTGGAACCACTCGCGGCGGAACTGCTTGGCGGCGCCATCGGGGGTGTTGGTCCATTCGATGGTGATACGGTCGTTGTTGGTGTCCTCCTGACCGTACTGGAAGGCGTCGCAAGACACGGCGACCAACACAGCCTCCTTGGGGTCCAGCACACCGCATGGAGGGTCGACGCCCAATCTCTTCATGTTGGTGGTCTTGAAGGCCCATCCGATACGACGACCGCCGGCGTTGATCACCTTGATGTGGTAGGTGTGCTTGTCGTCATAGGGGGCGTTGAACACGACCTTGGTGCCGGGCTGGGTGGTGATGTCTCCTGGAGGAACGGATTGAGCCATTTTATCTCGGGACAGACGACGAGCGACTGATAAGGAAATGGCACGATCCCTGCCTTTTATACTCGCGAGAGGTGCACTTTGAAAATGCAAAATTTGAATAATTTTCAAACTTTCATTTTGTTTGGGAAGGAAAACCGGTCGAAAATGCATATTTTCTCCAATTTTTGTCACAATTTTTAAAAATTATTTTGCCGAGACAAGGAAAAAGTTTATTTATATTTTTACAACATGTATAATATAAGTTACAATCTGAAAAACTTAAAAAGTCAACAAAGTTGAGGAACGTTAAGAAGGAACAATAGAAGTTCGTGAGGATGTGCTTTTCCTCGATTTCGTAGCAATTGTCGTTCTACTTGGTAATGTCGATTTACCAGTCAAGAATCTTCGGAACGATGGTATCAGCAATATTACTGACACTGAGTTTAACAATGGCAGGCTTTGCAACATGATACTGAGCATATAAAATAGGGGTACTATCGTGTACCTGAAGTACGCCAACAGTACCATGAGGGAAGCTGGAGCTGTGAGTAGAAATAGAGGGTACAAGGCCTAAAAGAAGTTGTTTTAATCTAACGATGGTACTAACAATATGTAAACCATACGTTGCTTTAGATCTCAATTTAATGTTTACTGGGTTATGTCTTATCACGGTGTAATGTATGTCAACATGTATCGTATTTACCTGTAAAAATAGAACTCTGATCATGTAACGTTGGGCTTTGGCTGTAGAATCTACTGTGACATCAATTCGTCTTACCTGTTTAGTTACTTTTATACCAAAATAAATGGCTATACCGTAGTAAAACGAATGTATACATTGATACATGCCTAACATGATAAAAGCTGGCACGTGATTCTGAAAGATTACAATATATGGTTGTTTTTACATTTACATGTAGTTCATAAGACAGTAAATATCATCTTTTATTGTGCTAACGTTAGTTACTGAACAATATTGAATAGTTATAGCATAATATAGTCGCTGAAAATGACAAAATAACTTTATAAATACAGTCTTAAAAAGAATTTTGGCACGGAAGTAGAAGGAACAAGATTGAGAAACCGTCAACGACAAATGGAAGGACACATGCTCAACATTCGGTTGATTGATAAAGTCGAACATCTTATAATCAGACGTAGAACAAAACTCAAAGAAGTTGGCTGTTGAAGCATATCGGAACAGGAAAATCAAGTACAAGGTTCGACTGGAAAGACTGGACGTGGGAAAAACAAGAGCTATCATGAAAACCAAACAAAGCCAGACCTCTTGGACGAACAAGATAGAATTCCCAAACCAAGGACAAGAGTTACCCCACGTTAAAAAAATCTAAACTCTACTCTTCGTACTAATTATTGAAGGAATCGGAGAATAAATTAAATAAAAAATTTAAATTAAAGGTACAGTACACTAATAGGTGTTTAGACTAACAAAAATAAATAACAGAGTTAGTATCACCAGAGGCGGGCGAAGACTTTTGGTCTGGGGGGGGGGGGGGCATCACTAGACGTGCTTTGATCACAGCAATAGAGGACTGTATTTTATATACTACTGAAACCACATTTTCTTTACTTTTTAACGTCAGCTAATCCTATAACAATAACAAAGTACAAAATAAAAAAGTCTATTTTGCAGCTTACAGTTATTAAAAATATTGTTATTTGTAATTAAAAGAAAGTAAGCTTTGGTTAAAACGTGGTGACAATTATTTCCAACAACATAAGACGCTTAAGTATATACTATACTAGACGTTCACAGTTTTACAGAGTATTTCTACAAATACACACAACTAGTTTGCAAAAAAGTACAGAAGAGTGAAGATACAGTACATACAGACGCAGACTCAGTACAAATAAAAGTGGATACTGTACTTTTGTGAGTCAACGTTTGAAACTCTAGAGCACAGTCATCTTTTTAACCTTTTAAAACGCCTAATATCTTAACCCACGATGAGATAAAAGAACATTGCTTCTACAAATAGGTAATAAAGTTATATTTGGCACTTCAGAAAGTAACAGCTGCCGTTACATAGTCATTAAAAGTAATGTAACACTTCTAATAAAGTCAGAAACAGCCGAATATGATTAACAGTAGGTTACGACGTCATTTTCGACCATATTTGTCGGTCAAATGCAACGGTTTCTTTCAAATGACTAGTTCTTGATGAGAACGGCCTTAAGTGAGTATCAACAATATTTAGCTCTTGTCAATATATTGTAGTATAAATGTTCAGTGATTAGTACAATAAACTGTGTGTGCAAAAGTTGTTTTGAAATAATAACTTAAAATTTTAGGTAACAAAACTCACAAAAAGCAGATTTTAGATAACAACTGTGATACAAAGCAAGCTTTATGTAGCATAAGCCACTCAAAACAGCAATTTTATCATGGCAAAGTAAAAATTATACAAATTTACATTAAAAAAAAGACATTTGTATAATTTTTTTGTAAAGCAAAGCAAAAAAAATTTAAAATACCGTATTATTACTTTACAATATAAAATCAATTTACAATTGCGTAAACGCTGTAAATATAATAGTATTATCCTTGGTAGAACCTTTATACACTATGTTCATTATGACGGTTTTTGCCACTTCTGATAGTGTACAGATCTTCTGCTTCTGGGTATCTGATCTGTTTGTACGATCCGTTTCCGATGCCTCGCTTCTCACGGTGAAGAATCGAAGTGTGGCATTTGAAGGCAAACCCATCAAGGTCTTTCTCTTCTCCTTCATCTAGAGCAACATCACCAGACTTGGACTGGACTAAACAGCCAATTGGTTGGTATCCCTCTGCTACACATTTGAGACGAAGCGAAGCAACAGTAAGTTCTTCACCTAGATGCAGCTCTTTGCCACGACCATCGAGACATGAGAGTTCTGTAAATATTGACAAACGTTAAGAGTAGTATTATATTATTAGCAAAAATAATGTTGTAGGTATTGTGTTGGGGACCTTACAGTAATTGGAATTGCAAGTTATAAAACATATTTTTAAAAATGTAACTTTCAGAACAACAATTTCAAAACATAAAAACAGTTTTTAAAAGCATATTTTCATACAGAAATTAAAAATGTAGCTAATACATTAATTTATTTACATATCTTAGTACATTCTCTGTAACTAATATAACAAGTTTGTTCAAAGGAAAGAAACTAAAGTAATTAAGGCAATTCTGATTTAATTAACTTGACAAAACCATACCTTGATGATAAATGACACTGCCATTATCAAATCGTTCACATTTGTGCCAAAATCCATTTTTATTCAAAGTTTCGCCGAGTTTCAGCCATTCTTTGTTGGCACGGTCTGATCCGATACAACCTAAACGTTTTTTATATGAAAGATGAGTTTATATATTACATGAGATCACAGCTATCGTACTTTACAATTTTTATTTCGTTACAATTTTTAGTTTACTATAGTATAGTAATCTTACCTGTTACCTCTTCCTGACCTTTGTTACAACGAAGTTTGAACTGACCCCAAGGACACTTGTAGTCTTCTTTGTCCTTTCGTATCTTGCCAGTCCTGTCTAGGCAGTCTTTTTCATCTAAATTACAGTAAATTAATTTTTTTGAAATGTTTTTACTGTATCCTATAACAAAATTAAAATACTGTTTTCTTGTTGCAGCATTTGACATTCTTTCTGTTATTATATATAAATATAGAATTGACGTTACTGTACTCACAAGTACCAAAGAGTACTATATTATTTTAGGTACAGTACCCTTGACCTCACCTACCGTCACCCCCAACCTTTGGCATTGGTTGGATCTCATTTCTGATGATTCTGTTATTCCTTATCAGTGCTCTGTTCGTATCATCCTCTCGAAGGTCTTTGGATCGTGGATGCCCATATACTACGAGCAAACATACTGTAAACAAAAACAATACTTTCATCCTGGAACGATAAACAGAACGCTGAGAAGGGCGTTCTCTTTATATACACAGTTATTGTTACAGCAAAATGACAAATTACATATTTACAGAGTGGCAAAGGAAACAGCTCGTATCAACAACTTGCAATAACATTCTCTGCACTTTTACTGTGATTGAAATTATCTGGAAAATGACATTTTTGTTTTAACATGAGCTTTTTAAACCGAGTATCATAGAAAAGAGAAAACAAATGTTTGCAGGTTACAGTAATCAAACAATCAAAGATATACAAGGTATAATATTGAAAAATACATCTTTACGTGTTATCCCAAAAGTCAAAAAAGTATCTCTGAGGCATGGTAAAGATATTTATTTTTGTTACACATAATTTGCAGTATAAAGACCTTTAGCATTGTGCAGTCATATGTTGTGATACTTATTCCAAATAAGCTTGTTTTAATCGTCTTGATCATTAAAAAGCTAACATTTCCGTTTTAGAGTACCCAAAGTGCAAAGATCTTTATTAACATGAAAAACAATGGTCATATGATTAAAAAGCTAGCACAATTCTATAATACCTTCAAAACCTTTACACTATCATTTTTCAATAAGACTTTCCATTATTCTCTGCCTGTGCTGGCTTTGGTTCAGCTTTGTGAACGGTAATTGGCTGAGCATTGACAGTTTGTTGTTGACTTTTACTGCCTTGCACATTACCATCTTCCGGATCAGCCTTGATTTCAGATCCAGTCTTTCCCAGTTCGTCAGCTGTTGGGAATTCCAGTCTAGTCCAAGAGCCGGTACCGTGAGTAGCTACACCAGCCCCCAATACTGGAGTGCCATCTCTTTTGGCACGGTGAAGAGTTTCTGTTTTGCATTTGAATGGAAATCCATCGATGGTCTTTTCCTCACCTTCTTTTAGGCTAACATCACCGGACTTGGACTGGATGAAGCAGCCGATGGGCTCGTAACCTCCTACTACACACTTCAGACGCAGAGATGCGACGGTTAGTTCATCTCCAATGTGAACTTCTTTTCTGTTGGCGTCTCGACACGATAGTTCTAAACTTTTTTATTTTTAATTTTTTTGTTATTTTTAAAGTTTTATCAACAATTTAAACCCAATTTATTGAACTTCAAGAAGATAAGGGCTAAATATTAGTCGATATTATTTGAAAAAGCCTTACCTTGATGATACACAACACTAGTGTTATCAAACTTCTCACATTTGTGCCAAAATCCATTTTTATTCAAAGTTTCGCCGACTTTGAGCCAAGTATCGTCAGTACGGTCAGATCCGAGACATGCTGTAAGATACTGCATGGTTTTTGTTTTTTACATAATTAAAAACGTCTTAACTCACAATATTTTAGTAAATTGTAAAATATTTTTAATGTCAAAACGTACCGATAACTTCTTCTTGGCCTTTGTTACATCTCAGCTTGAACTTCCCCATCGTACATTCGTATTCTTCTCCATCCTTTCGTGTTTTGCCTGTTCTGTCAAGACATGTGTCTTTACCTTGAAAATTGCTTATTGTATTACATTTAGTTACTGTATGCAATATGTATGATTAACTTTGCATAAATGACATAACTTATTTATAATATTACAGCCCCAAGTAGAGAAATACTGCCCCAGGCAGATATATTGTTGCAACCCACCTTTGCCTCCAATACGTGGCATTGGCTGCGTTTCATACCGTACCACTCGATTGTTACTTATTATGGCCGCTCTAACACTCCTCTCATTAATAATGGCATCTCGATTAACATCCAAACTCGGATATCCAAATACGATGGAAACACCGATGGTAAACAAAAATAACAACTTCATTCCTGACGAAACAGTAAAAAGTTATCAAACAAACTATTTCTTTATATAGGAATGGGTTGTTTACAACAAATGACAAATGGCTGGTAGAATGGAATGGATCATAAGGAATAGGTAAAACATGTCATAAAAAGTTGAACAGTGACCATGTTTATTAAATATGCAAGTTTCATTGAAAATATTTGAAAAATCTCGCAGTTTATTGAAAATATTGAAGGCACAAAATTATCATACAGTAAAAAACACGAAAACCATGACTAATCAAAAAGCAAGAGAAAAACCAACAGTTCAATCAAGTAGGTAGTAAAATCAGCAAATCCAAAAATAAAATAAATAGAGCAAAAGCATAAACACAACGATTTACTCAACAAAACAAACAGAAAATGGAATCAAGGGTTGTATTCGATGGGCAAGTTCTTTCTGCGGACCACACCGTCACCTTGGAACCACTCGCGGCGGAACTGCTTGGCGGCGCCATCGGGGGTGTTGGTCCATTCGATGGTGATACGGTCGTTGTTGGTGTCCTCCTGACCGTACTGGAAGACGTCGCAAGACACGGCGACCAACACAGCCTCCTTGGGGTCCAGCACACCGCATGGAGGGTCGACGCCCAATCTCTTCATGTTGGTGGTCTTGAAGGCCCATCCGATACGACGACCGCCGGCGTTGATCACCTTGATGTGGTAGGTGTGCTTGTCGTCATAAGGGGCGTTGAACACGACCTTGGTGCCGGGCTGGGTGGTGATGTCTCCTGGAGGAACGGATTGAGCCATTTTATCTCGGGACAGACGACGAGCGACTGATAAGGAAATGGCACGATCCCTGCCTTTTATACTCGCGAGAGGTGCACTTTGAAAATGCAAAATTTGAATAATTTTCAAACTTTCATTTCGTTTCGGAAGGAAAATCGGTCGAAAATGCATATTTTCTCCAATTTTTTTCACATGTTTTTTGAAAATTATGCCATTCCACCGAAAAAAGAAGAGTTTATTTACATTTTTACAATTTGTAAAGTTACAAGCTGAAAAAGCTAAAAAGTGAACAAAGTTATGAATGCACCGGGTTTACTGGAATGACTGATACTTAATGTCTGATATTGTAACCATGTATTTTAGAGTTTTGTATCTCAAGATATTGTAATTAAGTCGTTCTAATTAGTCAAAAAGGGACCAAAATATACAAACTTAACATGACAGTACCTTAAGACATCTCAGCAGCACTTTCGGCTAGGTTTCTGTTGTAGATTCGAGTCGTCCTCCACTCTTATAGTCCTTCTTGAGCCTTGTCGTCGCAGACTTGGCTGACGTTCCAATTTGGCTAGCTGGATCTCCACAGTCCGGTCGATCATCAGCTTTGTCAACTTGTGAAAAGTCTCGTCTAAGTTGATGTTGTCCTTCGCTGACACCTCACCCCATGTGGCTCCTACAGATTCTGCGTAAGCTTGAGCTTCTTCGGGTTCAACTTGACGTCGAGACTCCAGATCTAGCTTGTTTCCTACTATATACAACACGCAGTTTTGGCCAAGCATACGGTTAAGTTCTAACACCCAATTTTGAACCTAAAAAGTAACTTTTAGAATTAAAATCTAGTTTACTAACTAAAATAAAGAAAGTAATAAATTAGCACCTACCCTCTTGAAAGACTTTTCATCCGTAATGTCGTAGACTAGAAGAGCTCCATTCGAATCCCTATAGTAGATTGGTCCTAATGCGTGAAACTTCTCTTGGCCAGCTGTGTCCCAAACATTCAGTTCCACGTTCTTGTTATCTACACTAATGTTTTTCGTTGCGAAAGCAGCCTAGAAACAAATTTATTTAAAATTTTAACCAAAAATAATTTTTCAATACAATTTTTGTTCAAATTACTAAAATATAAAACTGCACACAGAACATATAAGATAGGTATTACCTGTATTGTTGACTGATGATTATCATTGAACTTGTCTTCAGTGTACCTTAGCAAAATAGACGACTTTCCAACAGCTCCATCACCCAGTAGAACTATTTTAAACGAATCTTTGTTATTAGCCATCTGCAATAATTACTTCAAAACTAACTTTTCATACAATATTTTAAGTAACAAAGGTTTCTTAACCATAACCAACAGATACGCACTATGTGTAATGTAACGCATTTACTCGTAAGGTATTAATAAATTAAAAACAACTTCAAATTAAAAATGAGAATCATTTTGCCAACGAATTTGATAACGGGAAATTGAAAGTCTGTTATAGCTCTCCGCATTGCTCGATAAGTACAGGAATCTTGGGTTTTCCATTCTGCCCAGTTGGTACATTTTCAATCTTCCTAACTGTAAGTAGACCGTCCAATACTCTGCCGAATACGACGTGTTTACCGTCCAAAAAAGGACAAGGAGCGCAGGTTATGAAGAACTGACATCCATTTGTGTCTGGTCCTGCATTCGCCATTGATAACATGCCCGGCTCGTCGTGATTTAATTCGAAGTTTTCGTCTGCAAATTTAGGACCATATATACTCGTCATTCCTGTGCCGTCTCCCTGAAAAAGAACCAATGTAAGCTTTTAAACAAAAATATTCAGTAAAACCAGTATTAAAACTAGAAAAACAATAGCTAAGCTTGTTTTCTATAAAAGAAAACATCATTAAGAACTATTTAATGTATTATCACCTAAACTTCAACAAAAAACCAAAAGAAACACTTACGTTAACAAAATCTCCTCCCTGTATCATGAAATCCTTTACAATTCGATGAAACTGTGCATTTTTGTATCCAACAGGTACTTGGTCTCGTTTCATCTCTCCAGTGCACAATTGTCTAAAATTCTCAGCAGTTTTCGGTACCACATCCGCGAAAAGCTCCATTTTAATGGTCCCAATAGGTCCTCCACCAGCAGTCATTTGAAAGAAGACCACTGGATTGTCAGGATGTCGTAGTTTCTCAGCTAATCGATCCCACTCGCTCATGATCTGTTGAGAGTGTAGATAAGTAACACAATATCGAGAAAGATAAAAATATTTTCTTTTCCTGAAATGAGAATAAAAATTGACTCGTTTTTGCGTGGGTCAAGTATAATTCTTTTTTTGTTTCGTATTTTATGTTTCAAAATTTCGTAATCTGCAGATTTCTTCATAGAATAATGCTATTGTGTTTTAAAGTTTCGATGCATATATTTTCCATCTTTGTGATTAACTTTTCTGTACCACAACTTCAAATATAGCTTTATTAATTCATAAATAGAGATTCAAAGTGCATTTACAGAGTTGTTTTAAAATAGGCAGAAGTAATATACAATATTCGGGTTATCACAACATTTACAATACAAATATAGCCGTAGTTGTAATACCATGGTGAAGATAAAGTTGTTGGAGCAAGTTTATTAGACCGGTAGATTACATTTTCTTGAGTATGATATTAAAGACACTAAGGTGAATAAGTTATGGTGATAGCAATTTTTATTGCAATAGATAGCTTTGCTCGTTGGTATATTAAGAATGGTACAAAAGTGTGTTTGAGTAATTTATGTAAATAGAACGTTGGAAGATTGAGTAATTTATGTTACACATCATGTAGATCTAGACTTCTTCTTTGTCTTTTTCAGAATTACTACTCTCGCTCTCTAGATCGTCCAAGATAGCTACTAATCTCATGTCTCCAGTAAACTTTCTGCCAGAAGCCGATCCAATACTAGCTCTTGGGTGTGGTAGCGACTTGTGGATGTCTTCTGGATGATGGGCATCTTCATGAACGTCATTTAATTGAAGCGAAAAGTCTGAATTCTTGTTTGATTCCATGTTGGACAAGTCTGATATAGTCAAGGTTTTGGTCGAGCAGATCGTCTGAGTACGTGGACGTGCTGAAAGTTTTGGTTTCTTAGCACCAAGACTCTTGACAATCTCGTGAATCTCTCGCCCTCTAGTTTCTGGCATTTTGAAGTACAAGTAGATCAAGGAAAAGGTGGATGGGATGATGAATAAGGGGATAAACGACCACACGTCGATCCATCTATACATGGGGAGGGTCACGAAGGAGAAGACAAAGTTGGTGGTTGTGTTTACAGCGAACACGAGGGACTGGACTAGAGATCGGAATTGTTGAGGTACTAGTTCTCCAGTTATGAAGAAGGCGATTGGACCAAGGGCAGCTCTATAATTAGATGGTTTTACATTTTGTTGTTTTGAAGTTGGAAAAAAGATTTTGAAATAACGGTGATTTTAGTGCCACAGGCAATATGATCCTATGTAGGCTATTTTAGTTCATTAACTTACCCATATGTGATCCCGTACGCAATCAGGGCACCAACACATCCATAACTATACTTAGGGTCGATGTAAAACGCCAGTCTGTCAAACACAACGTAGCCGACCAAACATAACGTGTTAGCCACACCACACCATAGTAACAATGGTCTTCTACCAAACTTTTCGATAAAGCACATTCCGACCAGACTAGCTATGAAATTGGCACAAATAAAAACGAAAGATGTCATTTGAGCTGTAGAGTTACTGAAATGGGCTTCTAGTAGATCTGTGGATATATAATCTATCGGCCAGATACCAACACATAACTGTAAGGCTACGATGCCCACAGCCGCCGCTTTTCGAAGAGCCGGTTGTTTGAATACTTCGACCACAGCTTCGGTTAAGGTCATATCTACAGCACCTTTACTGCTTTCCTTCATCATCTCGGCTAGTAGGAGGTCATGGTTACTGTACTTTCCGTGATAATATTTTAGAGCTTTTATCGCTGCTTCTTTGTCTTTTAGGTGGATGAGTAAGTATTTTGGTGTTTCCTTTAGTGGCAGCATAATCAAAATACCGAGGATTCCGGGAATGATACCAAATCCTGACATTTTTAATGATTAACAAGCTTAATATTAACTTATATGATGGTTGTTTTAAATGTTCCTAGCTACTGTTGTTGCACGGAATATTTTTATTTTGTGTCATATTCTGTCAGATCTATCCTCCTGCTTATTTTATAAATTATAGGTAAGAAAATAAAATTAATGTAAACATGTTCCCACGGTCCGAACACTTACCGACCAGGTAGACTAATTGCTTTCCAAGTACAAAGTCCATTCCCATGCCCATTCCCACCACATTCATGGCAAGATACGAGGTTTCACTGAGGAAACTGGCCATGCCTCGAAGGTTTGTTGGTGTAGTTTCTTGTAGAAACAGAATCAGAGCTCCAAACGAAACTCCAGAAGCCGCAGCCGCTATGATTCTGCCACCAAACAAAAGTTCAGGGAATTGAGTGACAATAGACGTTGTGGATATTATGGTTGACGAGAAAGATACGATATTTGCTACTAGTAGGGTTTCTGGAAACAAAAGTTTAAAATTTTAGTTTTTTTTGGCTTTTTGTTGTATTGACCAATTGTACTGATATCGATAAAACTTAATATAGACATACAGTCTTTTTAAATTCCAAAAAACTTACTTTTGCGACCAAAAGTGTCAGCAAAGAACGGTGTCATGAACGTTCCCATTATGTATCCGACGAACCATATATTCAGAAACAATGACCAAAACCAAGTAAACTCCCATTCTGATAGTCCCTGAGGCTCTCCTCTCTTGATATACGACTGGTTGATAAACAATTGAAAGCTGTTACCGGCAGTGTTGGGTGATGAACTTGAATAGCCTTCCTGTAAAGTAATTAAAGGTTCAAAGATTATATCGATCACAGATGTTATTCATGTTTTTGTCTGTATATAATACTTAAATTTCTGATAAGGATGTTAAATATTACTTTCGTTAAACTTACAAGAAAGTTTGTCAGCGAAGCTACGGCTCCAAAAAGTGCTAGGAAACTCCATCGGTTTCCTTCAGGGGCCAACATTATGTTATTATTAGTGTACAAAGATGGTGGATATAATATCAATTTGGGACTAATATAAGCTTAAATAATACTTGTTGTGTATAAGTACTATTTGTCTACACAAAAACTGCCAAAATACCGGTCAAAAGCTATTTGATATGACAATATTGTTCGCCGTACTAATTACACCTGCAGCTAGAGTACCAATAAACTAAGTTAGAAGTGCCAAAACTAGTCTCAACTATCAGTAAAATAAACTTGGAAATATATATTATAGTAAGGTGTAGAAATATTAAAGTAGAGTGAAGTAAAGCTGTTGATATCAATAAGACTCCTTAGTAAGCTTGAACTTTAAGGCGATATTAATGTAGTTAGAGTTGTAGTGACTTTGCGGCGTCGGCGTGGACGTTGTACCGGACTAGGCTTAAATATGGAACTCTGAGCCTGAGGACCAAAATGACCGCCGGAAATAAGTTTTTGAGCCGTTGAAACCCGTTGAACTGCCAGTTCGACTGGTTGATGTAAGGCGTTTGGTAATGCTGAAAGTACTATATTATCAAAAAACGAATTTTAAAAAGCTTAAAAAGATAATTATAGTGTCTCTTCACGATAAAAATAAAATAAACAAAATGATAAGAGTACATTTGCTACTACCGTAACGATCTAGTAAATATAACCTCAAGATAGATCATTCCATACAAAGCTTTTAACTACAAGGTACGACTTTTAGTGTGAAGCTCTAACTACAAGATACATTCATATATATGACTGTAAACACACGACATTTTTAGCCACACCCTCACACCAAATCACATGAAGATCCCCCTGAATTTGAACGTTCTAACTTAAGCCGGATGTATGGCAATGTTATTGTGTAATCCAGACAAGATATACCGGGCTTTCAAAATGGCTTAATTGAGAAAAGTTGAGATCAATATAACTTGAGATTAACGTTAACATAAGTTGAGATTAGAGTGGAAATTGAGCTTAAACTTGGTAGAAAATGAGCTTAAAGTAACAGACAGCAGAACGTTTTAAAGTAAATGCAACAAAGTGTAAGCTCATATATAGTATTACTAAGCGTTCTTCGTACAACAAAATAATATTTTTGTGGACATTAAGGGATTTAAAGAGCTTTGAGTGTCAGGATGAATAAGCTGATTTAAAACAAACATCTCTGCACATACTATACCTTATACACAACGTCTTTTCATACCTTATATATAACATCAAAATACAGATTAAACAAAACGTGACAAAAGGTGTAAGACGTTCTTCAGATGTATAGTATGACTTAATATAAAAAACCAGAAAAACTTTATATATTATGACCTCCTTAAACCATACACGCCTTTGAGAACACCATAACAGTGTCTGGTAACGAATGGCAAAGCTTTGAAAAGTTAAAATCTCTTCAAGATCTTTTGAGACTTAAAAGAAGTCTTACAATTACAATATTATGGCATCAAAAATATTCTAGAAGTTAACTTCAAAGCCCTATATCTGTAAATAATCATACATCATCATATGAGTAATATACGAATACTCTCAGTAGCTTTTCAGACTGACTTTAAAAAACACTTTAATAAAACTAGAGTGAAACAACTTTGGACTATGTATATATCAAAAGATGGTAAAACAATACAAAAACAATAAAATTAAAAAAAATGAAAATATAAAAACAAGAATTTTACTACAAATCAAGGTTTATATAACTTTCTCACGGTACCGTAGGACTAATTACAATAACAAAAGTTCACGGAAATTAGCTAAACTAATTCAGAAATGTCAGTTCTTGTACTTACTACGCGATTCACAGTAATTTGATAAACATGTACGTATTAAAGCAGTAAACAATAAATAATATTATTGTAAAAAACAGCTGTTACTACAATTATAGATCTGAATTCCGGGCCGGGTTTAGGTCAGGTTTTCAAATTTTTGTAAAGGTTTAGTTTTTCTTTAGTTTAGGTTTAGGGACTAGCTTTGAGTTTAGCCTCGAAACAAGAAAAAATTAAAAATAAAATCTTTATTAAATTCTATGTAACCCTTGGCCTAAAAATATTTAAAAAATTATTTTCTAAACAATTTCAGATCTTCAGTTGTTTTGCTTTAAGAGTTTAGCCAAAACTTCAAAATTCAACCAAAAATATGACAGAATAGATAATACTCAAAAACAAGGTAATACTCAATCAGAAAGTACGAGTACAGATGTCAGACAGTAGGAAGAAAGTAGATAAAACGCTTCGAATTTCTTCCTCAAAAGCATCAAAAACGGCATTGAGAAGGTCCCTCAGGCCCTCGGGGAAAACTTTTTCAGAGTTATGTTTTTTGAAAGTAATTTCTTGCTTCCGACGACACAACTAGCCAAATTTGATATAAATATGTTATTCATTACATTGCATATTTGAAGGCTGTCATCTAAACAAGCATCTATATATTGATGTAGGTTGGTATATATTAAAGACCTTAAAATAGCCAGTGAATGCAAATTTAGATACAATAAGATAAACTATAAACTTTTATACTTTATATTATATTTTAGACACTGTAGTAACAAAATCAGACACAAAAGATACTCAAAAACTCAGTTAAAAATAAAAACCCAACCAGTATCATCTGAAACAGTGTAATATTAACCGATCTGACTCCCACCAAATCATATAAAACGTTTATATCTTATCATAAATCAGAACGATAAAACGCAAAACTCTCATGAAGTTACTTGAACTTACTTCGACCTCAACGCGTAAAGTAAACTAATGAAATGCACATGACACAAGAGCGTAACCGCCTTTCGAAACACGGTAACCGAGTGATAACAATGTCATAAAGACAATAAAACTCAAGCATTATAACTAGTTCACAAATTTAGGTGACTGGAATTTTAATTTAAAAAACTACTATTTACAAAAAAAACAAGCGAAACTTATCCGCCACACACTGCATACATATACCTACTTAATAAGACATTTTATATAAAATAACATCCAGAGTGTAGTAACTGTACAATTGTAAAAAATAAGTTCTTGTGATAAAACTACATTAGTATTTGTCAGATTTACAAAATGTTCTCCGCCCCCTCAAAAAAAAATTTTTATTTTTATTGCTTTCATTTCCGTCCAGCACGCAAGTTACACTCAGATGAAGTTATTTACATCAACCTTCTTGCTTTCGAGGTTAATTGTACTTTCACTCAAGTGTTACCTAATACAAATGTTTTATTTTTTGGCTAAATATAACGTTATACTCAAAACGTGCTTTCATACAACATGTACAATATATATATAGAGGCTGTTACCTACTATCTATGAGTAGGAATTTACCTAATATTCATAAGCAAAAAACATTACTTTTAAATATTCTTCAAAATACCTAGTCGTAACAAGGTAACCCCCACCGTGGCGTTCATCTGAAGCCTCGTAAAACAAACGGAATGAACTAAAATTGCACTAGAGAATACATCGTACCTGTGGGTGTTCAGTCTTATATATATTTCAAAACTACCATGGTTACTAAGAGAATGTAACATATTCACCTTTAAACGTTTTCCCATACTCTAGATCAAAACCCATAAACAATATCCGGTACACTATAATAATGGCAGAAACGATAGTTATTGTAGGTTTTCCTTATTGGTACTGACAAGATGTGTAACTTTTAAAAGTTGAAAAAAGTATCAAGGAAGTGTAACATTAAGAATCATTTTTTATGCCAAAAACGTCAAAAGATGATAGAGAACGTCCTAATAAAATGAAAAACAATATTATAGTGCAATAAAAACGTATTTATTGTTATTGTAGTAGATTTAAAAGTATAATTAAAACTGTTTTTGTGCAAAAATGTCAAAATTAAAAGAATAATGTACTCCAGTAGCCACAAACAAACCAATTTTGCATTTGTTTTGTAAATTTTGACGCCGAATGCATTAACAAACATTCATCAAGTATGCAAATCTCTGTAAAGCAATAACGATAAGGCTTTACAGCCAAAGACCACCCAATACACATACAACAAAAAATAGTCTTTACAAGTTAAAACACACTTTTCAAGTAGTGATAATGACCTCTAAAGTCAAATTTTTATGATTAAAAATGTTTTTTTGCTCTACAAACTATAGTAAAAGTAATATCAAAATGTTGAAAAGTTATATTAACCTTGACAAAACGTTGCCAAAGCATACAAAACTGTCTGTTTAAATTTTTTGCAAAATAAAACAAACAAAGTTACAGTAGACAATCCTTAAAATAAGGTTTTGCACGAGTTATTGTCTTATTTTTGAAAAGCACTCATAGCGGTTTGCTCGTCCAACTACTTGACATGAATCGAGGTCACAACAATATGACAAAACAACTTTACATGTTTATTTACAAGATAACAAACGGAAATAAATTGATTGTATGACTAAATTTCAAAACTTTGTTTGAAGGCGTTTTTATAGTAAGCAAACATAACATAGACGACACTGTGTAGTTTAGAACAGCAGGTTTTGTAGGGTAAAAGGTGTGACATGTTATGGGATGACATAGTCAAGATTCTTAAAAAAAAACAAAAATTTCAAAACTGGTCAAGAAGTAAGTAGGAATTATTTTACTTATTTATTTAAAGCCTTATTCCACCCACCAATAATAACTATATCGAAGGTACCTGCAAGCAAAAAAAATAAGATGTAGTAAATACTAAAGGTACTATGAAGAGTACTCTTTGTATCTCTTGAAGCTAGAAACAGTCTCACCTTGCAAGGTTGAAAAGCGGAACAAACAAAGTTCGAAACCTTCGAAGAGATAATCAAAAACCAATAGAGCCGTTCTCACGTCAAACCCTCGAGACCGGAACGACGAACTTGAACGTTCTAAGACCAAGAGAACAGCTGATAAGCGAACGTCGTTACATCACGGTACTTACAGAAAAAACTAAATTTTTAATTTTTTAATAAATTTTTTTTATTACAGGCTATATTACTGTATCAGGCTACAATTCTATATATTACAGTAGTAGGCTACAATTTAGGTCTAAATATACGTTAATAACGTTTCTAAAACCAAGTAAAACGATATTAGCTACAAGCACATCTACAATATAACTTCACAATTCCGTTTCATCACATCAAACTGTGACTTTTTGTTCAGCTCAATAGTCAGACTGTAGAATCGTATGTCTTCAGAAGCCTCGATAACATATTCTTCTGGTATTCGAATGGCAAAGTCCAATGGACACATATTTCGCTTGGCCATGTCTTTCACATCGTCGCAGCGATGAATAACATGCAGAATTGGTTGGAACACACCAGATTCCTTCACTTCTGTCGTGATTTCTGTCTTGTTATGGCGCTTCTGAATTGTTGTTGGCAATGGCATTTCCGTGTAGTCTTCGGATTTGGTCAAGTTCAGAATCTAAAAGCAAACAAATATTTTAAAAATATTTAAATTCGACAGCATAAACAACAAAATATAGTTAAATGTCTGTTAGAACATATTAAAAACAAGTTTATTTGACATAAAACCCTTACTTACTACGTCATCATACCTCTTGCCATGACATCGTATCTTGGCTTTGATAGCAACTCGATATCTTTTCCCAAAAATGCCACATTCAACCAAAACAGGTAAAAAAGTGAACGCAAAGACGAGTTTAACAAACATTTCACACCATAGTTTGGAGAAGCTCTACCACGTGAAGCGCAAAAGTTTAAAAAGTTTTTGATGGAACGCCGGAATGTCACAAGTCATCAAATTTAAAAGAATTCTGGAAGTCGGCGATGTTGTGAAAGAAGCTCTTGTTAAAGTGCATCTTCGCGAGCTGACGCATCGTCATAACACTGTCATTGAATTAAAACAACTTTGAATTTCAAAATATTTTAAAATCTTAAAAAATTTTTCGTTTTAAACTCGCAATGAAATTATGCGGCCTGTTCCTCTGATTCACTTCATGCTTTTTATATAGAACAATCATGTAAATAGAAGATCTGCAGCAAAGTACTACCCAGGAAATACCAAAAAAATCGAGATCAAAAATTACGTTTTTAATTCCCGCCATATTGGCACTGTTTCAAGCTTATAACTATGTCGTTTTTTGACTTTTAATAATTTTTCTTTGCTATACTAGTAGAGAACCGTTAAACGTACCTATAGTTTCAAATTTGTAAACGTAACATGTCCGAAAACTAATTTGCATAAAATGCTTGAAACACAATGCCAAATTTTCAAAAAACTCAAATATTTAAATTTTAAAACTCAAAAAATTAAGGTAAAATTTTTTATGTGTATTATTAGTGGTATAAAGAGTTCATAAAAAATTTTGAGCTGATTCTGAGCGACACAGGTTCGCTGCGTTTCTTAGTAATCTACAGGGTGTCCCAAGAAAAATGTCCGAAACTAAAACGATATATCTTGGTTATAAAAATTTTTAAAAAGCTTAAAAAAGCAAAATTTAAAAAAAGCAAAATTTTGCGACGAAAAACTTGTAGTACTAAGCTACTACCGTACAAAGTTTGAAAATTGTAGCTATTTTTATAACCAAGATATACCGTTTTAGTTTCGGAAATTTTTCTTGGGACACCCTGTATAATAACTCCTTCAAAACTGGCTAAAAATAATATATTTCTAAGTTTTTAGGCAACATCTATTCAATAATTTATTTAAAAAATTATACTGTTGAAAAAATGTCAAGTGCAAATTTGTATAATGTGTGAAAATAAATGGCGTATTTTTATTTTAAACCTTGAATTTTTCTAAATTATTGTATACAACAACATATTATTCTTATAAAATGTTTTGTAAACCAATTAGGATAGCACAACACAAATAAACAACAAATTTGTGATACGTTATCAGCACTTCCTTTATTAAAAGCTCCAGCAATAAAAAATGTTCACTTGTGTGGTTTAGTCCACGATGAATAGTGCTTTAGATGTTAAAATACTTTGAGTTCTTATGAGCTTTTTTATGTTTTTAATTTAAAAATTAAACTGATTTTTTTTATTTAGAGCATAAATTGATTGTTATATCGTGGTAGTCAAATCGAAATGCTTGGTCAAATTATTTTTGAATTTTTTGATATCTTGGCATTGTGTTTCAAGTTAATTTTTTAAATTTAATACTATTTGAAAATATTTTGCAACTTAAAGAAAATTTACCGTTAAAAATGCATACACAATCATTACATGCTTAAAAGAAGGATAATTGCTGAGATCTGATATTTACTACTGTACTCAAAAACAATTCCAACCGTTCAGTTAACCACTTGCTAACAAGGGCTAGTTGAAAACCATTTGAACAACGTTGTTTTCCGTCGTTTATAACTCGATTTTTGTTTTGCAGCATAACTCTGGTATAATTGTTGGGCTCTCTGTGGAGGTAGTTCCATCAAACAAAGTATTATGTTGTTTTGAAGGTCAAACTTTACACGATTTCGAAGGTAAACATACAAAGTCAGATTAGAGAGAATTTCAGACCTTCCTTTCAGCAAACTTACTTAGAGATAATGCGAATGTTTCTGTTTGTGTTAATCAGCGCTTCACACGTTTCGGGGGCTGTTACGGTATTTTAAGGTGTGGTTAATATTATTTTATGTTGTTAACGGTTTTTTCTTTTTGGCTAGGGCAAATGCCTGTGTATATGAAATACATAGACAGATTGTGAATTTCTAACACTGATACTCAGATTTGGGAACTTGAACTGGATCATATGTAAGTGTACTGTGGTATACCAATTTTCCGTTATTTTTTAGGTAGTAATTAGTAAGTCTTTTCTAAAAATAACATTTGCTCTGACATTTGAAGAGCGATTAGGAAAGAGAGAATACTTTGTTATAACAAACAAAAAGGAGTGGACAAAGGCATTTAAACAAATCTCGAAGGAAGATGTATCAATTTCACTTTCTGTTTTGTTATCTGAATTAAAGTCATCATGAACTTCTTTCGAAGTTTTTCAACAAACAGGGTTTAGTATTCTAATATAAATAGCAAAAAAAAACGATTTTTATGTAAAATTTTATTAAAATGTATATTAAAGTAATTAGTGGGCCTTTAGGCTAAAGTAATATATTTTTTACGTTTAAGTGTACCTATTTTCAAATATGTAGGAAAAACAAAAGATTTCACACTTCAGAAACGTGCTTAACCTTCAGACTTGATAGTTGTTTATTGTTATATTATCAACTATATTTAGTTGGCTGACTAGAACGTGCACTCATTTGGAACAGGTGTTGCGATTCGCTGACAAGCACATCATTCCGGAATGCATTGCCTGAGGTGACATCCCTTCTCATCTTTTTATATACGTGTTTGACGTGTTTTATATGCTGCTTTTATTCGTTTTATCCAGAGTTTTTCAATCAACTTTTTATTTTGAGTTTGGTATGTTTATTAGGGTTGATATAATAATTGTTTAGATAAATAATGCTTTTAAAAGTAAAAGGTAACAGTTTTTATTTTAATAAAAAGTATTAGGCAACGAATACCTTTGCAAAACAGCTAATATATGTTAAGTATGCAGAATATACCAGTTAAAAACACAAGATTAGTCAAAGAAGTAGAATATCGCTTTATCATCTTAATCGCTTGTCATTTGCTAAATTATCCAGTGGGCTAAGAATGTTTCCAAAAAACTGATTGATTATGCACTACATTCTCAAACATATGACACAAGACAATCAGCCTTCTGTTTAGTACTTTTAACAATATAAACATCACGTTTTCGGGGTAAATACTGGTAAAACAACATGTTTTTATAGGATTTTTCATAATTTTGGTGCCTTTTTATAATAGTAGTAAAGTGCTAGTTATGGTCAGTTTTGTATATAAATCTACTCTGATAAAATTTGTTTGTTGAAAGATTCTTTATCATTGTGCCTGTTTTTGGTTTCCAATTTCGAAATATTTAAATTCAGCACGCTTTGACATCTATGATAAAGTAAACGTCTTGATATCAAAAATTGAATTTCAAAACTTGACAGAAGAACAGTGACGTCATGTTGAGAATGAATGTTCTAAACTGGGAAACGGACCCAAGATTGAAAAAAGATTTGAAGCCTAGGCAATTCGATTAAAATTTGGCTCGTTTTGCGCGGATATAAAACGGATTCTGAAGAGTTTGGAAACATTTTTATGAATGTCACAGATTTTGAGACATTCTTCAAATTTTACTTCCAATTTTGAAACTTGGTCATATTTATTATAATTATGTAATACAGTAAAACTGTTGTATAACAAACCGCTTGGGAATTTTTAATTTGTTCGTTATGAAGTAGCTTCGTTATTTAGGAGTTGTAAATGCTCTGTGTAGGCCGAAGGTTGGAAGGTTGTTCGTTATATTTTTGTCATACAAAAGTTCGTAATACAGTAGTTGCAGTGTGATTAATTTAATTTATAAAAACTTATACATTACTATGTTGTACATTAATTCCTATATTTGACCATTTTTTCTTTTTGAAAAAATTTTTGTGTTTTTTTAAATTTAGTCTTCTAACTCTGTAAATCAGGCCTTTAAAGACATGCTTTGTTGTTGTCACACATCTGGGGATACAAATGTTTTTGTTTTCGAGAGATAAAGCGACAATGTTTTAGTTGTTGTTCCCATCTAGTTCAAATCCCTTGGTGAGCTTTTTAAGTTTTAACCATTATCCAGTGTTTAACTCTGTTTAACTATTGCACAAATTAGGCTTAGTTTATGAAAAACTTTCACAGAATATTAAAATTATATTACTTTGGCTTTTTGAATTAACAATTTTATTTTTTGGCATTAAAAGAGTATATTGACCATAAGTTTTTACCATATTATACGTCGTATAACCGATTGAATTGTTTTTATTATAAAATTTGTAGTCAGTCTCATGTTGAAGCTTAGAATTTGGTATTGACCATTCTGTGAAGATGACACGGAATTTGCATATTTAATTTTATCGGCTTTACTTCCATTATTTGGTAACTTTTGTAAAGTCTATGTTGCGGAAATCGATACTTTGCACCTTTACAACGTTTTTATCAGTTTATGTCGCACTTTACATGAATTCTGATATATTGTTATATTATTATGTGATTTTGTTACCTTACCTTAAGCCTAGTACGTGATTAATACGTATACTTTAGATAATGGATCAAGCACGTAGTAAACTAACCATCAAGAATGATCTACTTCGAGTATTCGTGGCTGAGCTTCTTGGCACCGCCTTGTTGGTATTGATCATCAACTGTGTCGTCGCTCAGTCTGTACTTCTCGGAGCTCCCAACAAGATGATCAACGTCAACTTGGGAGTTGGACTTGCCATCGCTTTTGGCATCGCTGTTTGTGCTCGTATTTCTGGTATGTTATTGTTTTAGTGTGGTTCTTAAAAAAGAAGTTGAAAAAATTGTTTTTAACTTTAAAAATTATAAAAAATTAAATTGCACAACTAACTTGCGTATACTAATATAATGACGTTGTTGTACGGAAAAGAAAGTTCCTACTGGCTAATGAGGATGGATTATACCCTCATAACCTATTTATATAAGACCAAAAACAATTGACAACGTAATCTTTCCTTACTAACTTTGTAAACAAATACATTGTAGCTTCTTTAGTCTTACAGTATCATAGTAATGGGAGCTTTGATCATGTTAGTTATGGTAGCCTTATTCGGGCTACTAGCTGGTAGTGTTGCTGATCATGTTCACTATAAGGAGGATTTTGATAATTTTGTTTTCTCTGATGGCAAGGGTACGTAGTTGTACTGTCATTCATCTGAAGTGTCATGTCGTTTTAGAAGACCAGGACAACCCTGAGTTAAAGTCGCACAACAATGTCATATTGGAAAAAGAAGCTTTAAAAGTCTAACTCTATATACCTTTAGTAGTCTACAGATAGTAGTAACTGTACATACTAAATCACACTTCAATGTATATACAAAACTTAGAGTATTGTACCCAACGTCATTATATTTATTTTAAATAAACATACCTGTAGCTTTTATATTACCTATAATAACCGTAACTCCCTTTTCTAGGAGGACATATTAACCCTGCCGTATCCTTGATGTTCTTCACCTTCCGTCAGTTAAGTGCCATCAAGTTTGCTGTCTATGTCGCGGCTCAGTTCGTTGGAGCCTTCTTGGGTGCTTTGATCACATACCTCATCTACAACGACGCCATCAACAAGTACGACGGAGGATATCGTGCTGTGTTTGGCAGTAAAGCCACCGCCCACATCTTTGCTTCGTACTCGTCCAACCATCTCGGTGTTATCAATGGTCTTTTGGATCAGGTAGGCTTTGGAGATCGAACCATTTATACATTACTCTATATCAGACATTATGTATCTATAAAAAGTCAATATGTCATTAAGAATAATCACACTTTGACTAAACATAACCAACAATTACCTTCAGATCGTCGCCACCGCCGTCTTCTGCCTTCTGATCGCCCACACCGTGGACAAACGCAACCAGTACCCCACCTGGGTCCAGCCCTTCATCCTTGGTACCTCTTTCGTGATGATTGGTACCGCTTTTGCTTTGAACGCGGGATACCCTTGCAATCCAGCCAGAGACTTCAGTCCTCGTTTTTTCACCTTCATCTCTGGCTACGGCTGGGAAGTGTTCAGCTTCAAGAACTACAAGTGGTTCTGGATCCCAATCTTGGGCCCTCTGATTGGTGGAGTGGTCGGTGGATGGATCTACGAGATCACGGTCGGATTCCAGACTCCAGAAGCCGAGGAGTACCAGATTGTCGCTTCAGGACGCGAATTGCATGTTGTCAAGACGAAGTGAGTTGTGTTTGATCTCTTTTGTGGTTCTTACAAACAACCCAATAATGGTTTTTAACTATACGATTCTTGTTGTAAATACTATACAATTTCAGAGTTGACGAAGCCGAGAAATTGAATGTCTAAATGCTTGATGCCTTTTTAATTATAATTCACAACCAGGAATCTTAAATCTCTGCCGATTTTCCAGCTTCGACATTTTGAACGAATAAACTTTTACCTCTGTAAAGATTAAGTTTACTCAGCACCTTAAATTAAAAAATACCAACGTTTTTAGAACATATTGTTAACTAAATAGGCAATACCTTAACAAGACTCATTTATGAAATAAAATTATTATTCTGGGTTACAACAACATATTAACTAAACTACACTAGGTCTAATAATTATAGTATCCTATAAAAGTAATATTAATCACAGTAAAAACAAAACAAATGCTAGTCCAACAACTGCTACAGTACTGCCCAAGCTTGATTTAGTTAGAACACTTCTAACATACAAAACCAGTCCTTGAGTTCAAAAAGTTACAGTACTCTTAACGTAGACAAGAGGCCAATAACATAGGATTCTCGAGTAATTCCTTCAGTCGGTTACTAAACCGTGCCATCGTAGCACCATCAACAAAACGATGATCAGCCGCCCATGAGAAGTTCATTACATTTGTAGGCTTAAGTTCATCATTATGGTCGTATCTTGGTACTTTCCGGATTCGACCAATGGCTCCAATAGCAACCTGTGGTGGAAAGATGACCGGAGACAGATACGTTCCACCAATCTGTAACGTTTTAGTATATACTATATAAAGAAAGTTTCAACATTAATCATGTAAAGTGTAACATATGCTTACAATGCCAATATTAGACAAAGTAAAAGTGCCATGCAGCAGATCGTCCCTCTGGAGCTGTTGCTTTTGACCAGCTTCCAGTAGTCTGTTCAAATCCTCAGCAATCTCCCACATGTTCTTCTGTTCACAATACTTGACGTTTGGTACCACTAGTCCTCCTGGCGTGTCCATAGCCACACAGAGGTTGTGATTGGCCTTGTAGATAATGTTCTTGTGTTCCGAATCAGCTTGAGCATTCAGTTGCGGGTAGTCAGTTAGTGCTACTGACGTTGCTTTCAGAATAATCGGCATGTAGGTTAACTTGATACCTCTTCTCTTGGCTTCTGACTTTAACTGACCTCGTAGAGCGACTAAAGAATCAGCAGTGTATTCATCGTCGTATCCAAAATGGGGAATCTTTAAGGCTTCTGACATTGAGCTGATCATTGCACGAGTGTAGCCTCGTATAGGCACCACTTTGTCTTCTGTTAACTTCGGCTAAAAATTCACATTAAAGTAATATATAACAGAAAAAAAACGTAAAAACCGGACATAAAAATATAAAATTGTAATTAAACTCTCCTTCAATAACAAAACCAAAAATAATAAAAAACCACAATTTAAACCAAGAACGAACCTCAAAAGCCTTGAGAGCAGTAGGAGCACGTTGCTCATGACCTTCCTTTGTCTCCACAACATTCAAGAAAGCTAGTACGTCTTCCTTCAGTACCCTACCATCCTTACCAGTGCCCGTAATCTTCCGTATATCAATCTTGTTTTCTTTTAGCAGCCTTCTCACAGCTGGAGTCATCAACAACTTGGCCGACCGTGAGCGATCTGAATGTTCTGGATGTTTCTGCGACTTTTGTGGAGATGCTGAATCTAAAACACATAAATTCACATTATAAATGTATAATTTATAAAAATTGATACTTAATAAAAACATAAATGATGTACCTTCGTCAACATCTTCCACAACTTCAGAACCGTCGTCATCCACTTCAATGTCAATCAAAGGTGCTCCAACTTTGGCTACTTGATCTATATCATAATATCTAAAATGATTTGCTATACAAACATGACATACTAAAGAGTAAAACGCTCATAAACATAGTATACATAAGTCAATAAAAACTTTAGTACAAAAAACTCAGTTTGTCAACATACAATCGTTTAACCACACCTTCGTATCGACTGGTGATTGTGACAGCCGCTTTGTCACTTTGAACTTCGCAAACTTCGTCAAATTCATTGACCTTATCTCCCACCTTAATATGCCAATCCTTCAACTGTACTTCTGCGATTCCTTCTCCAATGTCTGACAATTTAAACTGCACCAGCTTGTCCAGTTGTGCTAAAACAGCAATATTTTAGGTAACAATTTTCAAAATTAAAAAATGAGCGTGTTGTACTCAAAAAATAGCAAAATAAAACAAATAACAGCCAATTAAATAGTGTAAATGTTAGTATCCTACCTGTCAAACACAAAAGCCTCCTGACCTGATATGGTTTGGTCTTTAATATCCCCAACATAGTGAGGACTCCTCCTGAAACATTTATTGTTTACTTTGTCACCTTAAAGAACAGTAAAATCTTGTTCAGCGTAAAATACAAAAAATAATTAAAATTCAAACTCCAAAACGACTAATTTCGGCGTAAAACGACCAAATTCCCCGAGGAAACGCGCAAAAACAATTAAAATTTTAGCTGAATATAAGGAACAACACTATATTAACAGAGAATAACTTACAAATACTTAAACTGACTACTTTTAACCTAATACACACATTAAAGCGCTATAAAAAACGGTAAATTTTAGGTACCTACAACAAATTTTAAATACCTATTAAACTGAAAAGACATAAATATTCTGTAAATGTACTCAAAAAAATAAAATTACACAAAGAAGAATGAAATTGTAAACCAAAGCTGGACGATTTTCTTCGATCAAAAGCCATCTTTCGAGTGTAATACAAAGTCTATTCCATTTCTCTGATCAATTCTCTTCATTCAGCTTTAGGCCCACGTGGAGACGGCAAAAAACACTCAAAATTTCAAATATTGTTTCGAATGTTTAAAGAAATCTGATAATTACAGAATTAAAAAAATTAAAGCTTTTAATTACTTATTGATACCTAAAATTACAAATTTTCAACAACTGTTAATATTGCAAAAAAACTTTTTGCACAAAATATCTTTAATTAGTTCCCAAACAAAATAAAAATACAGAAAATAGTGATCAAAACAAGTTAAAACAAGATGAACGTTGACTTGAAACAGTCACATAAGTTTTTCGCCATTTCTAATTTTTTTATTTCGTTATTTTGATTGGAACCGTTTCGTCGTATAACATGTCACAAAAATTTTCGAAAAACCCGCGAGAATCATAAACTTTTGGCGGGAAATACACTTTACACGTAGGAATTTTACATACAAAATTTCGTCACACCAACTTCGACTTTTTTTTTAAAAATGTAAAATATTGATATAGACAAGTGTTTGCAAATCGTTTTATTACGTGTATCGTTTAAAGCTTTTTTTCGGAATTTTAACGTGTTGATTTTTCAGTTTTTGAGTGAGGTCCAGTTACAAATTCGACTTGAAAATGACAACCAAGGAGACGCCAAGCGTCCATTGTAACTTTTGTGTAAGTTTTATTACCTTTATTATTAGTTTAGGTGTAAAATTAAATTTTAAATGATTAAATACTTCTTTTTTATGCAAAAGGTACGCATAAATAAAGAACTGCAAGTGTAATGTGTATTATTTTGGTTTGACACCTATAAATTATATCTTTTAGATAATGTTTATGACCAAACAAATTCGTGGTCAACGTACTGTGTTGGAGGTCTACGATGACTGGTTGACAACTACAATGGAGAGTTGTTCTTTGAGCGAGTACCTCGATACTGTTATCGTTCCTTCTGAAGGCGAAAGAGATGAAATCGATGCTAATATTGAAGAGCTTCTGAAAGTCTGCTTGGAAGGAATTGATCGTGTTGGCTTCAAGTATGTGTTTAATTTTTTGTTGATTTTTAGGTAACAATATACGTTGCACATGATAATGAATCTACGTCTTGAAACAATAGTATTATTTACATCAAACGCAAAATTAATCTGAATCAAAGAACATAAAAAGTGTTTTAGAGATCTCCAACCAAAAGGCATTGTTGAATTGGCAGGGTTCTTTACCTTAATCATGGAGTTTTACCGTTCAACAAAGAAGTCTTTCGAATTCTGGGAGAATCTGAGAAGTGCGCGTTTGGTGGAAACCGCTTATGAGAAAGTTACTTCGTCTATGAATGAGGTTGATGACGACGTTAAGAAGGCTTTGAAGGTCAAAGTGCCAACCTTGGGTGAATTCTTGTCGGCCAATCAGACAATTCACAATTTCTACGAAAAAATCGAACAATTGATTGAGAAGTTCAGTGATAAGGAGACTTCTCAGGAATTAATTTCTGAGCTGAACGTCGAGGAGGATTTTATGTTCAATTTTAATGTCGAACACTTCAAAAAGTAAGATTTAACATTTTGTGTTATTTATCTTAGGTAAATATATTTTGCGTATTTTTGTAGTGTTTAACGTTAATAATTTATGGTTTATAAGTAACCAAGGGTTTTAGACTTGCCGATCTTGAAAACGTTTACCTGGAGGGTTTGAAAAATAAAACGGTGGAAGTAAATGTTGTTCAGGACTACTACAAGGTGTTGGCTTATGTTCTTGGAAACATTGAAAATCAAGATGATGCCCTGAAGCACTATCAGTTTCAACCAGAAGCCGAAAAGTTGAGATTTACCGTTTTGGAGGTAAGTGTTCTTATACAAAATTTTCTTCAGTGTTTTTAAAAGTAACTGAAATTTAAATTTATGGCCTTAAAACAACTTGATATTTTACTTTTTTAGGAATTTTACAATTCCGGGGTTGTCAAAGTCTTGAACTCAATCCCGAGCAACGAAACATCCGAAGACTTTTGTCCGTACGTTGCCAAATCCGTGAATCAGTTGTTGATCCTTGCTCCAGTCAGATTCTTGACTACCTTATTTATGAAGCAGGTTAAGAAGCCAGAATTGTCAATGCCGGTTGGTAACGTTTTGAAGAGATGTAGGTTGGGGTTGAGTCAGAAGCTTGATGGAGTCCCGATCTCTGTTTATGTTCTGAAGCACGTATTTGGCGATTTGCAACGAGAAGCTTCTGTCAAGGATCAAACCAGACCCTTTGCGAATTTGCTCAGAAGTTTGTGCAAACAAAGAGTTGATGGTAGGTGTAGCTACATGATTATTTGAACGTTTTTTAAAGATTATTATGATCAGATCTGATTTTTCAATTTTAGCTGACAAAAAAATCTTGGAACCGATTGTATCACCGACCGAAATTATCAAGAACATTGCTTTTGGCTTCTCGGAAAACGAGGAGATTCTGGCTATGAATCTACTTATCTTATCGTACTTCTTCGAAGCACCAGACAACGCTGGGAGGGCATATCCGATTAACTTTGACAAAGAGAGCGGCGATGGCATTGATCCTGCAGTTCTGTTGACTTACGTTGTGACATTACACAAACTGATCGCAAAGAATGTCCAACGAGGATTAGAATTGTCTGTTCCGATAGTTTTGGCTAAACTCGGAGCAAAACTGCATGGTAAGTGTTTAATTTTACAATGTTTTAGAAAGCTATATTACTTTGTATGTTTTTAATTCAAATATTTTAGCGGAGAAGATTATTCTGGATGAACAAGCATACCTGAACCATCAACTGTCGGAATGTCTATGGTCCTTTAAATATTTTGCGGCCAAACATCTCTTCAAGGTGGTGCCAAGCCTCACCTTTGAGATTCCTGCAGTTCTTTACAAGATTCTGCCTGAAGAACAACAGAAGAAGTTTGTGCCAATTAAGTTTGCTGGTCATGAGAACGTTACTGAGATGGAAGACTTTTTGTACAGCGTCGTTGAACTGGCATTACCTGCTCCGGAATTAGCCAAGCTATTCTTTAATGACTTGAAACTTGACCTGAAGATGATCAATAAGGCTGACGATGTGGAATGGAGGGCAGCTTCTGCTGTTTTGATTGCTTCACTAACTAACAAGCGTGTGAAGATTGACGAGTTCCTTGGCTTGATGGAAGTGTTTGGCATTTTGGCAGAGAGACTTGATTGGAGACTGCCTTCTTTGACCGACAACTCGATTGCCGTTCAGAAAAGTGAGTTTCATAGTTTAATTTGTTTATTAGTAAAAAACTACATCTAGGATAATTCACTTCCTCTGTAACATATTTCTTTTAGTTCAAGTTGACGTCGAGCCTATTTTCGTGCTGGGAATGGCTGTTTTGGGGGATCTAGCTAATCAGCGCAGTAAAGTTGTTGGAGACAAGATGGAAGAGCCATGGAATCCTTCAACTCAAAGTTTAATCTATGCTTTATGTCAGCTGATTAACAGCAAAATGTCAAAACTCATCAATCAGTACGAGCCAAAGAAGTAAGTTTTTTCATTGTAATTACAGTCTTTTTTACTTTTTTAGTGTTAGTCTGAAGAACTGTACTCAACATTTGGAAAGTCTGACCACGAAACAGCTCTTAGTCTCGTTGACCCAAATCTTGAACTTGTTGGAGACAATCGATGGCTTGAACTTCTCTTTGCCAGATACTGTGGTCATTACGGCAATCATCATTCAAACGAGGAAGTACATCAACAAACTATTGCCGTGGTCTGCAGAGGAGTTCTCTAATTTGAATATTATGTCTTCGGGCGGCGATAAGAGTGTTTTGAATAAGGGATTTGAAAGTAAGTGAGACTATTTTTAATAAATAAATTTCGTGCTTTACTAACCTGTGGTGTTGTGAAAGTGATGTTTTGTTCATAGTATATTTAGTTTGCTTTGCTTTTTACGTTTTTGCTGTGTCTTCTAGGAGTTTCGCTTTTCGGAAAGCGAGAAAAGTTGGGGCAAAGCCAGAATCAGAGTGCCAATGTATCTGAAGCAGAATTGGTGGAGAAAGACAATGAAGAAGTTGAGGGCAATGAGAGCGAGAATGAAAAGCATGACAACTTGGAGGAAAGTTTGATCAATGATGAACCATCCGAGAATCTTGACTTGGCTTCTGAACGACTTCAAAGAGCGCTTCAGCAAACCAGCACAAGAAACGACGATTCGGGTGTAAATGTTTTTTTGCTTTTGTTGCTTTGGTGTTTTTCGTTTACTAGTTAATGTACTTAACCGTTTGTGATTTTAGAAGATGGATACAACCATTGACACAGTTCCTTTTGAACCTTCTTTGGTCGAAGAAACAAATGACACTGTGGAAATCTTGACTATCGAAGATAAGGAAGACACAGACGAAACTCCCAAAGCCACGGAAGTCAATGGTGGTGAGGTAAGAATTTTTGTAAATTTGAAAATATTCTAGAAAAATGTAAAAATTTTTATTAATATTACAACTTTGGCTTGTAATCTTTTAAAGAACGGCGGAGTATTTTGCCAGAGGGACTTTTGGGAATCTCATCGATAAACACGATACCACCGAGTAGTCGTTTATAAGGAGCACATTTTTCTGAAAGTCTTGTTTGATTCTGCGTTGTGGTGGGCTAAGTTATATTAATACGGTGGTTTTTGTAAACAGCTAGGCTAAAAAGATGAGAATCTTAACAATTAGTCGTAAAAACACGCTTACCAAGTACGTATTTGTCCAACTCTGCTGCAGTCACTGAGTTGTGTTTCTTGACCACGAACGCCTTGGGAACTTCACCAAATTCGGCGTGTGGTATTCCGATAACTGCTGAATCTCTGACTTTTTCGTGAGATAAGAGAATGTCTTCGAGCTCGGCAGGTGCCACTTGAAGACCTTTTACCTTGATGAGGTCTTTGCATCGATCCACGATGAAAGTCCATCCATCTGGAGTGAGGTAACCGAGATCACCAGTGTGTAGCCATCCGTCTTTCTCGATTGTGTCTGCTGTAGCCTTGGGACGGTTGAAGTAGCCGAGCATGATTGTTGGTGAGCGTACTAAGATCTCTCCTACTTTGCCTAATGGTACTATTTCGTTCGTGTCTTGATCGACTATCTTCATTTCGAAGTTGGGAATTAAGAATCCAGAGGCTGCAGGGTTGTCGCGGCCGAACACTGGCAAATGGGAAGCCATACTTGTTTCTGTCATTCCGTAGGCTAAAGTTGAATTGTTATAGATCAATATTTTAAAAACAATTCGCATTACTTTTAAGAGCTTGTTCTCACCTTGTGCAATTTGCTTGATACTTGGGAACTTCTTCTTCAAGGTGTCACACAGTTCTTTTCCTACTGGCGCTGCTCCTGTCATTACGAAGACTAATGAGCTGAGGTCGAACTTCTTCATCAGATCAGACCGAGACATGAATACAAGAATAGGTGGTACTAAACAGATGAATCTAACTTTGTACTTTTGAATCGAATCGAACAGTATTTCTGGGTTGTATTTCCTTATGACAACACATTTGGCTCCATTCCGAAGGAAAGTCCACAGCATTCCAAACCCGTAGATATGGTAGAAAGGCAGGACACAGATGAGGTTTTCCTTGGCGAAGTCCCAGTTTGCATCCATTTTGCCAAGCATTTGTTCGTTGAGAATTCTGAAAGTGTTTGTTATTGAAAATTGCTTTTTTGTATCATGCCAGGGTTCTGGAAATACTTACTTGTCTACACTTCGCACAAGTGTGCCAAAACATCTGTGAGTTAACATAACTCCTTTTGGTGCACCAGTAGTCCCGCTTGAATAAGGCAGTAAGATCATGTCGTTTTCTACATCTACATTTGTGTACATCTCGTGAGTGAGCGGGTTCATAGACAGAATATAATCAAGTGTTACTACATTATGCGGCAATTTTTTGGCTTCTGAGTCAACAACGATGATATGCTGAAAGTAATTGGTTTTTGAAATAAAAATAATCAGTTACTTTCACTAACGGGCAGTCATTTCTGGTTTTGAGTGCAAGTTCTAGTGAATACTCCATACATAAAATGACTTTGCACTTGGCATCGTTGAACTGTTGGCTCAATTCCACTAAAAGCTTGATAAGTTAGGTTTAAAGATTGTGCTTCCTTTTGTTATCGTTGAATCTGTACTTTGTGAAGTCTACCTGTTCATAATAACCTTACCTTCTGTAAAAAGAGGACTAGCGCCACTGAAACATCCTCCACGAGATACTGTACCAAGGTATAGAGCTGCGAACTCCCAGCAATTCTGTAGAACGGCCCCAGCGATGTCTTTGTAGCCAAACCCAATACTTTTCAAATAGGCGTTCACGCAGTAACTGGCATTTAACAAGTCTTGATAGGATTTTGACTCGCCTGTCTCGGCATTAATCTGAATTTTTATTAATTTGATAAGGGTATTGCGTATCAGGAAGTTAATACTGTTAGTTTAAGTGTAGAAACTTACAAAAGCAGTTCTTCCCTGATCGGCGTAGCCTTTAATCACGTTGAAGTACTCGACGTGAAACGGCACATCTGCCACTTTTACTGACTCAAACTCGGACCGCAAATAGCTGCTCATTACGATTGGGAACTAAAGACGAAACCTTGTACTCTTTTTCGCTTTAATATAAATTTGCTCGCATTATTGACCACACATTGATAACATTACACAGGCAGCAATCTAAACATTAGATATGGCGGTAGAGAAGTCGTTACAATTGTTTTGGTTGATAAGATTGATAAATTGTTTTTATGAGGACAAGTACAATGTTTGTAAAGACTGGGTTGTTTATATATGATGGGAACAGTTGCAAACTATTCGAATTGTAGTTTTGGATATTTCTAATGAGGCAGAAAATTTGATTAATTCCAGACAAGGTTAAGAGTACATCTGTCGAATCGATTACATATTGTTTTTTGATTTAGCTATATTATTTTGCTAAAAACTATGTGTGGTCTGGTACGTTCTTTGTAGCCGGTTTAAAAACATTACAACGATTTGATTTAATTTGAGCTGATATGTGCACTTTTATTTGCATCGCTCCAAAATAAGTCTAATGGGTTATTTTAAGTGTTATAGATAAATAAAAAAAAAGAAATTATTATGTTTTAAAAACAGTTCCTAATTAAATAGCCAAAAGCTTTAACTGCATATAACGCATAATTTATATTTTCAGGGCCGATTCACCTCGATGCCCACAGTAGAAAACGTATTTTCTACGGAGGAGTCAGAAACTGAGGAGCTGATCCGACCGCAAGCACCTCCACCATTCGTCGGAAACTTCAGTCAACAACAACCTCCAAGGAACGGTTTTGAAAACGTCCAAGTAATCACGGCTTCTGGAGACGGGAAACTTGATGACGGATTCGGTACTAGTTTTAGCCAAGAAGACTATGGCCAGCGAGACGAAAACAGGAGATTTGGGAAAAGAAATGACGGAGGAGACAGAAGATGGAATGGACAAAGTGGTTTCGGTCAACGCGATGCAAACCGTGGACAAGGCTCTCGCTTCGGTCAAGAATCTCGCTTCGGCCAAGAAAGCGGAAGGAAGTTTTCGTCGGGAAACTCGAACGATGGCTCCGACAATTTCAGAAGATCAAATGAACGCGGAGGATACGGCGCCAGAAGAAATGACAACTTCAGGAACGAGGGTTTTGGATCTACCGAAGCAAATACACGCTCTTCTGGAGGGTTCAGATCCAGTAAATTTGGGAGCGATTCATTTGGCCAAGATTCGGAAGGTACTTCTGGCAAACGTGGTGCCTTCAACGTAAAGGACGTGGGCGGCGTCAGAGGCGGCCGTAGAGGAACCAGTTGGAACTAAACCATCGTTATTGTTTTATTAAATCTATTTTAATGTTGTCTAACTTGACCTCTAAACCCTTTTTAAAAACGGTTGTTTTTTTTCTTTTTAACACATCTAATGTGACCTATATTGTAAAACGGGGCTAATATTACCATAGATCTCTTCATTATGTTTGATCTCAATGTTATTTTTTTAATAAAGTATTACTGGTAGTTTTGTTGTTTATTTGAAATTACTTAATATGACTTCAAAAAGTAATATCAAGGTTGATGAGGGTAAACACTGTATTTCAATAGAAGTGTTGTTTTGATGTTTTCATATAATGTTTGAAGATTAAAATAATATATGACTCGCAAACGAGTTGGAGTTGTCATCAAGGCTCCACACCATCTGTGTCGATTATATCAGTCGTTGCGCAAGTTTCGCTACTAAAAAACTTGTTTTTATGAAACTTGAGAGGAAACAGGCTGTTCGAAACTTGATTAATGTGGAGGGGGATTGGGAGATTATGAAGATACACAACCGAGTTATCAATGAGTAAAATAATCTTTGGGAGAATGATTGGAAAGACATTAAAACATTGTGGAAAGCTGATAGACGTCACAGATGTGAAGACAATCTTCATGTCATCAAGTTAGTTAAAGTGACAACAAGTTGGGAAGAGATCATGGATAAGGTTGGGATGATTTAGAGGTATAAATAGACATGATGCAATCTACATCTTCAGAACATCTTGGTGTTTCCAAAGTAAGTCTTTTACTTAGTAACTCCTTTCCTAGGTTTCAAACGTTCGACTAAAAGCTGCAAAATTATTAAAGTGCTACTTTTTCGAGAACTTTCTAAAAGTTTTGTACATGTTATAGTTTTTAATTATTTTACAAACTCTTATTGCCACTTTAACATCGTACTGTAATTTCAGAATGAGAATCTTCTTCGTCTTCGCCCTCTTCATCGGAGCCGCTTCGGCCTTCTTGTTCCCAACTCCACCAGCTGCTGGAGGTGGCTGCTGCCCACCACCACCAAGCTGTGGATGTGGTGCTCCACCACCACCCCCACCACCGCCTCCACCACCACCACCAAGCTGCGGATGTGCCCCACCACCATCCCCATGCGGTTGCGGAGGCAAGTAAACTCCTGGTCTACGTTGTTGAAATGATCGTTGTCTGTACAGTTTGGAATAAATGACGGTTTCTTAATTTTGAATGTTTTTCGATTTAAATTGTATCCATAGTATTTTATTTTGAACAAATAAGAGTTTTAAAAACATGTATATAGTATAGTAATAGTCGGCATCAGAGATACAGTAAAATGTAATTTCAATTATTGTTTTTAAACTAAAATAAACATTTAAAAAAACAAAGATTTCTTAAAATCTCCTAAGTGCACCTATCAGAAGAAGTATACCTTCGTCAGAAACCAGACCAAATTTAAATCCTCACCCAATAGTTTTGAATAACTCGAAAATCACATAGTGTAAAAGGTAAACTTAAAAAAAAGTAATATAACGCGTTATAACGGCGGGCCGCGGCGGTTCTTTCAATTCAACAATCTTACCGTAACATCGTTTATTTTTAGCTATTCCAAAAACAAAATAAATAATAAATTAAAATAAATATTAACATTAATGTTTAAAATATATTATACACATAAAAATGTAGATTCAGTATACTTAAATCCGCCGTTTCTTCACTATGACTGCTTGAAGCTTCATCGGCGGAGGTCTTTTCGATTGTTCGACTAGCGGAGTTGACATTTTACATGGATTGAACCAAACTGGCGTTGCTGGTGTTGTTACGCCATTGCGTGGTCGTTGTCGATTATTCAACGGTGTCGTAGAAGCAGTTGATGTAGATGCAGTTGCCGTTGAAGAAGAGGTAGATCGTATAAGAGGAGCCACCCTTTGAGCTGGTCGGTCGTGCTGTTGATGGTCGATTATGTCCTCCGATTCAGCGGACATTGTTCTTGCTTAAATGTTGTGTAGTGAATGCGCAAAAAATAAGCTATATTCTTCAAAATTAAATTTCTTACCCAAACATTATTCAACTTAACCACAACATAAAGATCAATTATTATTCAAAAAACCCACCTGTCGAATTTTTAGATTTATTTACAACAACGACAACCGGTTGCCCATTATGACTCCTTACAGGCTTTCCTACACCTTTATTCCTTTCGGTTACAACATTATGCCTGTCGACAACAGCTTCAGACCTCTCGATTACAACTTCAGCCCTCTCAATTGCAACTGCCTGCCTCCCGAGTGAAGATTCAGACTTCTGAATTACGACTTCTGGTCTTTCGATTGCAATTTCAGGCCTCTTGACTACAGCTTCAGGCTGCGCAACAGGTTCCTCGAAGAACAAAGGGGCGTCCAAGCTATTTGGAATTCCAAAATCCAAATCTCCATCCAAACTATCTACATCACAGTTTTCTACGTTGTTGGCTTCTGAAGATATAAATATAAGCTCAAGTTTTCCCTTTTTACTGTCTTAATGTCATTGTAAGTCCAAACACAAAAAACAAGACAAGAAGTAGATAATGCAAACCAAAACTATTATACTTAGCCTAACAGTGTTCAGATTATAACATAAATTATTGTATTATATAATATACCTTCCAAATTGCCTGATTTGTTTATCGTAATGACAACCGGCTGCTGATTAGGACTCATCACCAGCTCTTTTAAAACATCAGACCTCTCGATTGCAACTTCATCCTTCTGAATTACAACTTCAGGCTTCCCAATTACATTTTCAGGTGCTTGGATTAAGCCTTCAGGCCTTTGGATTACAACTTTAGTTCTTTCTACCACAGCAACGGGCCTCTTAACCACAACTGCTGGGCTTTCGATTATAGCTTCAGCCCTCTCAATCACAACTCCAGGTTTTTCAACTACGGCTTCAGTCCTCTCAACCACAGCCTTCGGCCTTTCAGTTGCAACTACAGACCTCTCAACTTCAACTTCAGTTATTTCAGTAACAGCTTCAGACTTCTCGATTACAAAATCAGGCTGTCTGACAAGTTCTTCAATGATCAAAGGAGCGTCCAAACTGTTTTGAATGCCAATATTCAAATCTCCATCCAAACTATCTACATCACAGTCATCTGCCTTCTTGGCTTCTAGCTCTTTACGCATTCGTTCACGTTTCTCCATTTCTTTTTTATTTTTTAAAACTCCATTTCGAACAAAGACTTCAAATGAATCTAAAACAGAATAGTCAGTAAAAATAGTGCAGTTATGAGCATACCTGTCTTTGTAGCCTCAAAATCAGACGAAAGCTCAGTCATTTTTCTAATTCTTTCTAGTTCGGGTGTACCAATGGCTAAAAAATATATATAAAGTATTAAAAAGCACTTATAAAATAAAAAATCAACAGCATAACAATAAAATAGAATAAAACATAACCTACAATTTAAAAAGATAAACCGAAAACCCTAAATTATACATAAAAATCTAAAAAATTACCTAATTTCCTGATAACAGGCAGATTATTAGCTTTTTCCTCTTCTCCCGCCTTCAACAAGATATCCCGTCTAAGTTTGTCAAACTCAAGATCTACCATCTTTACTGTAGTCACTCTTAAGTTCAATGGCACATCCTTCATAGAATCGTCGTTTTCCAGATTCTCCACCTTATACTGTCTAATCTTTGAAGCAAGATTTGGTGTTTCAATACCTGATCTTGGAGGTATATTCAATTTAGGCAACTCCGCCACACCATGTTTTGCCAGAGATCGAAACAAACCATCTACACGTTTTTCCTGTAAAAATTTAAGTGTTTTACATCGCGTAAAAATAATAATAATGAAATAAGCAATACGTTATAGCGTTAATATAAGACTCGACGATAAATTTTATAAATGTTCCTGATCATTTTCCTATAATAATATCAAACATCAAAACTTACAACTTTTGGATCACGACGAAAAATCAACTTGGCATCCTCACAGTTTATTTTCGTTCGTTTTGCATGTCTAAAACATTAAAATCATAACGAAAATAAACCTACGTTTTAAACCTTTCTATATCCAACTTCCACCTGTTCTCCAATGTCCAAACTGCTGTTTGTACCACACGTTCAACCGCTTCTGGAGTGATATGGATATATTTTCCAAATCTCTCTTCAAAATCTTTAGCTTTTAATTGAGCTAAAACCTTAAATGCCTCCAAAAAGCTGTTATCCTCCTGAAATAGGTTTTCAAACTTATTGAACCTTATGATCATGGTTTTTTGTAGCTTCGAAACACATTAGAAAACTTAAATGTAATTTTTGCAAACATATATATATATCAAAATAAAATAAACCTGTGAAACAAAGTTAAATAAAGTTCCAACTTGTGAAAATGTTTACCTCGACAATAGACGATTCTTCGTTTACTGCTCCGTCCATAGTATTTTCTCACTGTAAAATTTTTAAAAACATATTTTTCTAAAATTTGGCGAATATTTTACTTTTTTCAAAATAAATTTGTGCGTCAAACATACTGCAGTCTGCGCTGTGACAAGTTATACGTTAAAGAGGCAATAAATTTTTGCAACGAAAACCAATAAGAGCTAAACTTTTGGCTTTGTGCATTATAGTAAAACAATTTTTGGCGTTCGATAAAATTAAAAATGGAAAATATGTTTTGTGTAGTACATTTATTTGTATAAAGCACGCGATATTATTGATATTTGTTCGTTAATTATGTTTTTATAGTTGTTGATCAATACATTTTTCGAATTTTTAACTTTTAGATGGAGTTACCAGATCCCTTCCTTCCTGGAGCTATTTCTTTGTTGGATCAACTTGATAAACGAATGATGGTAATGCTCAGAGATGGCAAGACATTGATTGGAGACTTAAGGACCATTGATCAGTTTGCTAATCTTGTTCTACATAACACGTTGGAGAGGATTTATGTCGACAGTTACTATGGCGATATTCCAAGAGGAATGTTTCTGATTCGTGGAGAAAACGTCGTACTAGCTGGGGAACTAACGGAAGATGAACCAAAGAGCCTGACAAAGGTACGTTCACTTTTGTCTGTTTTATCTTGGTTTAGGCACTTTAAAGGTCTGACAAAATTGCTAGAACGTAGAATTTGATGTTTTTTCGGACGTTCTTTTCTTTATTTTTAATATATCTTTATTTGTTAAAGGTTTTGTCTTAATATAGTGTAAAATGTCCATTTTCGTATTCAAAATAGATGGTTTTAGGTACCACTTGAGGAGATATTGAGGATGCAAAAGGAGAAACAAGAGGAAAAGGAAGAGCGGGACAAAGCCAGGAGACGTATTCTGTCTGGTCGAGGTAGAATAACGAATCAAGTACAAGACATTTTCGTTGACGAATAAAATATTTTCAATTTGTTATCTTTTCAAAAACGCCTTAAGTAATCTTTTATGTGGCGTATCATCTTGTAAATTGTTTTATTTATTAACTTGAACTCTAAATAAACTGTTAACTTGAGCATCAGGGTTATAATAAAGGTTATTTTCCTATTGGTACTTAATTGAAGGTTTAAAAAGATATATTTTTTTATGTAATGAATATAAATTTAAATATTCTTTATTTGTTCAAAATCAATGCATTATTCTATAGGTTTCGTAAGCATCATAGTTTGGAATCGACTGATCGCAGCGGCCCCGGGAAAAGCCTTAAATTTTCGCATTTTTCAACAGTTTTTGCAACATTCTAAACTTGCAGGTAAGGGAAAGTTTTCAAAAATGACTAGATTCGAGAATGTACTATAGTTATCACAATATAATTAACGTAAAAAACACGACAGACTTTAAATTTTTGATTATAATTATACTTTTTGGGTCTTACAAGCGCATTTCCTAATTTAAGGATTCCTTTTGCTAAAGTAAAAACTTTTTAAAAAATAAAAACCGATTTAACTCATTCCAATTCAAAGCTATTTTCCACTTGCTCTGCCACGTCAAATCTCCGTTTTTGGTGGTCAGACATCATCCGCATATCTCTGAATAAGGCGTCTTTATTTTCTTACTTACATTCTTTTTTGTGTATAACATATCTTTGATTCCTATTTGTTTTTTATGTCTGGCTTTGGGTAACTAAAGAACCGTCTTTAATTTTCTTTGACAGACAGTTTGCAGCTTTTTTGCGAACTTAGGAAACCCAATCGGAAAGAAGGTTTACTTTGAATTTAGACTTTAATCGTCGCATAATTTATTGGTTAGACTAATTTTGTTGCTTTTTAATAGTTTTATCTAAATGAGATTAAATTCAGATTTCAAATTACAAATTTATCACTACCAATATCATATTGATGTTATCAAATTGTAAAATTTCCAATTTTTCTCAGAAACATGCAAAAACTTTCTTTACAACCATTTGTCACGTTTTTCATTTTTTGTGTCAGTGGTTACTGATAGCTTTTTGTTATCACAAACTACTTACATCGACTGAAAAGAAAAACTTTAGCACTTGAACCAAATTCTAGATAAAGAGACGTGGTGTAGACGTGGTTCTTTTTGCGGAGGGCTTTGCATATAAATCGTTTATTTTGATCATTTATGGTGTTTTTACAGGTGTATATATATATGTCGTTAGTCGTGGTCCATAAAACAAATTAAAACAGTTTGGAATGGGGGTTCTTTTGCTGTTTCTGTCTTTTAATAATGAGGGTGGACAATTTTTAATTTTATTTATTTGGCTATTGTTAGTTGTTGTCTAATTGAAACTGTTAGTTTTGTAAACATATGTAACTACAACTATTTATACGCGTCTTTATCACATAATTTAAACTCTTTTTAGTGAAGATCTTACAACGTATGTAAACCCTATTATAAAATGCTAATTTACAGGGCCCTGCAGGGTTTTTTACTTAAAAATAGAAACAATTCTATTGAAAAATCTGGCGAGAAGAGTATTTTAAACCTAGAATATGTGTATTTTTGGAGAAAAATGCCAGTTTTTAAACATTCGTTAAAAATTTCAAATGCACTTTAAATTTTTTTCACAAAAAATATATATTTGTTCTTCTATCGCCACGCCAAATTGGGTACCATTAACGTCTTTCATCGGTAAATTAAAAAAATTTTAAATCCGACAAATGTCTTGTAACATCGTACTTATTTTCAGCACGAAAGATGTCGACGGAATCCACGGGGCCACGTAAGCATAATGTCGTGTTCGTATTGGGTCCCCCAGGTAGTGGCAAAGGCACTCAGTGTGCCAAGATCCAACAAAATTTTGGATTCGTTCATTTGAGTGCTGGAGATCTGCTTCGTGCTGAACGGAAAAGAGAAGGATCTGAGTTCGGAGAGCTGATCGAGACCCATATCAAGAACGGCAGCATCGTGCCGGTCGAGATCACCTGCAAGTTGATCGAAAATGTAAGTATATTATTGGTTTTATACAGGGTGGCCTTTGCAGCTAATCGTTTTCGGTTTTTAATCACATTCCGACCAAACCATGTCTTTAAATTATTTTTTGACCTATATTACCAATTTGCAGGCCATGCTAGCGTCGGGAGATGCCCAAGGTTTCTTGGTGGACGGATTCCCTCGCAACAAGAACAATCTTGAGGGATGGCAAAAGGAGATGAACGACAAAACCAAAGTTCATTTTGTACTGTACTTGGCCGCTCCGTTGGACGTTTGTGTTGGCCGATGCTTGGGCCGGTCTGAAGGCCGTGTCGATGATAACGAAGAGACAATGCAGAAACGTATCGTTACCTACAACGAGCAGACCATGCCCATAATCGACTACTATAGGGGACTAGGACTCGTTAGACAGATTTCTTCCGAACCAGGACCGGATGAGGTAGGCCTTTTTAAATCTTTAGGCTTGTGTAAGTTTTCGAAATTAAGGGGTGGTAAAACTCGGAAAAGACACGCTATATGTTGTATACTTTTTGTTTTCAGTAATAGGTAACATAATAGTGTGTTTTGTTGTAAAATACAGTTCTCTCAAGCGTGTGATGGTAAAACTGTGATTTCTAGGTCTTCGTAAGCGTAGAAAAAGTTTTTACCGAAGCCGGGTTCAACTCACAGTAATGGCTTTCGTCAGGTTGTAATCTTCAAGTAATTGGTTGTGAAAAATTAACTTATAAATAAATTATGACATCTTTTTTGTATGGAAAAAAGCTATTAAAACAATACAAACAGGTAATCAGTACGATGCCTTCTGTTACACATCTTTCCTTACCATCACAATAAAAATTCATTGTATTAGGTTTACTATGAATTCAATTATGACCAAATAAGTGTTTTTAAATGAAGAACCATACTCAAAGAAGAAATGATAGATAGTGTTTATTAACATGGATAGCAACAAGATTAGAACATATACAAGTTAGGTTACACAGATTTATTAGAATTATAAATTACTCTTCGACATTAACAACTTCCTCCTCATCAGTAGCTTCTTCGTCAACGACCTCTTCGTGTGCTACGTGGTTTATATCAACTTCTTCATCATTGTTGCCGTTGCTTTCTTCAGCATTAACAACTTCTTCACCAGCAACAGCTTCTGGTCTTCTGTTAATAGTGATGCCGGAGTGAATCGATTTGGCAGGGCCAGGATAGAAGACAGCCTCATTTCCGGTCGGGTAGGGGTAGGGATTATCTTGTATGACAATAGTGGCACCAGTTGAGACTTGATGGTATCTGTTGTCGCTCAATTTGATCAGGTCGCATTCATACATGAGTTTACTGCGTAACTCTTTCCTGGGCTTCTTAAATTCCTCCCATGATTGTGGTTCTAGCTAAAATATTACGATTATGTTATAAAACTAAATATACTTTGACTAAAAAAATGACTAATCGATTTTTATCATCGCTCAGCTAATTTCATACTATTTAAAGTCCTTGAAAGTAGCAAATCTTATTAAACATACTTGCTCCTCAGCTTGCATCTCACCCAAAGTCTTGAATCTGCTGTTTTCGACTGGTTGTTCTTCTTCTTCATCAACAACTTCACCATCAATCTCGACCCAGTTTGTCAAATAGAACAGCTTCTCCACTCTCATGAACTAAAACATTATGTTATTGTAAATACATTATTATGTAAATCAGCTAATCTTCTTAAAAAGATATCAACTCACGCGAGTGTCATATCTATTGAAAATCATCAAAGCATCGTCTTTGTCAGGTCTAGTCTTGCGCGCATGTCTGAAAGTACCATTTAGGAAAAAAATGGTAAAAGAAAAGGAGGTCATGACAACATTAAAACAATCGTAATAATCGTAAATACTTACTCGCTGAATCTGGCCAGATCCCGTCTCCACCGTTTTGTGACAATGTTCTCAACGAATCTGGCAGCTCTTTCCAATGCGCCGATGTTCAACACAGCCGTCGCCCCTGTCCTCCTTTTGTATTGGTGCGACTTTGCGGAGGCAACCTTCCTCAAAGCAGCAAACAAGGGACTTACTTCCTAAAACACAGTAATACTAACATAACAAATCATTTACTCTGTATAGCGTAAAGTAATCAGTAATATTACCCTAGAAAACAAAAAGACAAACGATTCCCCAGCCCATAATTTAAAATGTTTGAATAAAGGTAATTCTACGTACTCTTGGACCGAAATTGGCCAATGCGCTGCGAACTGTCATATTGGAAAAACTTACATCACGCAGTACCAGTTCGAACTCGTTACTGTCCGGATCGGGTTCCTCTGAAAGTATAATTGATGTAGGTTCAGGTTTTAAAGTGAGCTAAAGTTCATAATTCAAAAACAAAACGGTTAAAAACCCTAAAAAGTAAATAAAGCTAGCCTCTGGGTGGTATCCAGGTAGGGCCAACGTTCTGACGAATGAGTCTTCTGTCATCGACAGCTGCGCCCAAAAGCGATCCTTTACTTGGATCTCCAGCCTGTGAAAACTTATAATTTTCAGCTTTGTTCCCGTTATTCAACACGGTCAATACCATCAGGATTCCGACCAGAATGGTGCCGATAACACATAGTCCCAAGAAGAATTGGGTGCTGGATTCCGGAAGTTGACGTAGCTGTTCTGCCGAGTGAATTTGTAGACCTAAGGGCTTTAGAACTTCTTGGGTCCTTGGAGTTACGAGGAGAGAAGCAACGTCAAGAACGGTGGCTGGACAATCTTCGTTTGGGTTGATCTGTTTCAGTTTGACACATTCTAACGTGTTCACTTCTAGAACCATGAGAATTCCATCGAAAACAGCGCCGAATCTCTCATTAGAATCTGAAAATTAACAAAATTGTTTTACGTACCGAAGTGCATTTAAGAAATATAGAAAATTATCGCTAAAAACCGTCTCAACAGAACTCACAATTATCCTTCTGGTCCAGAACATCTTGATCAATAAGATCTCCCTTGCCGTTGATCGAATCCCACTGGTACAACATCGCTTTGCCTCTTTGAGTCCTTCCCAACTCAATCTGTGCCTTTGTTTCCTCATTCAGCCTATCCAATATGAACTTTGACTGCTCGAAGACGTGGCTTACATTTCCAATCATAACAACAATGACAGTTCCTCGAGATGAAGGCGAATCGTTTTCTAAATGAAATTCAAGATTCTTGAGCTCACAACGTTCCCCTATGTAGCCAATGGGGCAAACACATCTTGTAGTACCGAGTTCATAGTCGTCTACGCAGCGCCCATTACCACACATTACCGTGTCACATCGAGATACGTTCATCTCGCACTCTCGACCAACACAGATTGGAATCTCACAGAATTTACCGCCATAACCAGATTTACATTGACAATAGTAGTCGCTAAAAATATGAACCTTTTGAAAAAAATTATGAGAACATTAAAACGCGTCATCAATCTATAAAAAGTTATGACAAAACACAGAAACACCGTACTTCTTACCTACTACAAAATATTCAATAAACCAACTTACTCATATAACTGATTGGTAAGACAATATCCGTTACGCCCACAAGGCTGGTTTGCACAGGGATCCGGCTTCTCAATTTCACAATATTGACCATAATGACTGTTTGGGCATAAACAGGTCGAATTGTCACAAACACCACCATTTTGACAAGGAAGTTGGCAACTCGACACTTTTACATTACAATTGTCCCCGATGTAGCCTGAAAATGCAAAATAAATAATATAAAGAAGATATCACGTCCAAATCATAACTTTTACTAGAACCTATTACAACAAAACAATATTAAAAGATAAACATCAGCTAGATTCCCTAAAAACCTTTAAAGTAACAAAACAAATTATAAACAAACCATTATAACATGCACAAAGGTATCCATTTTCCTGTTCAATACACAAACCATGCTCACAAGGGTCTTGATTACAGTAATATCCATTTCTCCTCAAAGTGTTACCTAAAATAATATAAATTATCCTACATCAACAAAACCATAAATATAACAAAAATTTAGTAAAAAATAAGTAAAAAAAAACTTTATAAATTAAAAAACACCAAAACTTACCCCAACATCCAGCTACAATTGCGGAAAAACATAATATACGAATTAACATGTTACGTTATCAAATACGAAGTGAAACGTTAATTTTCAAAGATTAAAAAGTTAAGAAATTGAGTTAGATGGGAAGATCAGTTAGTTACACACACAAATACCTTCACAATTCCCTGGGAAACTGATTCTCAGAATTACAATTCCAGGATCTGCTTTCGACCTGCGCCCAAAAGGAGATCAGAATTTGCAACCTGCAGGGACCTTTTATACGAAAGGGCATTTTTAAATAATATTTTATGGTGAAAAGTAAATAAATATTACTACTATAGTAAATGTATCTACAGCCTTATTACGCTCCCATAAATATTTATTGGCAATATCTATTGTAATCCATGTTTCTGCCAAGTATTATTGAGTCTCTGGAAATAGGCATCAAAGTCGTCTTGTTGAATGTACTTTCGCCCGATTTCTGGCTTTATCAACGCACTATTGCTGTCTGTGCCGTTCAAAAGCTGTCTGAAAAGAAAGTGCTGTAACTTATGATTCATTCAATAAAAGAATAACTTGAACTCTTGTCTTACTATAAGGAATGACTAGAGTAACACATCTAGAGGGCCTTATAAGTTAATTTTCAGGTTATTGTTTGCTCTAAGGTTCTTTAATGATTGGCTTATTTAAAGGAAACCTATATGCCTCTATAACTTGACTTACTCAAAGCGAAATTGCAGATGTGGATGACTTTTGATGAGTAATAAGGGACAAACAAGCGTATACGAAGCGAACAACAAGTCGTATATGTTGGACACCAAACGCCATTCGTACACCATTCCACGTGGCAGAAGTATGGCGTAGTTAGAGAACAAAGTGATTGTTTCCAGTAGAATTACAACGATAAAGAAGTAGGACCATCTTCTAAACATACGAAGGGTTCGTATGTTCTCGACTATCTGGTACCGTGATGACAATGACTTTGACATCTCGGGAAGTGAGTGATATTGGTGTTTGTTCCATTTTTCCATCAGATATAGTGATACGAATGGCAATATGAGGCTGGCTATTATGGTAAAAAGGATTTCTAAAACGTGCTATCTTGTTTAGTGGTATGTAAAGTAATTTTTCATTAAAATTTACCCAACAACTAGACTAATGTAAATGATATTAAAAAGAATGTAGTGCAACTTACGTTCAAATGCTCCCAATCCACCGCATATGACCCACTGAAACATTGTTTTAAACTTATGTAATAAAGTGCTAGGCTTGTTTTATATAGCTGGCTGGTAAGAATTAAAAAAATTAACTTTAATATTTTTACTGTAAAATTACAAATATACGAACATAAACAAGTAAGAACCTACCCAAACAGCCAGTACGAAGACCCCACCAAATAGACTGTGTTCTTGGTACTTCGACGAAAACTTTGTTGCCACGGCTCGTTCCATTAGAATATTGACGTATGCAAATTTTACACATATTATGAAAATACCACGTAACGTGTTGATCTCAGTTTTTTGTTGAGCATTGAAAATACGATCGAATAATATTATGTTAACTGTGATTATCAAGCGGATTATAGCCTATAACTCAATAAGTTAACTATACTTTTTAACGAAATAGGATAATAATATTGTTAGAAGTTCAAATGAAGAAGTTTTTTAATGTCAAGAATAGCCAAACTACAATAATATTGTTTAATTTTTAAAATTTTTATGTAAACTTACCCCAATTACCATAACAACAGCATTATGAGCACAAACCAATTTGAAGTTTTTGTGAAAAGTCGAGGTTTTTATGACACAAATGACAAAAATGGAGTTTGACAATATCGTAGATACATGTAGAAAGATCTCGACCAAAAATAAAACTATTCGTAACCCATCAGGTTCATCTTTCTGCGACAATCTTACGGCATATGTATTACTACTAAGGTTCATCTGTGAGTATTATGGCATTACTAGAGAAGGAAAAATATTGTTTACGTTACTGGATTCATAAATGGCATCAGAACTCGAAATAATGCTGCTAATTTAATGTAAAACAGCATATATACTCGGGTAATATTACATATTACTACATATATTACAAACAAAAAGGGGGAAAACAATACGTATGTATAATATAAAAAGTGAAAATACGATAAAAATCTTCAGTTATAATCTAATATGAATGTAACTTAGACACTCAAACAAAATAAAGCATAATCCACCCCTTTATATGACCACAAAGGTTCAACACAAGGACAGTTACTTACTCCCTTAAGTGCTTTAAATGTGGCCTAAACCGGAAATTACAAAAAGCTCCAGAAGTCAAACTTTAATTTACGTTGAAAGACCAAAAACATGTCAATAATGTTATGTCATAAATATCGCCAAGATCAATGAAAGGGCAAACTTTATCTAATTTAACCCACACTTGGTGCAAAGCTTTTATGCTAATTGTCTAATGCTTAGTTAGTACTCGCGCTAAATTTGAGTCCTCTTTTTGTTTGGCTAGGCCAAAAAACATAAATGAGGAATCTGGTGGGTTTGCTTACACGTATTTATCGTGATAAAATAAAAAATATGTTTATAATTTAAGTAATTGTAAAAAATATTTTATGACGAGGGCGCGATGAATTTTAAAAAACGTAGGTTTACAAAACGTGTTCTTGTATATGTATCTTCTGTAAAACACGGCTTTTTTAATTAAATTTTACCGTTTTTGCTTGCATTTTAAAATTTTTTTTCTATTTAGAATTTTTAATTATAGAATGGCATACACTTGCAAAACTTAAAATTTGGAAACAAATAGTAAAATATCACACACATTTACCATTCCTACTTTGACATTTGTGACTGATTAACATCTGTCAGCTTGCAAGAACGATACCAAAAGTATTGACGGGGATGGTAGTGAGAGTATGACAGGGGATGTGCTAATTTCTTAAAAGATAAGATTTAAAAAAGTATGAATGTGATGTAAAAAAATTTTTTTTTATTTTGCTCCAGAAAAACTAAACATTACAGCGCCGCCCGACTTTATACAGGCTTAACTTGCAAGTTAGACGTTTTACTAGTAAGTTGATATAGATACGAACTTCCTTGTTTATCCACCACTTACATGACTAACCACAACTTCTTATGCTTCTTAAAATTAGCATAAGTAACAATTTAACCTATTATATATTATAGTAAACACATATATATTATGCATTAACACTTTCAATGCCCACTGACAGGGACGTCGCTACGGTTTTTCTCTGGGGGGGGGGAGGCCCAAAAAAATTTTTTGGTCCACAGGTAGCAGCTACCTGTTTTCGAAAATTTTTTTTTTCGTTTTTTCACGTACAGTTACCTACCTGTGGATTTTTTTTCGGATCGGCTCTGGGGGGGAGTCACCCCGAACCACCCCCCAAACGACGTCCCTGCCCACTGATTATACCAAACGTTAGAAGCACCGTCAACCTTTAAATACTATCAAATTATATAGAACTTGCATTCTACATTATGTGAACCTCATATTCTAGGTATTTTTTTAAAAAAACATAATTTACTTTATAGTTGTTTCTACACGATACTATTGTTTATATGACAATGCATATCAGTATATTACCCACTTATTCCCACAGTAGACACACGGTCTTCTCAGTAAACAATTAAAATAAAAGAAAGCGAGCACGTGATGGAGTGTGTACAAAACTGATAAAATAAATGAGAACATTACTCTCCAAGCAAAGTTATTAAACAATTATGTCAGTTGTATTCCAGACAACTTTGCCATTGTAATAGCCACAACAACAAGCCAAAGCAAGCTACTCTGTTAATGTAATTGTCTATAGTTACTTCAAAGCAAAATTCAATTATGATTTTTTAAGTATTATAATTGTCGTCAACCTAACTTATAAAGTATATTTATACCGAACATCTGCCTTAATAAAAAACAGTTAAATAATAAAACTGAAAGAAACTAAAGGTATTGCAACACTCTTCGAAAGGCTACAATAACACGAAAGATACCATATGACACTTTTGGACTACATATCTAGTTCAGTACCATAAAATTACTTCTTTAGATATTTTAAAGTAATGATTAAGTTTACAATCTATTATGTCTCTTAATTGGTCTAAAAAGGCTTATGGTATCTTCTTCAAACGTAACCTTCACAAAGCCTGCCACAGTCACACGGACGTTTGAATCGGAGCAATAATAACCTGTAGATGAGTGGGATCGTTGATATCTTCAGACGCCTTCTTGAATCCAACCAAATGTGCCGTAGCATGGTTGGGCAGAGACTCTGAAGCAGCCCGAGAAGCCCTAACATTGCGAGCCTTCAGACAACATCGTATTTGAGGATGGTACACCAGACATACGATGGGGAACGCCAAAAAGTAAAGAAGTACACACGCGTCAAACAAATATATTACAACTTGAGATACGGTCGATTCAATCGGGTCTCGCATCCCGACCATGTAGAAGATGGCGTTGATTATCACTGCTGAGCCACAGGTGTAAACTACTAAAAATTAAACGGTTAATTCATTTTTTAAGTTTAACTTGAAGCTTCAATCTAGATTCTAAATGAAATTATATCAGAAGCTAAGAAATTATTATGATAAGTTTTAGTAAAAAATAAAAAAAAACTTACAAAAAGTAGGAAATACAGTATGATACATAACCCGTTTTATGGAAAACACTACTTCGTTGCGTAGCTTCTCCTCCATGCTAATAAACCGCTTCAAAGTCCGCCGTACTGTGAGCCATCGACCAGAAATGGTGAGTAAAAAGAAACACTAAAACATATACAATATAAATTTGAAGTATAAATTATAAAAAAAGTCGTAAAATCACTGTATACTTGAAACTAAATTTTAACAAGATCCAAAACTAGCTTCAGAGCATCTTTATAAATCCTAGCTCTAGCTCCAGGTCCGGAGCCCGTGGGTACTCTGATATCAACCACAAAGAAACTGAACTCACGCTGACTTGAAAGGCGCCAATAACCAGAAAGACGATGGTCGCTGACACGTAATGGAACTCTGTTCTTACTATAGTTTCGTTAATGTGTTTTTGGCACGATGGATAATAACCAATATCATCAGGATGGACAAATGCCATTAACCGAAGGTATAGATATTCAGCAAACGCTATTAAATACTAAAAAAGAGCTTTAATTTGTACAACAAAATAAATTTTGCTTCACATGAATATAAAGCTTTTATAAGTCAAATTTCGTTTTTAGGTAACAAAAAGCATAGACAATAGCAAAACCAAGCCTCCCATTACCAAGTAAGCTTAAAAACTTACAGTACTAATAATGATTAAGTACGCTACCGAATGGTAGTTTTCAAATAGTGTCTTCTGAACCGTGTGGTAGATAGAGTCGTCATCATCGTGCCTAAACTCATCCGAAGATAAAGGCTCTAAACTGGTTCGAATCTGTTGAGAGTTGTCTTTTGGTGCTGAAAATTTAAATTAAAATTTTAAAAAATATATTTTTTTAACCTCTAATTTAAAAAATCATAAATTAAAATTTAACTTTAAGACTTACACTGACTGCCGAAACTGCCAATCCCATCAATCGGCGTTCCCAACGGTGACGGAAGCGGATCGTGTGCCAGACGCACGGTGCGACGCTGCGCGTTCCACGAAGCCGAACGTCGCACCAACGTGAATCGCCGTTCTTCCGCTTCTTCGGCGGACGTGGAAGAACTGCTCGGACTCGAAGGTTGATGTGACAAGACATTTGGGGCTGAATGGGAGTGGAAGGGCCGAATTTTATCAGGAATTCTGTAAACGATGCCAATTTCATTTTATCAGTTTGGAGATAAGACAAATAAACAAAGTTCACGTTACTTTAGGTATAAAAGCGTAATCAAATTGAAACATTCCAAGTCTAGAACGATGTTAGAACTATTTTAAAAGATTTTTAATTAATCATAAGTACATAAAATGACAAAACTTGTTGTAAAACCGCTGATAACATTTACATCACCTTTATCACAACTTGAAAAGGTCGAAAACATTAAAATGGAAATGCTTGAATTAATCGAAAAAGTTTAGTCAAATAAAACTGACTCACAATGAATAACATAATGTTTTCTAAGTATTCAAATTTCAGCCAAACATTATATAATATTCCAAGGGAAATGTCTCATGTGTAATATAAATAAACATTAAGTTTCCAACGTAATTATGGCTGGTCAAAGGGTAGATACTTGGCTAGAAAAGTAGATAATCTAGAAGAAGGAAGGTCCACAAAAGATAATGTATAATAAAAAACAATAAAATTTTAAAAATCTATGTCAAACAAGTTCAATATACTTTGCGAACCAAAGAATTTAAATATTAGAATTGTGTTTGCTAAAAACTTGACATTGTTCATAGTAATCGGCTTTTCACTTTTAAACGTTTGGAGAGGCTTGAAAATGCACCTGGATTGTAGAAAAGCGTGCTACGAACATGTAGCTTATGTTTTCGTAAATTAAAAAATTCTAAATAATATAAAATAAAAAAAAGTATTATTCCCAGACATTTTTTAAACGTTTTTAAATTTCACACCAGCTGGTCCGAAACTTTATAGAAAAAACACAACAAAGACCAATTGAAATCTTGCCGTAAAGTAAAGTCTTGAAAGTACATAACGCTTGCTTACGATTTAAACCGCATTATTCAGCTGAACAAACATACGATATACGTAAAAACAATCGTATTTCATGATTCCTAAGCCGATATAATTGAATACATAATCTGACACGTAAAGACAAAGCAGTGTTTCGTGGCAAAACGTATATATAGAATTCTTATTTTTAACCTCATTTACTGTAATATATAAATACATTTTTCACGTGGCTAAGAAATTACATTATTACCAAAAAAATTATGAAAACCGCAACACAATCGTAATATAGTTTGTCACAAAAGAATATACTATAGTTTCCATAGCAAATATATTATAATTGAAGTCCGTTCCGTCTTTTCGTATTCGCGAGCGACGACCTTTGCTTCTCGGTCATTCTACTATATCTACATCATTCGAAATGTGCGAAAGGACAAACAAATGTTGTCCACTACGTACGGAAATGCTTTTCATGCTTTTGCCGCTGACATAATTTAAAAAGGCGCGGGCGAGATCACCTTTGTGGTGGAATATGTAATATCTGATGTTATAAATCTTCTATTAAAGTTTACAAGAAAGGTACCCAGTCTGCACTTTAGAAAATAGCATTAGGATATAACCTTTAAAAGCATCAAATTTAATTTAACAGTTGATAAAAAAACTGTAACTCAAAATTACATTTTTTAAATAAACTTCCCCCTTAAAACTAAAATTGGTTCCGCTTCTGTAAAAATAAAAGTATAAACCATAAAACTCAAACCTTAATTTCCTATAATTACACATGCTATGTTTATCACCTACTTAACTCTCAACACAATTTAATTAACTAATATGCTGTTAATGCCAAAAACATGCTATTGTAGACACGTACGTGCCCCTTCTTCCAACTTGTGCCATGGATACGTTGAGAAAGAAAAGAGCTTTCTCTCACCCAAAGATACAAACAATGTCAAAGAAGCCATAAACCTGGTATTAATAACACTATATGTAAACGTTTTATCGAATTATATGTTTGGCATGTGTTGAAAGTAATTTTATTGCTGTAATATGGTTTCCGAAACATAAATTATTAGGTTGTCCGGAAAGTTCTGCAATATTTATTCACTTTTGAACTAACAATAATAACAATATAATTAACAACTACAATCAATCAAAGTAATTACCGTCTGAATCAATACAGTCTTGCCAACGATTTACAAGCTTTTTTATTCCACGATTGTAGAATTCCGGGTTTCTGGAGTTGATGAAGTTCTTGAAGGCATTCTTGGCATCGTCCGGAGTTTTGAAGATTCTTCCATTAAGAAACGAAGACAAGTGTTTAAAAAGGTGAAAGTCCGTTGGAGCCAAGTCTGGAGAATAAGGAGGGCGCTCCAAGACTTCGTATCCCAGTTCCCTGAATTTTGCCACGGTCTTCTTTGCAGCATGGGGCCGTGCGTTATCCTGCAGAATGATCGGACCCCTCCTTCTGACCATTGTTGGAAGATTGTGCCGCAGTTTGTCAATCTGGGCACAGTAGGTGTCGGCCGTAATACTTTGGCCAGGTTTCATGAAATCGTACTGGATCACTCCAGAGCTACACCACCAGACAGTCACCATAAGCTTCTTTTCGTGCAATTCTGGCTTCGGAACGGGCTTAGGAGCTTCTCCACGCTTACACCAACTTGTAGATCTTCTAGTATTGTTAAACGAGGTCCACTTCTCGTCAATAGTTACAATTCGATCCAAGAATTCTTCGTTTTTGCAGCGTTGCAGAAGCTTTTCGGAAGCACACCGTCTCTTGGCTTTTTGCAGATCAGTCAAATTGTGAGGCACCCATTTGTCCAACTTTTTGACCATACCCATTGCCTTCAAATGATCATCAATGGTACTTTTTCCACAGTTTAGTAACTCTTCTAACTCCCGGATTGTAATATGTGGGTCATCTTCAATCTTGCGCCTCAGGGCATCTTTGTCAAGTTTGCTGGGTCTTCCTGCACGTGGTTTGTCTTCAAGCTTCTCATCGTCCACACGAAACTTTGCGAACCATCTGGTCACCGTAGAATAACTCACAACATTCTTACCCTCATTTTCGTTTATGATTCTGAAGGTTTCTGCCGCAGTATTTCCGCGTTTGAATTCATTCCATATAATCACGCGCAGGCGAGATTTCCATTTTTTTCTAATACCTAAAACAATACAAAAAAATGAAATTAAGTTATGTAACTTACCTTTTTGAATAATTTAGGTAACAAACAAACAAACAAAAAAAGAATTTTTTCTTTCCGTCAAGAAATAAATTTTTCCTGATTTTTCAAAGTTTACCTACTCAAATATTGCAGAACTTTCCGGACAACCTAATATATACCTTTAAAAACAGTATGCTACAAAAACAATCTTACTTTTCAGGCGATATACCCGTTGATCCTACTACTACTACCCAACTTTTTTATAGCATTAGCGTATCTTGACAGGTCGGAAAACCGGCAAACCAATTCTTACATTGCTTCCATGTTTGTGCAAGTGATGCCAATGTTAAACATGTTTACTGTCATCCTTCTTATACCATCGTATTACCATGAAATCTTCCGAAGACGTCGAAAATTTGTAGCTGCTAGTGAAGTTAATTTTGTTTCTCAAACCTTTAATTAAGTTAGTACAATAATTTAATACGTAATTGATAAATAAGTGTAATAAATACTTTAATGTTATTTCAACAATTAACATAACCAACGATACATGAGATTGAAAAAGTTTATTTCCAGCATCAAAGACAATATTTATTCATTAAATCTAGCCTTCAGTTTGACAGACTGAAACTTGGAGCAAGAACTCCAGTATTCCTCAAAGTTGGGGAATGCTTCGTCTCCTTCTGTGTACTCAATCATGAACTTGTTCTTCTTCTTCCGTATCTTGGACAAGTCTCTGATCGGCTCCACCATTGCTGCCAAAACCTGCATAGCTCGGGGATTGATGCAGGAAAAGTTTGGTCGTACTCGAAAAGGGATAGGATTGGTCACCATAGCCTTGATATACATGAACTTGTCCGTGTTGTTAATGACACAAATCGCGGCTGTCACAATATCGTCAAAAGGTCCTTGAAAGACGAGCTCTCGGTTAGGTTCGACGATAATGCCATCGTTGCTAGTCGGAACGTACTCGTCTTCTTTCAGCTTCGACTTCTCTTCGCCTTCTAGTAGCAGTTTCTGAAAATTATTTTTAAAAACAAATTTAAAAAAAATTTGTCCGCTAACTAGGGAATTGCACAAAATATCCCTCGGCTTTTTGAACGAGACCTATATAGGATGAAAGAGCATAAACAGTTACCGGGAGAAATTTTTTCAAAAACTGCTAAGTAGACTTGGCCCTAGTAAATAAAAAACGACCCAAAATCTGTAAAAGGAAGACTTGACGCAAAACTTCACAAATTTATCGAGAAATTTCTTTTACACCCTTCTTAAAATCCATCTTTTACACCGAAACTCCAACTTACAACGGCTACACGGACACAGTTTGGACGTTCCACTTCCTTCCAGAAATCCTTCTTGATGGTCTTGCTCTTGCACGGAGTATTTTGGATTAAGATGCGATGGTTCTCCTTGATGGCCGAATTCAAGTCCTTCAGAGGTTCAAGTCTAATGGTGGCTTGCTCTGATTCTCCTGGATAGAGTGCTCCTTGTTTGCCTCGAACTCGATAATGTTGAGGAACCGAGGCCATCACCTTATATGCTACAATACTATGGCTGACGTTGGTTATTTTCACATTGACTAGTTGGGGCTTATCGTACGGATCTAAACGTAAGATTTCTTTATTTTTTACAAATTTATTTTAAATCTTTACAAAGAAAGTTTACTAAAAACGGTATTTAGTTGATGTAGATATAGGAAAAGTTCGAACAAAAGCTTACATGTAAAAACAAGTTTTTCTGGATCAGTTACCAAACTCTTGATTTCACCTTTGGCTAAATTCATCTCAGGCTGTTTCTGCTTTCCTTTCCAGGTAGTTTTTTTCTGTGGAGTTTCAGCTTTCGGTTCAGCATCTGATGGTTCTTGTTTGTCAGCGTTTTTTTCTAAAAAAAAACAACCTTTATTTCTTTTGTATAAAGTACAACAACAGTGTACTATGAGATAAACAAAACTTTAATTTTTTATATTAGAACCTTTAAATTTTAAAATCTTTGAAACCTTACCACTAGGCTGTTGTTTCTCTTTTTCTTCTTCTGGTTCTACTTTAGGTGTTTTTTGTTTTTTTATCTTTTGTGAAACATCCTTTCGACTCTCTTTTATCTCTTTTACACTAGTGTTTTTAGCTGGACTGACAGCAGGTTTAGGCTTAGGTTTAAATGAGTGAGCCTTGTACACTTTGACACTTTTGTCCTTTTGTTTTTGGACTGGACTTTCTGCTTTGGGAATTGGTTTGGCGCCGATAAAGCCTGAGGTGACACCTGGTGCTGGAGCTCCAAGGAAACAAGATTCTTGTTTGGTTGGTCCTGCTCCTCCTAGGGCAGTTGGCGCAGCGTAGCCAGAGTTTGCACCCTTTTGCATATCTTGGCCTAAGTAACCAGATCCTCCATAACCACCAGCCGGAGCACCACCATTGGCAGCAGGAGCACTAGTTCCCACATTGTCATACTTTATTTGAACTGGAGGCGCTTGACCCAAAAAGAATGATCCGCCAGCAGGTCCGCCTCCCTCAGCGCCAGCAGTAGCACCAGCAGCATTAGTTTGGGCTGGTCCACTGACAGTCGGCGTGGCCATACCTTGGCCTAAAAAGAAAGATCCTCCCGCAGCACCACCACCGGCTGCGTCGTTACCTCCTCCATTGCCATTAGTAGTAAGTTGAGCATTAACTGTCGGAGTTGCCATGCCTTGGCCTAAAAAGAAGGAACCTCCGCCTCCGCCAGCATTAGCAGCGCCACCTAAACTACAGTTCAATAAAATAAGTTAAGAAAAATATTACAGTAAGTAAGAATAGCATAAATGTCTGTAAAAGAAACAAGCAAATGCAAGTACTAAAGCGTAGTATAAAACAACTAAGGTACTTAACTGTGACAATTAAAAAGAAACATACCACCCTCTCCGCCGCCGCCGTCGTTCTCATTTGAAGCATTGTTTCCACCTCCGCTAGAACTTGCTGCTGGGGCTCCAAGTGCTACAGATTCCTCCTTGTTCATGACGAAAGGTCAGCACAGTAAGCTCCAGAAGTGCTGACAGCGTTAGAACAACTCCGCCGTACTATTGATATAAGAGAAACAAAATGACTTCTTTTTTGGCGATTTCCTTCAAATTATGCAAATTTTAGGGAAAATGTATGGTTTCGTTTGGAATTTAACGTAATTTCAACTTTTTTAAGTTCAATGTTATCATTTTTGTATATTAACATAGTTTACAACAATTATGGTTGTCTCAGGTGTTCGTTGTGGGACCAAAAAATGTTTCAGTAAGATTCTTTTGATTAGGTTGTCCGGAAAGTTCTGCAATATTTGAGTAGGTAAACTTTGAAAAATCAGGAAAAATTTATTTCTTGACGGAAAGAAAAAATTCTTTTTTTGTTTGTTTGTTTGTTACCTAAATTATTCAAAAAGGTAAGTTACATAACTTAATTTCATTTTTTTGTATTGTTTTAGGTATTAGAAAAAAATGGAAATCTCGCCTGCGCGTGATTATATGGAATGAATTCAAACGCGGAAATACTGCGGCAGAAACCTTCAGAATCATAAACGAAAATGAGGGTAAGAATGTTGTGAGTTATTCTACGGTGACCAGATGGTTCGCAAAGTTTCGTGTGGACGATGAGAAGCTTGAAGACAAACCACGTGCAGGAAGACCCAGCAAACTTGACAAAGATGCCCTGAGGCGCAAGATTGAAGATGACCCACATATTACAATCCGGGAGTTAGAAGAGTTACTAAACTGTGGAAAAAGTACCATTGATGATCATTTGAAGGCAATGGGTATGGTCAAAAAGTTGGACAAATGGGTGCCTCACAATTTGACTGATCTGCAAAAAGCCAAGAGACGGTGTGCTTCCGAAAAGCTTCTGCAACGCTGCAAAAACGAAGAATTCTTGGATCGAATTGTAACTATTGACGAGAAGTGGACCTCGTTTAACAATACTAGAAGATCTACAAGTTGGTGTAAGCGTGGAGAAGCTCCTAAGCCCGTTCCGAAGCCAGAATTGCACGAAAAGAAGCTTATGGTGACTGTCTGGTGGTGTAGCTCTGGAGTGATCCAGTACGATTTCATGAAACCTGGCCAAAGTATTACGGCCGACACCTACTGTGCCCAGATTGACAAACTGCGGCACAATCTTCCAACAATGGTCAGAAGGAGGGGTCCGATCATTCTGCAGGATAACGCACGGCCCCATGCTGCAAAGAAGACCGTGGCAAAATTCAGGGAACTGGGATACGAAGTCTTGGAGCGCCCTCCTTATTCTCCAGACTTGGCTCCAACGGACTTTCACCTTTTTAAACACTTGTCTTCGTTTCTTAATGGAAGAATCTTCAAAACTCCGGACGATGCCAAGAATGCCTTCAAGAACTTCATCAACTCCAGAAACCCGGAATTCTACAATCGTGGAATAAAAAAGCTTGTAAATCGTTGGCAAGACTGTATTGATTCAGACGGTAATTACTTTGATTGATTGTAGTTGTTAATTATATTGTTATTATTGTTAGTTCAAAAGTGAATAAATATTGCAGAACTTTCCGGACAACCTAATATATAGAATAATAATAATTTTGGAATGGGTCTATGTGTTTTCAAATTATTGTTGAAACTATAAATGGCTGCTTATTGTCTTTATCTAGGTCAAACTTCTTTATATAGCTTTTCTTAATCATACCTGTAGTATCATAACTCTGACAACTTTCTTTTGCACTTTTTCTGTTGTGTTTATCGACCGCTGAGAATGTTCTTTCATTTTTTGGATGATTTTGTATCCGAATATGCACATTGTCGTATAAAAGGCTAGCAAGCTGACACAGTACCATATTGTTCCAAAGATAAGCACCAGACCGTCCTAAAACATTTAGACGATATTATATTATGAAATTTTACGTATTTACATAGTTATCTTTTTAAAGATTAGAAAATAATTCTATTAACTTGCTCTCTTCATAACAATATGACTTGACACATCTTCTGGCGATATATCCATGTGCTCAGTAATGTCTTTAATACTATCTTGCGACATCGGTTCTGTTCCAATGTAAAAGTCAATGTACTGTAAGGTCAGAGGTAGCATTAGATAGAGGTTCCACTTATAGTAGTCTTCTTTTTTCCACATTCTGTCTTTACATAACATACGGTAACGGTACCAGAAGTGAATGGCATTATTAAGAGGTACTAGTTCCAGAAAGTAAGTGTAGAATGTTATGGCAAATACGATGACATTGTAAGATTTATTCTGTAGTATAGGGTTGTGACACACAAGGTAGGAGTATTCAGGGGTTATTATTGAGCTCTGAAGTGATATGTAAGGTAAATGAGGCTTGTCTTAGCTAGACTGATATTAAAAGTGTGATTATCACCTAAAGTTTAAAGCTTTTAGTTTAATGTAAAAATTGTCTTTGTCAACTTGAAAATCAACGAAGTTTTCTTACCACCATTCCAACGCCAGCAGCAATTGAGTACAGTAAGTCGATACACGTGTTAAAACCTAGAATCCAGGCATATTCTCTTTTTGTTTTTTGGTATATAGAGATGGACAATATGATGACAAATATACATAAAGGAAAGTTGATACAAAATATTATAATAGAAAAATATTGGAATGTACTTTTGGCGATCATTTAGGTAGGGTAATATGGGTTGAGCTCGGAATATGTACAACAATTTCAAGTTTCAGTATGTAGACTATAGTTACCATAAACTTATGCAGAATAAAAAAAGTGTAGTAAGTACCGGCACTACTGTAAGAACAGCCGTATACTTTTGTGTCAGGTGTCAATAAACATCGCGGTAAGGGTAAGTTAAATTGGCGTAGTAATTGAGTAAAGTAATTTGTGTAGCAGTTGTAGAAGTTATAATCAGGTTTAGGCTTTAGACTATAATTTTATAAATAATATACGAACAATTAGTCTAGCATCACAGTAAACGTCGTTGCATCATGTTATTGTAGGTTTTTTGGGCATAAAATGTATAAAAATAAATATCTACGTACTTAGTGGTCTAAAACCATGTTTTAAACTATGTTTTATAAGTACAAGATGGAAAATGATTTTCTCAAAAGGTTACTTTATATTGTATGTAACTCACGTAACTTCAACTTGGACTTTAATTAGCACTTTATAACTTATGTTCATCTGCGAATATACTCTGATGTACATATATAATGTTCTGACGATATAATGTGTAAATTTTAAATCAGACAAAAACAGTCGACAAGGTCATTTTCAGTATGCTAGCAATATTAATCATACTGTTTTTCAAAAAATTGAGGAAGTTTTTGAATGAAATTAGTTTTAATTCAATTTAAATTAATTATATAAATTTGAAAACATTTTAATGTGATTCAAAAGGCTAGGACATTATGCTAGACATCACATTTTAAATTTAAAATATTTACTTTTTTGATGGTTAAAATAAAATTAATAGTTAAATACAATAGCTTTACAAAGTTTATGAAAACGTAAAAAATAAGCCTAAGAGGCTTTAATTAAAAGTGAGAGAAACAATGTTGAGGTTATTGACGAGTACTCGTTTGTGCTTCTGGTCAAAAATAGAATGATAATATGAAGGTATCAGTAAGATTACAGTAAATATATTCAACATAGGCATTAGTTGAACGAACATACATACCCGCAAAGTAATCGTTGGCAATCATCTTGGACTTGTCAATATAGGTTAAGGTCACAAAAAGATTTGGCAGAATTAGAAAAAGTAATGGGTAAATTGCCTGAAATTGTATAATGTGTTAGTATAGTTTATAGTTGGCATACCCAATATGTTAACTAGCGCTCTTTAAAACTATTTTTAAGGGTCATTATCGATCTATGGTTAAGGACAGAGTCCTTTAGAAGTATTTGTGGCCTTACCTGCAGTATCATAACTCTGACCACTTTGTTTTGTACTTTTTCGGTCGTATTTATCGACCGCTGAGAGATTTCATTCATCTTTTGTCTGATTTTATAGCCGAATATACACATTGTCGTATAAAACATAAATAAAACAATACAGTACTATCCCATTCCAATATAGAGTAAAGAGTCGTTCTGAAGTAGTATTACATTATCTATACCGTACAGAGAAAACAGTAATTTCAAAATTAATTTCATTAAAATCGATTCTTATGTGCGTGCCTCTTACCCTATTTAAAACAACATGTCTATCTAGCTCTTCTGGCAGTATTTCCAAGTGTTGTGTTACATCTCTGATACTATCTTCTGACATTGGATGTACAGAAGATTAAAAGTCGGTATATTGCAAGACTAATGGTATCATCAAGAAGATATTACACTTGAAATAGTCTTCCTTCTTCCACTGCACTTCTTTACACAGCATTCGGTAACGGTACCAAAAGTGAATGACATAGTTAAGAAGGACTAGTTCACCAACATAAGTGTAGATGATGACGGTAAATACTATGACAGAGTGAGGGGCACTTTGGAGTAAGGGGTTGTTACAGATGAGAATGGAGTGTTCTGGGGTTATTACAGTACTCTGGAGTAAGAGACTATTATTAAAGTTGTTTAACAAAAGTATTTTAATATCTTAAAATACCACATGATGGCGCACTTTTTGGTATGTTTTGCACCTTCTCAAGGTTTTTATTATAAGTTTAAAAAATAATTTTTGAGCTTACAAACATGGCTGAACCAGCACCAAAAGTATACAGTAAGTCGATGCAAGTATTAAATCCTAGAATCCAAGCATATTCTCGTTTAGTCCTTCTGTATATTGACATAGATAAAAGTATGACAAAGGTACAAAAGAATGCGTTGAGGGCAAATATTACTGTAGTATGATATTGAAAGAATAGTCTTTCTTTCATTTTGTAATGCTAATGCTACTAAAGGTCTCAATAGGTTTGTGTTAGTGTGAAATGGCCGAAAGAATTGTGTAGTAAAACTAGTTTTTAAATTTAAAAATTTAAAAATTAAATAGTTTTAACAAAACTAAACTTACTTCAATTTCATATTAACACTTTTACGTTATCAAAGAACGTTGTAGCCTTTCCAGTAACAGTGTGGCAGCTTTCTCAATTTAACAGTAATTGAATAAAAAGTAATGACTGGTAAAATTTTATAATTAGGTACTTCTTATGACATACAATTTGGTGTATTTTAGTATTAAGGTTAGGACATCTGTAATCTTCTTTTGTAATGTCATTTGTATCTTACATATGATACTAAATACAAATTTTATGTCATTCGGAAACAGTTATACTTAATAGAACAGAAAATAAAGTTCAAAAAAAGTATAACTTTTTAAACTATACTTTCAAAAACACTTATGCTAACAAGCTAATATATTTGGTTTTGAATAGTAACTTATCGTTTTACTTTGAACGTTTATTGACGTAAACAATATTAATATATCATTTTGATTTACAAACTGTAGTATCTTAAAATGGCAACATTAACTACAAGGTAAATCAATAAAATAAAGATCTATTCAGTAATACAATTAAGCCAGTTCTGGCTAGCCGAACGGACTTGCATTGTTAGTATTTTTAAACTTAAAGTAAGTTTAGGTAATTGAATTTTGAAAATACGCAAAATTTGCTTTTTCCAAATTTGTTTTCAATTTGGAAGCCTAAAGATGGTTAACTAACAAGTTTAAGGCTTCAAGTACTACTTTTACTCAGACTTAGGGACTATGTTAACATAAATTTTAAAAGTTTGCCTTGAGGTGTAATTTAATGATATAGTTATTATATGTCATAAAGTAGTCTAAACTTTGAGTATGGAAAAAATCTTCTTTGTATGTATCTCTGAGAACGGAGACTTCACTTTTGAGTTTCAAGGTGTATGATAATGACACTGTTTTATTTATATATCTTTACTGTAATTGTAAATATTTAGTTATAAACTTTTTACAGCGGTAATTCCTCTTTATATTATTCTTGGACATACGACCAACCCTTAGAAGAGAACACAACTGATTGTGACGAGTGTTTAATCAATCAAATCTTTGTTTTGCTGAAATCTGTTCGATTTGTTGTGATTAACATGTTTTCATCTCTCGAGTCTTATTTTATACTTTTGTTTTGGACAAAGTGCTTCAAAGTTATGTCAGCACGTGATCGCATAACACCGATTTGACTTTTTATATTGACTGTATGGATGGGTCGTATCATAACTTGTACTAACTTGAACTACTTGTTCATTTAATTGTTTTGAGAGAGTTTTTAAGGGTTACGAAGTAATCTTTTTCATTTTATACGTTACATTACTGCAAAAATTACTATTTTTTATTATACAATACATATTTATGTTACAGTAAGGCAAAATGACAGTACCAATTGCTCGAAAAAGGCCAATGAACCATCCTTTATGGTTTATGACGACAGTTGAGTTTGTGACATTCGTGTACAGTCTGAATGCACTATTACATGATCCATCTTTGGCAAGAATTACTCCAGAGTTTGGCAATTGGGTATGTTATCTTTAGTATACGTTGTTGTAAACTTTACATTATGTAGTTTTTTAAAATGTTTTACAAATGTTATTAAGATATTGCTTAAGTAATGACATTTTAAAAGTGTATATAATGCTAAAGAGTACGTATTGAACAAGTTAAAATTGCAGAGCGCATTACTGCACTGGCTACAGTACGTGGTACTGTTCTTTTCTTTGTTTACGTTTTGTCTGTTTACCAAAAAAGCTTGGTTACGGTCGTATGGCTATGGCAGATCTTGGAGGAACCGGTTTCGACATCATGTTTGTAGGTTTACTTCATTATACTTTACTTTATTATACTTTTGTGAAACGTACACATATCAATATGTCAGTTAAAGACATTTCAATTGCTTTTTTAATATTTTAGATAGTATTGTGATAAATATGTTAAAGAAAGAAACTATAGGTCTCTGTACTTACTAAAAGAAAATTATATTTTAGGTGGATTTTGTGCCTTGCTGCTAGCTCTTCTGGCCCTTACGTCATCTATCATTTGGCCGAGCTACTTCAAAGATGTTGGACTGTACTTTGCCTTACTGGCCAAGTCATTCTTCTTTCTCTTTTTCTTGTACTGGCGAAGAGAGAACTTGGTATGTTACCTCCACATTACCATTACTTTGAAAGAAATTTTTTTTTTTCAAAATTAAAAGTTTTTACTTTCAGATTGAACAATATATTGAAGAAATGATGCACGTAAATGGCTCGAGTTCAGTACTGATTACAACTCAAAACGTCCGAGATATGTACAAGTTATTTGAATGTGACAATGAGTTTATTACGTACGCTGACTCTTGGCCCATATGCTGTACCAAACAGAAACTTCAGGGGATCAAACAGAGCGAGTACTACAACATTCAGAAGTGGCTACACGACATTGCTAGCTTCATGGATAATGGAGGGTCCGTACAGGATTTGTATGACATTGTCAAGGTATGTTATGTCCTAATCAATGTGCGATATTAATATGTTGTTGGCTATTACTACATTGTTTCAACATCTTTTTTAATTTTTGATTTTTCTGTTAAAATCGATGTAAAATTAGGTCAAATATGACTCTTTCATTTACATATTCATTAACTTTTCAGGAAATGCAAGCTCGTTGCGAGCTCCTGGACGTTCAGAAGTCCGAACAACGACGATACCAACAACTGGCAGCTCTTCAGAACATTGTTCGTATCGATCCGATAAGTCTTGGCCAGTCCATGAGTCGTACTTTGAATCGCGACTCATCGTATCTTGTTCATGCCGGGGGGAAGATTGAAGAAGTTGTGTGATATTGTGATTACTCTGTGTAGCATTACTTTATGTCATTAATTTCTACTGATTAAGGTTCAGTAGAAAGTAAAGGCAAGTTGAAGTTCCAAGGTCTGAATAATATTGACGTGTGAAACGGCGTTCTACTGTTTTATGTAATATTGTAATATCACATTTAGTCTTATTTAAGAAATATTAAAACATTTTTTGATTTTTTTAAACATTATTTATGCAATAAAGTCAAAGTTTAAAACCGACAAAATTTTTTAACAATGTTATTCGTAAAACATCAAATTTAAATTGGGTAGTCATAATAGGTAGTGGGTGTGTCTATTAGGGTGAGTCGTTTAAATAGAGTATCCCCAAATATTTTTTCAGCTTCTGGAAAATCCGCGAATAATATCAGAAATATAACAATTTAACCGGAATTCTTGAAAAGTTCGATATTGCTACTTTAAAATGCAAAAGTTATCAAAAAAATAATAAATTATTCCATTTGTCGATTTTTTGCATCTTTCCAGTCGAAATGACATATTTCTTGGACAAAAGACTCTTTTTAGACAAGTGTTCTGGATGACATGTTTTTTGGATAGAATGACACATTTTTTTAACAAATTTGAATAAATTATTATTCAAATTTGCGGCAAAAACAGTATGATGGTCCTTTCTCGACGTGCTGCGTGTTAACTTGACGTGGCAGACGGTTTTTCCGTTTTCTCGACGAATTATCGGCCAGTCGGTTCCTTTCCTCGTTGGCATGTGGCCGAGTTTTATTTTTTCAAGTTTTGGTCGGTTTTTGTTTTGGCTTTGGGTAGGAGTATATTGATGTTAGGCTTTGCATATTATGTTATTCTTAGTATTTGCTAAAATTGTGTGAAGGTTGCGATATCAATCTTGATTCTATGTATTTTTTTATATTTGCCTTTTTTCAGAGCAAAACTTGGGTTTACCAGCAGATCAAGGTGCAAACCAAGCCTTCAACGCGAATGGACTTTCAGTTCAAACCTGTTCGCTTCTCCTCAACTTCAAGGCCGGCATGCTCACGGATCTGCGACGTCATAGACATAAAACAACGTAAGTTTTTTGCTTTATTTTCGAATTTTAGGTAATATTGTTGATGAAGAAGTTTTTTTCATCTAATATAGGTAGTTGGGTAGTTTTATATTGGTTTCGTGTTAACTTTAAAGTAGATAATATATTCGTGTAATTTCAGGCGTTAACATGTCGTTGGCTGGGCTCAACTTCATAAAAGCCACCTGTTTGGAGCAGGCAGCCGGAATGTTTATGGCGTGGGTTTGGGTACATCGTGACAATGCTACCTGCGTCCGCAATCGAGTTGTATCTGCACTCATGGAGGTGTCGTGAATAAAATTGAATGTAAGTTGATAGTTTTTTGATACTTTTAGGTAACATTTATCATAGTTTATTTGTAAAATTGAAGTACTACTGTCGTTTAGTTTATTCTTTTTTAATATATTTGTAATACGTTAACTATCTCATTTTCAGCGTCTCAAGTTATTGCTGGGTACAAGATCAATTCAGTACAATCACTTGATGCCTGAACTGGGGAGTCAAGAGTACCCTTCACGACGCGGGTAATGCCGCGAGAAGTAGATCATTGGAGATTACATGGTAGTCACGTCACGAATTATCAGTAACGTAAGTTTTTTATTCACTTTTGTTTGATTTTTTAGGTAATATAGAATGTTTTAGGTAATAAAAAATGCTGTTTCTTTAGAATTTAGTGTTTAGAAATTTTAGTAGTTTACAGGTGTTTTTATATCTGAAAATTAATTTTGGTGGATTTAGGTAATACAATGTCTAATTTAAATACTTTTAGTCAAAGTTCGTTCTCCACATCAAGAACATTAATGGAAACTACAGTAGTTACTGATAGAAGATCTGTCGGGAGAAATCTACCGCCGGGCTTGATTTTCGCTCAAAATCGCCTTCCTTCCAAGCTACGAAGGACGACAGGCATTCGTGACGGACACTGAAGATTGCTTCAGATCCCTGCAATACTAGATGGGATATGTCCAGTACTACCAACGAAGAGATCAAGCCCAAATAGATCATTAATGCAAGTCTTTTGTTGTACTTGTTGTGTTTGTAGGTAATTCGTGAAATACCAAGAACTTTTTTTACAAAAGAAGTGGCATGGCTTTCTTGATGAAATTATTTTAGATGAAAGTTTTCTAGATTTTAGTATTAATTGAAGGTTTTTCAGTTTCATAAAAATTGGCCAGGGCAACATCTCGGGTCGCTTCATCCAACGGTGAAGCTGTTGGGCAAAGAACGTTACCAACAGTAAGTTTTTTAATTAAAGTGCTTTTTAGGTAGAAATTTATAAATTTTTTTTTCTACGTACTTTTTGACCGTTATTATAGGATTTTAATCATTTTATAGCATTAAACCACGATTATTTTGTAAACGTTATCATTTCAGACGTATCTTCGACCAGATGATGCACAATGGAACTGTAATGGACTGGACCGACCAAAATGGACAACAACGTTGACTAGACAACTGTTCAAGAAGTATTGAGGAACATGGAGAATCAGGAGCCTAGTCTGGGCTTCGATCCTAAGGTTCTCAAGACGTATTGTTCGGCCTAGTCGTTAAACTTGTCTTATATTGTCAATTCTTGGCCTTGTGTTGAGATTTTGCTGGCTAAGGCCATGTTTAAGTTGGTTGTGGAAGGTGAACACTGGTGAAGGCGGTAATGGATGACTTGGCATTGGCAAGTTGTGTAGGGGCATGGTATTTTTGTTTAGTTTGTAGGTATAGGGTATCTTGACGGGGACGAGAGGTAGTTTTTGGAGAAAGAGGAGGGTAGAGCGGCTTTTTTATATCTCTATTTTTGAGCGGACTGATTTTTTTTTATAAAAATGTCTAAAATTGGTCTTGGCTCTGTCAAAATGCTATTATTCTGAAGAAACCTATGAAACAGTGCGCGAGATGGTCTACAGAACGTTGAATTGGCTCAACAGTCGTACTTACAATGGAAATGTTCAACTTCATTTATTTTTAACCTTTTATGTACGTGTCCGAGGACGTAAACCACCTTGATCCCCTTCTTCTACGGAAGATGTAGACGGCCAGTACCATCTGTCGTATCTTGTGGTATGGTTAGTACTATATTTGATATAGTCGCACGAGATACGGCACTTCGGCCGCTGGTGGTGTGGGGTCGGGCCACACTGTAACGTCACTTATGGGATTAGTAGGAGGAGCGCTCCTGCGTGTGAAGTACACCTCGCGAGAGGGGCCGTGTTTGTGGTGCACGGATGAAAACGGGTAACCATACTCGTAGTGGCATTTGCATAATTGGTAATTTACTTTATCTGGTTATGGATGGTACTGCATATTATTGCGTATGCTATGGTGCACTGAATGGGGCTATGACATGGCGGAACGACTACATTTGGCTGGGAACAGATTGGACTAGATGAGAAAGATGCGTAACTTAAAATCATAGTTTTTTGATAGAGTTGCAAGATCGTTATTTCAAAAAATATTTAAAAGTTTAGTTTTTACTATTCATCACGAGAAATGAAAGGGTTTATCTATATTTACTCCACAACTTGTCGTAGCCAACTCAGCTTCATTTGCCGTTTTCTCTGGCTAGTAATATTGCACGACCCGAGAAACACCTAAAACACTTCCATCACATGGCCAAGGAATTTTGTTAGGATCCTTACCTCTTATTTGTTGTATTCTGTATTGTTGTGACCTTTAGTTATTGTACCAATGTAAATATTGAATCTTTTTGTTGCTTTTATGTCTTGGTCTGTTTCTACTTTGATTTGTTGTACTGTTATAAATTCGTATGTTGTTGGTGGTTGTTCCATGTCTTAGATTTTTAGACAAAATTGGCTTTGTAATTGTCGTATATGGTCTGATCTTGATCTATGTTTTGTTGTAACTTCACAAAGTTTTTGTAAAGTATTTTTTGGTTATATAACTAAAATTAGTTCGATAAATATATACCTATGAAGCGGTTATTTTTTGCAACTTCATTAGTCATCCTTTATGGTTAATTTAATTAACGATGGATCTTGTTACCTAATAGTCTAGTGTTGGCATAAATTCTAAAAACGAGTGGTAATTATTAATTAACCGAGTACCTAACAAGTAAAATGTATTTTTTTTGATATTTTGTAAAATACTACATATATGTTATACCATACAGTGCTAATCATATATATCTTATAAAATACATATTTTTTATGAATTTTTATAATGTAATTACATACATTTAGAAAATTTACAATTTAAATTTGATTACCATGCGATATGTAACGCATTTATAGTTCAAAAATAAGATGCATATCATGCTACATTACCTTCAAAGATGCTGCCCTTATATCCAGAAAACAAATAATCCTTGTGCACTTTTATGTCACGTTTCTCTCCAAATGGAGCGACAAACAAAGACCCTTTTAGTAACATTTCCAATAGTAAAGTAAGGTTGAGTCATTTCGAATAATTCAAAGTTCTTTTCAAATATTTAAACTGATTTCAAGTCATGTTAGGAGGAAGTTGTCTTGTTCTGATTGACTTCAAACTTTTTACATAGAATGATAATGTAAATATAAATTCTTCAGTAAAGTACTAAATTGAACTTTCCATTAAATTTTTAGAAAATCGAGATCAAAAAATAATGTTTTGAATTTCCCGCCAAATTGGCGTTGTGTTTCAAGCTTATAAAATTGTCATTTTTTGGCTTTTAATCATGTTTCTTTGATATACGGATAAAAAGCCCTTAACTAAATCTATATTTTTCAATTTTAAAACGTACTTTGTCTCAAACATCAAAAAAGGGTTGCAACATTGCCAAATTGGAGGGAAATTGAAACAATTAAATTAAACAGCTTGAAAGTGCGAGCTAAAATGTTTCATGTCGGTATTGGTGGGTTGAAGATAGCATACAAAGATAGATTTTGAGCTGATCCCTAGCGGGACGGGTTGGGTACGTTTCTTGTTAGTTGTTTTTAAGGATTTAAAGTAATCTTTTGAATATGTATTTTTTAAAACTTGTTCTTTAGCCTCTTAGAAGTAGCTTTGTGACATTTTAAGACAAAAAGTGCCGAAAGACAAGAGTAAAGATCGTGGGAAGGAGAGAGACGATGGAGAAGGATAATATCTCAGACTAAAACCTTGTTATTGTTTATGTTCCTTTACTTTCTTATGGTTTTAGTGCTTTTGGATATTCGTTTTATTAGGCTTGGTACTGTTTTATGGGCTCAGGGTTTTCTCTTTATTACTTTTCAGATTTAAAAGTTTTTAATTTTGCAAAATCTTTACCTTATCTACGATATTAAAGCTTGGTAATGCATTGTTAATATGTTTTTGTTACTATATTGTGCAGAAAACAAAGAAACGGTAAACGGTGTACTATATTGTGCTCAAACAGTATTCTACCATCCTGTAAAGTATTGTTTATTTTTAGCCATACCGTACACCTTACAGTAATGACGAAGGTTTTCTTTAACATTCAACATACGAAGCAGAACGGTGAAGTGACTTTACTGAGTAATCCTTTCAAGGTCGAAATAATTCATGACTTTGATCTGCTAGAATGCCTAAAGCAATGTCTTTTTGTTCATAAACTACTGCCGCATGCAAATTTAGAATCAGTAACTTTTTCGAGGAATGGTAACTACATAACGAACAACGAAATGCCCAGTCACAATGCGACATACAACGCTGTATTAGAAGACGGCAAAATTGTAGAAAATGTAAGCATTTTATACACAGTAATATTATGTAGTACAAAGTCTTATTTTATACTGTAGCCCTATCGTAAAATCAAATCACAGAGTAAATTTGCAGAATTGCGTAGTAATTGTGACCATAGAAGATTACTGTAGTGCCTACCATTACGGTCAAGTCGTATTACCAAGGAATGCAACCTTCAATGATCTTCTCCATGCTTTGTCTCCAAACACTGTCATCAATGACTGGAAGGCCGCCTACTCGATCTTCCGCGACAAAGAGAAAGTGTCAGATTTAAACGAACAGCTCGAGGATAGGGGGTTCTATACAGTATGTATTAGGAGTACAAGTAGGGTAAGTTGGATACCTAAGCTCTTAACTATACAGTAATCAAAAGGGCACCATATAATACAATGATAACGTACTATTATGGTAGCATAGTATATGCCACTGTTACTTACATTATATGTCATTCTGAGTACTATTTTGACAGAACGAACATTCTGAGTACTGTTTTTGAAAAAAACTCAATTGTAGATGATGTTCAACCTGATTGTTGACAACAAACAACCACTAAAGTTGTTATATACCACAGCAAATAAGACTACTACAGTAGGGAAAGCCTTAGATACGACAATAACAAAGAATATCAAACATATCGCGAGTTTCTACATCGACAAAATTACTACGATCAGAAACGGGAGCACAGTCAATGTGGCAGTAACTGACAAAATAAAACATGCCAGTGTTTATAACGTTAGAGCAAGAGTAGTAAGTACATACGATGACATATATATACTTTTTAAAGTAATCATATATATATATACCTTCCAAAGTTAATGGTAGATCATATACATATACCTTTACCTTAATACGTCTATGTACCACAGCCATATATATAATACAAAGTTGACTAATTGTATTTCAGGCCAAAGTAACCTGTACCTGTGACATATATATAAACGAGAAATACAAAAGAACTACCCAAGTTACAGTAGACAAAGATACCAACATAAAAGACCTACATGCTCATCTACATTTGGATAGAGTTAGGTATGACAGGATCCAGATATACGAAAAGCTATTCGATGACTTTGCTGATTACATACCGTACAAAGAGGTGGTAGATACTGTAGCTGACAACAACAAGTTCAGGGTTTACTTTATTGGTACTGTAGAAAGCCTACATGACGTATCGTAATGCTAAATAACTTAAACAGTTTACTGAGGAGTAACTTTGTAGATACGACAGTGTCATATACGTGTATTGTTGTAAAGATGTATATTGTTATAGTAAAATAAATAGTAAAATAGATAAAATTTGTCGTAGTAATACTAAAATAGAATTATCAAGTACCGTAGGATTCAGGTACTACAAAAATGGCATCAAATACCTAAAAAGTATACGTTTACCTATAATCAGGGACGGGCGAGGACTTTTGGTCTGGGGGCAGGAGTCCAAAAAAATCGGCACAGGTGACCTGTGCCGATTTTTCGCGAAAATTTTTTTCCAAAGATCCACAGGGGGACCACGTTCAAATTTTTTCGAAAATTTTTTTCTAGGGGGGGGGGGTCAAGGTACGACTATATTATATGTATTAGGTTTCTCAAATAATTCTGGGCCATCAAACGTCAAACGTTAGCCTTGATAGGAGGCTCAGAATTATTTGAACAACCTAATACATAGGCCTACCTGTTGTAATGGCATGACTAGAACAATATGTAACGCAGTAGATACCAACAAAGTGAGTGTTAATGCTGGAATCCCAAGTAAGATTGACTGAAAAGTAACCACTTTTTTTAAATATTAAAACAAGTTTACTACAGTATAATGTATCGTATAAGGAGGTACAGTAAACATATAGCAATGCACATAATCATTTCAACATCGTACTACTTCAATCACATACCATCTGACCGAAACTGACAAACTCAAACAAAGGCAAAGAGTACCCAACGATCAAGGGATACACCAACTCTTTTATCACCACAGCTATTGGTACCACTTGAGCCACTCTAAGCCAGCCAGACCGGTTAACAAAAGCTCTAGCCAAGGTACTTTTAAAGTTGAACAGTAATGAGTATGATGCCAAGGCTATCGACCATATGATAGGCATCCCAGCTGAGAACAGAGCTCTGTAAGGCTGCTCCATCAACTCGTTCTCAAGGTAAAACCTGTTGACTGACAGAGCCAATAGTAATATCAAGGATGGTACTAGTATCAGTGGAAGGAGATTGAAGGGCTGAAAGGGACAATATTTGTTTATTATATTGTACAGCTAAGTCATGACCAAGCCCAAAAGGTCATAAACCACCAACTTACGAAAGCTCCATTCTTAAATATTTTAAGTTTAGGACAATCAGCACAACTACCGACCAGTAGACCAACCCCAAACGGAGCAATGTAATTCCATGGTAACATATGAATATAGGTACGATAAAAGTCAAACTTTTCTTTATCCAACACATCGTATCCAATAATATATGTTGGTGGAAGGTCGTAAGAGTGCACCAACATACCCCGAGTAATCATCGATGTGACAAGCAATATTAGAATTACAACTACAGTAAGTGGTTTACTGAATTTGTTGAAAATTACAAACATTGGTACTAGTACTAGTGATAACTGTACTATGACTGGGACTATAAATGTGTTTGGAAGGCACTAAAACAATATATCAATTAATAAAAGTTGCTTCATACTCTAAAAATTGTCTGTAAAGAATAAAAACTACGGTATTAAGTACACCATTTGATACAAACCAGTATCTACAAAGACATGCTGTTACCTCAACACTTACAGTGCCATAAAAGTTGCTGATAAACAAATAATTGACCCAAGAATTGCTACATCCTTCAGAAGCCAAAGAACGATACAGTAAAGGCATTTCTGATAGTAAATAATCGTATATCACAACAGAATATACTGTAGCAATCAGATAGTAAGCCATTATGTACCTAAAATATAAATCAATGTTAAGTATTCATGGACTTCTTATAGTATTGTAACTCTAAGAATATAATTCTACAAACCATAACTATATAAATGTATAAAAAAACTCAACAGTACGTTAAAGTAACACAAAACTACCGTAAAACCTACGATAAAACAAATTTGCTAGCCATAAACACTACAGTATAGCGACTAGACATATCGTTTTCTAACCTCACATTATTGTAAACGAAATGTTTTGAGTAGTACGATCCTATCTTCACAGCTATGATGAACACAAACGTTTCCAAAGTAATTAGAAACATGGTCTGAGCTTGACTGAAGATAGAATTCGTAGAACTCTGGATATCTAAAGCATTTCGACCATAGATCGTGTAGTAATTGCCCATCTCTCCAAATACCAACCAAATAAAGCTTACTGTAACTAGTAAGTTTAGTGAAGCTGACTTGTAAGATCGTGTAGATGTGCTGAAGAACATGTACATGTTGAACGGTATAGAGAATGACATCAAGATCTTAGTTGGTCGACCTTAAAATAATAAAATTTACAGTTTAAAACAGGTAGATGAGATCATATTAACATTTAAATTCAAAAAGTTTGATTTAAAAAATAAAGTGTCACCTAAAATTACCTGAAGTTTGTACAAAATGGAGAATATTGCCCTCAGGGAATGATGATATAAACATCGTATACACTGATACAACACCAGTGAAAATCAAATAACTAATGATTGTACTACTAAAACAATATAAAGTACAATAACCTAACATAATATTGTAAAAACAAGACAGAACATACACCAATAAAACAGTGAAAATATAACTACAACAATATAAACATGCTACTAGAACTCACAAGGAGATAACAGTGCTGATAGAACTTACAACAATATAACAGTGCCCCAACTGAACCCGAAGCTGTACTGATCGTACTTCACAATGTCACAAACCTTCTCTCCGACTTCTGGAGCGAAGCCATCTAGCAGTTGTCGAATGTCTTCTGGAGAACAACTATCCAAGAAGCAGAACTCCCAGTCCATACTAGCTCTACTGTAGCATTCCGTACCATTACCAGGGTTTACTGTAGCTCTGAACATCTTCAACGAGAAGTTACCCATTTCTATGTTAATATCCCTGAAAGATTCACAAGTTTGTCTGGCTCCTTTGAATATTGTGTTTCCTTTCAAAAGATCAGGGCCTGGTCGACCAGTCGATTCAATGACTAAAGTATACGGCCAGTAATACAGTAGTTAACATAAAATTAAAATGACAAACACAACTTACTAGGACAGATCACTGGTGCAATTGCTTCAAAGTCATCTTCAAATAAAATAGAAGAAAAGTCGTTAAAACAGTCTTTCTCTTCAGATTTTACACTCTGGGTAACCATTCTACTATGCAACTTGTCAAGAGCCCCTAGCTTTGTCACAAGATCATCTCCGTATGCATCTCGATAAGCGTATGATGTCTTTTGATTTTGATAGCAAAACTTTAAAATGTCGGCTGCTACCTTCTTCTTATAAAATCCCAGTAAAGCTTCGTTTAAAGACACAAAGAGTACTGTAACAAAAATATATTTCAGCCACATAATCGATATTATAGTAGACACTGATCACAAAAACAATGTTTTGATAGAAGTGCTATTTAATATTATCAATGTAATTAAAGCTGGTATAACTAAAGGTTAATTACTTCCAGACGCACTTTTTTAGAGATGAAACGTGTTAACACAACTGTTAACATAAACTATACTTTACTACTTATATAGTAGGAAACAGTCGTTTATATAACCGTATACAGCAGTTGCCAATCCAGAAAATGTTGATAATTTGACAACGAAGTAACGATTACAAAACGAAAAATATGATTTGAAGGAGGAATCATATTGCTTTTAATATTAACATTAATACTAAAGAAGCCAGCCTTCACCATTCTTTTATGCTTCCATCTGACAATAACATCGTTCCAATACAATGACTGTTACACTGCATAGTGTCATTTTTTATAAAAAAGCTTTTACAGTGTCATACATACTTAAACATAACTTATAGTAAAATGTCACAAAAATTACAAGAAGTTGTACAACAATAACAACAACGCTAGCTTTGTATAGACATGAAAAAGGCCGGGCTTGAACGTTGAACCCGGCCACATATCTTCTTGTTTAGTGTTCAAAGCTTTTATTTTAAAAACTGAAGTTGCCTCACTTTAAATATACAATAGAACGAGTAAAGCGTTTTATCAAGCACATATATACTTTATTTTGAGCCGTGACCTTTTAAAAACATTTAAAACCAAAGTAGTCAGTAATGTTTAATCGTTACAACCATTGATATCAATATTTGAGGATCATTAAGCTAAAACAGAGTAACAAAACATAATTTACAGTAGTTTAATTTACATTTACGAGTTTTTATTGACCGTCCTCTTGATGTTCGAGGTCCCGTTCACAAAGCTGGTACGGTAGATAAGGTTGGCATTGTTGAACATTCCCTGCTTTAGACTGACTATGATGAACTGCGAGTTCTTGAAGTGCTTCTTAATCATCGTTCCCACATTGGCAGTGTGACTCAAGTCGAGAGCAGCGTCTACTTCGTCGAGAATGTAGATTGGAGCTGGATTACACTTTAACATAGCCAATATCAGTGATAAAGCAACCAGACTTCTTTGTCCTCCTGACAGTTCGTCCAGACTTTCTTTGTAAACTCCGTTAAAGCCGACTTTTACCTACAATAATATACATTTTAAAGTTATTCACCATTTATATTAATAAGGTAAAAAAACATAAAAGTATCTTTTAAATATATATCTTATATAAAAAGTACACCATACCTGTAGCCCAGCCTCCAGATCATTTCTATCGACCGGTTTTAGTGTAGCACAGGCTCCAGGCAGTAGTGTGGAGAAGATACCTCCAAAGTTGACACTGATCGTCTCAAAAGCCCTGACCAGCTCTCGCTGCTTCTCGGAATCGATCTCCGTGATCATCTCCTGAAGTCGTTCTCGCTCGTGTAGCAGATTCTGATGCTTTGTCTCCAACGTCATGACATGTTCTTCTTGCTCTGACAGGTTCTTCATGGCATTCATATTGACTCGTTGTTCCAACTCCTTCCTTCTCGTCTTGATGTGGTCAATCTCTCGGATGACAGAATCCACTGTTCGACTTCTGAAGTCGTAGTCGGTTCCCGGTTTGTTAAAGTGGACTTTCTCTTCTTCTAGCCAGGAGTGAGTTCGCACCAAAATTGCTGCCTACAATGATATTAATTTAAGCTTTGTATTTTAACAATTATTATACCATTAACATCTCAAGTAAAAAGGTTGTCTAACTCAATATAAAGCAGTCACGCCTTACCCTGCCCTCGGCCTCCTTCTTCTTCTTGTCCAGCTCTTCAATGTCCATCTTGAAGTTGTGTCCTGACTGCTCCAGATCTCTGATGGCCTTCTTACAAGCCTCGACCTTACCCAGTAACTCTCGGATTGAGTCTTCCTTCTCGCGACATTCCTTTTTCTTAGCCATAACAGTCTTCCTCAACTCATCCACCACCTTTTCAATCACTTCGAACTTCTCCACACAGCCTTGAAGTTCTTCATTCAGCTGGGTGAGACTTTCTTTGTAGGTACCAACTTCTTGTTTTTGCGATTCAATTTGTTGTTCTGTTGTTTTTACATCGCTCCTAAAAGTAAAAAAGTAATGTAAAGTACAAATCAAGCATATACCACCACAAATCATCTATAAATATTAAAATACTCTTTATCAATTACCAAAAGTGCCAAACTTACTCAGCAAACTCCAAATTCTGGACCCGTTTGTCTCCAGCAGCATCTTTCCTCTTGAGGATGTTCTCTGCCTCCCTCAACTTCAACTCTGCCTTCCTCTTCTCGTCCTCCTTAAACTTCTTCTCGTTCCTTTTCTTCTCCTGCAACTCCTTGAACTCACTTCTAATACGATGTAGTTCTGGCTTCAATTCTTCTACTTTGGCTTCACATTCTTCTACCTTCTCCTCCTCATACTTTATCTCAGCTTCTAGTCTAGCATGTTTGTCGCTGGATAAAGTTATATTGATGATATTGATCCTCTCTTTGACGTCTTCTAGTTTTATCATTGTACTTTCATTTTCGCGACGTTTCATATCGTATTCAGTCACATACGCTGCAAAAGTTATAGTAAGCCAAAAAACTGTACAAAAAGTAAGTTGACTATATAAATTAATAGTAACACTTACCTTGTATTTCTCTCATTTCTGCCTCAATATCTCTCAGCCTTCTACTTCCATCAAAGAAATCACAAACAGCCCTCAGGACCTTTCCTCTACCTCCTTGACCTCCTCCACTCAACACACCATCAGGTTTGAAGTCATCTCCATCTACAGTAACCACTCTTGTCATGATTTCTCGGTCGAAACAAACTCTTTTAGCAGTCTCCAAGTCCAAAGCGATCAGCATTCCTCCCAATCCAAACTCAACAGCTTTCCTGAGATCTGGGTTATATTCAACTAGATCGATGGCTCTGAATATATTTCCTTGTCCAACAAGCTGTACTGCCTTGTTGTACTGTCTGTCCCCAACAACTCTGGTTTGAATATCATCCAAGGGTACGAATGTCGTTCTGCGCTCCATTTTGCCAGATTTTAGCAAGTTTTTGGCCGTGTTTTTGTAGCGTACAACAACAGAACTCAACTAAAACAACTTCACCAGTAAACGTAAGGCAAGATTCAACACATCTAATCAAGAAACATAATCATAATCAGTGTTTTGCCGGACCCGTCCGGTCCGGTCCAAAAAAAAATTGAGCCGGACCGGATCGATTGAAAAAATTTTTGGTCCTGTCCAAGTACCGACGATTTTTTTTCGGACCGGTCCGGGAAAAAAATTTTAATATTTGATCGTATAAGTTGGTTTTTCCCTAAAAAAATATTTTTTGTGTTTTCTTGCGGGAAATTGGGCGGAGCTTGCGCCTTTCTCTCGGAAAAAGCTTTCCCAAAATGAAAGAGAAACGACAGAGAAAGAGATAGCGATTGTGTGGCCGAATGGGTAAAGCGTTATCCCTCGGTGCTGCTCTAGCAGGTTCGAACCTCGCTGCGTGCAACCGTTTTTTACTTTTGTTTCATTATGAAAAATGCTCTAAAAACACCACTAAAGATACACTAAAACTGTTTTATTAGATTTGGAATGATCAGGCCCCCCCCCCTCAAACAGGCTCTCTTTAAAGAAATAGGTAAATTCGGTAAAATGGCGCTACCTTATAATGTTTTGGTACTGTATGGTACTAATTTTTCTAAATTTTGTTTTTTTCGACATTGTATGGCATTAAATGGTACGGTCGGCGGAGGCTTTAGGGGATTCGGCGGAGGGTCCGCGGAGGCTTTTATAAATTTGGCGGAGACTTTAGGGTATCTACTCGACCCTACCCTTGACTTTTTTAGCCCTATCCTACCTTACCCCTGACCTCTTTAACCCGATCCTACTCCTTACCTTTTTAGCCCTACCTAACCTTAACCTTGCCCATTTTACCCTACCCAACTATACCATACCCATCCCTTATAATATACCATACGATGTCCTGCGTTACCTACTATACCATACCCTACCATGACATCTACCACACCAAACCCTACCATATTATAACATGCCATACCCTACCATACAATACCATATCCTATCATACCATAACATACCATGCTACCTTATACTATCTACCATACCATACCACACCTTACAATACCATACCATACCAAACTTTACCATGCCTTACCTTATTCAATCTTATACAACACTACCATGTACTATCCATGGGTATGGTAGAATAGGTAAGTAAAACAACATAAATGGTATAATATAGTCAAGTATATTATGGAATGGTATGGTATAATATGGTACGTTATATTAGGATGTGGTATGGTAGATAAGATAGGTTATGGTAGGGTATGGTATAGTAAGGTAGAGTTAAAAAGGTGAAGAGTAGGGTCGAATAGGGTTAAAAAGGTCAGGGATAAGGTAGGATAGGACTAAAAAGGCCAAGGGTAGGGTCGAGTATACCCTAAAGTCTCCGCCAAGTTCATAAAACCCTCCGCCGACCTTCCGCCAAATGCTTTAAAGTCTCCGCCAAATCCTCTGAAGTCTACGCCGAACCTCTTAAAGCCTCCGCCGACCGTACCATTTAGTACCATACAATGTCGAAAAGAACAAAATTTGGAAAAAGTAGTGCCATTAGTACCCTACAGTACCAAAAAATTATAAACCCTACCCTGCATTATCCTACTTTACCATAATATACTATACCATACCCTATTTTGCCATACCATACCATTTGGAACACCAGCAACTATAATTACTACATATATAAAACGGACCGGACCGAAAAAAAAACCGTCCGGACCGGTCCGGCAAAACACTGATCATAATCTACAGAAAGATAAAATAAACCATGAAAACTTACATGACCACCTAGTGCCACCTCAATAGCCGTCGTGAACCTAATATCCCTGACCTTAAAAAGCTTCCCCAACACTCCAACAACTTCATCTGACTTAACCACGTCACGAGGTGGATTGAAGTTCATGTAACCAAACTCACACTCAAATCTCTCTCGTTTATCCTGAAGCCCTTCCAGTTCTCTGCGAAGGTTGTTGATCTTGTCACGCCCTTCTCTGTATCTCGTTGAATCCATATTGGCAGCTGCCAATCGTTTCTCCAGTTCGATTCTTTGGTACTCGAGTCGTTGTTTCTCGGCTAGCTGTTCAGTTTGACGAGGACACGTCTGAATTTCTTTAGTTTTGCTTACAATAGACGGCCGAAGGTCAGACAAGGTATTCTGAAGCAGTTTCATATCTGTTTCCACCTTGTTCAACTCTGTGTTCTTCTCTAAAATATAAAAAATAATTTTAAAAGTTGTCAGCAAAAAATATTTTTTAAATTTATATCTTACTCATGAGCATGCTATCCAATGACACTTCCTTTCCATTTTCATCAACTGTCATGCCCTTCGCCAAAGCATCTAACAAAGCTTTGGCCTTTTCTCGATCAGACTCCGCTCGTTGGAAGATCTCAACTTCTTTTCCTGTGTTTTCTTGAAGCCTTTTGAACTTGTCCTTCTTCTTCACCAGCTCTGCTTCATCCTAGAATATTTCAATTGCAATTGCTAGAAAGATAAACATGGTTTACAAATAACGTAAATCATAAAAATTTAAAACTTCAAAGTCATTATTATTAGAAAAACTAAAACGTACCGCAGCAATACTGTTTTCTAAATTTTTAATATTTTTCTTGACTTCATGAATCTCATCTTCCTTCGTTTTCTTGGCCTTCTGTGCTTCTAGATAATCTTTGTTTTTATCCTGTTCATCTTGAATCAACTCTTGTTTTTGTTCAGTCATTTGCTAAAATTGACATAACAAGACTATTCGTTCTTACTCAAAGCCTACATTATAATCCTCTTACATCAACTTTAACCTTCTTACACACAACACTTAAATAAATTAACCCAACTATAACCTACATTAAGTTGCCGTTCCATTTGTTCATGTTCAACTTCATAACCAGCAATATCAGCCTTCTTTTCTTTAATGCTTTCATTTCTTCGACCGTCTTCTTCTGTTTTATTATCAATCTTCCTCTGACACCTGTCTGCAGCCAATTGGCAAGTGTAATATTCAATGCAATGTAAAATGTGATTGTGTTGTTCTTCATCGTTACCCAGTCTAATAAACTCATCGTACAGGTCCTTCTCTGCCTTCAACTTGTTAATTCTCGGCCTTAACTCTTCCTCCATTATCTAAATTTTAAACTTTACTTCCCATTTATAACTACATTACCGTTTTAAGCTTCAGAACAAATAATTACATTAACAAACTTCTATTTTACTATCAAAATTACCCTGTTAATTTCTCTGATCTTCTCTTCTTTCTTCTCCAGTGTTGTCATAGCATTCTTCCTCTTCGCTTCGTAAACTCTGACTCCAGCAGCTTCTTCCACCATGTACAACACTTGTCTTGGTGTCATGTTCAAGACTTTAGTAACACGACCCTGCATAATCAGAAAATGAGGGTTATTTACATTCATTGCACATGTATTAAACAAATTCTGGACTTTAGTCTGAGTCGAAATGACATTGTTGATATGATATGTTACTTTGCCGTTCAACACAATCTAAAACATTGAAATTAAATGTCCCAACGTATCAAAACAAAAAAGCAAAACATTGTAACTCTCAAAAGTCAAGAACAAGATCCTCTCCATATTAACATAAACGCTACCATCAACAGTTACCTAAAAATTAAAAAAAATCAACAAAAGTACCTTAACATACCTGTTTCTTGATTACCAAGATGTTCTGTTCCTCGAATCCAATAGGCTTATGCTTGGGATCACTGTTATCAAATGTTATAGTAACCGTAGCCTTTGTCACACCTCCTTGACCCTTTTTAAACACAAGGTCTTCATTGTTCTGAGCTCTGATCCATGTCAAGTTTGTTATACCCAACAGAAAACAAATAGCATCCAAAGCATTTGATTTACCAGACCCATTCAAACCAGTGATGGCATTAAACTCTGGATCTAAATCCTCCAGAGCTTGATATTGACCATACGACTTGAATCCATCTATTTCAATCTTCAATATTCGCATTTCGACCTGAAATATAACAAAATATGTTAAGATTTATATACATAAAATTGAAAACTAAGCTAATACCATGAAAATTTACAGATTTTGTAAAATTTGGCGAAGACGACGTAAAGTTACAATAAAAATCTGTAAAAAAGCGCGAAATCTTTTCTTTTAAGAAATTAATTTCCCGCCAATAGGAAATAATACGAAGTGTCACAAAGATATTGTTTGTGCTAACGAAATGCCAAGACAAATTTTTGTTTGATTATTTTGGCAGTTTTTTGTTGCGCACAGTTTAGGCTTTATGAGAGCAAAAGTACAGTTATTTGCATACATTCTTGAAATTTCATTTTAAAAATTTAAAAAATGGAAAATTTTCGAAAATGGAACTCTTTTGCCATTTTCGGTGAATTTCGCCCATTTCTCGCCTAAATTTCGTCGAGAATGGCTGCTGCAGAAGAGAAGGACCTTCATGACGTTGACGATTCGTCGGCCGATTTACCTAAAACGCAGACCAAACCTCAAGTCGTTGTACATCCTGATATGGAGGACGAGGAGTACAAGAAGGCCATGGCCAATGCTGTGAAGAACGTCGAGAAGGAAGAGTTGGACGAGATTCTGATCGATCAGGACATGAAGGAGCTGGACCTGACCAGATGCCGGATGCCCAAGATTGAAGGATTGGACTTTCTGAGAAGCTTGAGATATCTATGCCTCAGATGGAACTTGTTGAAGAAGATCGAGAATCTGCATGCCCTGACTACTCTGGTCGACCTGGACTTGTACGATAATCAGGTGGGTTTGAAGCCAGGATTTTATCATTTTTTGTTCGATTTTATAAGAAAAGAAATTGTTAATAGGCCATGAAAAGTATGACAAAAGACTAATTGTGCTTTCAGATTACCAAGATTGAAGGTCTGGACACCTTGGTGAACCTGGAGACTCTGGACATCTCTTTCAATCGGATCGAGAAGATTGAAGGACTGGACAACTTGAAGAAGCTTAAGACTTTGTACTTGGTTCACAACAAGATTTCTAAAATTGAAGGATTGGAAAATGTAAGCACTTCTAAAGATATGTTAATAGAGGTTAAAAACGGAACCAAAGTTTACTTCTTTTATCGATATTACAGTTGACCGAACTGGAGTACCTGGAGCTTGGTGACAACAAGATTAAGAAGATTGAAAACTTGAAGAACAATACCCAATTGGAACGATTGTTTTTGGGTGCAAACCAGATTAGATCTATTGAAAATGTTGGCCATCTGAAGAACTTGCAAGTTTTGTCATTGCCAGCCAATTGCATTACTCGAATTGAGGTCAGTTTTTGTTATTTTTCAGTTAATATCTGTCATTTGTGTAATTGTTGATAAAAAATGTATTAGTTTATGTTTAAAATGTCAAAGAATGATTTTTATTAGCATTCGTAACGTTTAGGCGTTTTTATGAATATTTAGCAAAAGGTTCACAAGGGCAAAAAGACTTTGATCTCGGGCGGGCTCGAACCGCCGGCCTTCTGTGTGTTAGACAGATGTGATAACCACTACACCACGAGATCGCACGGCCTCTTTCCCTTCTTTTCGGCTGTTCTTTCGGAAAAAAGCTGAAGGGACTTGGTCTCGTTTGAGTTTTCTAGAAAATGGCTATTATTTTTGCTTTATTATGAAAAAACTTTATTTAACTATATTGAAAAAGTGTTTGGCTGTTTAATTCTAATGTTAATTTATATGTTTTATAAGGATTATATTGTTTTAGGGTGTTCGAAAGCTCCCCCAACTGAAAGAATTGTATTTGAGTCAAAATGGGATTCAGAAAATTGAGAATCTTCACAAGAACTTGGAGTTGAGAATTTTGGACTTGAATCAAAACAGACTCAACCACATTGAGAACGTCTCTCATCTCAAGGAATTGACTGATTTCTGGGCGAAACACAACCATATCAGCAGCTTCAGAGAAGTCGAGAGAGAATTGGGTGGGCTACAGAATCTGAATCTGGTGTACCTGGAGTTCAATCCAATTTCAAAGGAAAACACTTACAGGTATGTTTTATTTGTTTTGTATTTTATAAAAAAATATTTTTTTACACAGCAAATGGATTTGAACTGATTAACGCCTTTTCTTTATTTCAGACGCAAGGTCATCAGCGTGCTGCAGAATCTGGAGCGTTTGGATTCAATGTGTTGTCGTGGAAGAGTTTGAACTACTGGTACCTACGTATATACAGTTGATGCAAAGTATAATCAGCTCGGAATAAATATATTTTATGTAAATGGGTTGTTGTTATTGACAGGTTGTTGTATAGACTGATGGGCTGTTTTGAGCTTTGTTTTCTAATACTAGGCTTTTCTTTGAACTTGATACTTAACATTCAATCATATGTATTTATCGGACATTACCATGTCCCATTAGTGGCTGACCTCGCCGACTGTTTATGTTTATAATTATCGGACCTCTGGCCTTTCGCCCCTAGCACAAAAGATAGTACAATAATGTTGTGGGTTTGAAAGAAACCCAGAAATATTCGAGCAAACAATCATTCCCCGCCCGGTTTCGATCCTTTTAACTTTTACTTAATATTCCGAGTAAAAACATTTTACTATAGTTTTGTTTGAGTTCGAACTGTTTGACAAGAATTCGAACTATTTGTTTATGAGTTGAGTTTGACGTTCACGGAGCTTGTTTCATGGTATTTAAGCGTTGGCGTGATTTAGTATGTTTATATGTACATAAAGGTTTAATTGAATTTTGGAGTTTTTAAAGCAGTTCAATGTTTTTACGGCCCTCTTATTGTTAGATGTTTTGCGGATTTTAAAATTGAAGTTGGTGAATTTAATTGATATTGTTATCATTTTAATAATATTTTAAAATTATAAGTTACAAACGTGACATTACTATAAAATGAGTTGATTATCATAATCATGTTTTTCAGAAGCCTGATTGAACAACTAATGTGAATCACTTGGTCATTGTAATGTTTTTAAATTCTTTTTTGGTGATTTTAAGTTATGTTATTCTATTTTACTATACGTTGGCAGATTTACCGAAGCAGTGTATTCCCATAGAAGAGAATGACTTCAAAGAGTACTATGAGATGCACGGATCAGACTCTAATAGGCTGATTTACAGAGCAAGTGAGTTCTTGGCACTGAATGTTTTCGTTGTTGGACGAATTATTTGTGCTTGAAAATATTTTTTAAAATACTTTTAGATATAAACAAAAGTGTAGACGACACATTCACAGATAACCACCTTATCGGCGTCAAATGGTACAGAATCATCGTCGACGACCAATCTCCAGACAATGTAGCTTTGGTAGCCAATTACTCTGATCACATAAGGTTTTACAACTTGGACAAAGCTGATGAGTAAGTTTAGTAGCTGATAATTACTTTAGTGTGAACAGGTGTATAAATATTATGATTTAAAGTAAGTACTACTGTTAAAAAATTACATTTCAGATATATTCGTCGCGACGACGTAAAAAACATATCTCTGGACAAGATATTCACTTACAAACATTACATATTCTACTCTCCCAAAGGATTTATCCTACTCAATGAATCTCACGTCGACGAAGATATGACAGAAGCCAATATTAAGCTGGACTTGACTGAAGACGAACTGGCCGAAATCAGGGTTAAATGCTGGGTATGTTATAATAAAAGTAAAGACGATTGTGTGGAACTGTGGTTAATGTATAAGTGTTATGCACATATGTTAAAGTTGTGCGATATACTTTGAGCTTTACGGATTTTTAGTGTAAGTGTATAATAATAAAAATAAAGTTTAGATTTTTAATTTGAATATTTAGAATAATGGCAGTAAATGTGTGTCAGAAAATGGGAAACTGGTCGAAACTAGAGCCAACGACAGTTTTGTTGTATATAGTGCTGAAGGCATTCAAATTCGCGGGTAAACAATCTGACATTTTGCTTTCCTGTATGGGGGGTTTGTCACAACTAAAACATTATTTTTAAAATTTTAAAATGGCGTTATTAGTTGAGTAATATATTTATCATATATTGAGTTGTGTCTTGGTAAAAATCGATGATCTTTTGGTGTTTCAGGGTAACACATTCGAACAAATTTTTTATTTACGACAAAGTGTCGCGGAAGAACTTTTGTTTCCCCGATGACTTGAAAACTCATCGAGACTGCGACGAAACCGAGGTATGTTAACATAAAATATTTTTGAAAACATATTTTCGGGTTATGCGATCTTGTAGCTAATTAAAAATATTGTCGACTATCTAAAAAGACTTTTCATTTAAAAAAAGTGTTGATCTCGGGCGGGCTCGAACCGCCGGCCTTCTGTGTGTTAGACAGATGTGATAACCACTACACCACGAGATCACGGTATGCAAGGTTTATATATCTGACTGCTAACCTTTTAAAACTGTTTCTAACAGTTAATTTAAATGAACGTTTAGAAGTTTCGTGAAGTTGACAGCCGGTTTCCTCTAATACGCAAAGATTCACCTTTTTTAAAACGACGTTTGGCCTATGTTAATGTACCCTACCCGAAAAGCGAAAACAAGTTAGGAGGATGTCAAAAGAAGAATCTGGATTACAGCGATCACAAAACACCAGTAACTGACACAAAAACGAGTATCAACGCATAAGTATTATATTTATAAATAAAGATAAAAGGAAATGCTCAGGGTATGGTTGAGGGAGGGGTAGTGTTGGAGGGAAGAAAAGTCAAACGTTTTTTTTAGAAAAGAGGAGTTTCAACTATTTTTTAAACCAAAATCTTTAATGAACTTCTAAAACAACCGTTAAAAGCCCTAAAATACTCGACTTTAACGTGAGCAGTATAGCCAAGAACATTAGTAGATGAGTAATGTGAATATATTGTTTCTCAAGGCTCCGTCCAGGTGTGTGTTCTTCTAGAATTATTTTGGAAATTCGATTGGACGGCTGTCATGAGGACCAAAAAGTCTATTTTTATTTTATTTGGCCAGAGGGGTTTATTCATTTTTTGTTTAAATGTGTTTTTGAATTAAAAATTACGAAAATCTAAACCTAAATTATGTTTTGTATATTATCTTTAGGCTTATTTTGTACTTTGTAAGGTACTGTTGTATTTTCTATTTGTGTTACATTGATTTAGGTTCCTTTTTCTAGTTATGTTATTTTGATTTAAATAGGTTTTTACTGTACTTTAGCAACATCCTTTCTATTTGTTTGTAGACAGCCTGTTTACCATAAAGTTCATATCAGTTTACTTATATTTGTTTCAACGAACCTTGTGGAACGTGTTTGTCAACATTAATATTCCGATATCAACATTGTTTTGTTTTTTACCGCTTTGTCAAAATATATTGTACTTTTTTATTCTTACTAAGAAACCCAATTAGTAGCGCGCAGTAATTGATGAGAAACTATATAGTATACTATTATATGACAAAAAGACAAAAGTGGTATGTGTTGGTAAAACATTATACTGTTATATGATACACAGCAGTAAGTTAGTATTCATTAACATGTTACAAAGAGAAAGACGGTCGCAGTGATATGATACGCAGAGAAAGACAGTATTCAAATGGCGAGAAGGCTAAAGAAATTTCATTAAAAAGGCAAAAAGAAATTTATAAAGGGCGAAGAACAACCTTCTTTTTTATAGCCGGCTCTCAAGGACACGGACCGGCTTGTGCTGGCCCCAGGAATGGGCTGGCAGCGTCCCGGCCGTTCCTTTGTTTGGTCCGTCTTGCTTCTCGAAAGGGCCGTTTTGTCTTTCGAAAGCGGTCCGACTTAGAAATAGCCCCTGGGTCTTCGGCGGAGATGGTCGGGCCAGCCGGCTGGCAGTAACGAAAGACCGTCTCTTTGCAGTTCTTTGACTGTCTAACGTTTTGTTTGTTGGCAACGTCTATATCTAAACGATTATCCTACAAACTAGTCTTTGTGGCTCTCATTACTTATGTAACTTAGCCTTACTCTATGCCACATAGAAAAGTTTCACTTTTCTTCTTTTTCTCAAACAGTCTCAGCTCAGCCACCGTTCCATCGTCTTTCTTAATCGTCCATCTTCGTTCGGCCTTCTCAAGCAGCCGGTCCTTGTCGCCGCGTTGGAAGGGCTTCTCTGGGCAGGGGAGGGCGGTGCTTGAGCGTTTCGCCTTCGCACTGTCATCGCGTCGTTCCGTTCTCATTTCAATCTTTTGCCGGCCGTCCGAACGGCGGTGGACAATTGCGCGGGAAAACGAATATATAAAGGAACGGCGGCGATTGTGTGTGTCGTTCTGTGGAACAGACGGTTGCGCACGCCGGGAAGTGGTTTTATTTGTTTCTTGTTTACTCATCATGAACTCTGGTTACTTGGCAGTGTCCACAACTTACAGTAGGGGTTTGAGGTCAAAAAGAGTCGCTTTCTGAACTTTACATTGTCAAGGATTAGAAAGTAAAAATATGGTGGTGTGGTGACAAGGATGTAACTATTTTTGAAAAGTGGCGACTTAGATTAAAAGTTCAAAAAATTGATACTGTTTGCAAGTTAACAACAGTTAAGAGCCTAATTATATGTCTTTCTCTACAGTTGTTTACTTAATCCATTAATACTTGCAAAGGCTTCGTACTATTATTAATGTTCCTGCTGCTTGAGGAGGAAGGGAACGAGGTCGATGCTAATTCAAATTTTTCATTGCGCACTCACCCTCAGCCGGGCGGGGCCCGGCTTCCTGGGAGGGGGGGAAAGAAGAGCCAGCCAGTTACTGAAAACGGCTTCGGCTGGGACGACGGCATTCCCTTTACTTTATTTTAGACGGGTTTGTTTCGCGCCAAAATTGGAAATCAGATACGGCCTTAATTGGTTTAACTGTTTCTTTCAAGAAGCAGATGGTAGTTCGAATTGCGGGGGAGGGTGGGGTAATGGATTTTGAAGGTACTGATTAGTAAATTTGGGTATAGAAATATGAGGAACGGGGGGTGTAATTAAGCGAGTTAGTGTTAACAGTATTTTGCTTATTTGTATAATATTGGCTTTTACATTAATAGTTTCGAAGGTCTTTGGTTAAAAAAGCAAGGATATTTTTTAGTAGAAAGAAGTGATATTTTACACAATTTTTTGGCTGTTTTGATTTAAACTCTGACTATCACAATGACTGACGCACTTTTTATAAGCCGACTCATTATAACACGTTGTTTTAAGTGTTTTGGTGTTTCCTTAAATCCTTTGAAATTTCGCAGTGCCTACTGACCTCTAAAGGTCACGACAAGTTCAATTCATCAAAACGCGACAAACACTGCGCGGTAATTGCACGGTGCGCTTTTCAATGAAAATCCATCTTGAAGGTTATGGTTTATTTACAAAGTAAAATAATGAATTCTTATTTTATAACCATTTTGTTTTGATCGCCCGAGGGTTTCAGTAGATTTTCAATTTCTCAACATGGTTATCTACTTGACATCTACTACAATATAATATAAAAATATATTAAATTTGCGAGAAAAAGATACAAAAAGTGGTGTTAATTTGTTTGTTTGTCTGATAAGCAAATTAAAAAAACAATAAAGTCGGAACGTTCTGGAACGCCGATTGTTCCGCCCTTTTTGTGATAAGAGTGATTTCTTAAGATTTGGGGATTTCGAAGCTTAAAACAAAGTACAAGTATCTTTGTTTACTTCTCAGATTCTTGTTTCTATTTTTATTATATTTTTTGCTTTTATGATAGGGGTGACTAAACTACCTTTCTATAGTATATATTATATATTTACGTGCTCTTACAGCGTTTATGTGAGCATTATAATGTATAACAAGACCAACAAATGCCTTAATGTGTAGTATAATTTCGTTGTAAATGCAATGTTACATTACATTAGTTGTCATCAATTTAGTTGAGTATTTTGATAGTTTTTTAGAAGGTTTCTTATCGTGATGCCGTAGTGACGTATTGTTTTTATATTATAGTAACAACAATTTACCGTGTTTTTGGGTTTTTTATTATTAAACCGGTACTTAAACTCTGAATTTTCAGGCTTTCGCTTGTCGCTTCGCTTATAAATTTCTGTCGCCATGTCTGCTGAAGAAGTTGCCGCTCAAGAGCCCGTAGTCGAGAACAACAACGCCGAGAAGGTCGAGGAAGTGAAAGAAGTGAAAGAAGACAAAGTGGAAGAGAAAGTAGAAAACGGTAAAGAAGCTAAGGAAGCCGAAAAGACTGAGAAGGAAGAAGAAAAGAAGGAAGAAGAGGAAGAAAAGAAAGAAGAGGAGGAAGAAGAAGAGAAGGACGAAAACGAAAAGACCGAGGAATCTGAGAATGGAGCTGCCAAGGAAAACGGAAAAATAACTGTAAGTCGCTTCTGCTGATTTATAACGTTTAGCCATTGTCTTTGGGAAAAATTTGTAATAAGCGAGAAAAATGGGGCCACTGATTTTAAATTTAGGGCGGGGTAGCTTTCATGATGGCTAAAAATATTCGGTGTGATTTAGTCATAATAACTGTTGAAATATGGTTTTATTTTCAGAAGAGAACTTCCGACGTTCACGAAGTCGAAGAAGAGCCAGTAGCCAAGAAAGTCAAATCGGACGCTGACTCTACCGAAGCTGCCGAACCTGTCGCGGCTGCCGAATAGAGTGTCGTTTCTTCTTAATGTATTTTAATTATTTAGTGCTCTTTAACTAATGGTCTCTTTAATTAATCTGCGTTTTTCAATTGGCCGCGACGCTCTCTGAACCGACTAACTTGTACTTAACTCTACAGTAAGACGGTTTTAAGTTTTATTTTAAAAAAGAAAAAAGCTGTTTTGGTACTTTAAAAAATATTTTTTTAAAAAACTTAAGATTTTTAAAATCAGCTAAAAACAGTACATGAAATTAAGTACGAGTTGTTGTCAATTGTAATTTCAGAAGCGACCGTGGCTGTTGTGTTGTGAAAAATTGGGAAAATGAAAGTTTTTTTTGTTATTTTGGGTTTATCTTTGGCATATTGTCTTGAAATACGTTATTTAATTATTCACAAAATTGTAAAACCAAGGGTCACCGAATAAACTTTGCTTACCCTGCGGTAAACGTGGTTGTTTACAACACATTCACTACTGTTAATTAGAGGCTTTTATAACAAAAATACAATATTATACGTTATAATAAATAGGTAAAACTAACAAGTTCAAAGATCGTGACGTGTCGTACGATACGTTACTATTACTTTTAATTTAAGTGAAAAGGCAGATAACAGGTAAAACTTATAAATGTAGTCATATACGAGTTAAAGCGTCGTGTAAAGAGCATAGTTAAAATGTACTGCAAAAATATGACATAGAGCATACTAACAAAGAAGGTGGTCTGCAACGCTCGGTTTCCATGCAAACTTTTTCTGTAACAAGATCATGTAAGAGTAAGATCTTATGCAAATTATGCGGTTTGCGGCCAGTCTTGAGAGATCAAAAATTATTTTTTTTTAACTTTTCACCAAATTGGCATTGAGTCGCATGCTTATAAAATTGCCATTTTTTTGGCTTTTAATCATTTTTCTTAAAATATATTAGTAAAAAACGTTTAAACAAAACTACGTTTTAAAATTGGTTAGCTTAACTTGTCTAGAACACCAAAAAAGTGCTTTTAACACTATGCCAAATTTGCCACTTTGGCGGAAAGTTCAAATATTTAATTTAAAAAACTTAAAACTGCAATCTAAGATTTTTTTATATGTACCATTAGTACTAAAAAGAATTCATATAAAAAGTTTGCTCAAATTCAGAGAGTTGCAGATTGGCACTTTCCTTGTAAGTATAAAGATGCCAAACTTTAAAGTATAATAAGTATATTAAGTATAATGTTTTTTTACATCTTTCTACTTAACAAAGTTTCTATAGTTCGTAGGTATATTTTTATTTTCTTAAATGCGCAAAAAAATTTTCCGTTTATAAAGTTTGGTTTATATATAATAAATATAATAACGCGTTTCTTTCTTGGCTCGACTTTGCGTTCAGAACCTCCAATAACTTTGCGCTTTTACCATTAGCTTTAAACCAAGTGAGGAGACAAAAGTCCGTGAGGTATAGCGTTTTGTTCATGGGCAACTCCAAGACGTTATGCAATGAACATTAGCATAGAAGTTTTTATAAGCATATATCTGCTTGTAACACTTCATTGTACTACAGTTTCAGCGATGGATTCGATTTATCGGTGTTTGCTTAAGTTTGTGAGTTTTTGTACTTTAAAAATCAAACATAAAATTAAGTTTATATGTGTTTAGTGAATGATTGTTGCGGCCGAAGGTCCAAAGTTACTTTTCTGTAGGTTTTGTAATAATTTCAATAATTTTTTTAATTAAAAAATAGTTAAAAATTATTATTATTCATTTTAGCTATGGCCCAATGTTGTAAACCATTTGACGTCGATGGAAGACGTGTGTTCGTTCGCCATGGTCAATAAGCACTTTTACAAGATTGTGGCAATAGACTTCAAGTCTTTGTGTTACAAAAACGTTATCTTCCGTACCTATGGCGAGACGTGGGCTTACGCGTTCCAACAGTAAGTTTTTAAATTAAAAAAGTTATTAACCTTGCTGTTTTTTTTTATCAAAACTATTATATTATACTATTCACAAACCTATGACACTAAAGTGTTAACGAACATCTTTCAGTTCGAGTAACCGCACTTTTGGTCAAATAATCGAACCAATCAATAACCGAATTACGAATATGATTCTACACAACAGTGTCTGTTGTCCATATTCTGGCACGATGGCGATATTTGTGCGCCATAAATATGTTTTCATCACGAACATTGACTCTTCTTTGAGCATGTACCAACTAATCGACTTCACAAAGTGGCCAGCAATTCTCCATATCCAACTTATCAAAAAAGGAGCTCAGTTACTAATCACAACATCATTTTTTTATATTATCTATGACTTGACACTTGACACAGTAGTCAGAGCCTACTATTACGAGCTAGAAACTCAATATGGTTGGTACGTTGTAAGAGAAAGTGATGGTACTTTATTCGATGTCTACAATCAAATTGAGCTTGAGTTGGATGCGTCAGTGCCACACGATAATTTTAAAGCTCTACTACAGCCGGTTGACACATTCAAAGAGCGATCATACCTACAGTATTACCACCAAGAAAAAGGACACATGGTTTTAAATTTGAAAACTAGAAATGAAATCAGTTTACCGGTATTAGGCCAATGTTCTGAACCCATGGAAGCCAATGGATTTTTGATAGATGCTAACTGTAAGTTGTTACTGTGACATTAAATCGTTTATTAAAGTTAACATAAAAGATAAGATATATTTATATATCAAAGTCAAAGCAACATCTAGTTTATATTATAAAAATGTAAAAAAATTACTGTAAGTAAATGTTTTTAAAAACGTTTTAGTCAACAACGTGTGCATTTACAATCTGGATACAGGAGACTGTGTATTCAATAAAGATATGCACCGAGCTATCTTGTTTTCGAATGAGTTTTTCTTGAGCCCTTATTCTAAAGATGTAAGTATTATACTTTCTTGATAAAAAAGATTTATTTACAAACACATATTTACGAGGAAAGTGTCCGACCTGCCGCTCTCTGATTTCAAACTTTTAGTATATTTATATTTACGATGTAGATATAATTTATTCAGCAAAGTACCGATATTTCTGAAAATCTCGAAAAATCGAGATTACGAAATGACGTTTTGAATTTACCGCTAAATTGGCATTGTGTTTCAAGTCTTAAACTTTGCCGTCTTGCCGTTTAATCATTTTTCTATGATATACTAGTAAAACCTTTAAATGAAAATACTTTTAAAATTTGAAAACGTACTTTATCTGGAACATCAAAAAAAGGCTTGCAACACAATGCCAAATTTGCCTATCGGCGGGAATCTCAAATATTTAAATATTAAGACAAAAGCGCGAGCCAAAATTTTTTTATGAGTTTTTTTATGATAGAATTTATATAAAAATTTTTAACCAATTTTGAGTGGGTATGTTCTCTAAGACGGCTGATTTTGAGTGGGACAGGTTGGATACTTTCTTGTTAATTGTATCTTACATTTGGTTTTAAAGTTTTAGTATGTATTTTACGACAAAAAATGGAAACAATGGGTGGCAACAAAGTGCCATTATCGTGTCATACCATGTACAACTTACATAACACTGGCACCTTTTCTTCATGCAACCTTAGGATATACATTCGAATCTACGGAAAGTCCAGGTTTCTACGTTCACATCGAATTCAAGAACGGTAAGTTTTAGACTTTTCACAGACCTTCTGGTAAATAATAGAGTTACCGTAGTTTTCTGACATTTAATATCGTTATTTTAAACTTAATCAATTTGTAAATAAACTGTATTCAATATATAATATATATAGACTGTGTATTCAATTTTGCAGATCGCCTAAATACCAAAACTTTTAAACCTGTAACGCAACATGACGATCAGTTTCAAATGCTGAAGTATTCAAGCATCGACGATATAGCCTGGGATTATGTTAAGCTACTCTACAGAGTTAAAGAACGCGAGAACGAAGACACGGTTTTGACATGGGCTGAAAGGATGTTACGATTAAAATAGTTTGACATTCCTTACCAAACGGATCATGATGAAGGCATGGAAGAAGATGGATAGTTTTTGTTGCAGATTTTAATAATTTCTATTGTTTTAAGAGAATAAAAACGTAATTGAAACCTATTTGTGCTTTGAGATTTTATGCAAATTTAGTAAGTTATAACTATACTTGAAAATGGACGCACTCGGCCTGGTTTGGGCCCTTTACAGGTCCAGTTATAACTGCTCAAAGAAGCTTCATGAGCATTTGAAAGGTAGCTACATTATAACGGACCAATATGATGCAAGTATGTATGCTTTCTAATATCTCTTTTTCTTACTTTAATCAAACTCAAAAGTACGACATTACTATCAGTCAGTGTAATGTAAATCTTATGGTAAGCCGTATAAACCTTAAAGCAACGTTTAACTTTTGTAACAGCACAACTGAACGTAAAGTAAAACCTTTATTAAACATTAAAAGACATAGGACTAGGTGAGAGGATCTTTTATATTATAGTAGGTGTTATTGCAATGGTAGAGCATATGGCAAAGTAACAAAGAAAGCTAGCGGAAACCTGATGTAAGTTAATATTCGTTAGTAATGGTGCACTTCCTTCACGAAGGTGGTCTTCTTCTTTGGTTTATTTACGTGACTTTCACCTGCTTCGTCCACAATTACCTAAAATACGAACATTTAAAGTTACAGTAACATAAGGGTGCTCAACATCAAATGGACAATGTTATTTTAGTTAGCGTGTTTGAACCAAAAACAATTACAAAATACTTAAAACTATTGTAAGAAATGTAGCGGTTGACAAAACCCAGTTTATTTATGTACAAACACGCTTCTGACAACGTCAAACGACAGATGGATTCACATTGACGTAATGTAAACTGCCGTTTTTATTTTGAATTGGCACACTTACTTGAAACCTGGGTGCAGCTTGTGGCACAGAACCAGGTGCACTTTTAATCGATTCAGAGTGTACCAAGTGTACCTTTTTGGGCTCTTCTTCTTCCTCGTCGATTTGTCTGATGTCGTCGCTGCTTATCGGATCCATGGCTTTGGTTCTTTTGCTACATCCATCTACATTACGGTAGACTCCGATTGCTGTCAAGAACACCAAAGCTCCGAGGTAAAGCGCTACTCCTACACAGGTCAGAGTTACTACTTTGTCAAACTCCATAAAGTCGTTGTAATCCATTGTCTGAAGACAAGATACGTTTTTAAAAAAAGCAATGATAATATGCCATTTTATATATTATATATTTATATAATGTAAAGCACTTAAATGTACTGTAATAAAACAACTATATAATTTAGAATACTTAAGCCTACTATAATGTAAACACTTGCATTAAAAAGTCTATTATTGAAACTTACTTGAACAGTAAAGGCTGACAGTACTGCAGTATACAAGGATCGAAAGTAACTATCAGGGATGGCTGATGAGTACAGTATGACACTGAATGCAATCAGAAACCAGACATAGACAGCCGTGCAGGTTAGTAACATATGTGCTTCCGTTATTGACTTGTCGTTCATCTTTTGACGCAGTAGCCACTAAAATGTTATTGTCTATATTAGATTGGTCAAAAAGTTCCCGGCCCCTGTTAAATAGAAATTTTTTAAAAATAAGAAGAAAAATAATATAAGACGATACTGAAACATAATATAAAATACTAAAATTTAACAGTAAATTTAACCTTAATACCTGCATTTCAAGAGTTATGTTAATATAGTTTAAAACTTTACCTTAACTGAGGCCAAAGTAGTAAACGCCCAAGTAACAATAGTACCCATATAAAATGGCACCCCGAACGAGGCATAAAACAAGGCAAAGATTTGTCCGCCAATTGTTTTTGGAGCTCTGGTACCGTGTCCCATTGTAGAGATCAAAGCCCAACAGTACGTGAGAGAGTTGGTAAACGACCACGCCTCGTCGTTCGGCCGATTAATCGGCAATTCAGTCTCATAGAGCTTCAGATGACGGTAGAGAAGCTCCTGAAGAGACACGTTTTCAATTTTAAAATTTAAATTTTATTAATAACTTATCATTGATAACCTATGTTAACATCAAAGACACTCACTTCCATACGGGCCTGATTGACCTTGTCCACGATGACCAGCATGTTCGAGCTTTGATTGAACAGAGAGGCCGTGATCTCCCTCGAGGCATGTTTCCTGTTGGCTCCCAGCCTCAAGTGAAATCTTTTGACGTAGTTCTCGTGATTCGTATGTTCAAATGCCAAGAAGGCGGTAGCACCAATCAGAAGATAGACCAGCAATGCCAAAAGCAAGAGAATAGGTGCCAGTCTTCTGACTATCACGAACACATCAGGTGGTATACGACGATGCGCTTTCTTCACCGACTCGTTTAGCCAAATCATTGCTGAAAAATGTCATTTTACATTGTGTAAAAGTTAATTTAACATTTAAAAATCTTAAAAAGTTTTTAGAAAAGTTGTTTTTAGTTGTTTAAAAAGCGTTTCAAAGAAAAATCACAGCCAATTTTAACACAAGATTTGTTTTGTTTAAAAAATACGAGATTTTTAATATATAAAATTATTGATGTCTTGCAGCAACATCTGCTTGTAGTCGCCAAAAACCTTTTATGAATACTCAATTAACAAAAACTACATAGTAAACATCAGCTTTTCTAACGAAAAGTTTAGTATTGTATATACTTTAACATACACCCAAACTTAGTCTAAAACTGCTAACAGACAACCAAAACTACCCACCAAAGCCTTACTTTTGTGTGAGCACGACAAACAGTCAAAGTATTGTGACATTGCGCAATTGCAACCTCAAATTGCCTTAATCTGCATTAATTGCAACAAAAACCGAGTTTCACGCATTTTACGGAGTCATAGTAAAAGTAAAATAAACTAATTTCCAGGTTCTCAGCGGTTTCATCGCCTCAGGGGTTGAGTACCCTCTTTAACGGAGAAAAAAGTGAAACAATAATGGCGACAGACAGGGTAAAACTGTTCAAACTCACAAAATATCTTATTTTAATGTTTTTTGGCATTTTTGAAAATTTTAAATTTTAAATTATGACATTTTTAAAAAATTTAAAAGTCTTTTAAAACGACCATAAAATCTGAAAAAAATTAAAAATATAAGTTTTAGAAAAAGTCAAGTATCACATGAGTAGAACACCAAGATACCACCATCTTCCTTCCGACCATTATCCAAAAACAAAAGATTTGATCGCCGCAACAATTACAAATTATTACTCCGACCGTAAAACAATACAAATACGCCTCAAATTACACTGTCTCTTACATGTTACTCACAGTATCACAGAGTTTAACCGTTTTTTAAAAAACAAAAAAATTATAAAATACGACCATGAGAGTGACCGTGGTTAGTTTAAATGCCATAGCAATCGACCCGAGAGTTTCGTTAATTTTTGATTACAGCCGATTTAATATCCGAACAAATTCGTTAGAACAATTTCGGATGTTATGCAATTATTATATCGCTCTACGTCGCTAATGAAGCTCAAGAAGCTTGTGAAGAATTTTAAAATATGCAGATTTTTATATTCTAATCTAAGATACATAGACGTTTAAGCATATAAATGTATATTCATCAAAGTTTAATTAAGGGTGAGGAACAAATTGGGAAGAGCCTAGTTTTAAAAGCCCGGATCTTTAGTTCAAGGCTAGCCCTGAGCAAGATCTGAGCCGAACCGAGCCTTCACGGCCCGCTTCTCATCCTTATATTTTGTTTATTGTAACTTCCTATGCCATTTTTTAAAATAATATCTAATTTTGGTTTTTTTAACTTTGTAAAACTACGTACCTTCTTAGTTACTGTAGACTGATCTCTTCACTCCAGTTTTTTGGTTTACAATTGGAATTAACTCTAAAACAATTAAAATTAATTTAATTAGCGTTGAACACATTTAGGCTTTGAAATCTATACAAAAACAATTGTCTTTACAAGACACTAATACTCAAATACTATTTGTACCAATAAAGTTAAGCAAGTAATTTTAAAAATATATTAATTGATACTAAAGGCAAAATACTATAGTGACATTGTTATGACAAAACATGTCTCAACTATAAATTATATAAAAGTGTCAAAAAATTGTTCTTTAGTACAATATAGAGTATCAAAATATGTTTAAAAAGATATAAAATCGAAAGTGTAAAGCTGTTTTTTGTCGTATAGCAGAGAAATATTTAGCTCTTCATCAGATAGCCTACTATAACATTTATCAAAAATTCAATTTTGGCCATCGTTTGGAAGACATTTCACTTCCAAAAGACATATAAACTTCATAAAAGAATATCCGCGCAACACCCAAATTTACATATAATCCCTGAGGGCATAAGTTTATTATGTGTTTGAAGTGGATATCAAGATATTTCAAATTGTCTAAGTACTATTGGTAATGGTTAAGGTTGTTTATGCGTAAGCATAATGTAACAACAAATAAAAATAATATTAAAAAATACTACGAATATAAAATGGTAAATTAAAAAAATATTTTGTTTTTACAAACCCCACAATCGTGATATGACATGTTGTGGAAAGAGTTTAGCAAATTTGTTTTGAAACGAAAAATCGAAACAAATTCAAGTGAAATCTTTTTTATTCACAAACCGGATTCGGTCTCCGGATGCCAAATTCGCTGTAAATCTGGAGATGGCAGTAGCACACAATGTATCATATATGTTGCGCTGGAAAGACTAAAGAACGGGATGGCACAGCTCAATTAGGACATTTGGGTTAAAACTCAAATTTTGAAAATTTTAAAAACAGCGACAACACAAAAGGTATACTGTAGAACTGCTGTATAACGAATTGCTTAGGGATTTTAAGTTTGTTCGTTATAAGAGAGTTTTGTTATACAGAAACTTTGTTATAAAGCAGTTTTGTTGTACAGAGTTCCACTATATTTTTATTGTAACATATTACCTAAAATTAAATTAACGTAAATTATACTTAAAAGTAAAGTGAAAATACCAACAGTAATATAATGTGTAAGACCTTGTAGAAGCTGGGAAAGCTTATGGCCACGAATCTGGTCACAACGAAAAGGCCAATTTGGCATTGGGTCAAAAAACACGTCTCAAAAGTGTTTAAAACCGGAAATGCGAAAAATGGACAGAGAAAGTTTGCAAAGAATTATTAATAAACGTGAATAAAATATTTATTCTCATCTTCTTTGTATATGTCATCATATAGCGTAACTTTTGTATTAAGAACTTCTCGATAACAAAGATCTTGTATAACGAACAGTTTTTGAATCTGTAGTTAACACTACAAAGTTTATTTAAAACTTCTGAACAATAAATTCTGTATAACAAACAACTTTAAAAACTGAGCAATTTGTTATACAGGATTTGTACTGTATTTATTGATTACTTACTTTATATATTATAAGTTGTGCTTTAATTTGACTTTATATTATTGCTGTTAGTTGTACTTCTATATCTGTGTAAATTAGTAATGTTGTTGTGACTTTTTATAAACAAGTCAAAAGGTATACAAGTCTGTTACTTCGATCATTTTTGATTCAATCGGAAGCCACTTCAGCTTTTGTCATAAAAACTTTGTAAATATTTATTTGAAGCGCCGCTCTTACAATAACAATTTGCTTTTGACAACTTCTGTTTATCGCTGTAGTCAAACTCAGAAGTTTATTGGCTGGAAATATTAATATTTTAAATTTAATTTTTAAAAGTTCGTTTTGTTTAACTTTAATTTTTTTAAAATTTAAGCATTTTTTAGAAACATGAAGTCGCTCCTGAAGTTGATCATCGTGTCGGTCTTGGCAGTTAGTTGGGTGTTGAGTGCACGACCTCAGCAAAGCGTATCAGTGGCTGGCAAGTTCACGTGCGATGGAAAACCTGCCAAAGATGTGGTATGTCATGGTTATTACCAGTTTTAATCATTTTTAAATTTTAATCTTGACTATTTATTGTTACGAGAAGTACTACTCTTTTTTAAGCCCCCAGGTTGCAATTGGCTATTTTTTAAAAATTTTATCTTGTGTTTGCACGGTGCAAAGAACCTTTTTTGATATTGCACAGTGCACCCTTGTACCTCTGCACTGTGCAAGAACTCTTCTTTACTTTTGCACGGTGCAAGCCGCTTTTTGTCCGGAAAAGAATGAGAGAAAATCGCACAGTGCAATTTGGAGAGATCGCTGTCGCGTCAAGACTTGAAGGACAATCAGTAAGGTCTGCGACAGTCGCTTGCATCCTGCGACATCCTAATGGAAATTGGAATATTGCAGAGTGCAAAGCTTTGCGGCAAACATTCGCGTCGCAGTTTGAATGGCGATGTGACAGCGTGTCACGGTTGTCGCAACGCTTAAGCCAACACTGTGTTCAATGGAAGGTTTGCGACAAGATTTTTTTTGACTGCCGTGAGTCCCCAGGTTTCCCGACCAATGCGACAATTGGGAGCTTGCACTGTGCAATCTTTCCACCATCGTTTGGAGTCGCAAGCTTTTCGGGGATCGCACCGTGCTGTTGCCAAATTTTTTACCGGAATGACTGATAGCGACAAAATGTTGCGTCACTTTCTGAAGAAGCGAGAAAAATGTTGCAAATTGCGAGCGACAAAAGCTTTGAGTTTTGTCACAAACGTGTTGCAGCAACATGTTCAGCCTCTTGCTGTTGAGATGGGTTTGGCGACAAAATGTTGTCGCGATTGCACAGTGCATTCGGAAGAATATGCACGGTGCAAAGGCTTAAAAAGGGTTCCTAGGGATTGCACGGTGCAGTGGGCTTTTCTTTAAATCAATGCACGGTGCAGTAGGCTAAATGGGTTTAAGCTGCACGGTGCAAAGTTTTATGCTTTCATAAATGATTGATAGGAAATGAAACTTTGAAGGCAGACATAAAGAAGGTTTTTGGCGATAGACTGCGTATTGTAAAGCTGCTTTGTAAAATACGTTTACTGTTAAACTTTAAGAATAAACTGCACCGTGCAGTAGGCTAAAAAAGCTTTATTGTATAAAGCATTGCGCAACTTGTTAAACTGATTTGGAACTTTTTTTTAGGATAGAAGCTCAGTAAAATTTATCTATGTCAACCTACCACGACTTTTGATAATGTAAAATAAACTTTGGAATTTCAGAAAGTAAAGCTATATGACAAAGACACTTTTACCTTCGACGATCTGATGGGCAAGTCTCAGTCTGATGCCTCTGGCATTTTCAAAGTCGAAGGAACGGCCAACGAAGTCACCAACATTCAGCCAAAGTTGAACGTATATCACCGATGTAACTACACTCCTCTACTGCCCACTTGTTACCAAAAGTTCTCTATTCGAATCCCTTCTAACTACATCACCAAAGGCCCTCGAGCGGCTAAAACCTTTGATGTTGGAACGATAAACTTGGCTGGAAAGATGAGCGGCCAAGGAACCGACTGTCTCAATTAAACTTTCGAAGTAAACCTGATTTTGTAAAGATTGATACCTATTACATAGTAAAAGTAAAGTAAAATATAAAATGACACAAATCGTGTATCCTGCGTTTAATCAACTGAAAGGCCAACGTCGTTTACGAAGCAATCACTGAAAAGAAAACAGTTACAACTGATAACAAAAGTAGATAACATGAGAATAGGTGACAATAAGAGAAGATAACAGTAAGAAAAGCCAACAACAAGACTATATAAACAATTGGAGATGTTATCGAAAGAATAGCTGATCGTACTTTCTTCTCTTCTGGATTGTCCTCTCCTATAGAGAAGACAGAGACGGTCAGTCTCTCGGAATCGACCAGTTTATCGTCAAACAGAATGGCAGCTTGTTGCACTCCAGTGTCCGGACCGTACTCGATGTGAAGTTGATCGTTGTGAGTCACGGATTTCTGAAAACTCAGGTTCATCTTTTATTTATCAAAAAAATGATAAAAGTTCTTGCAACTTAAAATTAAAAAAATTATTTTATTAATTAAAATTTTAAAAAAATAAGACTTACCAGTCGATTAATGCTAACGTAAGTCTTCTGACCAGCCAGAACAAACCCGCTTAAGGGGGTGATACGGAATAACTCTTGGTTAGGGGGAAGGACACGGAAGCAGAGTTTGGTGGTACACGTGTTGATAATGTGCAGAGTGATCCAGCATTGCTTTGGCCCAAACTAAAATTATAAATTAAAAAAATTAGTAAGAAAAAAAAAAGTCGCAGTCAAGGCTTTTTTTGCGAAAAACTGAAGATCAAAATTGCTTGACTTTTGCCACAGAACGCCAAAGTTTAACGTTTCGTTACCCTTTAACAAAATAAAGGAAGTGAAAGACCTACGTTGACTTCAGTTGGAATGGTCTTGATCGAGTACTCCACTTCTCCGTAGACACTTTGTTCGTAGGGCTTGGCTGGAGCGACTAGCTTGGCAGGATGAGGCTTTCCCGCTGGCGACTTGGCCTTGGTCTTGCATTCTTTATCCTTTGGCGTTTTGGCTTTGGCTTTCTCCGGTTTTTTGTCCTTATCTAAAACAAGGCGTGAAGAAATTTACATAAACTAGTGACATAGAGTTATATTTATTATAAGATAGTGTGCAACACCATACTAAACGTAAACAGAGTGTAATCTAGGCTAAAACACTTTATCTCTCTGTCTCTAGGTTCCACAAAGCCTTACCTTTTTTATCAGGTCCTGGTGCCATTGGAATTGAAAACGATCAACCGACTATGACTTTGTGGAAGAATCAAATGAAACGTCCTTCTTTCATTTTCGAATTCACAAAAGTTGACTTATTAAAAATTAAAAATTTTTTTAAAAGTAAATTGTGTTAAAAAGTAGAGTTTAAAAAGCCTTTTAAAGACAGTAAAACTTATAGATTTTATTATAACTTAACAATCCTTGTCAATGAGACGTTTCAATCCTACCTCGACCTCTTACTCCTGTGGCCTATCATATTCTAAAATGGTTTGGTCAGTTGTTGCTGAGGTATGAAAGGTAATGTAAAGACCTACTCAGACCAACATTACACAAATTCCTTTTATTAATTAACGTGTCTTGGAATCGTGTTTGAATCGATTAAAACGAACTTCTAATCGGGTTTGAACCGTGATGTAAAACATTATTTGACGTGAACTGTCGTGAAACGGCGAGATTTTCCCCATTTTTCCGTGTTTTTTCACAAATTTTAAAGTGATTTTTTTGAAATTTGGGAAACTATGTTTGGCGCGTATCTCTTGTTTTCATCGTACGTGAGTTTAGAAACGTAGTAAACTTGTAACACAAAGGTTAGTGGTTCAATTTATAAAAATACAGCTGTAAAGTACGTACAGGCAGGTCCGGGCGCTGGGGGGGGGGGGGGGGGGGACTGTCATAAAGCAGACGTTAATCACATTACATACTTTCAACTCCTTGAAATCACCCTTAGGTGATAAGATAGTTTCGTCATTAGAAAAACAAAATATTTATTCTTTTCTTGTTTACCAAAGATATTGCTTCTTTTGCTGCCTCTTCTAATATTGTCCTTCCAATTAATAACTGCTGTAAGTCGATTAAAATACTCTCTTTGTCGTATGTTGTTCTTACTACGTATTAAAGTCTAGTTGTTGGATCACAAGCTGTTTACTCTAAGATTGTTTCGTGTTTATTAGTCTAAACACTTTTTTTATCTGATTTTAAAAGATCTAAACATAGTTTTGCCAAGTGATAGCGATCATGATAATACGTATATAAAAACGAGGGATATTGGGGATGCCAGACATTAGAGATCTCCACGTGGTTTTCTTGAATGTTTTATGTTCAAAGCATGGCCTTTAAGTTATGTATCATAAGTTTATGTCTTGGGACAAGGGTTTTGTAAACAATTTTAAGATTTAAGTAAATTGTCGTTTATGAAATTATGTTTCAAAAAGCGATGTATATTAAGAAAAGCAATGTTTATAAAGTTGGTATGTCAATTAAGCGTTTCCAGAAGGTTGTAAAGCGATAAAGAGCATTGTAAACTTGATTGATGTCTAATATTCACCAAGAAAATCGCATTAGAGAGTCAGCAATACCTTTTTTAAATCTATTAATTCAGAATTTTAATGGGGTCATAAATTATAAAAAATTTGTAAATTAACTTGCTACACGTGCTACAATTAATTTTACTTTTGATTAAAGATTTGTGATTGATAGTTTTACTTGGGAAAGAAAAATTATGATCTTAATACTTTTTTTTGACTACAGATTGGCTTTTTACAGTACCAAAAGTCTGTAGAGTTAACTATGGCATCATCCTGTTAAAAACCTTAAAAATTACAGTAGTCCACAAAATCACAATCCACCCATGTGATACGTATTATGTGACAAACGACCTTGTTTTCAAATATTTTACAAAATTATTACTGCCAAAACACTAGAATTACAACTCAAATGACATGAAAAGCACGTGAACGTCCTATGCGGTGTTCTTTGGGCCTTTTCGAAAGCTGTGGCCTAGCCCTAGAGAAAGAGAGAAATTTCGAGCCCGCTCTTTTTTCGTCTGTCATTTTCTCATGGAAATTGGGAAAATGTAAATATTTTTGTTTATTAGAAACTATTTTAGGCCAGTGTTAAGAAATAAGCTTATTTTACAAGTTTAATGACACAATCGCATTTGAGAGCGAATTTTAATCAAATTTCAAAGATTTTTTGAGATTTTTTATCCTTTTTCTGTCAAAGCTATCTGCTTCCTCTTTCAAGGCAAGAATCTTAAATAAACTGCCAGAAGCTTGCAGTTTGTAGTTTAATAACGTAGAATATTGTCTTTTATCTGTCGCTATTTAAAAAATATTTAAACTACTCTAATTTGCTTTTTTGAAAAATTTAGTTTTTATTTAGGCTTCATGTTTTTATAAATAGATTTAAGGGCTTTTAAGTGCAGTTTCTATTCGATAAAGGGGTAGAAAAGAAAATATTAAAGACGTGACGTGCCTGGATCAGTTCGCAACCTTAAAATTTACTTCCGGGACTAAAAACAGCTAGTTTTAAAACTTTGGAACCACTCTTTGACTCGAAGCAGTACGGATTATGTGCCCGCCACCACGTACTTTCTGCTGTCATAACAAGTCTAGTTTTTTTAAATGTTATTTTCGTACTGTGCCCGAGTAACATTGTCCAGCTGTGAGTGTCAAAGTACACTTTCTTTCGCAACGTTTGGCCAGTAATATTAATAGCAACAGCAAAAGGGGGAGGAGGAAAGACATTAACAGACTGTCTTTTTCAAAAAAGCCATCTCTCAAGGCGGGGCGAACGGCGGTCTGTCTGGCCAAACATTTTAAAGCTAAACCTGACTTTCGTTCGCGCATATTACTAAATATTCATCTTGACATTAGTTGTCTTGTTTTACATCGCTCTGATTACTATTGTAAATACTCGTCTACCGTGATCTTCCGTTGAAGAGGTTGTAACGATGTCAGACGTTATGGTCAGTATTTTATGTTTCAACGTGATTTGTAGATTTATATGTAAACTAGTGTAACTTTCAAAGCTAAAATTACTTCTTACGATGTAGAGCACAATGACAATTATGCTTACTAAGAGGTCATTCACCTTCCAAGCTGTTATTGCAAATTGTTTTTGTAAATTTTAGTAAAATGGTGTGATAACCATGCACTAACTGTCATTCTTATCACACGTTTAATATAAAAAGTTTACATGCATACCTACAACTATTTTTAGCCATTTTTCCTTTACATATGACACATTTTCCAATAAAAAATTCATTTTGTCAAGATCACGGTACAAAAACGTTAAATACACATCAAGATTACAGTACAACAAGTTTTATTTTCAGAAAATGGCGGGTATCTCACAGACACTGCTGATCTACACGGGCATGGTCGGTATCGTGTATCTGGGTACGGATGGATTCAGAAAGAATGCGCCATTTGTCTTCACATTGCCAGTGGTCGTTCTCGGCTTCATTACGTTAACAACGCGGATGCCAATGATGCGGAAAGTCTGCACATCGGCTTCGTTCTTCTTGTTGGGTGAGCCGTTTTTCATGATAAGGTTACGCATTTTCTTTACGAGTGAATTTAGAAAATAAAAATTTCCGCGTAAAATCACTCCCCCCCCCCTCCCACCCACCTTCTTTACATATTACACAGCTTTTCATATAACCATAACAATTTAGCCGCGGCGCTATACGAGTGGTCGATGAGTCCTCGGCGGCTGGAGATAAACGCCTCTATCATTTCGGCCGCTCACATCTTCTACTTGATCTCGTTCCTCGGGTGTGTCAAGAAGTGGTGGAAGAGTTTGGCCATCTGCACGGTTCTCTTTTCTGTCACCTTTTCGTATATGGTGTTCGCTGACTTGTTCCGATCACTACCGTGGGTTGTTGTAGCTTGTGTTGCCGCCCATTCCTCAATTGGCGTCACGTTCGTGGCAGCCGGCTCTGTTTGGAAGAAGGGGTCCAAGGTGGCGTTTGCAGAGACGGTAAGTAAAAGCAGGTTTCTTAATATAATGACATGTAATCTTAGGTAACACATAAATCTAATTTTGTTGAATAATTTTACACGTTGTTATTGTTAATTGTGGAGTAAAATTACATTACAATTCAATGTTTTAGCAAAATTACATTACAAACCAATTTTACAGGCAGCTTTTACTCGTTTCATCGGCATCTTCTTCTGCTATATTTGTGACGTAGCACTGTTGTCAAACCGTTTTGCCAAACACACACCCCAATTGGTGTTCTACCTTAACACCACTTACTACGTATCTCAATATCTACTGTACTTTGCAAACGAAAGAGCTTTTTAAGGTTATATACTTGGCTTACTGTAGTTAGAAAGTAGCAGGTTTACATTACTATATATTGGCAGTTCAAAACTATGGGTCTATTTATATTGTCTTTAGAAGTCGTAGTAGGCGGCTGTTGTATAATACTTGTTTGTGGTACCGTCGTACCTTGTTTTAAAGTTTGAATATTTAATTTTATGTTTTAATGTACAGATAAAGTAGCAACACACTTTTACTTGAGGTTTGTTAAAAACAATAAAAATCTCATCTAAATTGGTTTATTTTCATACTAAAAGTTGGAAGCGGATGAGGATTCAGAAGCGCTGCGTGGCTGCTCTTCGTCAGATTCTTCTTTCCTTGAGTTTGACGAATGGTACTTCCGTAGCTTCTTTTGCAAGATCTTCATGTATTTCGCAGCTTCATCCGAGTCAATGTCTACAAAAAGCAACTTAACGATCACTGATGTAATTTGCATAATGCTTAAAATTACAAAATAACCATATAAGCCAATATAACAGAACCTTACTCAAAGTAGCCTCGCTAGCCACATAATCAACATCCAAAGACCCCAAGCCATTTTCATCAACCTCAGGTTCTGGAATTTCCAACAGATCCTTAATAAGGTTGGTGGTACTGGTAGTGTTGGTCGCTCCTCTTCTATTTCTTTCGGCAATCTCACGATAACGATTGATCAGCTCGGCCGCCTTTACTTGAGTATCTAAAGAACAGCGTGTAAGTTAACTGAAATCAACAATTTCCTTTAAAAAACTTGACTTATATCTTTACCTGAAAAATATCGACCTACCTCCACCAACATTACTCCGTCTCATGTTCTTGATCGATTTCTTCACCTTCTCAAAGTCTCGTTTGGCTGAGGCGTAGTTGGACAAAGCTTCTTCTTCTTGACGTTGTGCTTCTTTAGTCTTCTTCTTCTTCTCCATGACTAGTCGTCGAGCTTCTTCGTGTCGAGTTTTGGCCATATTCAGAGCGATTTCTTCCTTCTGATTCAGATGGAGAGAGGTCAACTTCTTCATCTCCTTAGATTTCTTGTCCTTTCTCTTTTGTCTTTGGAGTTTCCTAGCATCTTTCTGTTCCTGAGACTTCTGAAAATGTTTGACGAGATCGTTTGAATCTAAAACAATATTTTTTGTTAAAAAACATACCTTTTCCATTCAAAATATCCATTTTTTACCCACAAAAGCCTTAAAAAATTACAAATAAGTTGTTATAGATAAAAGACATATGAGCAACGTTACCTACCTTTGATAACTTCAAGATAACTGTCTTTAGCGCTGTTCTCATTGGTTCTGGGACCTCTCTCCTTCCTGGCCGCTCTCTCCTCCAAATCCTTTAAAGGTACACGTTCAGACATGAATCTGTCTTGTAGGCGACTGTCAGCCATATTGTTCCAATTCGGAATCTTCTCAATTTTTGGAGCTTTGCCACGATAAGAGTCTTTTGGTGGTGAAGGTAGAACAACATTGGTCAGATCGGTCTTTTCGTAAGCGGCATCGTCCAGAAAGAAATCGACCAGTGAAGGTTGAGGTTGTTCAGCCAGACGAATCGTTCTGAGACTACCGCTACTAGCTTCTGCTCTTAAAGCGGCCTAAAATACATTAAAAAATGAATAATTATGGAGAAATTTATTTTTTTACTTTACCCGCTCGCGCCCGGTTCGCGTCCGGATGATCAAAAGAAAAGAACAAAATTTAATAAAATAAAACGAATTTTGAAAGTTTTATTCAAAAATTTATTTTTGTTGAAGACCTACTTTTGCTTCTTCAACTGTTGCTTCGAGCGCATCGTCAGATGAACCTCTTCTGTCTCTACCTTCAGATTCGCTTGGAGAATTGTCTTGATTTCGCACCTTATCGATGGCTATGTACCCTTTTCTAAAACAATGTTTGTGACATTATAAGACAAAAAACATATTTTTCATAAAATAATTTCTTTTTTAACATTTTAATTAAAAGAATATGCTTTGCGCCATAAAACGAGGTAAAACTACATAGTAAAAGGTTACTTACACATCACGGGTATTGGTTACTCTACGTCCCATTTGAATTAAGAATTACAAGAAACGACTAGCTGGCAATCAGATCGTCAAATGAAAATGACATCAATTTTCGGATTTCGAATGTTAAATTTGCATATTTTAAAAAATATTTTAAACTTGAACTTTTTATTGAAAAATTATTAGAATGGCTTTTTATACCTAGTTTTAGTTCAAATTTTACACTATTTTGGTATAAAAGTATGTAAAGGTTATCGAAAAATTAAAAAAAGGGATTTAAATTTGATTTTACGGACTTTCTGACCAAACAACATGTACTTTCACCTATTTTAGAAAAAACAATATTTTAGCTTTCCAAACTTTATTATAACGTTTTATTGATCTAATCAAAGAAAAACAATATTGGAACCGTAGGAAGTAATACAATTATATAGATAATGCATCGTATGTTTGATTTACCAGCAATTATTATAACAAAAAGCCTTGAGAATATGAGATTATGAGGAGACGGAATCGGGCAATGTTACAGTAACCCACTATGTGTATATGGTAATATTAGAGTGCACAGTTGTGTCCAATCCATACTGTAGTATAATTTTAATACCTTATGTTTTTAAAATTATATTACAGTATGCACGCTTATGCAAATTTGTGTTTTTATACTGTCGTGTACAAAGTCTGCACCTATATGGTATTACAATAGAATGCCTAGCAGATTACAAGATTACAGGCTCAACCTTTGTACATAACATGATATTACACTTGACTTCTAAGGACTTATCGTATTTCAGGTAATACGACCATCTCTACTATTTCACGTCGACTTAGCCACCGTTCCCGGCACAGGGGACACGTTGGAGATGAGAATAGCCGCTCATTACACCATTTGTCTACACAATCACCACAACCAATACATTGTTTACATCTGCGACAAGCTACCGGCTTAATCGGCCAATCGTCGAGGCAAATCGAGCACGTTGACAGTTTGACATCGGTCCATCTGAAAGGTGATGGTGTTCACTTTGTAAGAAGTTGTACTGCCTTTGTTTTAACCTTTCTTAATGTATAGGTAACAGTACCTATTATATAAAAGTAACTTTCAAACAATATCAAGCTCATTAAGAATGACTTGTCATCGTTTCTCCACACACTTTTTGACCAAACATGTCGTTTTCGTGTAAATTTCCCACCCCCATATAAACAATGTGGTGTTACTCAGAGAATGTAAACATCGTGTTGACTTACACGGCTTTTCGTCGTGGGAGAGTCCAGTTTTCTTTCATTTCCTTCACCCAGCATGGTGTAGATGGCCTCAGATTGCGCCACGAAATGGCTCCGAACATGGATTGAAGCTTCTGAATCAGGGATTCAAACAATTCGTCGATCGTACTCAGGTTCGCTTGTATATTCGGAGACTGTTGGAACATCGTCATCTAAAATTGGCATGTTATACTTAGAAATGTAACAAAGCTAGTCTTATAAAGTAATTAAAATAAAATACAGATAAAAAGAAATTACAGACAACTTGCTGAATTCTTCACAAAAAATATTGAAATTCAAAACAATCGGCAAAATAATACAGTAGTCAAGCCAAAATACAAAGTTTGCGACATTATTAGCAAATTGTAGCCAGATACAAGACAAAGAGGCCAGCACAAGCATTCACTTAAAATATGGAAAACGCTAAATAATTACATATTCATCTTGTTGACCAGTCCATGTTATTCCCAATAACAATTATAAGGAAACCTGGTTTTACTTTTTGAAACTTTTTGCAAATTTATACCTAGAGTCACACAGATTATCACCGAAAGAAGCACCCCTTACTAAAAATAAAAAAAATTTCATTTATTAAGCTTGCCAAAAAAAACTTTTTGTTGGTCTTTCTCCCCTGTGAGATACCCATACCACTTCCTCCGCCTTTATAGACTTTCCTTACCTTACGGCCTTGCTTAAAGACATCGTCTGTTATCGAAAATGAATATTGCCAAAAATTTTAAACTCACATCATTTGTACCAATACTAACCAAACTTTTATTTACTCAACCTCCCAAAATTTCAAAAACCTATTTTTCCAGAATGCCCTCAAGTCATGACCTGAACGACATTCTCAAACAACAAAACAAACACAATAAGCACGTTGACCTTTAACATATATGCCAAAAAAGCTCAAAACAAAAATAATTTTGCAGAAAATCTTTGGAAAACTAGAGCACGATGAGTGACCAGCACGCCAAAAACACGAGCAAAAGGGGGGAGGAAAAAGAGCTCGGAAAGAAGCTCGGCCCTCCGGCAACAAAGTGCGAATGACCATTAAAAGGCCTCGTGATTTTATGCCTATGGAAAAACGTCTAAACAGGTTATATTGCTCGAGGGTGAAGATGGTTCTAAACTATACTTTCGTAAAAACAAAAAAGTTTTAAAAAATCATTTATATTGAGCTAGACTAATATAAAACACGTATAGTTACGAAAAAATGAAACTAAAAACATATCAAACTCGGCATTTACCACTAGTTTTTAAAATCATTCTTCCAAAAAAGTGTAACCTCAACCTACATCAATATCACCAAACATTGAAAGCCCAAAAAGCATTTTGAAAACATAGTCAAGTGTCCCCAATTATGTTATTTTAGTAGATTAAATCGGCTCGAATCATAATCCAATGCTTTTCGACCAGATGTTATGCAAATAGTGAAATGTGGTTATAACAAATAAATAGTATTTATAATCAGCCCGGTTTATGACCACTATTATTACTTTTTTGAATTTTAAATTTGAAGGAACAAACAAAATATTTTGGCGATGGAAATGTGGCGTTGGTCAAAAAGTGCGTAGCCTGTTTTGTGACTTTAGTTAAGGCTTTATATTATTATATTGAGTAAGAGATTTAAGCTAGAAAAATATGTTTGCTATGCTAATTACAATTATAAAATAAATATGATTAGTATAATACTATTAATATAAGAAACGTATAACTACGAAAAACATTGTTAAAGTATATTAACATAGATAAAGCACAAGCTAACATTTGAATACGTAAAAGATTTATATATTAACGGAAAAGTGTGTTTAAACAAGATAACAAGTATAAAAAACAACATCATCTAAAGGGACAAGGAAGCTTTTTACTCCCTTTAACTACCTAAAAACAAACATACACTTTTATCAACCTGTATGACAAAGTGCTCTAAATCGTCAAAACTATCGATTAAAAAGGCATTACATTATACAGACAGTACGTATCTAGACTTTGAAATATACATAAAACAAGGTCGACAGTACTAATGAATAACATTATTTTTGACATGTTCTCTACTATTATCTATGACAAATAGTATAACGTCGACAATACAAAGCTAACCTTAGCAATACTATAATGAAAGAGTGACTGAACTTTGGGGGAGCTCACTTTGGGGGAGCTCATTTTGGGGGAGAACCTATTTGGGGGTTCCCACTTTGGGGGAGGATAAATTTGGGAGTGGGGATTTTGGGGGAGGTTACGTAATAATCCTAAAATAGTATAAATTAATCCAGAAACAGTTCGAGAGTGTCGAGAATGATAAAAAAACTTTAAAGTTAATTTTTTTGATTTTATTTTCTACTTTTGGTTAAAAAATGTATGTTTTGAAACTATATTTAACTCGAGACTTTAGAGTATTAAAATTTTTAAAAATTGGAAAAAAATATTTAAAATATAATTTTAAAAATAAGAAACAATAATTATGAATATTAATTAGATTCTCAAAAGTTGTAGTTTTATATAAATTAAACAATTTAAAAGTACAAAATGATATAAACAATTAAACTAAAATGTATGCAATTTTTACTTAATTGTGCATTATGTTGTTTTGTTTTCTACATAATTTAGTTTTTTTACAATTTTTTACGACGATCAATGAGTCCGTTTATCAATTTTCGACATAAACATTATAACGAGTCCGAAAAAAAGTAAGATTAAAAAAATCGCCTTTGCCTCAAATAAAAAAATTGATAAACGAACCCATTTCACATGTGCCTTTATTAAGTATCGTTAACGTTGACATTGTACCGTGAACACAGAAGTCGTACTGTGAACGTTCTTACGACACTTTTTTTGCATGCTTTTAATGTTAGGTCGCATAATAGGTAGAGTACTGTAAACGTTATCGTACCGTGCCGTGAATGTTCTAATGTTACGGCTTTTTTGGTTCGCAAAAAAATATCTGATAGTAAATTATAGTCGTAATTCAAAAACTGTAACATTAGAACGTTCACGGCACGGTACGATAACAGTCACAGTATTCAATCTAACACGCGACCTTTACATTTACATCCTACTGTTTAAAAAAGTATAAAAAAAAGTTTCATAGGAACGTTCATGGTACGATGTCAACGTTCACGGTACTTAATAAAACCACATTTGAAAGTTTATAGTATAAAAAGTAAAACGTTTAGACTTTACCTATAAAACAGTTTCAGTAATGAAACTTTTAATTATATTTTCGCATCGCGCAAGAGTTTATAATACTACATTTTTAGCATCGCGTAAAAAACAATTTTTATTAACACTTTTCCCGTAGGACCTGCTTTTTTAGCATAGCGCACCGATTTATGACCCCGCAATTGACACTTTTTACTTATAAATTTTTAGAATTTATTGCGTATAATTGTTTTTGTACCCTCAAAAAGCATAAAAATTTTTATATTATCTAAAAAGGCTAATAAAATTTAAAAAGATTAAATTTTTTTACTCTAGGGTATCTTTTTAAAAAAAATATTTTTTACCCTTAGGTCATCTTACTAACTTTTAAATCACATTTTTTAATTAACTTTTTTATTAATAAATTAACACTCTAAAGTCTCGAGTTAAATATAGTTTCAAAACATACATTTTTTAACCAAAAGTAGAAAATAAAATCAAAAAAATTTAACTTTAAAAATTTTTTTTATCATTCTCGACACTCTCGAACTGTTTCTGAATTAATTTATACTATTTTAGGATTATTACGTAACCTGCCCCAAAATCCCCACTCCACCCCCAAAGTTCCTGATCCCATAATGAAAGTATATTTATTCAATTTGACAGATATATTACCAATAGTTTCCTACAAATAATACCATCACATTAATACCACCACGTTCCCTAACAATACTACCGTCCTTTTAATCGGCCTTAATACAATGCCATATTGAGTATGCAGGGCTAGAACTACTCTTACTCAAGATTTCCTGCGAATGCACTTTCACGGTTCGCATGCAATCCGAGTACAAAAAGAGAAGCGGAAAGTGCGTGAACTGAAGTGCACTGTGAGCACGAGTTGATGCTCTGGGTCAATGTTTACCACAAACGATTGTTTTGGTATAGTGGTAAGACGTTAAAAAACTGTGTACCTACACTTTATAGGGAAAATACTTAGAAGTCTTATTACTCGACAAAGAAATTAAGTAAACATCAATTTAGAAAAAGCATGTTAACAGAGTTTCAGCACAAACTTGCTAAAATGTCCCAAAATATTTTTTTTCTGTACTAGAACTTCAATTATGCAAAGTTAAACTTGAAATTACGTAGATTATACTTTTAACACCCTTCTTAACTGTAAAGTGCAACTTCTGACCCATATGAGAACTAATTAGCATAATATCAAAAGTGCATGACATAAAGTCAAGTGAGTGGTTGTAAAACCTTAATTATTTCACTGCTAGGCCTAATCCTTAAACTTTTGATGAAACTTTACTTTACAATAACAGTAGATACTGTAGTATTAAGCAAAAATAAAATTTGCCCTAAAAGTAAACACTCTAATCGTATGTAGCAATGACCAAAGTAAAAACTTGACACTAATACAAGTACAATACTAATAAAATAACATTGTTTTCGAATTAAAAAATTAAACCGACGAAAACAGTTTGCATAAAATTTGCAAGATTACCAAAACCCTCTGGCTATTTCGTGCACAAATGGGAAGAGCAGGCTGATTGACCTTGTTTTTCCGGTTAAAAGAAAAATAAATAATTTTATCTCTTCACCCTTAGGGGATCTGACCGGTGTCAGGAACGAGAAAAGTCAAGGATTAAGACGTCCAAGTGTGATATTCATAACTGCTTTCTCTGATAACACTTTACACTAAGACGATAACACTATGATGTTTGCAGTAAAATAGTTTACAAAATAAAAAACAAGAAATAACAATTGCATGCCCATGTACTACAATATAAGTATATAAAAGTACCTTTGAATTTTAAAATTCAGGATGTTTACTTATATCGACTTCAAACATAATATCTTGTCTTAATTCCCGTAACAAAATTTCAAAAAAATATCAGTCTTATCTCTAAAATAACTCAAATCTCTATCGAATTTCCTCGGGCTCAAATAGACACTTAAACTTCAAATTGGTCAATTAATTGTGAACGATAAAAAGTCAAATTTGCGGAACGGTCAGTTGTTGTTGTTTTCAGCACAAAACAACGCCAACTTAGATATTAAGGAGGTCAGCCAAGCCAATACGTCGAGCAAACAGAACGTTTTGCAATATTTAATGTAAGAGGTACAATTAGAAATGACAGATATTGTTAACAACACGTAACACATAAACAGTAATATCTATAAACTAACAATTCACAACACTTTTGTGATTTTAAAGATCTAGAAAAAAATAATTTAGGTAACACGATATACAAAAAGAGACTTTTTAAAATTAAATAAGTATATCAAATTCAGTAAAACTTACACAACGTGACGTTTACAGTACGATAACAACTTCTTATAAAAAAAGTAATAAAAGTGTTTTGAGAACGTTTCAGAACGGTGGTGAGGACGTTCGTTTTTATCAATTCGTCAAGTAAAAAGTAAAATTAGATTCAATATGGGTTTGAAAAACAAATTGAAAAACCTGAATAGTACTACATAAAAAGACGTTCAGAAGATACTACAACAAACATGAGATATACATCAATGTTTATCTTCCAGGACAAAAATAAATACAATAATATTTGATTTACAAAAGTAGTTAAATCATCAAAAATTGAAAAATGTCTGCAAATTAAAAGTTGCAATTTAAATTCAAAAAAGATTCTATGTACCCTTTTCAAAAAGTTAAATTGCTCACGTCTGTTTGAAAGATAAACAATATCATCTTAATAGTACAATTACACTCTGCTCAAATATTTACTCAACTCGACGTTCCCTTTAAGCCATTTCTTATTTGACCTCCGTGAAGAGTAATAGTAAGTTACAAAAAGTAGTCAAAGTAAGTAGATTGAAAGCTCGGTAGGAACTGGCAACAAACTAATAATAAATTTGTTTTGATTAATTACGAATTAGCAAAAGTGCAAGTGCAGAATTTCAAAATTGTCACTTTATTTTTTTACAAAAAAAGGTTAAAATGTGTGTTCCGAATTGACTAACAAAAATAAGTTTCTTACAGGCTTAACCTATAAAAACAAGTAAAAAAGTCAAAATGTTAAAATAAAACAAAAAAATATAAATTCTAACCCATATAAACAATAACTTCTAGCCCAAACTAAACTTTCTGCGGGTATTAAGCGTAACAGTTTTCCCTCAAATTTTGAGAAATTCTCCGACGACAAAGTGCATCTGCACTCTATCCACTCGAATCTTTATGTGACTGTTCGTACTGGACAAGAACAAGTCGATTATGTGTGTCACATTATACTTTTAGGTTGCACTTTACAGAAAATTCAACAAAAGGCAACGTTAAAGCGCAGAAACGTGACATTGCCAATATCAATATATTAATAGATGCCTTCGTTGATTGAAATATGAATTAATTTCTGGTAAGTTGAATATTATTAGATTGTTCAAATAATCCTGTGCCCCTTTTCAAACCACATTTTTAGGGTTAAAAGCACAGAATTATTTGAAAAACTTAATATTTAAGTAAAATAATACATACATCATACGCAAAAATGTTATTGTTGCTTGGTATATCCAAACAATGCAAAAAAAATAATTTTAAAAATCTTTTAAACTTTAAAAAATTTACGTGAAAATTCAAAAATTTGTAAATAAATCTAAATTTTAAAATTTTTTATTTTATTTTTGTATTTTGTCACTAAAATGTTGGCAGTTTTTGTTTTATTATTGCTTTTGCTTACGAGAGGTAACGCTTTAGGTAAAGGTTCAACGGCTAATATAAAGGTTCACAATGGAATATGCGGTGCACATGATCGTTTCACCACGGTAAAATACACTTAGTTTTTTTATTTTGATAATCTTTTGGTATATGTACATACATAACTATATTTATGGCTTATTGCTTACTCTTGTGAAAATAGTTTTTGTTGTAACATAATTACCTTGTTTTAGACGTACAATATCAAAAGGTGTGCCGTGTTAAGCATTGCGGTATTTAAAGAAGAAACTCCAGAAACTCTTGACCTAACTGTTTTTGCAACTTTTATCAACATCCAGATGAACCAATTCATAAAAGGAGGCGACCATATTAATCTTGACGGCTTTTGCCTGTAAGTCAGCCTTAATTAGCAAAGTCAGAACTAATTATGGCAGATTTTTGTTGTTTTCTTACTTTATCAAATATTCAGTGAGTACAGACACTTTATCACTTGTTTACGAGATGCCGTATGTGACCTGAATGTGCTCATGGCCGAGTTTCATATCCTGACTGCACCATTGTACTTGTGGAGCAGTTTTTGTTTTGGACACCCTAGACAAGGTAATTTTATGAATACTCACTGATAAGCATGTTATTCTACACATAAAAATAGTATTTTAGTTGCTGAACAGATGCTGCAATGTTCTCGAGAAGTATTCCGCCACCACCATCTCAGTGAGTATCAGAGTCGTTGCAGGTAACTTCAAATGAACGTTTTAGGTACTTTTTTGTAGTAATAGGGCCAGTTATGTACAGTATGAAGATGTAACCTATCTTAACAGTTTTTAACTTCTAAATTGAAAACTGTTAAAGTTAAAGTCAATTAGTTGTAACTACTTTTTCAATTTCCAACCTTTCAGCAACCGGAAAGTCAGAAGAATGGCTGAAGACTTTCTCAGCAGGAACAAATGTCGTGCTCTGACTCAGACAGAAGCTACATTCTTATGTCGTCTATCTCTGTCAACTACGCCCGGCTACTGTCCGCTACATATGTGTGAAAAATATATGGCCATACAATGGATGAAAAAGAAGAAAATCGACAAGAAAGGTGTGGAGAAGTACTTTAAGATGAAGTATAATGAGAACAAGAGAGATATGGAAGAGAACGTTCAGAAGTACAAGAAACATAACCAGGAAGTACCGTGCGCATTCGACGTGTCAGATTGAAAAATATATCTTTATTATTAATGTTGTAAACAATAAATTGGTAATATACATTGGCTTTTCGATCATAGAGAACAAAGTTGTTGAACATGCCTTTGAAAGAAGTGAGAATTAACGTAACTGACTGTACAATGGTAAAAGTTACAAGGTAATACGCATTAAAATTTAAAGAGTTACTGAGTGATCAACTGTACAAAGTCGTCGATGTTTAGAAGACCATTTTCGTCGCCCAATCCTTCGAGCAGTTGATCTACCTCTTGTTCCGTCAACTTCTCTCCCAATGTCGTCAAAATGTGCCTCAACTGTGACGTTTTGATGAGACCGGTACCATCTGCATCGAAATGTTGTAAACCATCCATGAACTCGTCTTTCGTATTGGCTACACGAGTGTTTTCTGAATTTTTCGTTAAAAATATTTGTGTAGGATGAGAGAGAAAGATGACCCAAACTTTAAAAGAAGACTTGGCTCAAAAACAAAAAATGAATTGTAAATCTGGCCAAATTTTTAAATCTCTTTCAGAAATTTATCGTTTATATTGTCTTTGGTATGTGCCATTTTACTATATCAATCATTTCAGACTTACCAAGTTGTTCGAAAATAGGTACGAACTCGTCGAAGGTTAGCCGTGCGTCTGGCTGATCTTTCCATTGATCCATTATCTCTGACAGTTCTTTTTCAGTCGGACATAGTCCCAGTCCTCGTAGAGCACTTCCCACTTGGTTTACCGAGATGGTACCATCGTTATTTTTGTCAAAGATGGTGAAGATCTGTCGTTTCTCTGGCTCTTCTTCGACTTCTAGATCCTCTGTGACTTCTGGTTGAGGATCTGTAGAAGTTTGCTCTGAGGATTCGGGAGCTTCTGTCATCGTGGTGCTGTAAAAAACAAAATTTTAGTACCTAAAATTGAAAGAACTGTGAAACGGAAAAAAAGACACAACAATTCCCCCGTCTTTTGATCTACTATGTTATAATAGGCAAATTAATATTATACTATTTTAAAAATACTTATCTTCCCAAATATCCCACAAAATCTGTAAGACCATTAGCTACTAACCCTAATTTCTCAAAAACAGCTCCGAAATCAGATTGGGAATCTGATTAAAATTTTCTTTGGTTTCCATCTGTTTTTAATGTGATTTTTTCGAGAAACCACCAAGTTTATTCAAGCCCTGAGGGGGGAACGGCTGTTATATCAAGAAGAATGTGTCGTTATGTATGAGTGATGGGAAAACGTTTGAATAAATCAAAAAATCCACGAATGACGTGAAAAGTGGCTTCTTGGTTCAAAAATATGAAGAGCTGGGTCAGGTTTCTGACCTGAGGGCATGAGCACAGTGATTTAAAGCAATGTTTGAGTAAATATAGGGAATAGACGAAGATATTGTTTCAATTTGTAACTTTAAGAACATGAACATTAAATTTAACGTTCGTTCGATAATCTTCTAAATAAACATGTAGGTATCTTTAGTAGAGGGGAAGAAGTCGAATGTAACTTAATTTAAACTTGGTTTATCATAAAGACCAGTGTTTTGCCACACCGGTCCGGTCCGGACCGGACGGACCGAAACAAAAATTTTTGCGGACCGGACCGGACCCAAAAACCTGCGGACCCGGACCGAAGAAAAAGGTCCGGACCGGTCCGGAAGAAAATTTTTTTTTATTTTAATAGAACTGATTTAAAAATTGCAATTAAAATGTATTTTTAAGAGTTTTTAAGCAAAAAGAAAGCAGTTTTAGCACTCCTTGCTTTTTTTAAAAATAAAAAAAAAATTTTTGCGGACCGGACCGGACCCAAAAATTTTGGGTTTGGACCGGACCGGACCCAAAAATTTGAGGTTTGGACCGGACCCGAAAATCGCCGGACCGGACCGGTGAAAAACGCTCCGGACCGGTCCGGGCAAAACACTGATAAAGACTTTAAAATACTCAAACTTGGCTCATGGTCACAATTAGTTTGTTCAATATACGTTAACTATACTCAACCACAAAGATACCAAACGCCCTCGACCTTCCAGATTCCACTTCCTTTGTTTACACGCTTCTTTTTGAAACTACATCAATATACATACTTCAAATCCGGAACTACGCCATTCATGGCTCTAGAACATTCAAAACTCTGTCGTACTTTTCGTGCAGAATTGCAACAAAAGCATGGTGGTTAAAAGTGCAAACTATACTTTAGCTAAAATTATGTTTTTACATATGATAAAACCAGTTATACTTTACTTTAACTAATAACATAGTCAAAGTTTAGACTACATGGCTTCAATTCATATTACAAAAGTTTACCGTAATATTTTTTGATTGCTCTTTCGTTTATAAATAATATGTACTTATAAATGATTATTAAGATTTCTATCTTACAATTAGGTCACACAAGCAAAGCCAAACAAAATTAAATATCATAATCGTTTATTTGTACTATTCACACCGAGATATACTAAATAGAGTACACTTAAGACTTTTATTCTTCTTCGAGGTAAATCCAGCCATTGCCAGCTGGTACTTTAACGTGAGCGACTACCTTGTTGTCAATGACCAGTCGACCTTCAACTTTCCATTCTCCCTTAATCAAACCCTTAAGGGCTGGAGGCAGTTTTGGTAGTTCCAACGTACCATTAAGACCAATAGAGCCTTCAAGTTGTCCCAAATCATAAGTGCCTGGCTTTTCCAAAAGTTGGCAAAGACCTTTGCCATATTGGCATGGCTCGGCTTGGCTAAAATAAGGTTCTTCAGTAAAAAAAGTAAAATATATAGTTTTAAATTTTGAACTCATTAAATTTCATATTATAAAATAGCAGAACTAAAACCGACCAGTATTTGCTGGGCACTCCAATATGCTTTGATTTTCCGTTCTCGCAGACTGTGCCAATTAAGAAAGAGTTCTTCTTCAAGGTCAGCAACACCTTGCTGTTGCCAATCAGCTTCAACGGCTGGGACACTTTAACCATACCGCTCAAGGCTGTCACTGAACCTGGAAGTTTGACATCTGGTTCATTACCGTGGCAACTTGGGCGATGTTGAGAGTCATAGGTGGCAGCAACACCATCTTTGGTTGTGATGACCAAGTTGGATGCTAAAACAATATTGTTTTCTTATTTTTTATGTTAGACAACAGGACTTGGTAGATTATTTGAGAAATAAAGCTAATCTATAGCATTCTTTCAACGTATTGTACAATAACCTACATGCATCGGCCACCTTGACCAAGTTGGTTTTCCTGTCGACGCAATCGGCCGACACGACCAACAAACAAGCAGCTACGAGAACAACTGTCCTGACAATCATGGTGCAAGGAAATAATGCAAAAAGTCAAAAGTTGAGGATTCTTATACTGTTATCAGCCGCTTATCAACGCCTATTGTTTTAACATAATACTCTTAAAGCGATAACTCGGCAATTAATATGCTCCTTGAAGGTATTTTATATTAACTTTTGACCTCACAGATAACTTCTATTTGGCAGCTTATATTTTTGTATTAGTTGTATTTTCTTTACTATAATATACACTTTTAAACTGTCGTTGTAAGACTAAAAAACATAAAATAAAGCGTGATTGGGTCTCACAACGAAAACACCGTTCATGCCAAAATCTTTCTCAGCTTTGGATGATTTAAAAATAAATTTTTATTTAAAAAAAAGTTTTAAAATTAACTTAAATTTGAAGAATTTGGACTTTTTTGTGATTATGTTAAGGATCTTTTTGCAAACTTTGACGTAATCGACTAATATTCTTTGCTGATAAGACTTTTTTTGATATTTTTAGGCAAATTGCAGATTAATATTTTAAATTCTGATAGGTTTAACTGATATGAACCTTATGTAGGTAGTAATTTTGTAAACAGTCATATGATTTATTAGATTTTTCCTAGAAATTATGTTTTAAATAATTTTAAAAACAATTTTACGACAAACTAAAATTCAAAAACGTTTATAAAAGATCGTTCTGAAAGTTACTGGCTCAACTCTGATTTGTTTTTTTGATCTACAAAGAAAGTTACTGTAACACTGCAAAGAAAGGTACTGTAGATTAATATTAAATATAAAACGTTCTACGCTCTATGTACCTATTGTTAATAACACAAACACATTAGTAAATAAAAACTGCTATTCTTAGAAGGTACTGTAGTTTCTGAGAATGTACTGTGCAATTTCGAATTGAAGCGGAACTGCTTATTAAAAGATAACGAGATGCTTGTCTCCAAATGACAGTCTTAATCAGTTTATGAGGACTTGAATAAGAAGAGTAAACAAAACAAGATAAATAGAAAAAGCGAGAACAAACGACTTGTAATAGTAGTAGTTGTCAAGGTTTGTCCCAGTTTACAATCATTTTGTGTTTGATTGTCTTTAAATTGGCAGTTGAGTACGGTAAAGGTATATAGGTAGGTACATGTACTACAGGTAGTTGAAGGTTACAAACTTTATTGCCAAAATATTTTTTTGATAAGTAAACTTACACTCTTAATGTTTATATCAGAACTAAAAACTCATAATTCAATCTAAATATTACTATATACTATATCAATGCTCTGTTTACTGCCATTTGACAAGCTATTTGTTATTATACGAAACGCATAAACCGTAGTAAAATTGAACACTCATGGCGGCGTTTCACACAATATTTTTGAAAAAACAAAAAATGTCGAAAAAGCTGTTATTTATCTCTAAAAGGCATGGTCAAGTAACCGGAATGATGAATTGTTTTGCAGCATGTGTTGTAGACTATGGTAGTATAATGTCTGTGTAGTAATGGTTTGTAGGCGTTTGAACAAAAACAGATTCGAATCCATTTTAAAAGCAGTAGCAATATGTGTTTGGACTATTTTTCATACATGTATTAATGTATAGTAACTTATAGTGTAGTGATAGTGAAGATTTGGGCAGGGTTAAAAAATTAGGGGCAAAGAGTAAAGAGAGTAGAATTTCTCACAAGCTAGTCTCAAAAAGATAAGCTGAACATGAAAGTAAGTCCAGTCTAAAAGGTTTTTATATTGGTAAAAAGTCGGTGTTAAGTTTAGGTATCAATTATTTTTAAAAAATGCAAATTTTATTTATGACAATTCTTTAATAACTCAAAAATTTTATTTGTAATACTTAGATGTATGATTTGAATGTTTTCTAAGTTTACACCCGTTTTTTATTGTTTCCCCCATTAATGGAGCTTCTCCCCCTCCCACCCCCGCCACTCGAGACGGCGAACATTTCAGCGTAGGTGGCTGTAAACTTAAGGAAAGTTCGGAAGTGTTTTTTTCAATTTTATTGTTTTTAAATTTATTAGTTGTAGTAAAGTACGAATTATCTATAAATTTTGCATGTTTTTATGCGTAGCACTTAATATTTATCGCATTAAAATTTATTTTTCAATTAAATTTTTTAATTTTAATTATTTTTAAGTTACCATTACTTGCTATAAGATTTGTGCAAGATTTCTTTCTTTTAAAGGTTAATAAAGGTAACACAGTAAAGGTGTTATGAATCTCAATATTTGCAATTATGTTTTGGCATGTTCGAATTGCGTGGCGCTTAATAAATTTTATTTTCCATTTGCGTGACCTTGAACCTGACGTGTACTTTTTGGAAATTGCGATTTAATAAAATGTAGCGTTTACATTGCGTACAAGAGTATATGCGACACAACATCACCTTGTTTTTGTTGTTTATATCTTTTATTCCGTGTTATGAAAAACGCAAAGTTAGTACTTAAGCCTCGCTTTTGGTTGAGTTTTATAGGTTTTTGGGTATAAAGTTTTAAAATTTTGGTTTCAAAAATTTGGTTTAATTCTATTATGTTGTAAATATCTCTAAGAATCAGCATATGCATGTTTATATATATTTTTGATATATATAATTTGATACAATCATTCTTATTTTTAAATAAAAAATGTTAAACAGAACAGTGCCATCTGTTTACTGTTATTATAAAATCTCTTCCCAACCTAAACCGTGTTTGCTCACAGTAAACCGTTTTTAATATGTGGATGATAACGTTCTCAAATGTTTGCGCTCTCGAAATTAGCTCAACTTTTTATTTATTTAGAAACATTTTGAGACGAGATTTGACCCTGAGGCGTCGGATTTTAATGCATTTCTTTAAGTGAAAGTTTAGAACGTTGAGAGCTTTTTCAGAACGTTGGGGTTGTAAATGGAACATTCGCCGGGGTAAAAATAGTACAGCGGGGGTGGGGTGAGGATTTCATAGCCTTAAGTAGGTTAGATCTGTTAAAGTTTGACAGAATTTTAAATGCGAAAGTTTAGCAAAATAACATCAGAAAGTAAAACATCTAGTATTATTTTGCCATAAAGTATGTTGATAATGAAGTTTACTTTGATTAAGCCTTTTTCTAATTACAGTAAAACTATTTGACAATTATTTTTATATAATAAATAAGTTTATTTTATTCTTTAAATTACTTCTGAGCAAAACTCCTTTATTAACTATGGGTTTTGTGTTCAAAAACGTTCCCCACCCTCTAACTGAATTACTTAACTTAATGGAATATCACGTGCTCTCGTGCTTTGATTTAATGTTCGAAAAGTTTCTCTGAAAAGTTTTGTTTGAACATCTGCGCTCTTCTCATATGTACAACTTTTATATTATGTTTTGGGAGTAAAATGTGAAATTACGGTAGATAAAACGGATAAAGTCGTTGTTATGTAACAAATGTTTACTGATATAGGTAAAGTTATATATTTGAGTGAAAGAGTTTGTTCTACTTTCTTATCCTCCCCCTCAGCTATTCTTTCGTCTACTTAGGTCTAAAAAAATGAACTCATCTTGACCTAGAAGATGTCGCTTGTTACATTAATGTTTGTCAGACACTTGAACAGATATTTTTTATTTCCAAAACTTTACTTCCACTTTTGTTTTTAAACATAACTGTTAACAAAAACACGTTACTTATCGATAATGTGATCTCTGTCGAGCAAAACTAATATCACATACTGCTGGGAGGTTGTACTAGTGTCAAAACAAATATTATAATTTGGGTTTGTACGGTAGATTTAATTAAGTCTTTTATTGCTTATTTCCGATGACAATAAAAGCAGTTTATGGGTGGGGAGGGGGTGGAAGAAGAGCAAGATTTAAGGTTTTGATTACAGGCAGGAGAGTTCAGGTTTAGTCAACAAGTCGGGCGGGGGTTAGGAGGGTTGGGTGAGGCTGAAATGTGGAGCACCATTTGATGTTTGCTTCCAAAAGAGTGGCGTTTTCTAAGCAAGCCTACAACTGTACGTTTAAATATTTTTCGATTTAAGGTTAGTGACTTCAAAAATTTTTTTTATAATATACAATTCTTGTACCTTTGAGCTGTTTCCATTGAATCAAAAATTAATACAATAACTTGTCTTTACTTTTATAAAAAGTTCAAGAAAAGACCATTTTATTGTTTAGGTTACTTTTATTTGTTGTAGGTAATCAGAAATTTCAAAAATAGTTCAACTGTAGTAAAAGTCGATATTATAATCTCATTTTAAAGTAAAAGTAGGCATTGTACCGTCATATTAAAGTAAAAATAAACATTATACCCTTATGTTATAGTGGTATTGTCACTTTGTGTCAAATCATGAATAACATGGAATGAGAGTGATTGAGGGTGGAGGGAGCCATTTTAAGTTGAAACGGTTATTTTCACTCGAAATGGTCTTTTTACTTGTAATATCTCCTGTTTGTTAGTCTAGGTAGTGTTACTATTTGTTATTGTAGCCTTTTTATTTTGAAAGGAAGTGTTTTTAAGGTTATAATATCATATTCTTATAATATTTTGATTTATTTCTATTGTGTACCTTTTACAATGTATGTAGTTTACATTTAAATGCCCAAGTACCTTATAACCAAGTCTTGCTTAGTATCACCGGATTTATTTTCTAATGAAAACGATTCGTGTAAACGGTAGTGAATGTGTCTGAAGGTATATGGGTATGTAAATTACAACAAGTCGCAGCAGGTCTCCATGCAGATTCTGCTCATCAAAGGTTTGTACACGCCTTGGTTACACAATTGTTGTTTGGCCTCGCAGTCGCCGGCGGTGTCTTTGGCTCCGATACCTAAATCAGATGTTTATTCTCCTATATTGCCACTTTATTGTTACGTAACTCGCTGATGTAACATATCAAATTTTTTAAACAGTTAACTTTTTTAGCTTTTTAAGTATAGACTTACATTCTTCTGGTTTGCCTTCGAGTTTGTCCTTAACTTCTTCGAACTTGTCTTTGATGGCTTCTCCGGCACCCTTTAGTTTGTCCTCTACCTTGTCTTTGGTCTGTTCGAACTTGTCTTTCACCTAAATTAAGTTTATTTCGCAAAAACTAGAATAAAACAGCAAGCAATTTATCAAAACTAACTTATTTAGAACGATTTTTTAATGCAGCAAGCAAATACCTAAATTTAAAAAGCAACATAATAAGACCTATTAGTTTTATGGCTAACTAAGCATTTTCTATAAGCTATGCTACTGAGGATTCACCACAATTGTCAGCAGTACCAAAACTAAATAAAATATTGTTTTTATAAGCAAAATATAACGCAATCCAAAACTGAAAAGTGGCTAACCTTGATTTAGTTACCTCTTCCGCCTTTTCCTTAACCTTATCCTTCACTTCTTCTACTTTTTCTTTAATCTTATCTTTTACAGCTTCAACTTTGTTTTTAATCGGTTGTAACTTTTCTTCTACTTTTTCTTTTGCTTGTTCTACCTTGTTTTTGACCTGAAGTCAAAAAAGATTATTTTAAAATTCTCAAAAGTACCCAACTCTCTGTCTTTAGGAGTAAAATTTTTTAAAAATATATTTATTTCTATTTATATTACACTTGTCTATAAAATTTTTTAAACACCTGGCAGCCCCTAACCTACCTTGGAAGCGGCGTTTTTGATCGAGTCTAGAAGACCGGCTTCGGCGACGTCGCTGATAAAAGCGAACAAAACGATAAAAGCAAGGAAGTAAGCAACTTTCTGAGCCATGTCGAACAATATGAAATCTCAGGTTAAGGGTCGTATTTTATATTCGATCATTTGTGTACATACGTGTATCCGACCTATAACATGACATCTGAGTCAACATTTCCTTTTTTATTGACGCAATACCGTTTTTCCAACTTTTTTTAATTATAATTCAAAAATGCGCAAATTTGCATAGCTGATAAGGGCTGTTTTTCAAATTGGTGGTGTTTGGTTGTAACTCGGAGTTTAAGAGTTTGCCAATGGTTAAATTTAGACTTGATTTGCGTGGTTTGTCAACTGAAAGTTGCAAAGCTAAAATTATTATCTAAAAATAAAATAGCATAAACATATATAGACATAGAAAATAAAAATTAGCGTAAAAATGTATTAACATTCAAGGTTAATTTAGCATTTGACAAACATTGCCAAGTTTCTCAGTATTCAGTTTACTTGTCTTGAATAGTACAAGGCCGTCATAGTTGATGATAGATTAAACTCACGTCCAAAAAACATTTAAAAACCTGAGGGGATTAGGTGATTAATCTGCAAACAAGGTAGTTATACGCTTTGATGTGTTACATCACGGCGAGATACGACTAGAGGATTAAGTTGTATTGAAGTAGATAGGCATGGTAGGGTAATGTATCATCCAGGTGAATGGATGGTCAGATTGTACACGGTAGTTTACATGTATAATGTAGTTTAACCGTTCTTATATATTATTATATGGTTGTACCTTATTGTTCGTCATTCACGGCCAAAGTATTGTCAAAGTAGATGATAAGTTTAAACCACAATCAGAAGATGTTTATGATTACATTACTTGATGTTTTGTTTGCAATTTTGAACTACAATTAGCCGGATATAGTAGTAATTGTAGTTGTGAGTGTAGCTACAATTGTCATTCTTTGTAAACCACAATTTACAATTTCTAAAACGTGCCGTATCACGGTGACTTTGTTTTTATATCAGGTTCGTGTAGCTTCAAAAAAAGATACGAATTCAGTTCCTTTGGCTGGCACCAATCGCAACTGGTGCCAGCCGATGGTTTCATTCTAAAGAGCCTGTGGTATTATATTACTGTAATATTTTCTATATTAACTTAGGTAGTATAAAGAGTTTGATATGAATTATATCCGTTTCAGTATTAATTTTGTTTTGATTAAAGAAGTCCCACAATGCAAATTATGATAACGTTTAAGATAATAGCTATTAGTCCTGCTTTAGTTTCTGCAATTTACATTTTTAATCCGGGTTTTGAGAGTTGGCGAGGCATTTTAAATGTTATCTTATGCTAGAGAATGAACAATCTACATGACAATTTACTTAGCTTAAGTAACGGGTATTGAATGATTAATATGTTTAATAGTATATTTTGGTGGTTTATAGTGTATTTTTGGTATGTTTAGGGTTTGTTAAGGTACATGTCGGCAGAATATTACTTTGTAAGATTGTTAACAATATTTTTTTTGCACTTTTAAAGAAAATATAACTTTAGCGACAAAAGACCACTTCCTAAAGAAACCTTGTATGAATCCGAAAGTTTTCCAAAAAATGTTTTCTTTACGCAAATAGAAGCTACAGTACTCCAAAGCCCTTTTCCTTAATTTACTAGGGTTTTTGTTTAGAAATGGGTTTGGAACAATTAGACAAACTAGATTAAAAACAACGTTGCCCGAGGCAAAACATCTGCCAGAGTTATATTACTGTGATCACCCACGTTTCCGACTTGCTGACATCTGGTTCCAACTGTTTCTGACTATATAAACTTATACGTTTGATATTAACTATGGTTGCGGGTATAACGGGTTGATTTTTAAGCAAAGTTGGTGGTTATAACTTTATTTAATTATGGAATGTCAATTTTTAATGTTTTCGCGTCGAAAAGTTTTGAATTTTAAACGTTTTTATCAAGCAGCCATATTTAAAAATAAACTTTACAGACCTAAAAGCAATGTCAAATAGTTTTGACAAAACGTCACGCTTATTATTGTGAACATTACCATGTGTTTGTGTCAGAAGATAGTTTAAACTGTCATAAATCTTTGCTTTTTAATCGCAAACATATTCTTTCAACCTCTACTTTAATATTCGCGTTTACTTTGCGGCTTTTACTCTAATATTTTATAGTTTAGGCAAAAAAAGTCAAAAATTAGCTGGGGTTTCGGTATGTAAAATAGGCAGTCAAGGCTTCACAAATAAAAAATAAAATTTTAAAAAATAATCAAATATTGTAGTTTCAGAAATTTACAGTAAATTTTGTATATTACAGTATTCCTTGTTTCAAAACAATTTAAAATTCGTTTTAAAGTACAAATTTCGTTTAAATAACAGCTCAATATGACATAAAAAGTTTACGAAATGAGTCTTTTGATACGAAAGTAGAGCCAATTTGGTATCGTATATAAGGGAGGAAGCTCATGTTTTGATCTTAATCATGAGGAGAACGTACTCTGAGGTGGGGGAGGGTTTTAGATCTTCAGTTCAATTTTATTTATATATATACTGTAACTTTATTTCCTAAACCCTTTTTATCGCGTATTTTACCGTTTTTAATTTTACGATTTTTAGGCCGGTTTTGATATTTGTTTAAAACTATTAAAAAATTACAAATTTTTACTTTACTTTACCACTGTTTATATATAATCTATACATTTTCAGACTACATTAACTGACATAAACTTACATTAGCAACCATGATGACCCAAAACAACACCGCACATCTCCCAAACATCGATGGGTTAACAAAAGAACAGGTAGAAGAGTTCAAAGAAGCCTTCGAACTGTTCGACAAGGATGGCGACGGCAGAGTTACCGCAGTAGAACTAGGCATTGTAATGCAGTCACTCGGACATACACCTACAGAGCAAGAGCTAATTGACATGGTAAATGAGATCGACGAAGATGGCAATGGCTCTATTGAATTGGAAGAGTTCGTTAAGATGATGTCGCGGAAGGTGAAAGATACAGAAACCGAGAAGGAGCTACAAGAAGCTTTCCAGGTGTTCGACAAAGACAACGATGGCTACATCTCGGCCGTGGAACTGAGGTTTGTGATGATGAATCTGGGAGAAGACCTGAGTGAAGACGAGGTTTGTGAAATGATAAGAGAAGCAGACCTTGATGGCGATGGAAAAGTTAACTTTACTGGTAAGAAACAAAATCTATTTTTAAAAAAATACATATGTTGCTTACGGTTGGTAATTTACTGGTAAAAGTCCAACCCTAATACTGCCCCCACCTGTTGAGAGAGTCTCCTACCCTCCCCCTGTAAGGACCTTCGCCTTATTCTAACTTACTAATTTAATCATATCATTCATATTTCAGAGTTCGTATACATGATGAAAGGCAAACTCTAAACTTAACTCTACTACTCAACGCAACTGTACAGTATTAATAACGACATTACTTTTAAAGCACTGGATATTTTATTAACTCACTTTGCATTTTAAAACGGTTTTAAATTTTGGCTTTTACTATGTTTAATCAATTACTTAAGTCTTTTTTTACTTAAACCTTCTTGAACTTATACCTAAACTTATGTGTTTTACTTGTTTATACTCAACTTTTGTTCTTTTTAGAATATTTTAAATTTAAAGTCTAGTATTTTTATATTGTTTAATTACATTTTATCTGCAAAATCTACGGGTATATTGTAAAGATGATTACAAACATACGAAACCAGTGAACTATGAAAGACATCCCGAACTGAACCTTGAAACTTGTATATCTTTGAACTCTTAATAAACAATTACTTAAAATTTGGTTTTTTTACATAAAACGTATTGACATTAATAAAACCTTCGAAAAATATCAAAATACAATAGCTATAGAATTTGTAATTTGTACCGCCACGAAACCTTTGGGTGCCAAGAATCTTTTGCTTTTCGTATTACCCAAAAATAGAAGTTTTTATTTTAAAAAGTTTTTTTCAAAGGAATTCTGGATTCTTTGCTGCAGTTCACATCGTTCCATGTGACTTCAACGTTCTTTGAGTTGCAAAAGTCACTTTCGATCGGTTTTCCTTCAGCTATCACTAAAAAGTTATTTATTTATTGTGTTTTAGCGTTGGACAACGTGATAAGATGAATTGGAACATTTTGAACTACATGCTTGTTGTACTTGTGTTTACGGCTGGTCGTACTAGAGTTCCTTTAACCTTAGGCAGTAAAAACCACATTGCTCTTGTTGTTTATTTGTTGAAAAAAGTGTGAATACGTAAAGTTATATCGAGATCACAAAGATTTTGATGTTTTGCGCAATTTTTTAGTCAACACTTGAGTTAAGTTGCTAAAATTGTTATTTTAACATAGTTTTTTGTGCTTATCAAGCTGTCTTTGTTATATTTCAGTAATTTTCTTACCTGGTTATCACTAAATTGACCTTTTTGTTTTATATTGTGAGGCGTTGATTCGCATGTGACAGTTGGTTAGGGGGTCCGGTCCGCATGTTTTTCGCGTTCCTATCAGTCCCTTCTGTTCGTTTCTCTCTTTTTTGTTGTGCTTTTTAAATTTTACACTTTTCAAGCAGTTAAGGCTTATCAGCCTTTGCAGCCAGCGACATTAATTGTTGTTTTTGTAGCTGAAAATTGAGTTTGGCTACGAATTCATGTTAATGTGCATAATTGAGCGTGGCTTTGGTCTTGAATTTTGTAGTATTGCAGGCTCCGTATGCCATGATAGTAAGAATGTAAAAATTTAAAATTTAGGAAACTCCTTGCCATTTTACGCAAATTAACGAAAAATTAAAAGGCAAGTCATCAAAACTTTGCATTTTATTTATTTTACCCGCTCCTCTTTGTGTTTCTAACGTCTTTGCCGTTTGAACAGAGAAACGCACGTTTTTGCCTATTTATTTCATCTGTTTTGTCACAAAAAACTTTAGTTCAATAAAGTGAAGAAAAATGAAGTTTAAATTAACTAAAACTGTCAATTTATGGTTTAACGGCTTCAAAATATGACTCTTTATGAAAAAAAGTGTAAATGAAAGTTTATTGCAATTTTAAAAATTTAAAAAATGATTTTCACCTAACCAACTAATTTTTATCAAATTAAAATTGAATTTACAGCTTCAATTAATGCAAATCTTTTTAGTTTTATTGAACAAAAGTTTCAAAGTTTTGTCAGAACAGATGAAAAGAATGGAGAACAGCGTGCTTTGGAACGGCGAAACGTTAGAAGCAGAAGGAAGAGGGGGTAAAATAAATAAAATGCAAAAGTTTTTGATCACTTGTCTCTCAATGTCCTGTCGATTTACAGCGAAATTGTGGCGAAAGTAGACTGGAAGCTGATTAGAAAGTGGGAAAAACAATTTGATTTTATTATAAAAATACTTCTACCATTAATTACGTTTTATTTACTTAACATGTCTTATTAAGGTCTAGATTGTAACATAATGAAAAAGGTCTAACTTGACAAAGAGTTGTGTATCTTAATTTTTAGTTAATTCTAGTTCTATCCGGATCACTGTGTACCACATTATTTTTTGTAAAGAAACGTGAGACGGAATTTTTCAAAAAATGTTTGGACGAAAAGACGTCTGTCTCTGGCCATGTTTTCTCTAAAAGTTTATTTCCTGAACGCTCAAAATCACAGGAATTTCACGTTTTCTGAGCTATTTAGTTTAATATGTTTACGAGATGCAACTATATTTAAGTGTTTCTTTTTTAGTAAGGTATATTACGGCATTTTTTTATTTTACAGTACAGGTACTTCTAAAAATGAAGATTTTACATATATAGACTTTTGGGTTTGTTTTAAAACTTTTGTATAAGTAAATAGGTTTTTTGGATCATTTTAATTGAGTTACGTTATTATAATGTCGTTCTTTTATCGTGATATTGGTCTTTACAGTATAATATGGTAATACAAAATTTACAGGTCGTTACATCGAATTTGGGTACGATCAAGGTCGAAAACTAAATGGAAACTGCCTTTCCACAAGCTCACGTACACCATGAAACGGCTAAATCTTACTTCAATGATTTGAGGAAAATGGTATGTTACCTAAATGACATATCATTTCTAAAAATTGTCTAAATATGTGAAATTGTAGTAACAATTTACTTAAAACTAACATTTATTGCTTAAATATTTAAAATTTTTTGGTAAATTAATAACATCATTAATCCACAAATAACAACTATTAAAATGACTATTTCTATAATAATATTGTTGTAGATCAACTGGCCAGTAAAAGAAGCACGATGTGAGTACGTAGCCATGCAGAGCATTCAACGTGCCAACTTCGAACGTCTAAAAGAAGTCTTTAACGCGTACGCTTCGGTCGAAAAGAATGGCAAAAAGCATATGACTGACGATGACTTTATCAGAAAGTACCTTGGTTTATATATCGAAGAGAACTACAACAAAGAGACGGTCAGACTGCTGGCTAGTGCTGCTGACACTTCTAAGGATGGACTGGTGTCTTTCGAAGAGTTTTGTGCTTTTGAGGCTACTCTTTGCGCGTGGGTTTTGTTTTTTGTTAGTTTACTTTTTAGGTAACAATATATGCATATCGTCATATGTATGTGACAATAAGATGATAATTCAAAGCTTATTGGCTATATTGATGACAATTTTAGACCAGATGCCTTGTATCTGACGGCGTTTGACATCTTCGACAACAATGCGAGCGAGTCGATTACCGCAGATGAGTTCGAGAAGGTCATCAGACATACCACACCGCTACAAGCCATGGATTTCGACTTCAACAGTGATTTCATTAAGAAATACTTTGGAGCGTAAGTTAACATATTGTTTTGGTTTTCAAAGAGCGTTAGTGTTGGATGTGTTACCTAAAATTTTAAAATTTGGCAATAATGATAATGTTTTAGGAACAAACAGCGACAGATTGGATACCATGCGTTCTGTCAGCTTTTGCATGACTTCTACGAAGAACAGGGTCTTCAAGCCTTTAAAAAGTAAGGTCAATAAATATTGTGGGTTTCTTGTAATTGGGTATTAGTCCAAAGAAATATTTTTTTGAGAAAAAAACGATTATATTATATATTTATTTTGGTAAATGTTATTTCTGATGTCTACATGGTTGATTATAAATAAAAATTTAGATTTGACAAGGCTGGAGATGGTAGTATTACATCAACCGACTTTTTTCATATTATGACAACAATCAAGTCTCACTTGCTGACTGATTTTGTCAGGAACAACTTGATTGCTGCTGCTGGTGGAAATGCAAGCGCTCACAGAGTATGTTGCAATATGTTTACAGTATAACTTTTTGTTACCTAAAATGGGGCGTTGCTACTTTAGGTTACTTTACCATATACATGGTTATTGTGTCTTTTAATGATAATTATAATAAAAACAAGGATTTTTGCACTGTCTGTAAACTAAAACTTTGTTTTAGGTCCGTTTTCCTTTCTACCAAGCTGTGAACTCTCTCCTGAACAAGGTGGAGTTAATCAAACGAGTTTACATCTCCATGGCTCGCGGTAATTTGGATCTGAAAGTAACAAAAGAAGAATTCCTACAAGCTGCTCAATGCTACGCTCAGATCACACCGTATGAAGTAGAGATTCTGTTCCACATCTGTGAGTTGGCTCATCCCGGAAACCGGCTGTTGGGAATGGAAGACTTGGAACGTGTCGACCCCGACAGACTCAAGAGAGTTACCTACATGACCCGACTCACCAACATCAAGGCGGTTCACACCAAAGATGAACGTGGAGTGGGTACGGCGATTCTGGAGAGCGCTTATCGTTTCACGTTGGGTTCTATTGCTGGTGCTACTGGTGCTACGGCTGTGTATCCGATTGACTTGGTTAAAACTCGAATGCAGAATCAGAGAACGGGAAGTGTGATTGGAGAAGTGATGTACAAGAACAGTTGGGACTGCTTCAAGAAGGTCGTCAAGTTTGAAGGTGGGTTTGCTACCTTAATTTAATATTATACGTTTGTTCCGTTTAATACACATTATGCTTTGTACTCTTTAATTACGGATTCATTATAGTTTTTTAAAATACGTTCCAACCTTATGCGTGAGTGTATTTAGGTGTTCTCGGACTCTACCGTGGTCTTTTGCCCCAAATTGTTGGTGTTGCGCCAGAAAAGGCCATCAAGTTGACGATGAACGACTTGGTACGTGACAAGTTGTCGAAGGATGGCAGAATTCCTATTTGGGCTGAGATTCTGGCTGGTGGTACTGCTGGTGCTTCTCAAGTCGTATTTACAAATCCGTTGGAAATTGTCAAGATCCGGCTACAAGTTGCTGGCGAGATTCAAGGTGGAGCGGTAAGGCTATTCCTATTTCATTGAACTTCGAATTTTTTCGAAGGCTCAAAATGAAATTTTTAGTAAAAGGAATCATGTTGATGTTTTTTCTAAAATCCGGGGAGCAACCAGCTCAATCATTAATTTTTTTTATTTTAGAAAGTTGGAGTGTTTCAAGTACTGAAAGAACTGGGGCTTTTCGGACTGTACCGTGGAGCTCGTGCTTGTTTCCTCCGTGATATTCCTTTCTCCGCCATCTACTTCCCTGTCTACGCCCATGCCAAGAAGAACAGTGCTGACGATCGTGGGCTGAATGGACCTGGATCTCTATTCGCTTCAGCTTTCATTGCTGGTGTACCTGCTGCAGCTTTAGTCACTCCAGCTGATGTCATCAAAACTCGACTTCAAGTAGCTGCCAGGGCTGGCCAGACAACGTACGACGGTGTTATCGACTGCTTTAGGAAGGCAGGTGTTATTGTTTGGCAAATCATAGTTAAAACATGAGTAAAAATGTGTTTAATGCCGTAGACTAATACTATTATTTTGTAGGTGATGAAGGAAGAAGGTGGAAGTGCTTTGTGGAAGGGAACGGCTGCCAGAGTTTGTCGATCGTCTCCTCAATTCGCTGTGACATTGTTAACATACGAACTGTTACAAAGAGTGTTCTACGTGGACTTTGGAGGCACACGACCTACAGGATCAGAAGTGTCGGCTCACGCTAGTGTTGTAGACAGAGCGTCAGGCAATCCAGATCACGTGGGAGGCTACAGTCTGGCAGCTGCCACTTTCTCTGGCATCGAACACAAATTTGGCTTATTCCTACCCAAGTTTGAAGTCACTAGAAAGTAATTGCATTGAGGTGAGTGTACGGTGCTAATGGGACAAGATGGTACTACAATTTAAAAATGGCGCTGATTTTAAAATATTGGTACTATTGGGGCTAACTAATGATACTATTTTACTCCTAAGCTTCATTTTTTGGAATAATGGTACTACTAACACTGCATTCAAGTTTGGTACTACTATCATCAACATTAGTACTACTACACTTTAAAAACGAGGAGAGTGGGCCAGCGGATTCAGATTTAATTTTACATTTCTACAGTAAGCATCCACTGGTCACTTTCTTGAATTAGGCTACAAGTCTAGGTCTAGCATTTTAATTATTCTCTCAATCTTCATATTGTCATTGTTCGAAGCAGGTCTTTATTTCTAGCTTGATGTGTCTTAATTTTTACAAAGTTTATAAAACGGTTAACTTTTTGAAACCTGGAAAGAAAGTTTTTGCTTAAAAGTTTATATTTTGGTGTTAAAAACGACAAAAACTTTCTTTACAATAATCGTGCCCGGTGAGAATTTGTCGCGAAACAAATTGCCCAACGCACTTAATAGGCCCATTGTTAATAAAATTGTTGTTTGCGAGTATTAGTGTAAGTCATACTATTTCGTATCAGTTTTGGAATAATAAAACTTTTAAAAACTATTTTTTTGATCTTAATTGATAAAGTTTGTTTCAAATATAAATATTTAGGTAATAATAAAGATACTATTAATAAGATTTAGTTTAGTTGTAAAACTATAAAAGAAGGCCTTAAGTTTAAATTTAAAAAATTGTGAAGGTACTGACTGAGTTCAGTATTGTGAACGTTTAATATATTTATTATTCTTCTAGTTTGCTATTTATACCGGTAAGATAATCGTCGTGAATATCTTTGGATTGTCGTTTTTGGTTCGAAGTTGCTCGGTTAAAGGTTTCCAACTTCTTGGTGACGATCTTGTCTATCATCGTACACATGGCATCCATGTTCTCTTGTTTGTGTAGGAACTATAACAAGTTATTGTTAATAACATTTGCCTGTTCCTGCCTGTCTATTTGTGTCAAGTTTGAATATTTGTATTTATATTGATTCATATAGTTATATTGATGCTTTCGTTACTTTTTAGTTATGTTCTGTTTGTCTTATTATTCCCTACCTGTTCCAACTCGCGATTTCCAACAGAATTCGAGCAAGATGATATTGACTGATTGTCGAAAGCAACGTTCTCGATCCCATCTAATTCGTTTTGGGTTTTGATTGTCAGAAGATGCCTGCTCTTCCTTCTGGTCATCATCTCTTGATTCAAGGCCAACACTTCTCCAGCTGTCACTTTATTGTAGGCTCGTATGATAACCGTGTTGTCAAAGGCTTTGGAACTTGTGTTCTGAATCAGAAGTGGCTTCAGATACCGTGCATTCAATTGTTCGAACCAACTTCTGATTGTGTTTGTGCCTTTCTGGTCGAGAATGTCTTCGATCCCAGACATTGCGTAGTCAAAGTACTAAAAGTTGGTGTAATAGTTTAAGATTTTACAAAAGGTTACTGTTATATTTAACTTACCTTGTCAAACATGCGTTCTACAAAGGTTGCTGTACCATGGGTTTGCTTTTCGATTTGGAGGTAGTTTAATAATGGCCGTATCGTTGTGCCCTGAAGTCAAGAATATAATTTATTTTATTGTCCACTCTAAACTCAGAGCTTTGACTGTTAAAATTTAGTATCTGTGTCTATCACTGACCTGCACGAAGACGGTAAAGCAAATGACGATGATCGTAGTTGTTGTGAATACATCTTTCACTTTTTCATCTAATGAAGATGGTATGTTACTCAGCAGACCAAAGGCAATGGCACCACGAAGACCTCCATATGACATTACAATTTGATCCTTGAACGAAAACTTTTGTTTCAAAAATGGATTCAGACAGAGACATTGCACAAACACTCCTGCAATTTTTAGGTAACAATAAAATGTTTAAACAGAAAACAGAAAAAAAAGTATAATATAACAAAACGACGAAATATGATCTCAAAAATACAAAAAAATGTAAAACTGCCCTACCAAGAGCTCGATACACTATGCACGCCAACAATGTAATGACCACGAAGTAAAAGTCGAAACTGAACTTGGAAGCCACTGCGGACAGACCCAAAAACATAAAAACAACCGTTTCACAAGCCTGCGACAACATTTTCACGAAGTGCTTGACCGAGGCTGCCGCTTCTACACTGATATTACCCTTGACGTACTCTTTCATGAAGATACCACAGAAGCAAATGGCCAAGATGGCTGATAAGGCGAACATCTCAGCTGTCAGGTAGGCCAAATATGGGAATAGAAACACAAACACTGGGCCTACTACCTTCACTCTTTGGGTATATTTAGTGGAAATGGCACAAGCCAAGGCGAAGACTATGCCAATTGTTACCCCACCAATGGCTACGAAACATCCAGTCGAGGATAATATGGCATAGTCGGATGCTGTAAATTCTGAAAAGAGGATTTTGATATAAAATTTAACAGTACATGTAATTCAAATATAAGATCATTAATCAGAAAATGACAGTTTTTAATGTAAAAATAACAAAACATGATGAAGACATACTTACTTGCAATATTGTCAGTTCCAACAGCTGTAAGTCGGTTAAAGATCTGAAACAGAACCGCGGCTATACCGTCATTGAACAGCGCTTCTCCAAATACATTGACGAACAGGAATTCATTGACGTGTAGCTCTTCGAATACTACAATAACAGCTACTGGGTCGATTGCTGATATTAACGCGGCATAAGTGAACAGTTCTGGCCATTTCACATCAATATTGTACAAGTTACACGAAGCCCCAGCGTATAATGTTAGGCCTGTAAATACAGTTTCATATTAGTATGACAACAACATTTTAGGTTTGTCATCAAAGCATTTTATAATAGTTACTTTCATTTTTGCTTATCAAAAAGGTAACTACAAGCTGATAATGTAATCCATTGTTAACATACCTATAGTTACAGTGTTCCAAACAGTACCAATAATGGAGAAAGTGGCGATGGAACTAAAGTTTTCGAAACATTGTCGATTTGGCATAAAGTAGCCAGCTTCGAATATGATAGGTGGTAGTAAGTACAAAAAGAATACTGTAGAATCTAAATTGTAGTGGCCTATCAAGTCGAACTGCTTAAACAATAGTCCAAGAACCAGGCCAAGCGAGATCAGAAGCGCCGAATCTGGGATCAGCTCACCAAACTTTTTGTGCACGTGAAATACTGAAAGTATTGGCATTATGAGCTTGTGGACGTAGATATACATCAAAAGGTAGTGAGACTAAATATGTAATAATTCTACATCACAATATGTTAAAACCTTACGAATTTTGGCGACACTGGCTGCCAATATCCACAAAGCCACCTGTAAAGGGCCTTGAACATGGTGTAGATTGTATGATATTAACTGAAACGCTCACCTAGTAATAAAACATTTTAAATGTCATTTAATAAAAATGTATAACTTACATTAGCAGAAGGTTGTTGTTCACGTTCTACATCCATTTTCAATTTAATGCGATTATTATTATAGTTGTCTCATCTGTAGAATGTTCTTTAATTGGGCAATGTTAGTAATCGGATGAGAATCGTATCTTGCAACAATCTACAATGAATCAATTATTTCAATTACATGATCGATCTCCTGTCAATGAGCTGTATAAATTTTAATAATTCATGCAGGACATAAAATACTATGGTATACGAAGCCTGAACGGTGTCATACTATAACTGAATGCTCACAGAAAAAAGTTATACCATTAATTTCGAGGTTAAAGGACACAAAACTACACTATAATTGAAATACATGGTGATTATAATATAAAATATAGTCAAAGTTTGTCTTCAAAACTGGCACTGTAAGCGACTAAACTAATAACACTAAGAACTTGGTACAAGGAAGTGAAACTGACGCCATTTTTTTAAAAAGTAAATATCTATGTCATTATGACGCCTAAAACAAGATCCAAAGTCTCAGCCGGAGACTGTAAAGCAATCAAGAGTTTTAACAATTTTTGACGTGATCTCCCTTTGGCCGTGAAGAGCGTGCTTCAGGAACGGTTTGAACTTTAAAGAAGTGACTGTTCTCCATAACTCTTAAGCCTATTTGCTTTAATAATTAATATTGGCTGCTTTGTGGGCGCCGAATCAACAGAAACAACATAAACATATGGTAATTGGGATGTTTACCAAAGAATCTTTTTTTAAGAAATTCGAAAAAAATTGGGCAACGTTTTTAATACAGAATGCGTAAAAAGTGGTGTTACCCGGTTTTTTAATCAAATATTTATAGAATTTTAAATAATTTAACCGCAACATAGAGAAAACGGCCGGTAAAGTTTGGTAACACCACTTTTTACGCACCCTGTAAAAATGTCTCACCTTTGATTTGACAATTTTACTTGGCTTTTAGACGTGAAATTATAGAAAAAATTTCGTTTATTAACTCATACTCACAATAAATTTATAAAAAATTACTACGAAGAAATTTTATACTAAGAAAATATCAGCATTGGTGTACTAGAAGATATAAAACCTTGTTAAAACTTCATAACGCGGGCCTAATTTAATATTTTTAGGATTAAAACTACAAGAAAAGGATCATTTCAGTAAATACAGTTTAAGAATGAGCCGGAAAGGTACTATAACACTGATATTTGGACTATTCTTTGAAAGTCACGAGGTTAAGTTACCTTTCTCATTATTATTACAAATTCGTGCTTGGTAGTCGTTATATTATACGTGATAATACCCCAGAAAAAAAGAAAAACACAATGTTTTTAAATTTATATTTCAAAGTCTAATAATTTTAAAAATTATTTAAAATCTACCCCTTCTTTATAAAATACCGCGCCCTACTTTTTTAGTCTTCAAATGCCGTATCAACCTTGATATTTATCATTTATTATATTAAAATTCACAATTGTAGCTGTATATGCATAAATAAATATCAACAAGTATGGACCCAATAGACTTGAATATTACGGTAACATAAGGTAGATTTGGTTTCTGAATACAATGCCAAAATGCTATGAAAATACAATGTAATTACACTTTGAGTTATTAGATTATTACAGTTACTAAAGTGTCAGAGGATTACACTTACTACAGTATCAGGGAATTACACTTACTACAGTATCAGAGAACTACACTTACTACAGTATCAGAGAATTACACTTACTACAGTATCATAGGGTGACACTTACTACAGTATCAGTTACAATATTAAGCTCGTTTCACTGTCAAATTCGAAAAGCCGAGGTCAGAATCCAACACGTGACTCATGAGATTTGAATATGACTCCACATTATTCATTATGCTTTTGTCAACATGAATAATTTAATTTTGGTCAAAAACTAGTGTACATCGTCGCAAAAGTAGGACAAATCAGTCCGAGAACTTTTGAGAAAACCTAGTAATTAGCCAACAAAAACTTAAAAACCGACAAAAACAGTTTACCGGTCGAAAAAAGAACTTGAAAAATAGAAAGACTTGGAATAAACTAACTACAACAACATCGCCTAACCAATATGTACAAATAAATAGTTCTAGTCTTCAGAAGCCCACTTCTAGTCTTCGGAACCCGAATCCGAAGCGTACGCCGACTCGTACGGCTTCCGCCGCATCAGTGGTGACGTGTCTTCGCCGTGCTCGTTCGAAGCCCGTGCTCGCGGAGAACGGTGACCGATCGGCGTGCTGTGCATGATACTGTTCTGTCCCGGCATCATAGCCACTTTGGTAACGTGTGGTGCTGGAGATGGTACCATTCCAAACTGGTTCATACCATCTAAGGACCCTTTCACAAATCCATTGTTCAGCCCTTGTCCAGACTGTCCTGATGAGCCTCCAGAATGGACTGAACTGGCTCGGGCAGTGTTGTAGCCAGCTTGTCCTAGAGCTGACATGACTTGTAAACGTTGGTGGAGCTCGGCGAAACTTGGTCGCCGTTCAGGGATGTTGTTACAGCATTCAACAATCATTCTGAAATGAGAATTATTAGTTTACAGTATAATTAAAGTAATATAAACACTATTATTTACAATACCAATACCTTTCAATTCCTCCCAAAAAGGAGAACGACATTCATTTTTTGTCTAAAATAATATAAAAACATCAAAAAGTTTATACTTACCCATAGATCTTAGTGGGACACCCCTGAGGGCACGGTAGCACGTCACGGTAGTTGATCTTGTCGATGACTTCTGGGTCGCTCTGATTTCCATATGGTTGTTGAGCAAAAGTGTATATCTCCCACAACGTCACACCAAACGAGTAGACATCAGTCTTTTCGTTAGCAATGTCGAACGCTTCCTTGGCCATCCATCTGACTGGCAGCTTGGCCTGGTTGTTCATGATAACATAGTCCTGTTCGTATTGTTGTTGGTACTTGGCAAAGTCGGCGATCTTGACCACGACTTGATTAGCGATCAAACAGTTTCTGGCAGCCAAATCTCGATGAACATAGCCTTGACGAGCAAGATATTCCATGCCACCAGCAATGTGAGCAGCGATCTTACACATATCTTCGTAGTTGCGACAGCGTTCTTCATCAGTTCTGAAAAAAGTTAATATCAGTAAGACGTTAGGTTTTCACCTAGTTAATAATTAAAACTCTAAAATTTTACAATTTAAAACAATATCAACTCAAAAAATTCAATTTTTTACAAAAATAGGTAACAAAAAACATAAATAAAGGTTTCTAACTTACTCATTGCCTCTAGGTTCCCGTAGTTTCAGATATTGCACTAGATTACCATTCACATCATAGTCAAAGACAGCGCCCATCCTTGTGTTCTGCTCAATGTAGGTAACACCCAGTAGTCTTATCACATTCAGATGTTCAAACATTGCTAATCCTCGGATTTCTTCTCTAAAGTTTTCAATTTCCAACTGAGAAGATCCCAGTTGAAGCATTCTGATGGCTACTTTGATTGTTTTGGACTGGTGATCGAAACCTTTTGGAGACGAATATTCTCCTTGATAAATAACTTCTCTGCCATCTTCGCCGAGCTTGTTTTCAATGGAAATCTAGAATTATAAAGATTAAATTATCTTGTACCCATTGAATTAACGTATTTTATTTTGCCATAGTTTTAATACCTAATTTTAGGTGTTTCAAATAAAATAAGCGGAAAGATAAAAGCATGTTTCATCGTATAAAACGTCTCTTTTCCCAACAAAATATTGTTTTCTTGTAAAAAAGCCTAATTTTTATACTTTACTATTTATTTTTACGAAATAACTTATTTTTACAACTTTTATGTACAAATTATGCCAGCCATATCATGGTTAATATAATTATGTTATAACTGAATCAGTTTTGTTACCTGATTTTCACTAATGATGGGGATCGACTGTTCCGAGGGGTCGGTGCTGGTGTGAGGACTGTACAATTGCATGTGGGAGGCAGCTTGGGCAGTGGCATAAGGGTGAGATCCGACTGACATGATGGCTGAGCCTGGGTGTCGAGGGTGGAGTAGCGAGTTCATTTCGTAATTGGGTTGAGCCATCATCATCTGAGCCTGTCTATTGTAATATTGTTGGTTTACTGCTGAGTTGGCCAAACTTGACCCGCCGTTCATACTAGGTATACCATTCATCACCCCGTTCATACTCGGTACCCCATTCATATTCTGCACGAAGTAGCCGTTCTTGTTCAGGGATGTTACAGTAGACTGGCCGGTGGTGGTTGAAGCGGGGGACTTGGTCTTCTTTTTGCGACAGAAGCAAGTACAACATATACAGAGTAAGAGGGCGAAGAGGACTGCTCCTAGGCCAGCGGCTGAGATCATCTGAGTTTGGGGACTCATGGTTTGCCAGGTCTTGGAGACTCCGTCCAGAAGGCCGGGTTCCGGAGCTGAATCCGAGTATTCTGCGTACAAATTGGGCGGACACTTCCTGATGTCACACTGTTCTGGTAGACCAGTCTGAGCAGCGTAGCACCATGGTTGGCTGATTGGTCCTCCAGGGTTTCTGCAGTGATTCCCTGCATTCTTCAGTCGTTTGTTGGCTGATGGATGGAACTCCTTGGACGGACTGTCTCTCCACGGTAAACACACTTTGCCACTGATGGTCGTGGCCGCATTTCCTTCGTACTTTAGTCCAGTGTCCACGTAGCACCAATGACTGAATTTGTCGTTGGAGTCGTCTCTGTCTGGTACGGACTCGACTGGCGTTTTTGGTACACCAATAGGGGTATTGGGTTGCAGTACCCGTATACAATGTGAGGCATCAGGAGAGATCGTATCACAGCGAGGTAGCAGGGACTTTTCACCATCTCCCACAAGTTCATGTTGAGCAGCCATTGCGAATTCTTTGGGGCAAACGGCTGACTAAAAAATTAAAATATTAGGTACGCCACCAATAAAAAAATTTTAAAAACTCATATTCATGAAAATAAGTTCACAATTTAAGAGATATGCTATCATTAAACTATCTTACCTGTAGTTCATCACAATCTCTCCTACACAATGGTACCGTCGTTTCACTGGCACCATACGTACTCACACTTTGGTCACAGACTTTGTACCTATGATAACAAGCAACAGCATGTGAGTACTTTTTACATTGTTCACTGACATCAGGCATCTTGTGGATGAACATCATGGCCGCTGAGATGTGATGGTCAACATCGTATATCTCGTCTCGATTTTCCGTCGTCACTATAATGTATCGACCGGTCAAGAAGTTGGCACATGCTCGACCCTTGTATGGTACACATTGTCCTTTGGTCAAGGTGGTACCGTCCAGCCACCTTTCGTTGGCCATCTCTTGCATCGGAGCGTAGCCATTGCCTCCGGCGCTGTTGGGAACGCTGAACATGTCGTCGAACTGGTCAACGTTCCGTTGTTCGTCGAAGTAGTCGCCGTACTCGTCGTCCAACTCGAGGTTCTTGTGCTGTTTGTTCACTGAACTCGAGGGCTTGGGTTTGGCATTCGGGGGAGCGGTGTTCACCTAAAAGATACGGGTAAGATATGATATTAGAATTAAAAAAAATGTTTTAAAAATATTGTAAATACGAAATACATTAAGTAACAAAAGTAGTTTAAGACTGACAAAAAAGACAGTTATTTTCATACCTTATTCTTCTTATGCTTTCTAGGTTTTCTAGTAACAGCCTTAACATCCTCAATATCCAGCTTCATTATAAATATAGATTGATAAGTCAATTATCAGTAATAACAAGTCAATTAACAGCTCCTAACAACTTATTGGAATCCAACAAGTCGCTATCAAGCAAATCCTAAGAATGATCCCTACTTGGTATTCCCAACAAACTCCAAATCCACACAAAATTTACTGTGGTAATTTGTGTACCCTGGAGAAATGTATTGTCAACAACAACAGCTATCTAATCACTTGTCTAGCGTTTCGATCAGACATTGACATGAGATGCAAATGAGTAGAGAAAAAGAGCGCATTAAGAAGCTATTACACTGACCTATGTCCACTTTTACTGGCACTTGCGCAATATGCTAATTCTTGCGGGTTAAGTTACCAGTGGCTAACAGAAGCTAGGCTATGAAAATGAAATTTTAAGTATTGGGGATGACAAGTGAACTTGTGTTGGATAAAGATTGTCAAAAGTGATCATTATACATCTAATTAGGTTTAAAAGTACAAAGAATCATCTGTAAGTACTCCTTACTACCTTGTTTTGCTCAAATAAGGTTTAGTTTCGAATAAGTACCTTACTAATTACGAAAACAATACTATGTAAAACAAGGTGTAATAGTACATGTAAATAAGCCTCCCATTCCCGTATCAAATCAAAATTAGAAACCAATTTAATTAAACTGATCGTCCAACCCTCGGGCCAGCGTTCACTTTCTCGCCCGGCCATAAATCCATCGCCAAGACAAAACGGTAATTTATGGGAGCGAGAAGTGCGAGTAAAGTCAAAATATTGTTTAAAACAAGTATGTTCTCCACATTTTGTTTAACTATCAACACTTCAATCGAAAAGCTGTGAAAATCTTGTGAGAATAACTTTCTGGTTCTTCTAATAAGTTACTTATCAAAAAATGAACAAAAGGTAATGGTAACGTGATCAAAAACAGCAAAACTTGAAACAATCTGGATTCTCAAATCCTTTGAAATTATGTTATGAAGAAAACTGCAACCCCAAGAATACCCGAATTACCCAAAACGTGCACTTTTCAATTACCATTTTGCTGATTTGGGGAATTCAGCTGGGACAGAAGGGCGGCGTCCCCCTTTCGAGAATGACCCAGCCGGCTTTGTTTTTTCCTAATCCTTGAATGGAGCCTTTGCGGCTCGTTTTAATGGCCAAATGAAAACGAGATTAGACGGTTTAAGATTGCGAAGTTGGGAATTGATGAAAGCGATTCATCATATTATCCATGAATGAAATGGTTTAGAGACTTGTGGCACTTTCAAAATTGTAAAATGGGAAAATCATGGTTAACTTTACTTTTTAAAATATTTTTTTAATTTCTAGACCTAACATTCTTGTAAAAATAAAAAATCATCGTATGTTCAAAACGGTTTTGGATTTTTAAACCTTTCCAAAGAAAGTGCCCTCTAGTTCGCCCACCAAACCGGAATGATCGCGCGACATTTGGCAGTTTATCGTCCAAGATGGGAAAGCGCCGCGACAAAGAGGAATCTGGCCAGATCCCTGGCCAAACATGAAGAAATTATTCAAAGGCCAGAAGTAAAGATGGAGGCAGATAAATGGAACCGTAATTCAAATATTCTAAAAAGCTGAAAAATTAAATTTTTGAAAAGTAAAAATATTCAAAAAAATTCTAAAACTTTGGACAAAACACTAAATTTCTTAAAGTATAAAGCGTTAACCTTGGCCAAGCCCTATATTTGATCAATATGGCAATGTGTTCGAATTTAAGATGAAAGCACGCCGTACCGTACCGTAATGACTAGCTATTGTTCTAATTACCACCCACGTCCGGTCGCGCTTTGAATCAACCCAAAAATCGATTAAAAACATTTCGAAAACGGTCAAAACCGTACTCAGAACTAAGACAATACTCTATTCAAGTGCTCACAAGTAAAAAGTAATGACAAAAGTACTGTAATTTCAAAGAAAAACAAGTCTTTGTCACAGTAATGCCACTTTCTTGCAGATTATGCAAATTGGTGAAAGACAAGCAAGGCTATATTAATATCACAAACAAAAAGAATTTGTATGATTTAGGTATTAAAAGGCAGAGGAATGGAGCTCATTTAAATAAAGGAAAGAGTTCATGGGAATGCGGCCATCTGATGTCTATTTATTCTGTTTACAAGCTGTTTGTCATTTCCAGCCAAATATTTTGAATTGTTAGATCTCAATTATACAATAGCAGGCTTTAAAGTGCTTTTCTTGCAAAAACTACTTCAGGAATTTGGAAAAATGGTAAGAAAAGTAATATTATGTTAGGTTGTTCAAGTGTTTAATGAAAGAAGATGATTCTGTGATAGAGCGAACATATTATTGGCCCGTTTTATGGTCATGGGAAATCACGAACCATTATATTCTAATTCTAACATACATTAAAAAACCATTCAATGCCTATTTATCAAGAACATAACTTAAAACAACTATCACTATACAATCTACCTCAACATAACTTAAACCGGCAGTATCACTAACAACCACCTCACCCACTGCTACAAAGACCAAATGCCAATCACACACCCTAACACAATCCTTATCACAACCAGTAGTAGTTGTAAATTCAGATAACAGCTACTAACCACCCATTTACAATAGGACCACACAAGTCTCGGTTTGCGACCGTTTCGAGGTTTTCGAAACGGAAAACCCGCAAATGAGCCACCATCTGTTTCTGATCAGAGGGTCGATTAAAAATTTGGAGGCTGGACACTAATCGCTTACTGCTTCTGCTGAATGTGTCAAAACCAGAGCGACAACAAAAACTAAACAATATAAATGCTTGTTGGACTAGGAATAGAAGTTAAGTTTTGAAGCTTTTTTAAATTTGAATTTTAAGCCGCTTTGGAATAAAAAATTTGCTGTTTTAGTAGGTTTAGATTGGAATTTACTACAAAACCAGTATTCAAAATTTCATAGAACTTAGGAAAGAATTTCAAAAGTTATTGTCCATTAAAGCCTTCTCATTCAAAAAAACAACCATCTACAAACAAAGCAAAGAAACCCTATAAAACTACAACAAAATGACCATCAAACCTCCAAACTTCAACTTTTAAGTCCTAATCCTCAAAGTTAAAATACAAATACTCTGAAGCCCACAACGATTACAACAACCGTCGTCTTTAAAGCGCAAAAACATAATTAAAAATGGAGTTGGGCCAGAGCGCAGCCCTCATTCCTCATATCGGCTGTCAGTGGATCGACTGCGCCCATCAATCTCAGCCTCAATCGAAGAATGGCAAAGAAAGTGAATCGACACACGATGACTAATTCTGCCTAAATTTACTGCATATTCGCAGTACGAAAAAAGTTTAAAGCGGAGATTAAAAAGTAATTTATAAACTTGTGAAACAAAAACTTTAAAAAACATTATTTTAAATTTAAAAACTAAAAATAACTGTCAAAAAATGTGTGGCCCTGATTTTTATCATATCAGCTCGATGTCATTAAAATAATTTCATTGATAAAAAACGTATTTTAGGGTTGTTGTATAATATTTACTTTTAAATACTATATGACATAATCTTTAGACGTTTTGTTGAATGTTAGTAAAGAAATGTTACCTAAATGTCAAAATCTAAATCTTTGTATTGTATATATTTTTCGTAGACTTCACTTTAGCCTATGAAAAGTTCTGTAGCTTGAGAAATGCAAAATCAAAATTCAAGTTTTTTTTAAACTCGCTTAAAACTTAAACTTTGAGTATGCAAATTATCTTCTTTGTAGGTACCCTCATCTTCGAGGACAGGGAATTCACTTTGAACTTTCGAGCAGTATAAAATAACAAAGAAAAATTAATTCAAATTATTTTTACAAAATACACTTTTTTTTAATAACGTCTAACTTATATTAACCTTAACTAAAACCCCTTCATTTTCACATAAAAACCGTATTTTACTCCTCCTCAAAACCACCTTACTTTACCCCATAAACCCATCAAATTCACACATTTAACGTCAATTTCCCCAGAAATGCAACCTTTAGTAGCCATCACCAAGTGCGTATCATAAAACAGTTCACAAATCAGCCCCCCCCTCCCGACTCCATTAAACTTCAGAAAAGGCGAAAAAGAAGATTTTCGGTCCTTCGACCTCACGGCACTCACTCACTGTCAAAAGCGTCGATTGATAAATGAAGCGCTTCTATAGGCTTTTCAAAACAGCACTATCAGCCGGCCTAATTTATTGTTTATCAATGCGATTGGGTTATTCATAAAAACGCTAATTAATTGGCTTGTTGATCACAAAGTTTGCTAGTTTTTGATTGTGCCAGCTATTGCTGTTAAAGAATCTTTTTTGTTATACCGCGAATTACCAGTAGATGATGTACCCCAACCAAAAAAAATATTTTACCTCAATTTTAATATAAAAAATGTTTTAATATTAAAAACTCTATTTAAATATAAAAAACTAAATTTTAAAACCAAAAATGGTCTAAAATAACCAACAACGTAGAGCTATACTAATCAGCTCCCAATTACAACATTAAAACCTGTTGAAAGGCCCATAAACACCCGGAGACATCTAAATCGTAAAATGGCTTTGATCAATAAATTCGGTGGCCATGAAACGGCCGAACATGATACAAACAAAAACCAGCTGCCAACCTTTGACCATCCCGAAGTTTGGCTGCAAAAGACAAAAACCCCTCAGGAGATTTGCCAAATTTGACATTCCGTTTCGAAACAATACCCATAAACAACAAGTTTGTTTCGAGCTCGGTTCATCTTAAGGCTTATTCATGGGTTAAACCTTTCAGACAGTAAAGAGATGTAAAGTTACCAAAAATGACACTTTACATAGTAAAGTAATAGACATACTGCCATAAGCTCTAACAGTATGTTTTACTGAATTTTTAAACCTATTGCAACATAACACTTATTAAGTACCAAAAAACATTAAAATAGAAAAAATACTAATAAAATATTAACGTACCCTCAAGACAGACGTCGTATTCACAGATCCCGCACTGTTTGTCGCTGTACACTGATAATAGCCACTGTCAAGTACATCAAGATCTGTTATCACAAGTTTCGACCAGAACTCGCGATTCCGCACTTTTACTTTGCGACTTTTCTCGATTGGGGCATGGTTTTTCAGCCATCTAAAATACGGTTTTTAATTTAAAAACGCATAATTTTAAAATTAAGAATAGTTAAGTTTCATATAAATATTACCCAATTTCTAAAATTATTTGAAATTAATTTTTAAAACAGAAAACCAACATAAAACTTTCGTGGCGAAACCCAGCATGAAAAATTTTTCGGTTATCAATAACAAGATTTAATGAAATTAAAATTAAAAAATAAAATAATAATGATAAACTAACTTACGCGAAAGTAATAGGTTGTGGAGATCCGACAGCTTCACACTTCAGCCTGACTTCACCTCCAGTGTGCCGTGTCACGTTGGGGAGGTTCGAGTTGAGTCTGATGTACGGTCTTTTGCCTGTTCCATCGTCCATCCTGTAATTTCATTTATAATTATATTACATTAGCAATAAGTCATGAAAAGTAGAAAAACTCGTATTTTACAACATAGAATTTACTTCGTTGTGTTTTACATAAGTTAGGTTTCATGTAAACCCCAAAAAGTTATTAAATTACATTGTTTATGATGAAAGTGCAAAAACTTGGCTTTTGTGGCCACTAAAATAAATAAACAATGGCGGTCAAGATATATTCTATTACAATATCTAATTGAATAGCTTACACACCATCCAATAACATGTTTAAATATTTAATATTTGCATAAAATCTATTACAAGATACGGTTCAGTTACATAAATAACATCCAAATATTTACTAAAGTAAATGAACTAGATTAGCTTTTGCCCTCTGGCAGGCTTTTTGACTTAAAAATTAAATTATTTTGATATTTCGAATATTTTTGAAATCGAGAAACTTTGAAGGCTAAAAGACAGAAGAACTGCCTCAAGGCATTTTGGGTAATTTGGTTAGAATTTGAGTTCAGTAAAATGTACTTTTACGCAGCAAAGTGCTTTGAATTTGTAAACAAACTGTGGATTAACATAAACCAATTTTACTTTTTATATCAATATCCATATATATATAGTAATGTAAACTAAACTAAACGTTAAAGCAACTAAGACAATTCTTTAACTCAGTTACGTTCTCGAAAGCCTTTTGAAATATTCGAAATTAAAAGGGCACTAGATAAACATAAAACTCATTCCGAAGAATAGATTGCGCAACCCATAAACTCGGTATAACAAACCTTCTCAAGTGAACTCAAGTGCTCTCAACTAAAGTAACACTGGGTAGGGTTTGGATATCAAGGTCCTTATACTATATTAAAACTTTTCTTTTTAGCTATATCTACAATTAGTGACATTTTATCTTGCTCTGTGATCAACTATATATATTATCATGTCAGCTAAATGTAAAGGGCAGTACGTCCAAGTCTACAACGTATTTTACAAATAAATCTTCAAAATTTGAAAAGCCTACCGCAACCCAATATACATATAGGCCAAATTAATATTCAATCAAGTAAAGAAAATGTAATAAAGGCCAACTTGACTTTGGCACAGCTTTAAGTGCACTTTCCCAAATAAATGCAAGCGGTGCGAAAGGGATGCATCGGCTAATCCGACCGTTTTACTGAGTAAAATACGAATTACGGACTATCAAATAGCTTAATGCACTACATACAGCAATGATTTAGATGTAAATGGCATTAAAAAATATTTATAAGTTCAAGAATTTAAAAGTAAAAAAAACCCCAAATACGATTTAAAAATATTTTAAAAACGAAGTCTCGTTAAATATAATACTTAAAAACACGTTGATAACGTTTCGCACTCTGAAATCTTGCTTCCTTTTTGTTCCAAGAACTTTTTGACATTACAACTACTAATACCACAAAAACAATGCAAAAGACCTCACAACCCTCCAATAACAACATTGTTTTGTCAATGTGTTAATGCTTGAAATTAATCATCAAAGGAAATCAAACCTTATCAATGCTATCGCCACTCGCCTTAATCCCTATATCAATAGGCTTAATATACATAAATTGTTTTCACCCAGTTTCTGAGCCGCTTAAAATATATTTTCCGTTAATTTTTGTACCTAATTTCCGAAATTAAAATACAAAATCTACATTCTTTGGATTCTTCTCGATATTATTTTAGATATGTTTTTAAATTTTAATCGAAAAATATTTTAAAAAAAAAAACATGTTTCTTTTAATGCAAAATCTCTTGATGGTTAATATATACATACAAAACTGGGGTACCTCAATTAGCCCCATTCAGAGCCCACTCAAACATTCGGATATTTGGATTATCCAAAAAACTCTCAACCCAATTTGGCCTATCCCTCAATTATCCAAAAACAATGGCAAATTACTAGGACATGTTATACAATCGTCGTATCTTTCTTACATACACTGTAATTAACTTTCGTATCCAAAAGCTAGTTTTGCAAAAGCTTTATTATACTGTTCAGCATTACCAATGTAAATAATATCATAGACATCACTATTCAGAAAAGGCTATGTTTGACTTTGTAAATAAATCACCGGATAAGCGTCAACTTTTGGGATTAACAATGGCAATGCCAACAGATGGACAGTTATGCAACCAAGGCATGGTTATTAACTCTACAGAGCTGAACACAGCCATATGTTGTTGTAAGATTAACAAACATACACAGATATGGTACGACAAAATCATTCCTTTACCCCCCTCCCCCTTCTTGACTAAAAATTACCCTTCCAGCTATAAAATCAGCTAGCGGCCTAACCGTCAAGCTATTTTCAAAACCCTTCTACTGTAATTCCTGGCTTCCTTCAAAAATCAAAGAAAATTTAAAAGTTACATACTTAATTCATACAGTAGAAAACAAATTATTCAAAAACTACTGTAGCTCATAAAACGACAGTAAAAGTGTGATACCACCACCTCCAATCGTACGACGGAAGAGCTCATAAACCTTATTTACGACTTTCCGTTTCGTATAAAAATAATTAAAGATGGCGTATCGTATCTCTGTCCTCTCTTCAGCTGCTATACTCTCTCGGAATGCCAAAGATGTTAGAGCGTAGTATCTAATCATCTACCCAAAGGTTATGCTTTCACCTCAGTCTGGGTGTTGTTATGGTTAACATAACATAGTTACAGTATTTTTGTAGTCCTAATTAACTAACTGATAATATTTTTATAAACAGCATTTTGGAGTACTACCAAAAGTTTTAAGTGACCCAAAAACTTTTTTTTAATTTTATGATTCTTAAAAATTTGCATATCAGACTAATGTTAAGATAAAAGGTTACTACAACATATATTAACCTTAAACACCTTAAAAAACCTTGCCAATCACCCCCAAATCTAAATTTTCCCCAAAAAATCGACCACTTCCGGTGGCATAAAACTCTCGCCCGCCATAAATTATAAAATACAAGTTGCGTCAAGAACAAACAATAAGTAGGTTGTCTCCATTATGTTAATGGTCTCGGCGATAGCTCATAAATAACGCCACAAACTTTATGCACTCCGAGTTGCGAGCTGAAAGCAGTTGGGGAGGGGGAAGGGGCGCTGCGAGGGCTCCGACTTGTCAAAATGCTGACATCTCGAGCAATATTCGATATACTGAGTGTAAGAGTATATGTTCGGAAGGTAAAGACAAGGGTGGTATTGTAAGCACAAATGTTAAAGTTTAGGTCATTTAAGCCTAATATTTTAATTTTATAAATACTTTTCAAATGGTGAGGTTGCATAAGGAATATCGGCCTTGAACAGCGCCTCTGGCTGAGCTAGTAACGCCTAAATTTGCATAAATATCATGCTTGGCTGAATGTTTCGGGTTCCCACTTTGCATCTACATTATTCTGTCTATTTCCAATTTTCGGCTCAAATAACAAATTTGCAACATTCATAATAAAACCTACAAAAATATGAAAATGTTACCTAAAATTACAAAAAATGTTTCAAAAAGTACCCTGCCTTTAATTACCACTCTGTACTACGCTGTATGTCTGCTTATACGGTACTTCAAGTTATCTGATAGAAGATCTCCGATTCTGTTATTTCTTTCACTTTTTCTCTACACTCTCTCACTTCCCCGTTATCTCTCCCGATTCCGGTCTCAATATTTCGGAACACATTCGCATATTTCTTTCTTCGATTTGATGAAGAAATATGGACTGTCTAAGTGACCACCCTATAACTCATCTTAACCCCGTCGTGTGCCCTGCGGCCAGAAGCAGTGACATATACTCGAAATTGGCGGCAACAAAAGACATTTACTATAATGTTAGACTTTTATTGACTGCAAATTGTTTGTGCAACTAAACTGCTTTACCATCTTAACTAAAAATAAAAACTTTAGCAGTACGATGTATGACAGTACAAAAAATTACTTTTAACTTTAAACCTTTATAAGCAGCATCAAAATAAAAAAAACTTTAGAGTAAAAAATTAAAATTAAATTTAAAAATGACATCAGAAGAACACCCCTCCAGAAGCGCCCTTAGCTGTGTTTCTTTTTGAAAAAAAGTAAGAATTGGTGTTTCCCCCAAAACTGTCAAATTTTCATCAAAAATCGGAAAAACTGTCAAAGCGAAAACTCCTTTTTAAGCCTTTAACAGATTTCGGAAAAGTTTTTCGAACAGGGTATTATCATAAACGTTCGTATTAAGATAAAATCCAAAGTTTTATACCTTATTTTGTCATATAAAACTGTTAATTTATTATGTTTTAATATCAGGTTTTTCAAATAATTCTCAGCATCTGAAAAAAAATCTGCTTTAGAGCCTAGAATTAATTAAACAACCTAAAAATAAAAAAATCCCCCTAAAACCTATTAATAATAAAAAATGAATTTTTACCCCTGACATTACAAAGTTTTAAAAGTTTTAACGTTGCAACATTGCCAACCCCATAACGAAGTGTGACCCCATAAATGTCATCCATAAATCTCGTGTAATATAAGAGCCCACTGACCGCCCTTTTGGTAAACCGACCCCCGTTCCTTGTTCAAAAGGACGGAAACCCGAAATTGGGCCAATTCTGTTTCAGTTTACTCAAATTTGTTTTCGGTCAATAAAAGGATGAGAGGTTGAGAATGGAACGGAACTTGGCAATTTGAAGAAGATTGGCTCAGTCAAACCCATAGTAAGATACGAAGGTCATTTTACGTATTTGAATATTTTTAAGCAGATGGGTTTGGGTTGGATAGATTCGACTGGTCAAAAAATTCTTTAAAAACTGGTAATTGTAAGGTAATACTATAAACAACTTTTTAAGAAAAATTAAAATCAATTTTTTTTTATGTAAATTACTCCATAAATTTTACATTAAATCAACATAAAAATCATAATGGCCCACAACCCTACCTAAAAGTAAATTCCCATGCCCCCGCCAAAACAGCTAAATGACAGCCTGTCGATAAAGAAAAAACCGCCAAAATGAGCTAAATCACCCGCTGACAATCCGCAACGCATGTCAATTAAGTCTGTACTTCAAATTTATAAATTCAAATTTTGGTCAATCTTAATTAACATAAGCTTTAACAACAAAATATGACTCTTTAAACCTAAACAAAAAAAAATTTAAATTCGAATGAAAATAAAACGTTTGACCCAAACTTAATAGTTAAAGCCAAATTTAAATAACGAAAATGGCAGAATCCACTAATATCGTGCAAAAGCAACTCCAAGTTTGCTGGGGGGGGGGGGGGGCTGCCACTCAAGTTGAAGCTAATTAACTCGCTTCTGCTGACAACTGTAATAAAACTTGCATTACTGTTTATAAACATGCGCTTATAACCATGGTAAACATAGCTTACTTCAACATACGTAATAAAGTTACCGTAAAATCAAGCTTTCAGCTTTTAATTTAAAGTTAGACTAATATAATATAGAGCTAAAGAGTAACCTTAAAGCTGTTAAATTATGTTGATTTTGAAGTATTATAAACACTTTTGAACTAGCCGATAATACTATAGTCATCAATCTGTTGGCCTTTAATGTGCCGTTAATTAGCGTGCCAAACCTCATAAAAACTCATAAAAGTTTGTCAAAATTAAAATTTGACCTAAGGCTGAATTCAAAGCAAAATAATGTATTTAAATTAAAAATACTACGACTATATCACCTATGTATTATATTATCAATGAGTTGTTAGCTAACACTATGCCCTTGTACTACTGCTAGTTTTAGTATCATACACACTCTCAAACAATGTAAAACAAGTAAAATACTACAATTTACAAATAAGTTTAAACCATTTTTAACTGTCTTTTAGTAAAAGTGTTTTTACTACCTATAAAATGTCATTTCCAACCCATAAATAAGGTCTAAATCAACTAAATTATTGTAAATTAATTACCGCCCCATAAATTTCGGACTTAATGCGAACTGAAACCCATAAAACAAAAAATGGCAAGAAAACAAAAAGTTTTGGAAGAGCCGATTGCCCGAGGGCCTGTCCGAATCCAATATCCCCTGCTTCGTCTTCATCAAAAAACACCAAGTTTATTCGCAATGATGGACTAGTCTGCCATTCTTTCTTAAAATACTTAAAATCTGGCTAAAATTGGGCTTGGTGCTAGGTATTTTAGCTTTAGTATACCTATAATAACTTATAATTTCCTATTTTAAAATCAAATTTAAAGTTATCTAAATTTAAAAAAATCTTAAAATTTTACAGTAATCATTAATAAAATGGTCATAAGTCAGCCTTCTGTAGCCATAAACGATGTTTTAAATGCCAAAATGTGTTAAAACATAGAGTTCAAATAAGTCAGATTTAAGTCTCTGTCTTGTCCCAATTGTTCATTTCCAGTCCATCAATCTTATCTACCCCCAAAAGCTCAATTTCCAAACATTTCTTAGTAAATTGAAATTTCAAGCCTAATATTCTTGAAATTGGCAGCTTTTAGTTAGCGTGCCAGTTTTGGATTTTAATTTGTAAAGATTTTTAACTTGTAAGACTAAAGAAAATTCTTGATTCTCATCTTATTTTTATCTGAATTGGCTTTAATATTAATTTTGAATTGAAAATTCAAGCTTAAAGACTCAAAAAACATATTATACTGTAATGTAAAACCTAAAAAAATATTTTATCGCAGCGTAAAATACGCTTGTCGCAACAACTGATTTTAAAAATTAAAAACTACAATTAATTTCACCAGCAAAAACTCATGCTAAACACCCCTAATGTACTAATGCCAAAAATAAAAGTTGCGATAGGCTGTCGCATCCAAATTAAGCCAGTTTTATCTGATCGGATGACATTTCTCGTGTCATTGTCGCCTCTTTTTCGCCAAACTCAATTTGGTCCCTCAGGAATGGCACGGATTTGGCTTTAAAATATGCACTTTTCCAACTGCACTTGACATACTCCTCAGAGATGGTTTTAGATGCAGATTGTTGATTCGCTTTTAACAAGCGACATCTTATACGATCAAACATGTGTTTTTCGAAAAATACACGTTTTATCGTATAACTCGGTCAAAAATCACCAAAAATCAAAAAAATTCTAATTTTGTTTCGACCGTTTTTTGTAATAACCTGAATCCTCATAAATAACGATTTCAAAATGTTTGAAGCTTACGTGTTATTGTAATCGCCATAGACAACATCGTAATCTCCAGCCGGCTCGATGAACAGATCATCGTCCAAGGGCATGCTAATTGGCCGCGTCCTGTTCCGATCTTTCTTACGATGTTTTCTCTTGGGATGGGGTTTCTTCTTCCTTTCTACCGATTGTGTTTTAGTAGGTATGTCTACAATGTCATGAACAAGAAGGTGTGAGGATTTTTGTTTCTTCTGATTGGGCTGGGTGTGGAAGGCTTCTAAAATCATATTTTTAACACGTTTTTGATCTTTACAAAAAAGTAATGAAGATGCTACAAGTAGAACACAAGAAATGACCGTATTTTACATAAAATATCAAGGTAAAGTAGTTAAAAATACAATAAAAGTAATTAAAAGCTCAAAATAATATAAAAAACACTATATAGACATAGCATAACAACCCCAACCTTCCATACCTACAAAACACACCCCGCTCTCGTCCCCAACAGAATCCCAAAAAATCATTGCCGGAAATCCTGCAAATGTCGGTAAAAAGAAAGGAAGGTCCAACCACCTTTGTCTCTCTTCGGAACTCTTTATTCCATTATGTTTTACACTCGCTTTGTCACTATGAATACGATAATGGAGGTATTTAGCGCCGGATATGCCCAAACTGAGGACAACCATTCAGAGGAATATTAGCCGCTGTTATGGTCGTACAACCGTATGTTCAAAAGGTCATATAAAACAGTAAAATTACGAAAAAATAAGCGGTATGTGTAAAAAATCAAATACATTTTTAAATTTAAAAATTCAAAAAAAATTAGATTTTTGAAAAAAGTAAATTGTAATTTTAAATTTAAATTTTAAGGCTGGTCAAGAACTATGCAGAAACAATAACACTACCTATCTAATTTTAAAACATATTCAAGAACTTATAGATAATTTAATCCAAAAAGACAAAAACAAAGCACTAAAGCCCCATATAATATTATACTAACCATTTTTAGTATATCTGCCATTATTTTTTCGCTGAAAAACTATTTTTCTATTTTAAAACCTATTTTCTTCCGCTCGTACTATTAAAACACACTAACACAATATAAGAGTACAAAACCTTATCAAAATCCCATAAATCTAGCCATTAGCAAACATTGCTAGCCATGTTTAAAGCCAAAAACATTCACTCTTACACCCCTCCCCCTCCCCCTTCCCCATATAAACACAAAATGAAATTTAATCAAAAAATGCCGTGAAACCGTTGGGAAGAATAGCACGGCGTTTATTTGCGCATAGTGCCGTTCTCTGCCTTTTACGTTCAGGCAAGTCAATAATGGCAACGTAATTTTTGAAAAAAAGTTGAAATTATTTTAAAAGTTCATTTCTATTACCTTTTTTATAATCTTAAAAGTTTACCATTTTCTTCCATCCTTCTTCATATCTCTCTCAACCTATAAGATAGAACCAGACTTAACAAACTATCAGCACTAAATTATCAATCACCTTTAACTTATCAATCTAAAACTCTTTATAAACCTACAATTTCTACCTAATACCGACCAGTAAATTGCAAATATTACCCTCTCCTTAAGCTCGTTAAACTCATAACCCTAATGACTGGTCTTGTTTTTTCTTGGCCTCAAGAGCGAGATGATGAGACTATTCAACTGGATGAACATATAATCCCCTCCTCATACCAAGGTCGGGTCACTGTTTGCAAAGTCAATTAGGAAACAATGACTAATTCGTATTACCGCAAGCTACCGGAACTTACTATGGCACTTCTTTGTTTGTTTAAAGGGTTACCAAGGCGTTAAGTCAATTAAGGATTACGTGTGGCCTAATAAGGTGTAGAAGAATCAAAAAATCATACGAATTAGAAGTTATAAGTAAATAACAAAGCTTATTATATGTATAAATTAATGTATAACTACACCGTACAAATATTGTTTACAGTTTACAAAGAAATATGACAATACCCAGTTCAAAGTAGGTTAATACCTCAAATTTAGAAAATTTTTTTGATGATTTCAAGTCCTAATTACTGTACTAAATCTTTACGATCTAAACACATAAACTACTCTTAAACTCGAAAAGTAAAAATAGAATCCAAAAATGTATATATTCTGTTTTAGGGTGTTCGTCTTGTGAAGGTTTTATCTTGGTCCGATTAATCCGATTATTATCCACTTCGAACGGCGGTTTCCCTCGAAATTGACCGACCGGTTATGTTTCCACAAACGCGTGCCATTATACTACTTTACTTTGTGAATTTTTACAAAATTACAAAAAATATGAAAAAATTGTGTACTTTAAATCTGAAGATAGCTAACAACTTTATAGTAACTCCAATAAGACCTGTACCTAACAATTGTAAAACGTATTTTACAAAACAATCTCCGAAATGACATTACGTATAACGCGCTATGTTACTTCCATAGCATCAACAAATCGATTTTAACGATCTCCAATCATCCGCTAACACAAACCTTCATACTCTGCCCCTTACCCATAGCTCCATCCCCCCCCCCCCCCTTGCTTATAGCTCACTTTACAAAAAGCCATTCTTCATAACGCCCCAGGCCAAATTATGAAAAAAGTGAAAAGTGGTCGTTTGAAAAAACTTGGCCACAGGTAAATTTGAGAAAATTTTTTGAACTTTTCCTTCCCCTTTCTTGTCAACCGATCCTCAAAACCAAATCAAAAAGAAAAATGCCGAAAATAGTATAGATTCCGAAGAGAGGGACACAGAAAAAGAGAAGCTCAAATGACATGCTTCAATCCATCATAATTACAACTCGCTTATAACCACTTTGTGGCTTTTCATTATAACATCGTCGGCATGAAGAGATACTACTAACGACATGTATAATATAGTAGTGTCTGAGCTGTTAACATTATCTACATAATAGTCTAAACGTACAACACATTAACTCTTTTATGACCTGCCCAAACTCGAAATACAGTAATTCCCCCAAATAAAGCAGAAACATTACAAGACAATAAGTGTGTCGACCTTGACGCCGTGCAAATCCCTCAAATTAGTACGCAAATTATGGTCTTACAAGTTTTGAAACTTCGAAAAAAGACTCCCTAACACTTGTCCTTTCATTAGCAAATGTAAACAGAAGAGAAATGCCCCGAGGTAAACAGAGACAAAGGCTTCGGAATTTGCATGAAGACGCAAAATTTGCATACGAAGAAAGTTTGCAAGAAGAGCAGAGTAAACAGTAATATTAGAGTAATTAAATTACTCGTTTTTAAAAGGGAGGCTTGGAGTAGGTTAGGAAGAAAAAAAGGCGTAGTTTAGATAAACTTTTGTTAGCCTAATTTAAAATTAAAGGGTAAAATATATAATTAAATAAATTTTATTTTTTCAAGCCCTAAAGCAATAAACAAACACTAAATTTAAAAAAATTATAATAAGATGTTAAAACAATTTAAAAAACTATAATAAAGCTCAGAATAACCATAAAGTAAAATAATAATGCTCAAACTATCATAAAGTAATGGCAGTTCCACGCGCCCCAAAATTTCATAAAATTTCGAAAAATGACCAGTGCGAAATTGGTAAGCCCTTAAGTAATACGCAAAGGTTGTGGCCTAAGGAAATTCTAATTCGAATATTAAAATTGCGTACTTCCAGGACATTTGTTGGCGCATAAAAATTTTGGAAAAGCGCGGAACTTTCGTTCCATGTTTGAATGGACACTAGAATAACAAATTGAGAATTAGGTTTGGGTGGGATTGGAGAAGAATTGTAAGCAACAAGTGGGGAAGAATGACCAAAGGGGTTGATATAGGTTAAAGCTTACTGTCAGTAAAACTATTTAAAATTTCACAAGAACTGCCTAAAGTAACAAAGTTATCAAGTACTTTTAAAGACCTTAAATCCATATTAAATATATTTTCATATAATATTTAATCAGTCCGTATTTTACAATATCCAACTATAAAAATGCCAATTAGTCCCCAGCTCCGAATGTGGGAACGCCCCGCACATTAAAATTAGCATAACCAAAACAACGTTGGGCGCATCCCCGGAGGTCGAAAATCGGCGCGGTTAATTGGATTTGAAGTGTGTTTTTAAAAACGGCCCAAAAATCTAGGCCAATTATGGGCGCGGCTCGCTAAAACGGCCGTTTGAAAAGCGTCGTTATAGAAGATTAAAATTTGCACAAAGAAACGGAAATCGCGCGAAACTAAATTATGAACAAAGTTCTGCCAACACTCCTTGGAAGTCGGGTGTAACCTTATTTTATCCAAAGAATCACTTATTTTTGCAAAAAAAAATGATTTTAACAATTGTAAGACTATTCAAATTTATCTGTATTACAGTAGTTTTAAGTCATTAAAACTAAATAATAATGCTTCTAGACCTATAACAAGACATCCTAATCAAAAGCCAAATCCCGAAAACCCGCTGACTTGCCTCTTCACCTGAATATTGTCCTTAGGCCCTCTTGTCTCCTAAGGTAACCGATCGAATTACCTTTCCCGGCGCTCTTGAACCTAATTTCTCGGAGTGTCTAATGTTCTTAAAAACAAGTCAAAGCACTTCGACTTGTAGAATTTTCAAATTTTAAATGAAAATAATATATAAAGAACATACTTTGACATATAAAGCAGATATATTATAACATATGTTAAATGTCATACTGTAAATAACTAAAATAAATTTTAAAATAGAAAAAGTAAACTCAAAAAGCATAAATGAAATACAAAATCTGTAAAAACGTCAACATAAAACAGCAAAAGTCCTTGTATTTGAACGACTTCCTGCTGCGACAACATACCAACATATTTGTGGACAATATATAATTGGCCTGTTCTTATTAAAGCGTTGCGCAACAGTTGTAGAAAACAAAAAAGGTCATACATGTGAAAGTAATTGCTAATTACATGGTATTCTACCATTCATAAGAAGCGAGGAATGAACATGTAATTGTTTGTTATATGCTCATCACTCTGACATATTTTATGCAGCTAGGAAAGGTAACTATATATAAAATAGCAAATTTCTATTACAATAATAAGTCCTACTTCAAATTTAAATCACAAGTCTTAAGCGATAAAGCCAAGATGTCATCACAACATGGCCTTCCGTGGTATATCAAATGCCATGTTGACCTTTGACGCCCATTAGATGGCCGGATACGACGCAAACCTCTTAATACAAGATACAATTGTCTTTACCTAGGTACACAATAGACCCAAAGTGCTAAGTAGAGTAGTCATGTTTGCTTAAGAGTTTCGAATAAGCGACACCAAAGTAAATTTTAAATAACGGCAGGTTACATACTTAACATGTATATAAAAAGTGCTGTTAAAAAGTAAAATAGTATACTTTATAAAGGTAGCATAAATACATAACGCCTATTTTTATATAAAGATAACTTTAAAAGATGTATTCAAAACAGTAATTTAAAAATAACTTTAAAAACTTCATTTTTAAATTACTTACTGGTATCTTTGACATTCACATTCTCGATGCCTCTGTTCCAGTCTCTAGGATCAAAAGTGTATCCCATTTGTTTCATTTCTCTGTTTCTCTCGAAATCCAACACATCTCGTCCAAATTCATCTAGTCCAGCAAAGGACAACATCTAAAATAATATAATTAGTACAAAGAACTTGTACTAAATCCTAAGTTTAAAAAACATTGTTCTAATTAAAAAAAGTAAAAATTTGGCAAATATTCACGTACTGCACAGTAATATAAAGGTAGCGCTTAATGAAAGCGATACTGAATGTAAGAGAATATACATATTGTAATAACTAGGAGCGTCCTTCAGAAAAACACAGCTTAAGCCCAATAAACAAAGAGTTACAACCACTTTTTGGAACAAAAACGTAAAACAGATTAACAAAACGGCTTTTACAAGATTCGGCGACAAAATATTTAATTATTCATTTACAAATAGAAGATACGAGTAAACATGGCATTTGATTGTTTAATAATAGACAGCAGTTTAATTACTTTAAGCAACTACTGTAAAATGTCTTTAGTTCATTATCATTGTTTTGAATTGAAATTCACATTGTAAAAAAACAAAAACAATGTAAAAGGATGAGTCCGAAAAACCTTTCAAAATATAGTTTATATATATTACTCAAGATGTATCGCATAGTAAACCCACACAAACAGCCCATTATAACACTCAAAACTTTTTCGAACAATTTTATGGCCGAAAAGAGCTGGAAATGGCCATTGCGGACTCTTCCCTCCTCAAAAGGTATGGCCAGGTAAATGTGGCCAGATTCCTATTGTTCGACCGGCGGTTGTTATAAAGAAACTTTTTGTTTCCTTTTTTTCGTCGTTTTGAAGCCGTTTTCACTTTTTCTAATTATTTAACGCTAATTAGGGGTTAGCTTAGATGAGAAAATTTAAATTTTAAATTTGTAAGAGACATAAAAAGGTTAAAAAAGAAAAAATATTAATCTTGATACAAAAATTTTATTCCTAAAGAACGTTCTCGACCACATTAGTAGTATGACTACGATAGGAATGTCATCAAGGTCGACTCCCGTTACTTTGTGGTCATTATTTCACTTTTTGCCAAAACTTTCGGAGATATTTTTTGTTAAACGCTTAGAAGGCAATGGCCCATTTAATGGTTTCAGAAGTCTGGAAAACAAATTAAAAAGTTTACAAACTGGCAAGAAAAGTTTTGGCAACTAAACTCACATAAATCTTTAAATATTTATAAAAAACCAAATTTGAAAACTTAAAATGACATTTTTAGAAATTTTAATTAAAACTTTGTGGCCCAAAAGTTTAGTCTTAGATACAAAAGAAAGCGGAAATAATTGCGGCAATTACTGTGTGTACAATTTAAGCCATAATCATTGTTTTCCCTCGTTTTCGGCAACTTTTAATTTGCATAATGCATTTAGAGTTTACACAAAAGATACTTATTCAATAAACAAGATGGTGGGCCTGTTTACAGTTGTTACAAACATGTTGTACAAGGTGGTACTGTAGAAAATGAAAATAGAAAAAATATTTTGACAATCTACAGTATAAAAATGTAAAATTAATTTTGTTTTGTAATTTAATGTTAAAAAATTATTTTTAAAAATTGGAAAGAAAAAGCCATGAGAAAACATGTCAAACACAATATTATGATACACACGCTTTCATAATCTGACATGTTCCAGTAAATTAAGTTACTTTTCTTTGCATTACACTCTGTCTGCACATAATACACGAAAGTAATAAACAAAAGTAAAAAACAACTCAATATACGTTAATATAATGTTAAGGATCTTGACTCAAGTAATCAACAAATAATAAAAAAAAATAAAAAAAACATGGGTCTCCTAATGACGCCTTTTAATTGTAAAGTTTCAGAAACGTATGCCAGAGAATATCCGATTCCACGCACTCTTATCGTCCCTAAATCATCAAAAAACGGCCAGAAATATGGCCATAATCCCGCTGACATTTAATATTCACGCGCGCCAAAATTTGCAAAATTTGCGACGAATAAAGTGCCAAAAGTGGACATTCCGACAGAAAACATAAGTGGCCAAAACAGCTACTTGGCCGAAGCCGTAATAAGCCGGATTCAACTGTTACTTGGCAATGGCCCTGAGGAGATTTAGATAAATTTATTACCTTTTGGGGTTTCAAACCATCATAATATTGATAAAACTGTAACAAACTTTCATTTTGTTGTCTTAACTTAAATTTAAACAATTTTAAAAAATTATAGATTTTATATAAAAATTATACAAAATTAAAGCACTAGCCTTGGCTTTACATAGAAATTATATTATACTAGCCTTCCTACCTTGCCTAAAACTTCAAATGGCATAAAGTTAATGAAATAATGTGAGAAAAAGCTTACAAAAACAATAACAATCGCTACCATTTTGAGAGCTTCAAGTACGAAAAACAAAACTTAATCCCAAATCCGTGACACGAACTATTTGTGCCAAATTTAAAATTCAACTCTCGACTTTATTCGCAAAGCAAAACTTTTCTGCAAAGATAAGATTAAAATAGTACTGGTATTGTACTGAAAAATACAAATTTCTCGAAAAGTAAGTTATTCTGTTGTGTTTTTGACGTTTAGGTAACAGAGGAATAGTGTCTATACCAACCACAACTGACGAGGCCAGTTGGTATAGGATAGTAAGAATTTTTCGTGTGTCTTGTGTAGGCCGAAACATACAAAAAGTAAGACTGTGATAAGTCTTATATGTGTTAGATTAAGAAGATTTTTTTAGCATATTCAACTAGAATAGCATAACATAATGTTTTTTTAAGTTAATATAATTATAACATTTTTAATTAATTTAAAAAATAATTTCAGGCTTAGAATTTCTCGCAACAAATTTGGCCTTTTAGAAAAAAGTTTTGGCTAGTGATTACATTAAAATAAGAGCTGAATGAGTAATTTGCACATTTCGGAAGACTTTATTTGTTGGACACAGAATTCGTAAAAAAGACCTGAATACGAGCATGATTATGATGGAGTGGACATGAAGGATGAAATCTGAATAACTCTTGCAAATTCTGTTATTGGCTGTAAAGAAAGTTTCAATCAAGCCTTATTCAAAGCAAAAATAAACTTAATGCAGGAAAGTTAAACTTCCGAAGAATGCTTTTTATAGGTAAATATAATATTTTTAAAGATACCATAGCCGTGAAACAATATTTTTGTCAAAAAAGAACGTTTTAAAAGTAACTGTAAGTGATTTCACATAACGTGTCAACTTAAATTTAAATGTACACAACACAGTAAGTTTTGAACGCCTCGTTTGTGTTTTTAAACTGGCATCGTGCTGTGATCGCGGGACTTTCAAAACTACGAAGTTTTGCTTTTAGTAGTAATACAACATACAGTTTTGCAGTCAACTTAAAATATTAATTTTTTTTATTTTAAATTGTGTGTATCTTTTATTTTTCAGTAGATACTAAAACAATACTGTATTTTGTTGTCTAATTTACGTCCTACCACGCAAACGTTCAACTGCTAAATTTGCGTGGCATCCCGTTACTTTCGATGATTTTTAGATATTTTCGCTCGTTTTTTATATAATTTTGTTAGTTCAAATCATTTTTAGCTTCTTAAAATTAAAAGTACGTATATTGTTAATAATTCTTTCGAGATTTTAAATATTTTACATTGTAGTATGTTTTTTGTTTCAGATGGCCAATATTTTGAAGCTTTCAACTCGCTCTTCAGATCTCTTGCAAGACAAGAACACTCGTCCCGCCATTGACAAACACTTGGTCGATGGCAATCTCATGAACAAGATTGTTCAAACCCGAACTGATGGAGCACCTCAACGAGGAGCTACTGGACCAGCTCACGAGCTTTTGGCCAAAAACAACAGGTTGGATACTGTCGAAGGCATGGTGAATCAACGTCGTACTTTGGCTGGAACGGCACAGGCTGAACACTTTATCAAGTAAGGGTCATAATTTGTGTTTTTAGTTTTAGGAAGTTGATAAGAGAGCTAAAAGTATCTTCATTGATAAAGTCAGATTCTTCATCTTGTTTTACATAAGGAAATACATGTTTCTTTCGACAAAAAGTGACTTTTACTTGCCAAAGTTGCAGCAAAGTTTTCAGAAGCCCTATTTTACGAATAAATATTGAAAATATTACTTTATCACTTCTAATTTTATTATTTCTAGCGAACTCCATTCGGCCAGCCAAATCAACCGCGGTCCTCCTGGATTCTCTACCGGATCTCGCCTTCACTTTGACATATTGGCCGGCAGAGACGATCGTATCGGCTTCTCGGACTACTTGAACTTTGAAAGCAAATTCATGTAATATGTATTCTCTAAATAAATTATACTATAACATCAGTTCGGTCTTTGATAACATGCTTTTTAGTTTATTTGCATTGAAATATCGGCATTTTCGTGAAAGTAAATTCAGTTTAAATCTCATAATATAAAGAATACATAATTGTTTTAAGGGGTGCTATTGATGAAATTCAGTGAAAAACAATTTGAAGATGATTTAAAGAAATTTGTCTCAAATTTCAATCAGACTTATGATGAACAGTTCAAGGTGGTCAAAGTACGGTAGTTTTTAAACTAGTTTTAAATTATTGTAATTATATCATTAATTACTTTTCGGAAAAAAATTTTACTTTTTTAGGATTCCACATTACACCCATCGGCTGAACTTCGATCATTTAAATGTTTGGCTGATTCTACCCCTTGTGTTCAAGTAGTGTCTATTGTATACAACAAGATATACGAATGTCCCCAGTTATTTTTCAACTACTACACCGATAATGGTCAGTTGATACTATTTGATAAGATAAAACAACATCTTCAAAAGGTAGCAGCGCCATCAGATGACAGTATATGGTCCTACATATCTCAAAACGAACATCCCACCAAAGGAATAGCATTTTACAATTTACATCCTTGTAAAACAGTCGAGTTTTTTGGAGAATTAGAGGATTCTGAAGGCTTGAATACCATAGAATGGTAAGTTCTCAAAAAATAAGTATTATTACTATGATACGTACGGTTTATTATATTTAAGGTTAATAATTAAGCCTTTTTAATATAATTAATATTTATTATTGAAATAACTTAAGTTCCTGAGTTTACAAACCTCAATATACCCGTTTACAATTGAACCAAAAGAATGTAAAGCAAGATCCTGCTGTTATCACTAGATATGACGATATAGTGTTATAAAATGGCACTAAGTGACAATACAGTGACAATAAGTTAATATAAAGTTATTGATACAATTAGACCTTAACAATTAAAACAATTACCTAAAATAAATAATTAAGTAGTTTATAGTTGGTTATCAGTATTCGGAGCATTTTTGGGGTTGGACTTGGAGTCAGTTAGGACGTGACTTGGCATCGCCTTTACCCTTCATCGTCTTCTTTGGCACACGGACAGGATCGGGTGGCTTCGGCTGAAATACGGGTATTAACTTATTGTAAAGCAATAAATGATCATTCATTTTAAAACACTGAATTTTTACATTTTTAAATATGATACTGGTATACTTTGTAAACCATACCTTATTGCGGTCGATAACATTCAAAAACTGGCATATTAAGATGTTGATGGCCACTACAAATAACCAAACCAATCCAAAGACAGAATCTCTTCGCAAGTAACTGCAAATATACAATATAAGAGTACTTTTAATGAGTATAATATAAACCATGCCAACTCAATTAAAAGAATTTTAGTTAAACCAATTTCGAAACTAATCTCTTACTTCCTCAGTCGTTGACCTTTAACCACCTTATCCTCTTGTATCGTCTTCATATACACTTGTTCAGTTCTCTCAGCTACGTCTTCCCATCTGTACATCCTTCTGATCGCATGGTGTAATGTTATCCTGTCCAGAAACTCGTTTCTTTGTTTCCTTACGATGGCAGAGGACAACGCTTGGACAATGTCGTCAATTTCTGGTTTGGCCAAAGTTATGTACTCTGGGGGTAACACTTCTGGCACGCCTCCTACAATAATTAGATATTTAATTTTTATTCTTAACGTACACATTGATCGTAATTGACTACAATAATATAAATACTTACCAACAGCAGTCGAAACCACATGAAGTCCACAGCTTGCCGCTTCAACGATGGCTACACAGAAGGCTTCTGTGAGGCTACAGTTCAAAAAGATGTCACCTTCAATCAGTACGTCCCTGACCTTGTTGTGTGGTAACATTCCTCGCATCTCTACTCGATCTTCCAGACTGTAGATCTCGCGCATTTCCTCCAGATCAATTCTTTTCGGTCCATCCCCTCCAATGATTATTCGGACATCCGGATGTAACTCGCATATCCTTGGGATAACCTAAAATCATATTGGAAAATTTAAATAAGCTAGTGATTATTTCGAAGTTTTCAAATTTTAAAGATATAAAGCTGATTTATTTAAATAACTTACCTGAACCAGTAAATCCGCGCCTTTCCGATACACCAGTCGAGATACTATGACTATGGTCAGAGGTCCAGTTTTAGGCTCTTTCGAAGGCAAAAAACGTTTGGCATCGATGGCATTCGGAATGACGGAGACATTATGACGGTTGAGACCAGCACGGAGCACAATATTGTCCTTGCTAAAACAATTATAACATCTATTTTTGGTCAAAACATGCATCGTGCACAACCCTATCCAAAAAAAAAGATTGAAACCTTACCAAACGTTCGAAACACAAATCGACCGGTCGATATTAGGCAACGAGTACCTCAACAACAACCTATTGAGGAAGATGGCAGCCATGTCCGAGAATCCAAACAATGAATGATCTGTAAAGACGGTCTTCAACCCCAAGCTCCAACCATGAAGCATGGCCTCATGAGCCATTGGAGAGAACGCTGAATGACCATGAACAATATCAATCTGTTCATCATGGAAAATCTTTCTATACGCGACGACAGAGCCCCACACTGAAGGGAGTACAAATTGTCCTGTGACAGAAAAGAAGGGAATGTGATATACCTAAAACATACAATTTTAGGTAACAAATCTCCATTTTGAAGAAACGCGTATCAGTGAAATCCAAACACAAGTGTAGTTAAATACTTATAACGCACAGTATCTATAAATGAAAAAAAAACAACAAATATACTTACTTTGAGACCGTTTGACAGATATACTATGCCTTTCCGTTCGCCGTAGACGTGAGTCAGTACTATAACATGATGCCCTTTCTTCAACAAACATCCTCCCAAGTGATAAATATGTGTTTCTACTCCGCCAGTGTTTGGACAAAAGAAATCGGACACTAGTCTGAAAATATTATTTTAAAATAGCTAATATTCAAAATATTAGACATCAACACCAACATTAACTGTTTTCGATCAAAGCTTACCAAAAATAAATATTTTCCCCCTAGTTTCTAACACAAGACCTTTAAAAATACTATAAATACTAATAACTTTCTAGAAGACCATTCAACACGCCTCTAAACCTTAGCACAAAATCTCTTACGCGATTCGCAGCTTTCTTGTGGCCACATTTCTTCGTCTTTTCATGGGCTCGCAAAATTAACATAAATTCGTTGTACCCGTTTGTGTCCAACCGTCATGAGTCATCTGTGTTTTACAAAATTATGCAATTCGTTATTTTACTTTTCGCGAACTTATTTTACATAACACTCTACGTTCATCCTTCTCCCGCCGCGAAAGCAAGCAATGTTTGGCGTAGTGTCAAAACGGACGGAAAAATGGATTTTTGGCGGATTTTTGTTTCGTCTGTCAAGTGCAATCTTGCTGAACCAAAAATTATTGCAATCACGGAAATACGACCGTCACGGTCGTCCTGAAACACGACAATGGTGACCAAGGTGAATGGGCGGAGTTGGCCGAGATCACAGCAACGGCCGACGGTAATGTCACGGTTATCTACACATATTGGTGGGATGTTGTGGATCTGGGCGTGCTCAGTGTGCAGCTTTTTTATGTACATATTCAGGAGACAGTATCGAATGGTAAGAAAGTTGAAGTTATAGTTGTAACAAGCGATTTTGATAGGTTTTATTTTAGTGATAAGACTTGAAGGGTTTGTGTGCGGTCTGAGGATCAAAATTTGGTTTTGGATGATAAAGTTGCTAAAGTTAACAAAAATAAGAAAATAAAAACATATGAAATATTTTAAAAAGGTTTTAAAGGCAATTCAAGACAATATATCTCAAAAGCTTTGACGATTAACATCGATTAACTTACTATTTTTAGATAAGAAAACATCAAGCAGTACGATACGACATTGTTCCACTATCACCACTAACAAATCAACGATTAAGTAAGTTTAAATTTAAAATTAAGTATTTCAAATTATAGGTATGGTGAAAAGGAAGATATTAGTCTTAGATCTGGATGAAACGCTAATACATTCACATCACGATGGGGTACTACGACCTACCGTGAAACCTGGAACACCGCCGGACTTTGTTTTAAGGGTAGGTAACGTTATTTTATTAACATTTTTAAAAGCATTGATAAAACTAAAAAATGTAAATTTAATACAAGTGGATGGGTTGGCGACTGCGATTTATATTTTACAAAAGTCTTTAACAAAAGTAAATTGACTGCAAAACTCAATATAAAAAGCTCGATCTGTCTTTACAATATTTTTTAAATTTTTGACATTTTTTTAGGTAGTGATAGACCAGCAACCAGTCAGGTTCTTCGTTCATCTTCGGCCACATGTCGACTTCTTTTTGTCTGTCGTATCTCAATGGTTTGATTTGGTCGTATTTACTGCTAGTATGGAAGTTTATGGTACTTCAGTGGCGGATAAACTAGACAAAGGACGAGGATGGCTGAATCGACGATACTTCAGACAACATTGTACGGTAGATTACAGTGGCTACACGAAAGATTTGTCGGCGATTCACAATGACATGGGGTCGATTTTTATTTTAGACAACTCTCCTGCTGCTTACAGGAATTTCCCACGTATGTTTTTGTACTTTTGGACTATTTTTTATATGATTTTAGGTAATATATGTAACTCAACATTTTAAATTACAAAAAGTGTATTATTTTAATGCTTTTAATGAATATTTGATTTAAAAACGTGCAGTTTATTCAATCACGTTGTTAATACTTGGTTTAACGTGTCTTTTATCATTAAAAGCTTAGTCTTTTTATAAAATCATATTGTTTATCCTTTTCAGACAATGCAATTCCGATCAAATCGTGGTTCTCGGACCCCACAGACACGTGCCTTCTGAATCTGCTGCCTTTCCTAGATGCCCTTAGGTTCACGTCAGACGTGAGATCGATCCTTTCTAGAAATCAGCACCGCCAATTTGGAAATCCTATTAATCAGCCTACTCTAAGGTCCAATATCATGAAGTACGGAAATTACGGATGAGGAGCTGAATTTGTTGTTATTTTGTTAAATATTATAATATATACATATGTTTTGACATACGCTTTGGATTGTATATTGTACATTGAGATTGTTCAGTCAGGGAATTCTGATTATAGTATAATTGTCATTCTTTGGTTCACGTTTCATGTACAATATCACCTGGCTTAACATAAAGTGTATAGTTGTGTCTACTTTTAAAGTTTTAAGATGTATAGTGACAACCACTTTTACGTTGTATATCTCGATACATATTATGTATATTATTAACGTTGTTTGGCGATTTGTTGATAAAAATAGCGATGAGATTGATAATGTCTATATTATGTTAATACGTCTTGTTGGACATCTTATAGCTAGACGAATGTTGGCGACGGTTTAGCTAGTTTGTCAATGTTATATATAATATATGTGGTTCGAGTTAGATTCGAATAAACCGAACGGGTACGTGAATATATTGGCTGATTTTGGAGGGTCTACTTGAAGGGTCTTCTTTGGTATTTTAATATTTTTAAGGTAAATTTTGTTTAATGTAGAGGGGTTTAAGCTTATTTGATGACGTTTTGATTATTTAGATAATAAGCTATCGGTAGATGGTATTAAAGAAGGCAAAGTCGTGCCTAAAGGTGTCTAAAACAATTAAAATTAGGCGTTGATGTCAACATATCTTTGGTAATGACCAGAAATCAGTCTATTACCAAATTGTTTATGGTCTGTATATATAGTTGGTAGTTCATACTTTTAATTAAAATAAGGTCCGACGGCCTTGTCTACAACTCTTTCTTTACATTTGTTACCTAAACAAATAAATTTTTATTTAGGTAATAAATTATATTAAAAAATAACTTTTTCAAAATTGTTTTAAAGTTGGTTTATTTAATTTAAAAAGGCACAAACTTATTACGCAATAATATTATTCAGCATGATTAAAAAGCTTTGAAATCACAAGCAGCTTACGACTCTTCGGGTATAAGATCATAAACAATTTGAAAGAGCGGAGTAGACATACGATCTTGAATAAATAATACCATGACACGTGTACAGTCATTTAACAATTTTTAGGCATTTGAGGGGCATTACGTATATTACACATGAGCTTATTAGCCAGAGGACATTAGTGTTTTATGTTATCTTTTATAGTCATGATTGGAAGCTTTAAGGTGCTTATGAGATATCCTAATTGAATAATACCATCAACGATGTCATAGTCATAACAATCGTAAAATGGTATTGATTCACAGGGATCTTAAGATTGGAGAACTAATTAACATTCTTTTGCAAAGTTTTTTTTCCAGAAATTTCAAAATTTTGAAATTCTAAAATATGTTTTACACTACAGACTTTTTTTTGAACTTTATATTCAAATACCAAAGTTAAGCTCAGTAAAAGCTTTGAAGATGCTGGATTAAGAGTAACAAAAGCCTGTAGTAATTGCAAACGTAGGCGGCTTTAAGATGCCTTAAGGCTACTAAAAGTAATTGCAGTTTTAATGGATCTACATCAAGAAGCTTAACGGTTCATGTGCAAATACGTAATGTAATGTAGTATGAGTATGGCTTTTCGTACAAACAATCGATAGAGACAGGATAACTTAGAGGATTCACAGTAATATTTTACTATATATACAGCAAAATTAAAAAAATAACGAAAAATAGTAAATTATTACTGTAGACTTAAAAGTGAATAAACTACAATGTAAGAGACCGTTTACATTGTAGTAGGATAACATAAAGTAATATAAATTAAACTATTGTTGACACAGTAAGATTACCGTACTTATTTCAGTAAAAGTAAAGTTATTACAGTTAAACATCATAGTTAATAAAATGACCTCTTCGTTTCCGTCGTCGGGTTACTGTAGTTTCTTCCCCCGAGTTGAAAGACCGTTTACAAGCCTTAGGGTGGAAGTAGCAGAAGGTTGACATGGACGGTGACAGCCGTCTGACTGGTTGGATGATCTGTTCGGCCGACGAGGGAAAGTAGGGTTTGGCCGATACTAGGCTTATCATCAGTAGAAGTAGCATGGTCTGAACGTATAGGGTTCTCATCATGTTGTTGTAGGTTATTTTGGAAGTAGTTGTGTCACGGTATGTTAATGTAGAGGCTACAGTGTTATCAGTATACTGTAGATAGTTTCTAGGAGCTGTAGATAGGGTTAAAGAATTCAGTAAGGTACCAAATGTCAGAGTATGCTTACGTTCCCAACGTTACCTGGCTGTCGTTGAAATAGCTGTAATTAAAAAGGTTTACAATATATAAAGTCACGCTATGACAAGGTCAAAGTATACCGAATGTACTTAATTAAGCGAATAGTAATGTAATAATAACAAACACAACAATGGTATGTTTCTACCACAGTGTTTAGTATATTCTGGCGTAGTAAATAAGGAGATTACTACGTCGATAGTACGTCTACAATAAATTAGTAGAAGGTATTGATGTTTGAGTTTTGGAAAAGTGTAATACATCTAGACCTAAATGTAATCTAATATAGCAATAAGGTATACAGAGTATACAAAGTATGAGTTATTACCTTAAGCATATACATTTGAAATACGCATATATCTATGCATATAACTAACTATAACATATATTTTAAAAACTAGTACTACAACATCGTACTGATCTAAAAATGCTTCAAATACTATATTCACCTTGACAATAATTAGAAAGGAACGTGTACATAACATGTCCTTCAAATACGAGGTTACATAGTCATAAATAACACATTCCGTTACAATAATAACATCATAAATATACTAATACGTAGCAAATACCATTTACAATCGTTGAAATTGCACCATCTTACACCATGTCACAGTCGACATCAGCAATATTTGAATTTAAAAGGCAATTAGAAAAGGTAACGTTAACCTATATATAAGGAAGATACACTCGCATAAAGAAAGTATTGATAAAGTAAAGATAAAAGTTAAAACATATACTTACACCATACAAGATAATGGAACAATCAACTGGTAATAAACGATTTTAAGTTCTTTGTATATCGCTCTAGATACGACCGTTATATCGCGAAACAAAATGTAAAACTAGATATGTACATAAGTTCAGACAGAGATGTTAATGTTAAATAGTAAAAGATGGAGTCTATGCAGAATAGTGTGATATGGCATTGACTGCTAATAACATACCTTGTGATGGATAATACAAATTGGACCGAGAATAGCTGACTTGATCAGAAGACATTAAATATTGACCTGGCAAGCTGCCAAAGCCTATTTTTATATTTTAAAGCACAATATTCTCTTATTTTTAAATATACACAGTAGATATATAAGGTTACCTTACGGTCTATACAGGGTGTCCAAACTTTTTTGAAGGAAAGTAAAAGCTCCGTTCTCAAAAAGTACTGGTCCGATTTGAACGATTTTTTTTGCACTAGACTAGAAATTGCGGGCGGATTTGGTATTGGTACATTGTTTTTGAGTACTCGGCGGAGGCTCGGCGGAGGTCGGCGGTGACTGAAGTTTTTATGTATTGGACAAAAAATATGTAATTTTGTTTTTGCATGCTGCCCAAAAAATTCTCAAAAACATTTTCTTTCAATGAAAAACTTTTTTGCTATGTCGGCGGACGATCGGCGGAGAAATTCGGCGAAGGCCATAACTCGGCCAGTTCTTAAGATTTTTAAACCGGACAAAAAGCAGTGGTGTTCTGAAGTTTTTTTCTATAAAATTGACCATACTTTGTAAAAAAATGGTAATTTTTAAAAATTCGGCGGAGAGACCTAATTTCGGCGGAGGCCATAATTCGGCCAGTTCTTAATATTTTTGAACCGGAAAAAAACTAGTGGTTTTCTAAACTATTTTTTTACAAAACCGGCCGTACTTTGTAAAAAAATTGGTAATTTTTAAAAAGAGTTAAGTTCTCCGCCGAAATCTGGTGTCTCCGCCAAATTTTTATAAATTACCAGAACACCACTGGTTTATGTCCGGTTCAAAATATTAAGAACTGGCCGAGTTACGGCCTCCGCCGAAATCTGGTGTCTCCGCCGATTCGTCAAAAATTGTTGAAAATTTATTAAATTGAGACATTTTTAAGAAAAATGCCAATGAATACCATTGGTTTTTGTCCGGTTTAAAAATATTAAGAACTGGCCGAGTTATAGCATACGCCGAAATTAGGTGATTCCGTTGAATTTTTGAAAATGACTTACTTTTTACAAAATATTGACCGTTTGATAGAAAAATGCTTCAGAACACTACTGCTTTTTGTCCGGTTAAAAAATATTAAGAACTGGCCGAGTAATGGTCTTCGCCGAAATCTGGTGTCTCCGCCGATTTGTCAAAAATTGTTGATAATTCATTCAATTGCGACATTTTGAAGAAAAATGCTTCAGAACACCATTGGTCTTTGTCCGGTTCAAAAATATTAAGAACTGGCCGAGTTATGGTCTCCGCCGAAATTTGGTGTCTCCGCCGAATTTTTAAAAATTACCATTTTTTTACAAAGTATGGTCAATTTTATAGAAAAAAACTTCAGAACACCACTGCTTTTTGTCCGGTTTAAAAATCTTAAGAACTGGCCGAGTTATGGCCTTCGCCGAATTTCTCCGCCGATCGTCCGCCGACATAGCAAAAAAGTTTTTCATTGAAAAAAAATGTTTTTGAGAATTTTTTGGGCAGCATGCAAAAAAAAAATTACATATTTTTTGTCCAATACATAAAAAATTCAGTCACCGCCGACCTCCGCCGAGCCTCCGCCGAATACTCAAAAACAATGTACCAATACAAAATCCGCCCGCAATTTCTAGTCTAGTGCAAAAAAAATCGTTCAAATCGGACCAGTACTTTTTGAGAACGGAGCTTTTACTTTCCTTCAAAAAAGTTTGGACACCCTGTAGTATAAAAAAGTAATATATCGTATCTTCTACTAAGCTCAGTTTTAAACAAACTGACCAAATGTAATTGTCATTTTACAAAATTTACAAACTGTTGCCACGTCACAAACCAAAAATAACCTCACTTCCTTACCGCACGTCA